TTTCGTCACACAATATGGAACCACTCAAGAGACATGCTTGGCTCCAGTAGAAAAACTATAGCAACTTTACCGCAGAAGCCTTTAAAGCAACTTGAATGGCCCGTAGGGTACGAACTTCACGTTGCAACACAAGGATTACATGGTCAAACCCTTTGCAAAATCGCCTTCTCGACACGACCAGTCAGGATTGCGGGCTGCACTGGCGCATGCACGGCGGTTCATTACACAGCAAACAAACATAGACATGCTCTAGCGCAATTAATTACTGAATGCACATTGATTGGTCGATTGCGCAGAGGCCGGCAAAAGTGATGCAGGTCAAATTCGAGGGAGAACTTTTACTATACAACGACAAGCTGGCCCCGGAAACAACCGCGTTCAGCACATTCATTCATTGGTGACAGGCTTTTGGAAGAAAACAATGTGACCCAATTACTCCGATCGGATCACCGACAAGATTCAGCTGCTCCATGTGCGAGGAAGGATTGCAAAGGAAAAAGCAAGCACCGTCAGATAAGCATCACCGGGTTTATCATATGAATGGGCTTAATGGGCTTCACCAATCGTCATCGATCTGCTTGGGCACTTTCGCGTTCCCACTGATCGGATGACTCATCCTCGCCCTTTTGAATCGGCACAGATTGCCGCCGCGCATGACAAGCAACGACTAGACTCGAAAAGAAGTGCATTTAAGGAGTTCTGGAAGCAGACTTGTGAAAACCAGGCACTCATTCAGTCGACGTGTGATTTGGCAGCGACTCCAAACACAGATTGTAATCTCGACCACAACGTGACGCTTGAGCTCAGTGAGGCGCGAAGGCCTCAATAATCGTTAAAGATCATAATCGAACGACTCTAACAAACCCAGCTCGAACCTTCAAGCTTGTTCCTATTTTACCAACTACGTCAGGTCGAAAGCATCAGAGACGGCTGCAAACTGTTTCGAGTCAGCCCGCGCATATCGAAATGAAAACCAGCAGCGGACATACACACATGATAGACTAGCCTGAGAGCAGAGCCGTCAATTGAATATTGAAGGCGCATGGAAAAACCTACAGGCTCGCGAGCATGAAACCAACATCGCATACCTTAATGAAGCATGCTGTCGATCTAAGTTTACGAAAACAATCAATCAATCTGCTCCTCTAGGTTTTTCATGCGGGCAAGAAACGAACCCATTGATGCAATATGCTGGCAGGAACCAGTCAACAGCCCTCGACAGCCTCCAGACGCCAAAATACCATCGCATTACGCTCGCAGGCGCATTATAAAGACACAAGAAACGAACGAATCTGGGCCAGCTTGTCGTTTTCCGGATTCTTGTGCTCCGGTCAGATTGCGCTCGCTTTCCCCTCAATCAGATCCAGAACATGACCGACATCTGCAGCCAGACGCTTACTTTCAAGGTATTCAGAAAGTGGCAATCACTGGATATCGGATGCATGTTTGCTTGATAGATAACAATCTCCAAGGAGCACGAGGTCAATACAAAGAATGAGGATTCTGAACAAGCATTAGGACCTGCTCCTATTGGTCTTCCTTGGACTTCTTTTTCTTTTTCTTTGGCGGCTCCTCTGCGGGTTGCGCGCCCCCATCCTCCGCCGCAGCTTTCTTCTTCTTTTTCTTGGTCGACGGCTCGTCGAATACAACCTCCTCCTCCGCAGCTGCAAAGGAGATTACGACACGCTATTAAGTCTTCTTGTTTGCGGAGGTTTCTTTATTCGTACGGCTTCTTTTCACAAGAAACTAGTCGAGCTTACTTGACCGGTCCTGCTTCGTCCCGCAAGAAAGCAGTCTCCAAAAGTCTCTGATTGAGTCTCGACACAGCGCCACTCATCAGAAGTCAACAAAAGATGCATCACAAGATCAACAATGACGATGAACGGTTGAAGTTCTTGGTATAACGGAGATACATAGAGATTGAGCTCAGACTCCGTAGAACCAACACTGCGTCTTCAATCTCATCATGCTTAGAGACACTTCGAAGTAGTTGAGCAGAAATCGAGTCCACCGGTGACGCCCAGGTCGCAGACTGATTCTGACCATGCAAGTCGGGGACTTGTAGATTGTACTAAGGAAACGAGAGAACAAACACTTTTCCAACTTTAGCGAAACCATCCCTGAACACGACAGAGACAAAGTCTCCCCAGAACGATGACACAACTTGTACCCCGTCGACCCTTCAACAGACGAGCGCCGATAGTGCTCTCACCTGCTTCCCTCTTCTTCTTTTTCTTCTTCTCCCCGTCGGCGTCCGCTGCAGCTTGCTCCGGCTCCTCTGCCGGCGTCGCCGTTTCCTCTACCGCCACCCCCTTCTTCTTCTTCTTCTTTTTCTTCTCCGAGGTGCCTGCAGCAAACGCACGGAGACAAGCGCAGTAAGCACTTTGGTTTTCTTGGGCGACTGCCTCATTGACCTTTCCAACTTGCTCTTTGTAGGGAAGTACGAAAGTTGTTTGCTTTTGACTTCTTTTTGGCGCAGAGCGCAAGACCAACAATCTACAACCGGCGAATCGAGCACAGTTTGACGGAAAAGGCCCGGATGGCTCTGCCGTAAGCTGTCAGGCTCCTTGCAAAATATTTTGTAACGGAACACCGAGTCGAACTCAGCAAGTATTGACCGCAACCAAACATGCGAGCAAGCGTTCTTTCTACAAAAGAATCGTAAAACCCAGAAGGGGACTGGCCAACACCAGTCCCAAATCAATGCTGAGAGAGACAACCACAAACAGAAATCAGTTCCACTTGCAGAAAACGCTGCCCTCAGGAAGACCTGTGTCCCCACATCCGGGCCTTTGCTCAACTAGCAAAAGGGGACCGCGGGCTTGCCTCCCGCTTTCGGACCAAACCCTCTACAAACCCCGGCCGTCAACAATAGTCGGCCGACGTCTTTAGAGGGATGGTCCTCGACAGGAGACGCCCCCGCAGCCACTCCCGGTGGTGTCAGTGTGGTTAAGGAAATAACTCATCATTGGGCAGCATAGGTATCATGTAACCAGAGAGGAGCGAACCAGTCGATCAACAGAGAAGATGATACGAACATCCTTGAACCGTGCCGGTCTGTGAGCGTGAAGATTGCCAACCGCAGACCAACCGCAGGAGCGTCAGATAATGCACTAGTTGCGGTTACGGTGCTCCAGAACAGCACATGAAAGCCGCTCTTGACTCTTCCTTCGACCAGCTCAGACGGCTCCAAGCAGCGTATGCATGGCATCCCATCCAATTTCATCCAAAGCAACCCAATCGCAGATGACCATAAGCTTGCGGACACAGCGTAAAACCCCCCGTCTTGTTTCACACTGACAGGCCAGACGACTAGAACGGCCGATAAAACCCGGCACCACCGAAGTGGACTGGTCCAATGAGAGCGCACGCACCAAACCGTGTATCTGAACACACCAAACTCAAGTAGTCTTTTGTCACACACCTTTCACGCAGCACTTTCGAAGGACGACAAAAGAGCCTACCAACTCCAACGAGAATTCAAGTTTCGCGACCAGCCAGATCAACAAGAGTCAAAACGCAACAACAGCTAAGACCGAGCCTCCAGAACTGACGTGGCCAATCCAGCAGTCATTTCCATAACTCGTACCAGTGGAGCCATTTGAGTGCCACCGGGCAACAACAATCGTTCTGAAAAGAGGAAAGAAAGCACGAACGGAGAGTAAAGCGCGCACCTGCTTCAGCGGCGTCCCCGTTAGCCGTGTGCAGCTCCTTGATGACGGCGTGCATGACGTCAATGTTCTTACGGGGCGCGATGCCCTTGTCATAGAACTCGAGCCGCTCCTCCACCTGTTCCCGCAACTTGACGCCAAATGCCGACGTGCTCTCCTCTGCAGATAGAAAAGTAGGAACAGGATCGGCACGGGGTTTGCTTACTCGTCTGCCCGGCAAATCAGGATTACAACACTCTTGAAATGGCGGCTTTTGCTCTGCCTTGTGTTCGGCTGAGTCCATTCATCGCTGACACCTTTCCGACCTACTTCCTTGGCTTCGACAGATCCAGGAATATGCAAGAGGGGCGGACTGATAGAAAGTGGGAAGGTGCTCTCTACTCCGAATGCTGGTGCTGGCCACCGTCAGAGGCACAAAGAAAGCAGACACTCTGATGCCAGCAATCTCGTACGACAACGTTCAGCAGGGAGGCGAGGGGACAGTTCCAAGGCTGACAAACTCCGAAAAACGACAGAGACTACAGATACTGCCTAAACCTAAGTGGAAGTCACGAGTCATCTGCTCACTTCGCTATGCGGTGAAGTCCCTAAGATGAATTCGGCCAGGGCAACTGGCAGATTCGGATCCGGTATGTTTAAAACTCTCCTCCGAGGACGTCGGCAGCTTCGTGGTACTTTGAATTCTTGATCAACTCCCCTTTCTAAACAAGATAGACGAGGCCAAAAGTTGAGGGGCAAGAAATCTGCGCGCAGGCTTGATAGACTTGAGAGCTCACCTTGGAAGCAGTCTATCCTGGAGGCAATGGAGCACTTGTTGGCAAGATACCGCGATATCCTGCCCTTGTTGCGCGCGGTCGCCCTCCCAATGAAGGACGAGTGGAAGATCAGCCCGTACTTCGGCGTGTTGCCCTTCGTCTTCAAGGCTCTGAGAAACAAGAATAGCTGACGTCAGCAGATGAGGCAAGGTACGGGGGCAGGGAAAGATACGTTTAAAGAGAGGAAAACAGTACTGGAAAATGGCGTCGAATCTGAGCACCTGCAAGCTTGAAGCAACGCAAGACGTCTCCATTCGGTCCATCATAGAAGAAACCTTGCACATGTGTGCGTGACGTGCGGTTTTCTTATGGCTCTGCATGACAGCAGTAGCTTTGGGTGCGCTACCCAAGAAAGAGTTCGTCTTTGCCCGAGAACACGACAAAGCCAGAGGCTATGAAGAACACGCTATACTGCAATCGCGGATGGGCATAAACCAGCAACAACCAATTGGTTGGACCCGCCCCGTTGCAGACCGCTTCTTGAATACACCAATCTGCAACAATCCTACTTCCTTGCACAGGAGCGCTAATGCAAAAAACGAGTGCGTGGTAAGGACGTGCTCGATACAATCATTGATCAAAACCTCAAACTGAGCTGCTATGAATTCTTCTTGACACTGAATCTCTACTCAGGACCTCTGATGATGGTGCGCATTGCCTTCGACATTTTGCACTTGAAAAATGACCGCTGGCAACAACCATTTTAGACTTCCAGGGCTCATTTGCTCGCACTTCGTTTGGAAGAGATCCCAACCTACTGTGTCGTCTTAGCCCTCACCAACCAAAACAAAAACAGCCAAAAAGTATGAATTGACCCATGCCTAATGACGATGGCACAAACAAAAGGGCAAACACAAAGGATGCAGCCCTCCAAGATTAAGGATGGTGAGGAGCTCATATCGAATTCGAATGAAAGCATGCACCCAATCCCAAGAACTTTCCTGAGAAGCGACAAGAACAACAACGGACAGGCTCGCCCCGTGGTCAACAGACTGAAGATTGCAGATCCAAGCAGCACCGCAGGATTCTGCAGGTCTCGAGTACGCATATGAAAACAACACTGCTCCTTGTGAAGGCGCCAGAGCATTCTGCACTGAAATTCAGCAGAGAGGCCAAGAACTACGCAGAAATACTGGTGCAACTGAAATTTGCAACGAAGTCCCTGATTTACGAGATCGGACATAAACTATTTGTGCTGTGTGCCACCTCTGTAGCTGACAGACTGTGTAGATTCAAAGAAGACTTATCATCAGCCAGCGCGATGGAGGCAAAACAAGGCGTGGCACAGACGCAGAGCTAAGAGTCGTCTTTCCGCCACTCAAAGAGGCATCAGCATTCCCCCTGAACCCTGGGATCAGTGAGTTCATTCCCAACAGGCTGGATCGTCTTTGCCTCACCGAGAAGCCATGGCCTGGCTTCTCAACACCTTACAAGGACACTTGAACCAAAAGGCTCCAAGAAAAAGGAAATAGACCGATAAGTTCATGAACATTCATCCGACAACAGGCACACGCCCCTCTGATACATCCACGAACCCAAAAAATCGATACCTCACGCGTCTACTCTACTTTTCGCTATACAATTCAACCGGCCAAGTTACGGTACATTGCAGCAAAAACCAACAAACTGGCCCCATTTGAGCACCTGAAGAGCGCCTTCTCCGCCCCCAGAATCTGCACAGTGGAAGCCGGGTACTTGGCCAGGTTGGTCAGACTCCCCGCGTGCGAAATGAGACGCGCCCCGACCATCTCTCCGATGAGCGCCGCCAGGTTCGGCGCAACGTCGTTCATCTTGGAGACGAGGTATGCGTGCAGCTCCTTGCGGTACTCGACCAGCTCGATCACGCGCTGCGCAAAGTTCTCGATGTTGATCAGGTCCACAGGGGAAATGTCCTGGCCTGCAGCAAGAAACGGGCGGAGTTTTAAAATATTCTCAAACGAGCGTGAGCCCTGCATTTTGGCAGCAATTGGGCGATTTGATTGAAGACAAGCCTTTGCAAAGTTCAACGAGCTCGATCACGCGCTGCGCAAAATGTCGACGTCGATGAGGTCCACTACGGACATATCCCAAGAAAGGGGGGCGGGTCCTCAAGAGAACTGGGATCAAAGTGAGCCCTGCCATTTTGCAATTAATGATCGACATATCAGGGAAGAGAGGAGCTACATACGGATCCCCTGATCGACAGGAGAAACGTCCTCATCTGTAAGAACATACTCTTGAACCAACATGCGGAAAGGCAGAGGTAGGAGCGAAACCAACACTACAGAGCAGGTTTGGAAGGAACCAGGTACTGCCCAAACTTCTGCGCATACTTTTTTTTGAAGAAACGCAGCAGCGAATGCTTTCTGCTTGTTTTCAAATTGTCTTATAAGGCCTCTGCGAAACAGCCCCCTGAACAAAAGTGAACACCATTGGAGGCACAAAGAACATTGACCCAGGATCTGAAGAAGCAAGATACGCGATGCTACTGCATATCAGGAAAACCGAGCACCTTAAGATCAAAAGCTCACCCATGGACGCCTTGGCGGCCTCCACGACCTCCTTGGCCTTGTCCTCATCCCCAATGATCTCTGTGAGCGACTCGACGGCGTCGTCCGACAACTGCGACTTGTCCTTGATGTACTTGGCCACCTTGGCGTACTGGTAGTTGTCGTTCACAATCTTCACCAGCTCAGGGAAGTGCCATGAGTACCACTCCCTGCAGCAAACATTGTACCTATTAGATTGGAGAAACCTTCGTCGTGAGTTGTCAATCTCTAGTCCATTGATTGCTTGTACATTGTGGGGTGTGGTATCTTCAGAGGAGCTATAGAACCTGGTGGGCGGCGAACCACATTTTCACAAACCAATGTGGTTATGACCATGGAACCCAATAGCTGTTTTGTTAGGTACACCTCCACCAGGAGCTTTTCAACGCTGCTGATACAGAACCCTTGAAACCAAACATTAAGCCTTTCGTTGCGTGTTCGAGAGTGACCGCGTAGTCCTCATGCTCCATTGCGGAAAGGAAAGCCAATATTTTAATCTCCAAATTGCCAGAATTGAGGCTGCAGCTCACCAAAAACAGCCGCAGCCAAGTGCCCTACTAAGTTATGAAAGAAATTAAGACCTTTTGAAAAGCCTACAGGGATGATAAAACAGCTTCACAGGAGCTCTGCCCTTTGGTGGTGCTCACCTGACTCGCATGACGAAGGTGTTGACGTCCTTGTCAAGCGTGTCCAGCAGGGAGATGCTCTGGATAATCATGTTGTCTACACGGTTTACGTTGAACTTGACCTTGGACCGCGAGTAACTGTGAGACAGCCCCAGCTGCGCCTTCTCAATGTCGCCCTCCTGTGATGGGAGTTGAAGTTAGCTACAATTTAAATGGCTAAAAACTCGCTCTAATTTGGCTTTCAAAAACATCCTTGCTTTGTTTTTTTCATATGTTCTTTCAGCGACCACTAGTAGCCTTCCCCAATGGGGCCCCTCAGATGCAAGAATGGCCACCCTAACCGGAATTCTGGTTGCAACTGACAGCAGAAGCTGCGGAGTGCACATTCTCAATAAAGTCCATTTCGTGATTTGGCATACTCAACCGCTTTATGACGCACTTACTCCAGACCTTGAACTTTCTTCCCAGCCATGTTGTCGTCCTTTCAATCTAAAGGGAGGACCGTACTTAAGGAACCAGACATGTACCGCTTGCCGGAATTGACGACAGACAGCGGCCCAAAAGAGCTGGCCTTACTCAACGAACACAAGTAAGCCCCTAACCTTGAGGTCCTTGACGAAGCGCTGAAAGTGCAGCCTAATCCCCCGGATGAACTCCAGCACAAACTCGTTGCTCTGCACCGGCACGCTAAGGGCCTCAAAAATGGACGACCCCAGCTTAGGCTCGCCCACGCCCAGGCTGAACTTGGCCTTCTTGCCAGGCTTCACCTTGGGCAGGTTCATCTCCAAAAAGTTTTGCAGGTCCGATGTCATGATGCCTGTTGCATTAAGGGTCCGGATCAGCAAACTGGCCTGGCAACAAACGCTGCCCGTTGCATTGGCTGATGGATATTTTCATGGTTGTCCTGAAGACAATCCTACGTAGAAACAAAGAACCTCCCAGTAGCATTTCTTGATCCAGAAACAATCGCATCTATGCACCACCACAGAATGCTTTCTTTCTTGCATTCAATGTAAAGACCTCCAGCACCACTTAAAGGCAGTCTGGCGGGCCACAATAACAATATAATCAACAGTGGTAACGGCCTGGTAATGGTCTTTCCCACCATCCTCTTTCACTGACTCCATGCAGAAAGACTTTCTACACTACTCCTTACCACAATGGCCTCTACTTATATAGGACCACGAAACCCCTAATTCCTTCTACACGGATGCAGATTGAATCTTTTGTTTGACTGCTTCCATCTGTGCTCGGGTATGCAGCGACTAAATTGTATACTGAAGTATCACAAATGCAATTCCTATCACACAATCCAGGCCTGTGCACCACACATTCTTTCAGTGCCACATTCACAGGCCTCCCAGTCTCACCTTCTGAGACAGCATTGATCTGCTCGAGAGCATCTGCCGCAGATGCAAAGGGCTTAAACGCCTCCAAGTGCACCACTTTGCTGAACCGCGTGAGCTCAGTCACCGAGTCCTGAACTGCAGCAGCATTCTGGCCAATCTCGTCCAGCGCAGTCACATTGAAGAGGGCGTAACCGGACGCTGATTCGTACAATATGAAGAGCGCCTGTATCAAACATTGAAGAGCGAAGATAAATATGAAGAGGAACGAGTGAGCAGCAACCATTACCAAGGAAAAGACAGCTTTCCTGAAGAGAAACAAAGAATCAAAACAACCTCCAGTTGAAGGCCTCACCACCCACATATGGGCACTCATTGCTGAAATGTTTCAGTTCCTCCTGTATTTGAATCTGCTTACGCTAACTTAAAACTTAGATTCGCGATCACCGCCACTACCAGCATTTGCTCCAACAAGTATTGTATTCCAAAATGCGGGAAAGTGCATTCAAGCTGTAGAAGTGGGCATCACAGACCAGAATAGCAAAGAGTAACCGTTAATCCTTCTGCAAAAGCAGCTTACCATGGTTACAGCTGCACCCCAGGAACTGGCCCCTCAACGGGGCAGCCTGTACGCTTCCGACTATCTAAACCAGGCAGCCCGCCAGGCTTATGGCTTGCCTGAAACCAACTATCTCTTGGCGTCAGCTGCCCCCTAGATTTGCCGCACTCTTTCTCTCTGTTGAAGTCGTTTGCAAGTGCTCTTCAAACTTCAGTTCCAAGACGCAAGAGCTGTTTCAACTTCAAGTTTCAAGGGCTGGATTTGCGGACTTCTTTTTTAGAGTGGATGGCGAAGGACATCGTCCAATACAAGGCCCTGCAGCTCCACCCTTCGACAAGGGAATACAATCAGCTATACTGGAGGCCCTGTTTTCAGATGAGCAAGTTCATTTTTTGAGGGATCACCTTGAACCTGAAACTTTTACACTGATCAACAGCGTACCTATGCAGCAAGGATTCCTCCGCTCTATGGAACCAAGTGGCAAGACAGAAGCTTGAAGCTGAAGTTGAAGGCGCTGCTACAGCCTCTGACGTACCAGAACTTTATTTTAGTCTGCAATTCTTGCCTGACACAGCCTCACGAGTCACAATGGCACATTCTGCCAGCAGCATGCTGGTATCACGTCAGTGTGCACACTTTGATCTTCCAGATTTGTCAGCAAGAAGGAGTTGGACAGAGCGGGGCCACTTACAGACCTCCACAGCAAGCCACATCAGCTATGCGTCTCCTTTGAATGGCAGCTCTTTTCCATGTGACAGGCGATCGAGAGCACGGCGCCCATCCAGAAACCATACCAAGGCTGTCATATGGTTAGGAGAGCCTAGCGTTACTAGACTAGGGCCGGTTACTAGTGGGTCATTCAAAGGCCGAAGGACAGCTGCAGATAGCTCTGACTCTAGAGCACCTATAGCTGAGTCTTCTTCTAGAATAATTGACAGAAGTGCACGTCAAGTGCAATGCCATGGCGTCCCTGTAAACTTCTCAGATGGGCCGCAGGCAACAGACACTGAAAGTGGGCCAAGCAGCACGGAACAGCTTGGCCCTGATGGGCGGCCAAAGAGGGTATACAAGGATACCCCCTTTGACCTGGCATTTATCCAAGTGTGCCGGCAGGCTTACGGAAAGCTGGCTCAGTGGCAGGTGCGGTGGTTAAGTTTCTCTAGCCCAGTCAAAAAGTTGGTTGACGCCGGAGGTGTGTGAAATGGTTGAGCAGATTGGACAGGTGCTTATTCTTCAGGATGGTTCTGTGGTTTTGCGGCTGTTTTTCCGAAAGGGATTGCTGAGACACTAGTGACACTGTCCGCCGCTTTATGTAAAGAGAAGGGCAAATCCCTGATCCTGATTTACTGAAGATACAGAGTCTCAGGCCAAGAATAACACCAACTATTGGCTCGTATGGTATCTTACGAAAGGCAACCAATCTTTCCGCATTTGTTGTGAGAGGCAAGTCTGCTTAATCAGTCTCATTATGGATCTGCAGGACATCTACATGCGCCAACAGAACATGTAGTTGCACTTACCAGAAGGACAGCTACCCTCACCAGAACCCAGTAGCTTCTATGAAAGTGCTGTCCTTTCTTCTGCAGTCCCCTCGTAGCTACGAGGATGGCTACCGCGGCATGGTCGACGTTTCGCTGGCCCTGATGCGCAGCCGGCCAAATGTAAAGGAACAGAGGGCAGCAATTCTACAGGGCTTTCCCAAGGTCCCCCAGTGGTTCCGGAAAGCGTTCCCGTACTCGAACTGGGGGGCGGAGCTGAACGCCAGGATCACGCCCGCGTTCTTCACATGGCTTGTCGGTCCAATGGAGGTAAGAATTTGTCTATGTCTACGCCCGACCAAGGTTTCTAAACTGGTTGCAAAAAATTGCTCCTGGGTCCCATGGGAGCGGCGGAGCTGAAAGCGAGATTGAACACGTGAACCTGTGGGGGTTGAATAGGCCCCATGTAGGAGGTTCGCCTTTGCATATGCGGACCTGTGCAGAGAGTTGTACAGCAGGTTTGAGGTGTTTGTAGAAGCTGGCCCAAAGATTGACTCGTTTGTCTTTGAGGAGACCTCGTCCATCTCATTAGAAGGTTCTGTCTAGCGAGTTCTTGAAAGCCAAGCCATGGGTTTGATGGCCTTTTGGGGATTTGCTTCTTGAAAGGATAAACGGGTTGGCATCTCTTTTAAAAATTGTGGATCTCTGTTGTAGAAGCTGACGGGTCTGAGGAAGACGTAGATAGCAGGCTGCGGGGTTCCAGCAGAGGCGGACTCTACCTTTGATACTTTGGAAAAGATGGACCGTGATTATGTCACCCCAGACTTTCGATGAGAAAACGAGTCGGCTTCAAGGAAGGGAACAGTTCGTTTGATAATGTGGTTCGCTTTGTCAAAGACCAGCTTCCGCAACCTGAGAGGTTTTTTCGAACGGGGCCACCTTTCACGTCTCTGCGAACCATCAAGTTACAGGTTGACTTGCGTGCATCATTCGAATCCAGATTGCACATTCTGCGGAGCACAGAATGACTTCAAAATCTCGATTTAATCACGTGCAGTTGAAGGCAGGGATGCAGATCGGACCATTTAAATCTTTATGAAAGCTCTCTGCCTCCAGAATGAAGCCAAACTTATACGAAGTATAGTAAGTGAGGCCTTTTGTTGACTTTGAGCCTTCCCCTTGCAACGTGCAATACTTCGAGATCAAGGAGCGGCGCGCAGGCCGACCGGCGTCTTTTGCAAACCTTCGTCAAAGCCGAAAAACCGAAACGAGCGGAGTGAGAAAGAAGGTTCATTTTAGATTCTCCTTTGCAAGCCTCTTCCCCTGCTTGTGCAGATCTTCGAGGTTGAGATCGACGGCGTGAAGCAGCGGAGCGGCGTGCAGATCGAGCGGTGCCGGTATTTGGAGGAGAGCGGCTGCACGGGCATGTGCGTTAACCTGTGCAAGTTCCCTACGCAGACCTTCTTCACTGAGGAGCTCGGGTGAGGCCCAAGTTTAGGAGAAGAATCGGCCGTTCTCGAATCGAGTTGGTACGACTCGTTTTGCCAAGCGGGGAGTTGCTTCCGTCTTCTCCAACCGCTTGAGCTTGAAGGAAACCCGTTGAGTTGCCAGTACTTCGAAGTTGCAGAAGATGGATTCCTTCCTGCAGCCTCTTTCATGTCGAAAACATGACGGAGGAGTTCAGGAGTCTGGGAAGAAGGGGGCTTTCGAGTCTCCGTTTTGTTACTTTTATGAAACGTGTTGAGATGAGCAGGTTGGCAGCGGCAAAATGGACCGTATCATGAGGACGGCCAGTCGTAAGAAGGACGAAGGGTCTTTCTGGTTATCGACGACTCCAAATGGGTCTGTATCGATGACTCGACTGCACTGAACCGTTGTTCTGCTGAATACTACCGGCCTTGCTGTCAGATGCTGGGACTCCAAGCATCCTCAATGTTAGTATCGTATGCCCCTTTTTGATCTCCAGCCAGACAACGTGTTTCGATCGGTTAGGCTTCTTACAAGCACACCAAAAGTTGCGGCATTACTCAAAATCGTCCACAAAACATGTGGCCTTACCAGACTCTCCATCTTGTCGCTCAACCATTTCATTCTCTTCGGTGCAGGATGCCGCTTTCCATGGAACCAAAATTTGAAGACCTGAGTTGCCAAATGATCTTTGGCAAGAAGCCACCAGATATTGAAGACGACGAAGTCATGAAACAGCCCTGCTTCGCTCTCTGTCCAACCGCAAATGTACAAGCTCCCGCCTGTCCTAAATTGCGGTGAGGGTTCTGTTAGTTCCCGGGAAAAGGAGAGCTCTGTCCACAAGCGGGGAGAAAGGCTATGAACCCTTTATTAGTGAGTTGCTTTCATGAATTGGAAGCTACCAGTAATGGTGCTTCAGAGGCAGAAAGGGTGGAAGGACCATTACGTAATATGCCGCCTTTCCAGGTGTTGGGTTAGTTGGATAAATCCAGGTACACGTATTGACTGCAAGCAGGCTCGATGGACCGGCAGCTTTCATTGCAGAACTGCCGGGAGTTGTATACTTCCTGAAACGTCCGGTCAGCAGATCGCAACTCGAAGTCGACAAGACAGAGGTTCTCGACAGTATGCAGTCGCGCATTACAATTGTCTGAGTCTGACCGTCAGGAGATCAAAATGCCTGTTTCAAGTTCGACCATGCACGTACTGTCACTTGTTGGCAAACTAACGGGCAGAATTATGGTCCAGTTCCATCATGCACAACAAACGTCTGCACGCCTACTAGGCCGCGCCGCAGTGCACACCAGGCAGCTAGACTAAAATATATAAGCGCGCGCGAAAGCGACACCACGGACGGAGCCATTCTGATATAGTATCTAGCCATGGGCCGTCAGGATCATCGTTGCACGTATCCAGCCTCCCATCACATATGCTTACGTGATAAAATTGCAGACTGTCCGCCAATCTTACGCCGCGCGCGGTCGTTATTAGTGTATAAGGGGACACTTATCGTTATATACAAGACAGAAGCTCCTGACTCGAATCATTCAATAATTCGGATCATTGAATCAGTGATTCTATCATAGAACTCTATCAAAGAATCAGTCATTCTATTCAATTGATAGCTCATGCAGGTTGCTGTATGCATGAACGTCCTGCTACGTACCTAGATACTGCATATCCTAGCAACCGTCTGCACAACATGGCACACTGACAATCACTTGGTTGCGGAGCTGCTTATATGAGCGACGAGCATGTAAGATCATTCTCATGACCTGCAGTCCAGTTCAAGAAGAGAGTCCACAGGATGACCACCGTCGCCTATCATACGGGGCAAGACGTACTGCGGTCACCCATCAGTCCACATCACTTCTGAAGTCTTCTCGAAATCTTGTCATCGAACAGGGCAATAGCATGTAAGAACATACACACTCTCAAACCTTCTTCCTCTGTTATCCTAGATCTCAAAGAAGTTCTAATGACAAAATCCCACAGACTCAAGGACACACACAGGGCTGTAGTACAGTTTCACCAACCAATCTTCTTATCTTCTACTCTATCGTACATCTGAACCTTCGGTTTTCACCCGTTATATCTATTTCTGAACGAAACTTGGACGCCACAACATTTACAGACTCCTACCTTATCGTACAAAGCGCGCGCTTATATAATCAATCTGCCCATCCTCTCGGGTTCCCAATTTCGTCTTTGCCAGCATCGTCCTTGAGTTTCTCCGCATCAACCTTGATGTGGTCCACCTCAGCTTGCTTCTTGTTAGTAAAGTTTTCCCTCAGCTTCTCCAACTCCTTCTTCTTTTCTTCCTCAGACAATTGGTCCCAGTTTGCAGGGGCAGCCTTTCCATGATACTGCAAAAGAAGAAGTAGCTAAAACGCTTGTCTTCCTGGAGTGCTGTCTTAGCTCGGCCGTTGGCTAACACCGCGACAAAGAAGTGTACACAGGTCCCACAAACAATTGTGAAGAATTTTTGAGCCCGCTAACAACAGGCGCCTCATGTATACTCATATGAGAGAAAAAACCCACTTTGGAGTCACTGGCTCCACTTCTGATGGCAAGAGATGGCAATTCTTAGTTTTGGCACATGGAGTCAATTGCAAGCAGCTAGTCTTTTCCTGTCACTTCGCAGGTTTCTTCTCCTGCTCTTGCAAATGATGGAAATGGAAAACCTTCATCATCGCAAATGGGGAGGCATTGAAAGCAATCTGCAGGTAAGTCAGGCTATTCTCTCTTCAAGAAATCCTCAAATGCCAGCATTTCCGCTGCTCAAGTATTATCCATTCTTTCATTATTGTGGACCTGTCAAGGAGACCACACCTGGAGATGCGCGTGCTGATATTCTCCTGTCTTGTTTCCTTCCAGGTTGTGCTCCTCCATCTTCTGTCCAGTGCCACAAGCAGCCATGTTGGTTGCAACCTGCAGGTTTCGGAGCTCGCCCTTCTTATCAAAAGTAGCCCCGCTGCAGCAATTGTAGTTCCTCTTTTGTAGTCCTGATCTAATGGCAATGCAAATGGTACTTTCAAAAAGCTCGAATTGCATGTCTCAGACTTCGAATCTGCTTCACTTGTAAGTTTGCTCTGGCATTGCAGCTTCTCAGGGCACATGTTGCATTGGCAGAACAAATTGACCTGTTTTAAACATCCATAGCAGCCCAGCTATCCTATCAGGCCAAATTTCACAAAAACGACTTAGATTTCTGTTGATTGTAAAAGCCTTGTTCTAAACTCGCTGGGGTCTGAAGGATGAAGAAACCGGCGCGGACTGAACCCATTCCACCATTTCATGCCGTACTCTGGACATATTCCACCGACACGAATTCCTTGATTTCCTTGATTTCAGGTTGTTATTTACGGAAAAGGGACTCAGCCCTGCGCCAGCTCCTCATTCTTGGATATGCAGGCACAGGTGTGGCGCCTGGATTCTCCAGACTTCCTGTCAGTGTTGGGGAGAAGATAAAAGTCCTCAACGGACCCATGTACCGTATGTTCTGACCTGATAAAAATAGAGATTCAGCGAGAACACAGCGGCCAGTTTCTGAGCAGCAGAACCGCACTCCAGACATGGCGGCCAAACAGGGGCCCGCCCCGCAGACTTTACAGAACCACTTCTTCTGCCAAATGTGTCGCAGCCCGCTGGAGATCACTGGGGCCGAGGTCCTCGAACGTGGCTCCAGCAGTGAACAAAGAGGAGCAGGTAAGTTGCAGTGTATCAACAATTGAGGGTCCACTCAAGTGCGACTTAGAGCTCCTTCACTTTGTCTGCCTGCCTTTTAATCTCTTGAATGTCAAATTGCATGTATAAAAGCTTCTCAATATCGAAACTGTCACGATTGACGAGCAGAAGGAGTACTGTGTCTCCCTTTACATTCTTTGAAAAGAGGATGAGGGTCAGCTGAGCTTTTGTTGCAATGACAAGTTAGGGCCAGCTTGAACGGGCATTCTAAACCATGAAGCAGCAATCAAGCTGCAAATACTATCCCCAAGGATACTGACTGCATTGCCCTTTTCCTCTATTTAGAAACCTATGCCTGTGATAATCATTGACTGGGAATCGAATCTACAAGCACCGAATTTTGCGCTCAAGTTTTCCCTTTTCAACTTTGCAGGCCCGCAGGCCTCTGTTCTTGGCAGCGTCATGGCCTCCCGCCTCCCCCTAGACCAGTCCTTTGTAGTCCTCCCAAAGCAAAGAGGAGTCAACCCCACCTCCCAACCCCCCAAACCCCCTTTCCCCCCCTACCCCGGTGCTCGGCCCCCAGCCTCTAATCCCCCGAGCGCCCCCCCAGGAGCAGAACGGGGGGGCCGGGGCATCAGCGAGTCATTTGTGGTGCTTCCTGGGGCGGCCGCATCGATGTATCAAAACGAAATTGGAGGGGAGCATTCGTCAGGGGGGGAGCCTGGGGGGGTGGCGAGTATCAGCTCATACAGTGCGGGGATGGATGCAAAGATTACGGCGCTTACCCGTGTGTTTGAGATTGCGTCGCAGCAGACACAGGTGAGCATTTGAATGGCTATTGGCATCCTGTGGCCCTGCCTGCGTCCTACTAATTCGGAACTTTGAGAAGGCCTTAAGAAATCCGGGTGCTGTGCCTCGAGTCACAAGACAGCTTTCACTCTTTTCGTTTGAATTCAGGAGCTCATCACACTTCATGCGTGCTGCACCTCCGTCTCTCTTTTCTGGCCGTAAGGACTGGCCATTTTAGAAAGAAGGCCCTGGAAAAGAAGTCTTTACTTGTGTTTCAAGCCGCCTAAAGAGACAGTCTCTTTCCGTGTTTCCACCTTTTCTTTTCTCTGCAAGGACAAACAAACGCTCCCTTCTGGTTTCTCGGTTCCTTTCAAGGTTCTCGTCCTTTTTCCATTGCACCCTTTATGTCACGTTTTCTTTCTATCTCCGCATGTTGACCAGCCGCTGGGGCGGAGAGCTTTTGAAAGCCAGAAGCATATCGTCCACACTCTACAATGTTGTCAGTTCCTATTCTTAATACCTTTTCTAGTAACTCAACTTTTGTTTCTATCCCCTACACAGGTCGAGCAGCCGCTGTGCGTGGAGTGTGTCCGGTGCCTTTGCGAGGAACTAGACGCGGAGACGGCAGAGGCGGAGCGCGAGGCAGCCGCGTACGAGGCGTGCCTATCGCGCCTGGCCGGAGAGCCGGAGGAGGCGCTCTCGGAAGACGAGTTCCAAAAGGAGGTCAAGAGGGTGAGCTGCAGTATCTTGTTAGTGTTTCGTTCTTCTTGATATCTTGTTATCATCTTGTGACGTCTTGTTATCGTCTCTTAGAATTATTCAGGATGTTGCATTTGGCAGTAAGGGCGTGGCTCATGGTGTCAATTTTCTTTATGTTTTTGGGTTCTCGATCGGAGAGAGTCAAGGCAAGAAACAACGATGGTTCGCATCTGGACGAATTAAGGGCTGATACGTATGGTTGGAAGAAAAAGCAGGGTCAGAGGACCAAGTCAACGCTTTCTTGAGAGAACGACACGTCCCTGATGATCGCGGATTCCCGTTACTTCCACAAGCACTGGACTTCATTGCAATGGTTCCAAGTCGATAATGTCCAGGAAGTACGACTCACGAACATGAAAGTGGACGGGTCTGGTCACATCTCGTACCTTATTCTTCTTACTCCTTTCCTCTGCGTGCAATGCGTATTCACGTGGGTGGGCTCTGAAAACCGAATATGCGGTCCTTCAAACACGTGAAAACAACTAGAGTGATCCGCTTTGCTGCAGGCGAATGAGGAGGAGCGGCAGTTGCAAACCCAGCTGGCGCGGTTGCAGGAGCAGTGGCAATAAAAAAACAATATAAGCCTAGGTAAATCAGTACAATATGCAGTAAAAACCACGTGCGAAGAAACTGATCCGCAATTTTGCAGGCGAATGAGGAGGAGCGGCAATTGCAAACCCAGCTGGCGCGGTTGCAGGAGCAGCGGCGGGGGACGATGGCCCAGCTGAGGGACCTGGAAAGCAAGACCAAGGAGCTGGACAACCTGGAAGAGCGGTATGTACCTCCGTTGTTTATCTTCAAGTGTCGTGATGAGAAGTTACCAAAGGAAGACCAAAGGAACGGTACTCATTGTGCATACGATTAAGCGTTATGTCAAGGGCGTGCATGGGGCCTGACAATTTTACACATACGGTGAGATGGGCCAGGTGTTTGGATGGGCAAGCTGCCGGCGGCTGTGATTAAGCCAGGCAGCCAACAGTGCAAAAGTTAATGAAAAACCTGCTCAAGTTTTCTTTAATATTGTAGTGAACATTTGAAAACTATTCGGGCTACGCTGTCCCGTTCCCGATTCACTCCCAACTCCAGACCACTCGAAAGTCCCGATAACCAATACATGGTCCCAAACGGACGGACCCTAACGACAAGTCCCCAGTTGCTTCATCCGCAGTGTCCCTTTCCGGTCAAATGTTTGCTGGCCGCTTTGTCATGATCATGCGCCTCTGTTAGATGCCAAAGCTCAAAGCAACAATTAAGACCCAACCATAACCGCTTGTCTCTTGCCTTCTACTTTACAATAGCCTCTTTCTTATGCTCGACGGCGTCCTTTGCAGGTACTGGCATGACTTCAACGACTTCAAGCTCCAACTGGCGGCTCATCAGGTAAGGCTCACCAACTGACCGATTGGACGCCTTACCGTCTAAACCATAACGTCGGCGCATAGATAAGTTCCATCTTCAATTTTTCAAAAGCCACTCGACATTTATCTTTCGCAGTGAAAGACTTTCGCCGATTGGATGGACGGAAACAGGTCCGACGTTGTTCGCTTTTCCTATTCTAAGATAGCAGCTAGTCAGTCTTTAATTGTCCGGCTCCATGGAACCCAGGAGCGTCGTAAAAGAGATGCAAGACCTGCCGTCGAGGCTGACGTCACAGGCACATCTTCCTCAAAGGCGCACTGTCAAATCGACGCTCCCTGTGACGTCATTTTCGTGCCCCTGACAGACGATTGGGTCCATTTCAGCACAAGTTTTTGCGGCTCACGTCATCATTTGAAGGATAAGTAGGACGCGGAGGGTTGCAGCTTGATCTGGCCGCTGTGCATCTAAAGCTGCTGAATAGCGCCTTCAAATTACTTACTGCTTGCCCACCTGCTGCCTGCTGACGTAAGCAACCCCTTCGCAGCACGAGCGAGAAGCAATGTGCTACAGCCGCGCGGCCGAAGCTCGGATTGCCCGTTGACGTCAGCAGCTTATGGCCCTTCCCCTGCTGACATTATTAGCCCTCCCCTGTGCAGAACGAGCGGGATGCGGTGTGCGCGCAGATCGACGCGGCGGCCGCGCAGCTGGAGCTGCTGAAGCGGACCAACGTGCTGACGGACGCGTTCCCCATCTGGCACGACGGCGAGTTCGGGACCATCAACAACTTCCGCCTGGGCCGACTGCCCAACGTGCCGGTGCGCAAGTTTTTTTGTTGCTTGAAGCGATTTTTCCGAATTAGAGTAGATTCGTTACTGCTCATTCTCATCTCTTGAACTCGATTGATTGGACCATCAACAACTTCCGGCTGGGCCGCCTGCCCAACGTGCCGGTGCGCACTCTCGTCATTGCTGCCTTCTGAAACGCTTTTTGAATGAAACAATTTGCCGTTTCTGCTTGCTCTTTTCTTCCTTCCGTCGCTCTTCCAATTCGCTGCGCACGCCGATGTGCGGGTGCGCGGATTGTTGTTATGTACGTTCGTTTTGCTTCTGTTATGTCGGGAACTTTCTGGAGGGCGCCCGAAAGCCGTGTTTGTGCTTATGATATCCATGCGAGATCCCCCTAGCATCAAAATTTTGGTTTCCGTGTGTCGGGGTGGAGTTGGAAGAATGTAAGAGGTGTGGACTCAGCCATGCCTCTGAATGTAGAACACATGTTTTTTCCTCAGCCGAGCAAGTCCAACGAACTCTTAACATTCGCCGTTAAACCCCATATTCCTTTTTTTCCAGGTGGAGTGGGACGAGATCAACGCGGCGTGGGGCCAGTCGTGCCTGCTGCTGCACACAATGGCCCAGACGTGCAAGCTCAACTTCAGCGTCCGCATCATCCCGCTCGGCAGCTACCCCAAGATCGCGGACGCCAAAAACGTCTACGAGCTGTGAGCGATCGACTGCTCCTTGAGCTTCTGGGAAAGAAGTTGGAATACATCACATGTTGTTAATGTGAGCGCCCGCATTGGAGGTTTATCTTGGCTGTGAATTTGCAAAGGTTATAACAAGTAACATTTCAACATTCGCAATGACCGAGGGCAGTCCAACCACAACCCGCTCTTGGAAAAGTTGTAAATAACACCCAAATCCAGGTGTACTCTGTTTCCAACTGGCGTCTTGCTTGGAAGGAGCTTCAATCTTACCGTACCCGGATGGTGCACAATTGATGTCAAGAATCATTGGCTGCCACGTGGCACGCATGCAGGTACGGCCCCGTGAACTTGTTTTGGAGTACTCGTTACGACAAGGCGATGGTGCTGTTCCTTGCGTGCCTCAAGGAGTTCGCCGACTTCGCCAACGCACGCGACCGTTCGAACGACGTGCCTGTTGATAAGGCCTTCACGCTGCCCTACAAGTGAGACTGCGCACGGCTTCTCACCAGAAGGCCTTGTTTTGGAGGCCATTGTACAGACCTGAGTCTTGTCAGTGCTAGATATGTTGGAAGCTGTGGTTGAGTCTAGACTTGTTCAAATATGGAAATTCCGTTTCATTGTCCCCCAAAGAATGGTGCGGGTATCGTATTGAATTTCTCTTTCTTCGAAATCCACTAAGTGTCAGTATAGACTGCGCCAAACCAAAGCCGTCTTTGATTGCCGTTGATATTGGTTCCGACGACATCGTCTGGTTGCTAACCAGGGTGGACATTGCCAAGGGGCGGGAGTTTCCTCCGCTTTGTTCGATGCTTCCTCCTTCCGCTTTCGTATTCGTTTACTGATGCTGCCCTGTCCTGCCAGAATCGGTCGATTTAAAAGATTGAGCCTAAGGACAGCGGTGCTGTTCGAAGTCACCCTTCGCAGAAGTTCGACCCATTAGCTACAGCCCACCAAGAATTTAATGGCGACCCAGCTCTACTCTGGGACCCTCTAAATAGTGGAAGCTCCCTTCGGCACGCCTAGAGCATCAAAGTACGTGAACTGGAAGCATCTTCCAACCTGATAACGAGTTCCCGCATTGCTTTCCGCAGAATCGAAGGGGACAAAGTGGGCGGCCTAACCATCAAGCAGAGCTTCAATCCAAACGAAAAGTGGACCAAGGCCCTACACCTGACGCTGTGCAACCTCAAGTGGGCGTTAACCTGGTTGGTTAACCAGGATAACGGGCTGCCAAACCCGCTCATGGACCTCCTTGAAACGCCGGCTTCAGCGTCGGAGATGGCTCGTTCGGAATCAGCTGGAAACGTTTGAGCGGCTGGTACTTACCAAAGGGACTGTAAGTATTGTACAGATACCGTCGTCCGGTCTGGCAAAGACCCCTCCATGGCGCGCACGGGTCCTCCGTGAAGGTTATTGTTGCGCATCACGCCAATTCCAGTCACTTGACTTGTGTGCTGGGCATGATGCGGAACGAGACTTTCGTTTGGGGGATTGTTCAACCGAATGTGGGGCAAGCATCGGGCGTGGTGCTATATGCATACATACATGCATTGGGCATCACGGATCGAGACCGTGACAAGAATGAGATTGGATGTCATTTATTCATGTAGTGCTATAAGACAAACTTAACATAAACTGAGAGGCCTAGCTTGCCAAATTCCGTGCATTCAATATAGGCGGCTTGACAAGACGCGCTCGAGTATAAGAGCTAGACCGTACATGACAGCAAGGTCGGATGCAGCCACCGTGACGCGTGTGCTGCTAATTAGGCTCATCATTGAGGATCCGGGATGCATATGTGTGGCCCCGAGGCTTTACTTCTTGCATCATGCATTGCCGCAGTGCCATCATCATAATTACGTCCTAACGTACCATGATCATATATAATAATTTAAAACTAGCTAAACGTAAAAATCGACGACATGATATTTCGGAATGGCTCCATGGTCAAATCAATTGTTTTGCAGATGTGCCCGCTGATGCATTCCATCCAGAATCGATCCAAGATCCCACGGTCGGACCGCATGTCGTGTGGCATGCCGGGCAGGCGGGGCCACGATCAGACCGTACTGCCCGACCTCTGCCAACTGGATGCCATAAGAAACCTATGCGGCGCACGGAAGATGCATGCTGGTGAAGCAGAATAAACGGAAAGCCTGGCCTCATGTGCATCGATTTCACACCGGGGCCTTGACTGTCAACAATGCATAACAGATTAACAATTCGGCGACATCTCCCTCGTTTCTCCAAACTCCTCCCTAAGGAATCTGTGCAACGCTTTGCTCCCACTCATCCGCTTTCCCAACTGCGACTCCAACCGCCTCTTCTCATCTTCTAACATCTTCCGTCCCTCACTCCAAACCTCTCGATAGCCCCGCCTGAAGCGTTTCGCCTCCGCGAAATACAGCGGCCCTTCCGAACGCTTTGGAAGATCATTCGTAGCCCGCCAAATGGTTACACCAGAGCCGCGCTTAGTCGTCTCTAGATCCGTTTCTTCCAACGCCGTCGTTGACCGAACGATCGACTCGTCTCTTCCGTTTTCTCGCAAAGGTCGTCTGGCCTCTTTTCCCGTCTCCCTCCAGTTTTCTGCCTCTTGCAAACTGCCACCTCTTTCGGCGGCCCTTAGAGAAGAGGCGCTTGGCTCTTCCCCCAAACTCGCTTTGCCATCCGCTGGTGCACATACAGCCGCATCCGACTCGTCCGCATTCCCAGCATAATGATTGCTGACGTCACGCACTGACAAAGACACGCTTTTCATACCGAGCATACTCGAGGATGATTCCGTTTCCCGCTCTGGCCTCGCCTCGGCCCCAAAATCCTCAGCCTCCCAGTCTTTCGGCCCCCTCGCCGTCTCAACTATCAGGCTCGTTCCGTCCGCCTCTCCAGCCTGTGACGGAGCCCTGACGTCACTCCCCAACTCCCGCGACGGACTCTTGTCTGCACCTCCCGAGGCCTCGGCTTCTCGTCGTTCCCCTCGAGCAGTCTCGCCAGTAAGATCTCTCTCTTCCGCTGCTGCTCTACGCTCGGGCAAGGCCCCCGAGCACTGCTCCCCCGTTGCTGCAATCTCCCCCAACGCATCCGGCCCATCGTCAACCGCGTGCGACGCCCCTTTCTTCCCCCTCGTTTCTGCGGCGCCCCGAGACTCCCCCCTGGTTACAGAGGCTGCTTCTACTTCAATCGCCCTAAACGGATTGTCAGTTTCGGCAGTGACCCTTTCGGACTCCGCTTCCCCACCAGCCAGAACAACTTCGGATGCACTCCGTACGTCCGCATAATTAGTCCGGGCCTCACTCTCCGGCTCCCTCTCCAGCTGACTTGCACCAATAACCTCTTCCGTTCCCCGGACTCTTTCGACCTGGGCTTCCTCCAAAACTAGAGAGCTTTCCCGAAGTGCCACCCTTTGCTCGCTTTCTAAAACAGGCGCCAGCAGGGCCTTTCGGGGCTTCCTAAGGCCCTGTTTGGGTGCGGCGCGGACAGCATGGCTGGGCCGAAGAGGGGACACAAGACGCTGGCCCCGTCGAGCAAGGCCCTTCCTTGCGGATGTGGCGGCCTTTCTTGCGTACTTGGCGCCTTGGACAGTGTACGAGCACGATGCCTCCTCGAGTAGAGTCACCTGTGCGGGTGCGGAGAGTAGCATTGGATGCAGTGCCTCGATGTGGTCAGAAGGGGGGACGAGAAGGAGGAATATCAGTTTACGAAAAAGAAACGTCCAATAGATGGAAGATCATTCTGCAGAAGGAACCACGGAAGGACGATTGCCAGGCGGAACGGCGTCCCAACTGGGTTGACCAAAACTTGGTATAAGCAAAGGAAAACTCCGAAAGACGGCTTTCGTTAAGCTATGGAAGACCAACAAGTTTCCCTCAAAAAGATGGTTCAGGAAAAGTTGCCGAAGAACAATAAGTTTCCCTCGACGGGGCATGATTGCAAAGAGAAACCCGTTAAAGTTTGGCCCAGCTCCTACATAGATATTTTCACATTCACCAAATAGAGACTCTGTTGCTATCGAGTACACAATGAGCCGCAAACCATGGACGCAACTCCTGCAAAACAATCATGGTGTGGTACATGACTTGTATATACGCCCTTTGTAATTGAACACGGTAGAAGAACACGGTAGAAGGGACTTGGATTGTCAGATTTATGCTAGGAGCCGCCTCGACTTTCAAAGCTCTGTGTCCTCGAGAGACCCTGTTTCGTTGTAACGGACGTCCGAGACAGCCCCTTCGTATCTTGTGTTCTTTACAAAAACATGGCCCGAACACTGCCAACTGAACCCACTGAACGTCGTCATTTGCGAAGCGAAGCCTCAGAACCGCAGAAAGTCTTTGAACAAACCAAAGACCATTAATCTACAGATCAAAACAGAAGATATCCCCACACATCAGAACAACGGCCAGACGCCTGATTGCAATCTTCAAGCACCAAGTACATTAGAACTACTAGCCAAGCGTGGCACCAAATTGCGGCCAACCTCCGAGGATCGAAACCTAAATCAGTTGTCGAAGTAGAAGATTAGTGAAGAGTGAGCGGACACACCATGGCCACCGAGAGCTGGAACGATGCCGCCAAAATTGGGAGTAGTGCGAATCTGCCCCGCCCTTCGCAGGTAGCGAGCTCAGCAGGGTCGAAGAACGTATCGTACCTGCCAGAGTCACAAGGTCTGATAAGTACACCAGCTAAAACCTTAAGCTCTGCTGTGGAACCCACCTAAACGATTGAGCAACGTTCAGGCATACTTGTGGGGCACTTGCCGAAGCCCTGCTGGAGGGTTGGGGCTGATTGACTGAATAGTAGGATGGGTGAATTTCAAAGCGTGACTAGCGAAAGTTCTGGGCGAGTGCAATCGGATTGTAGCCGGTTTCTGCCAATAGGACCACCGTTCAGCTCAACAAACGCTCAGACTTGTCCTAGATCTGTATGCAACACAGGCTTGACGCCTTGGGAAGTGCACGACATAAATCTTCAAACCTAGCAGAGCAAAGACCAAAGCACTTATCATGAGATCATGATCATGCAGCCTCCGATCTAATTTCCTGTCAAAGGCGTATGCTGCGACGTATGGACTTCAAGATGCAAATGGAATTAGTTGGGCTATATGCTCAGAAAAAAGTAATTCTTCCAAGCTAACTCCGAGCCTTCGGAGGTTTTCTAAGAACGTGTGTGTAAATGCTGATAAGTTACTTGTCGAACCAGATAAGAATTATACCTGCCGTTTGCCAGTGTGGCAATTGCTGCAATAAAGCGTCTCTTTAGAGGTTGGAGATGAGATTTGAAATGGACAACAGAACCGGTTCAAGCAAAACTTCTCCCTCTCCCCCACCCACTTCTAACCAAATACCCGTCATTCTTCTTCTACTGTCCACCAACATGGGTTATTAAATCAGGTCCTTGCCGAAGGTCCAAATGGGTATCATGGGCAACTTACGTCCACCCGTAGCGTGCATCAAACTGCAGCTCCTTGTGACATGGCCGCTGAGGAGGCGTCGAAACCGGAGGCCGTTCAAAGGCCTCCGGAAGGGTTGTCGTAAGCTCCATCGAAGCTTCACTGCAAATTAAGGCATGCATTGGGACATTAATCTCAGTGCAGCACAAACGTCTGGTTTCAGCAAGATCCAACCTTTTTGACTTGTGGCTGGGCCTGGGATATGCCAAAGGAGCATACATTCACGAGAAGGTTTGCTGGGTAAGGAGACCAGAACGTAATGCTGCAGTAACCAAGCAAGAATGAGTGGCATCTTTGCAAGATGACAAGGCCAGAAGTTTGGTCCTTCATTGCAGACTTCCTGACCAGCATGGCCTTTGGAGCTGCAGCGCTTTTCACGGTTCCTGAGATGGTAATGGTAATGCTGAATCCAATTCCAATACTTTACCTTATTTGCCCTCAGCAGAACGAAGAGAATCGACTTCCAGTAATTGCCAAATGCAGCAGAGTTGCAAATCTTATCTGGGCCCACTTGGTCCTTCCAAAAAACCTCCTGGACTCCAGATAAAGCCTCACCTCTTGAGGTTCAATCTACCCGGTCACCCCACAAGTATTGCTGCAAAAGCAGCTGACGAGCAGACGAGATAAAGGTTTGCCCAGCCAGAGGAAACCGACTGCGGCCTCAACAACAAACGTTTCAGACAGTCGCCATTGTGGACCAGGAATGATTGCACTTTGAACAGCCTTCTGACTGATCAATTGTGCGCGATCCGGCGCGCAATACTGGTCTGATGCGTGACCACTAGCTGACCAGAGAGAGATGGACTTCGGAACACCAGGAAACACCATGAACCCTATCCGAATCATGAGTTCACTTGCATCGGAACCACACATCTCACGCCAGCTGGCGGACGCTGCAACAGCTCAGCCGCACGTTGCTCGGTGGAGTCGACCCGGTGCTCTGTGGGACTTCGTGCTGCCAACCGGCCTGTCTGTGTCAGCTATCTGGTCGGAACTTTCTTCCGGCCTCTTTTACTGCAAACCAGTCACTTAACCGACACTTTTTCTCCCATTTCCGACTATGAAGTAGTCAGGTAGAAGTACGTATCCCTTTACCGGGGAAGAAGGTTACGTTGACCCAAAAATTATGCCCGGTGAATATGTTTTATAACTGGACATTAAACCCGGGGGATGCTTTCAACTCGATGTTGTGCAACCGGGCAGTGCATAGATCTGGTTTGTCTTTGCTGCTGCAGAAGCTCTCGCAGAGGAGATCCGAGATCGCAGCCACCAGCTGAAGAGTGGTCGTCACTTTCTCTGCAAAAGTTTCTCTTTCGGCACACCTACGACACGCGCCTTCAAGCATTCTCTCCGCACCTCCTTCACGCTCCTCGCCTCTCTTCAGCCTCCTCAGATAGCAATGGCGTCCGCTGCCGTCGCTCTCAAGTCTGCCTGCGCCCCTGCGGCCTTCTCCTGCAGGGCGTCTGTTGAGACCTCTGTCAGCAAGGTCACCCTTAAGGCGCCCGTGTCTCTGAGGAGGACAAGTGTGTCCAAGACCTTCGGAGTTGCTCAGGCTCTTAGCAAGACCACCATGTTCAAGGTTACTTTGAAGACCCCTGAGGGTGAGCCATTGCCTCTCATTTGTCGGTTGTGCTTGCATTCTGTGCGCCGCTTGTTGCTACTGAAGCCGTGCAAGAGTGTCCAGATACACTTCCAATCTCTGTTTAATGAATGTGAAAGATAAGAGTGTTGTTGCAAGCGACTGAGGCTTTGTAAGCCCTTAACCAGTAAGACAATGGGTTACCTTGAAGCGAAGGGCTTTTCCAGAAGTTGCATGCACTTTGGAAAGTGCTATAGTAGGTTGGATATTTGCACAGTTGCCACTGGGTAGAATAAGTTTGTAACAAGAATGTCGCTCTAATTATCCTGCAAGACGATCGAACTGTCACAAGCTCTGAACAAGTCCAGAAGCATCAGTAAAGCAAGCAGGAGGCATGGACTTGGACCTCTTTAATGAATGCCAGAACCCAAAAACCTGCACATCTGGTTTACCTACTTGCATTTGGCACATGGCGTGCTTTTCATTGTTCAGAAGGATCGGTTTTGGGGGGTCCACTGTGAGAAACAGGTTAGAAGTCTGCTAGAAGTTTTGTAGTTTATTCTGGCAATGGTTGGCAGTACTTGAGCTTGGCAACCAAGAAAATTCAGCAGAGCAGCATATCGCATTGGTGAAGCTGGTGCATCGCGGAGCTTTTTACCTTGCTGATCCATTGAAGAAAGCAGTTATTTACCCAATGCCTCCGAAAAGACTCATCGTATGGTCTAAAACGATCAGATTCTGAAATCATTCATATATCGAGGTTAGGTTTATGGCATATGGCAGGGAGTTGCTCCATTTGAGCATTTTTAAGGAGTAATAGATGCTCATTCGTAAGATGCTGAAAGTAGAAGAGGTTGGAAGACTACACTTTCCTGCAGTTGCCTAGATCTGACTATGGGCAATAGATCCCCAATGTTGCAGAATGCAACCCTTCCAACACATCCTACCAGCCAGTGACGGCGAGGTGAACATGAAGTCGCCTGCAGTATCTCAGCTTTCCGTCAACTGTCGTTCCTTTGAGTTTAGACTGAGACGCAACACATCACCTGTCAAGTAGTCAAGCACATCGTACTCACTCAAATGGCATCCTGTGCTTTGCTACAGGTGAACAAACCCTCGACATTGCTGATGATGTGATCATCCTCGACGCCGCTGAGGAGGCCGGAATCGACCTGCCCTACTCATGCAGGGCTGGCGCTTGCTCATCTTGCGCTGGCAAGGTTGAGAGCGGCACCGTTGACTTGGGGGACCAGTCTTTCTTGGATGACGACCAGGTTTCCGCTGGATACATCCTCACATGCACTGCCTACCCCACGTGAGTCTCCGCGATCTAAACCGTCTCCTATCTTGCTAGGGTTAGCTTTAAGGGATGGTTACCATTGGTTTGGAGGTAGCACTTGCTCGCTGGTGCTAGTTGTGAAATGCCAATCCATGCAGATTGAGCATTTGTTAAAGGGAAGTCTTGGTTGCGTTGTGGCGAGTGCTACGTTTTATTTCTAGAATGAATTCCACAGGATAACCTCGTTGCCTGCTGAGCAGCATTCTAGGTGCACCTGGGTCCTTCTGTCAATGAGAGCAAGGCTAATGGACTCTGACGTGCCTTTGCAGGTCTGACTGCACCATCTTGACCCACCAAGAGGAGGAGTTGTTCTAAGTTGATTCTTGTACACACACTGCTTTGCGACCTGATTTTTTGGAGAGCTCATAGTTTCTGGGGGCATTGTGAGAGCAGGGATCGGACAATCAAGCAATGTTGTACTTATATGGATGATCTTGTAGAACACTCCACGTGTCCCCTTCAAACTAGGCCCTTGCCCGCTTGCCGGTCCTGATCGAGCCTTATGAGCTTAGCTTGGCCTGCAGTTTCTAGCGAATGCGTTGCCTCTCAAATCTCTCAAACTTGGTGCTGTCCCATGCGTCGCTGTGCTTTACTTCCAACCAAAATACAATCGATCACTGCTCGTACAAGCAGCTATGCTGTTGATTGATGAGGGTTATAGTACATTCATCATAGAACACAATGCACAGCGTTTGTACGGTGATGGTCTCTTTTCGCACCCCGTAGCCAGGGCGGCCATAGGCTTCTCATCGCATACAATGGTTGTGACTGTTCTGTGTGGTGCCTGTGCTTCTACAGTATCCAAAACCAGCCATCAAGGCCTCAACTCGCTATGCAATCAATATGAAGCCTTCATTGTAAGACGAATGCATCCCACTGCATCTTCCCATCAATGTCCCACAAGCACAGCACAAAGTTGGAGGGCGCTCTCGCATGTGATCTAGGTATATCCCGCACGGAATGTCAGTAGCTTAGCTAGCATGGCTGAGTATGCATAGTTATAACAGAGCCTGTAGACGCGCGCTGATTGTGAAATTGCATGCAATGGAATTTTATACATGCATTCACGATCGTAAGTTAATCAGAGTTATAGTATCACATCAGTCATATCCTGGAAGACAAGCCGGATTGTACGTCCATAAAATACAGGATATATTTTGTGAATTCAACTGATCGTCAACAGGGAACTGATGCCACGCAGACTAGCCCGTATTTGTTACATGCATGAGATGAGTGTGACTTGGAATGGACGTCAACTTTCGAATCAATGTACATGACAATGTTCCCGTCAGTGTCGCCAGCTGTCAAATAGAGTTCTTTGGACTATAAAGGAGCTTGCGTTCTTGTGCCCTCCGCCGCTATAAACCTGCAGACTCACATCCTTTGTTGAACAGACATTGGCGATCAGAGGGGCCTCACAGAGCAATGAATCTTGACTACTGACCAAGCCCAGATCCCTTGCTGGCAGATAGCTCCATGGGCAAAACAAGAACTCAATTGTCCTTGATTAGAGAAAGCTATAGAAACGTTTTGCCGAGAGCATCAAAGAGGGAGCCCTATGACTCAAACCACTTTGACGACCAGGAAGCAGGAAGGGCCAGTCTCGGGGTCGCTTGCTTGCCACAATCTAGAAGTTGAGGCTACGTAAGTCCCATGACGCACCCTTGCAAAAGGTCAGAATGTACTGAGCTCAACCTCCGCTTCAGATGACCGAAACTTTGAGGTGCTTACCTGCGATATGACCGTCGTGTCCTCGTCCCCTTTACTCCGGAGGCTGACCTTGACTAGTGTGGGGTCCTCGAGACCCGGTTCCTCATATGCAATTGCACCAATCGCCCTGCAAGAGTGTTAGACCGGCTCAGATCCAAGCAGAATATGCAGCGGATGTTGGTCGAGCGGACGACAATAATCGGGCGGATTTGGAACGATTGACCAGCCTCGCTGGTCATGCAACTCGGTCCTAGTCAGTCTGAAGGCAACGTCCGCTTCTTACCGTGATATACTCCGGAAAAAAGGCATGCGCGTGTCAAATGGAATCGCGAGGACGAGAAGCAAGAGAACAGAGGAAGGCCGTCGTAAAGGGAAGTCAGAGGGAGAATACAGGGAACAGATTACGCTGGGGAGGGACAGGGAAGAGATCGCGCTGGGGAGGATAATGCTAAAGTTGGGAAAGTGCGACAAAAGAAACGGCTGAGATGACAGAAGACCTGTTCACCTGTGCCCCGCAAATTCGCTCTTGGCGGCCAGCTGGTTCCCCAGCTCGCTGCGGAGTCGCGCCACGTTACTGTCGACCTTAACCGCCTGCAAGAAATCCAGATTTATGAGAGCGAAGCGGACCACTGATCTTCGAAGCTAACATTGATCGAGACATTCAAATGTGGGTAACGACAAAGGAACGGATTGACTCATCGAACAGCTTCAAGAGGTGTGGGCGGGAGGGCTGACGGGGAAAAGATTTGGGTTCCGCGCAATGTGCTACCAACAATGTCCAAGTTCTTCTCCAACCAAAACAACGAAGGCACAGAGAGAGCCGCAAACATGTGGAAGACGGACTGTGACGAGCGAGCGACATTACGCGTCAGCGTTGGGCGGTTCTAAGACCGCGCGGTGGACACCGACAGCATGACAGGCGCATAATTTCGTTTCTCCAAGCGCCCGAAATCCGGTCGACGGGCGGACGGTCGGAATAACGAACGAGCGGAACCATGGGCGGAACGAGCAGACGGAAGCAGACGGATGCCATGCAAAATCCGATGAGTCATCAAGTCGAGATTTGTAGAAAGACTGATGCAGGAGGAAGAGGAAGGATCCTTGGCGCACAAACGAGGCTTTGCTAACGTCAGCTCGAAACGGTCAATCGCAAAATCGGGACGGGATGCCTTTGTACGGATTCTTTGGACTATGATTTTGGGATTGATTGTACAACTTTAAACCATTTCTGTACGAAGCAGGCGCAAAGATACGCTCGGCTTGGTCCATTGCCGCTCGTCCGCAGAATGTTGGCCGAAGAGCGACCGACCTCGTACTTCCTAAAGACAAAAGGGTCTGAGCACTTTTGCTTTCCAACGCTGACCGTTACAACCCCATTTTGTATCTTGCCACCCTCTCTGTCACTCAGGTGAGACAACCGAAAGCAGCTACAGAGAAGGGTACCGAAACGAGCATCTGAGAACGGGGATCGAAGGCCTTCATATGTAATTGCGCTGGCTTCCGTTGGCCTGTCCTCTGCATTCGTGGCGTAGGCCCCCAAATTTGTGACGTAGGCCTCCAAGTTCGTGACTTAGGCGTCTGGATTTGGGCTCACCAGGCACGTGCCGTACTGGCCGCCTCCCAGCTCCACCACGAACGTTTCTTCGAGCGCCGCCGCAATGATTGCGTCCTTTTCCGCCAAACTAGCCTCTCCCCGCCGTATGACGTCATCAAGTTTCAGCTCGAGCAGCTGCGCCGAGGTGACACTGACGTCACTCGTCAGCGGTTTTAGGGTTTTAGGGTGGTTCTGAATCACAAAGTACACGACCGAGGAAGGGGTCTCGTGAGATGAGCATTCGTCCCCCCTGTTCGGACACAACAATGTCGACCTCCGACAGTCGACAGTTTTAAACCCCGGCATTGCTTGATGGATTTTGAGACAGATGAATTTGGCAAGGACCAGACCATTGACAGTCCTTTCAAACCCTCTGAACGGATCGTAGTACTCAGGACAAAGGTGTAAGAAAGTTTGTCATCCAAGGCAGCATACTGATACAGGAAACAAAGCCTGATCAAACGAACGTCCCTATCTGGACAACTCTCTCCAGACTAGCCGAAGCGGAAGCACTCGCCAATTGAACACGAGCTGGGGAACTTCAAGTCAATAGAATCACACACCCTTGCAAAGGAAAAAGTGCACAATCACCTGCTCAAACACACCCGGGTTCTTCCCCGCATCGTACTCGACGTCCAGATCCTTGAGCCCGCTGCTGAACGCCTTACTGTCCGGAAGCGTCCACTTCCACAGGTCCGCATCCTCTATGTACTCGAACAACCGACGCAGCGCGGTAGCTTTCCCCTCAGGCAGTCCAAAAGCGCCCCGTTGGTCTCTTGCTAACGCCTCTGCTGCACATCCGGTTGCTTTGGCATTGCTTTCGGGGTCGGTAGCATTCCCTTGATCTCCTTCTCGGCCATCCAACAGCTCAGCAGATGCACTACAAGTAGCGGCTTGCATTGAGTCTCGCTCAGTTTGCTTTCTTTGCCCCAAATTGTCGCCCGCAAACCTAAGTCGACTCGCTGATTGCTCTTCTACTAGCTTTGACTGTTGTCGATACTTTTCGGAGAAGAAGTCCCAGGCGACCGTGGCTCCGCTGCGGTTCATGTCGAGCAGGGTGCGGAGGTTCAGGGGTCCGCTGCCGGGGCGCGGGAGGGTCTCGAGCGCGGTCTTGTGGTGGTCCAGGACCGTCACCCTGGCAGGACAAGCAAGTTGATTTGAATGGATACTATCTTCTTCAAAGTGTTGCATCCAACCGAGTTGTACAGAATTTCCTTTTACAGATTTTCGTCTTCACTACGGATTACAGGCCGGGCCAGAGTCTCGAGCGCGGTCTTTTGGTTGTCCAGGAGCGTCACACTGGCAGGAGAATTGAAACGTTCAGACTGTTCCGTAGTACCAAATGGTATAGGGACTTCGTATGAAGTGGCACCCATCCTGAAAGTTCGTTGAAATCAACCAAAGGAGGGTTTTGAGCGCGTTCTTGTAGTGGTCGGGAACCGTCACGCTGGCAGGGATGTGAAAGATAATCTCAGCTGTCAGCTTTTCGTCCAGACTTCCGTTATACCAGTCGGTATGGTACTTTTTATAAAGATGACAACAACATGAAAGTTCGTAAAAGTTGACCAAAGGAGGGTCTCGAGCGCGGTCTTGTGGTGGTCGGGACTGTCACACTGGCAGGCAAATCTCGACTCTCAGCTTTCTCGTCCAGACTTCCATTCACCAGTCGGTATGGAAGTTCCTATGAAGATGACACTCACCATGAAAGGTCGTTAAAGTTGACAAAAGAAGGATCTCGAGAAAATATATGTAGTGGTCAAGAACCGTCGTACTGGCAAGAGAAGCGTAATGAAGTTAACTGCGACTTTTCAAAAGGGTGCTCCTTTTGCTCCGTTACAAAACAAAGCGATATGAAAGTCTTCTATGCTTGAATCAAAGCCCATTTGGAATCGAGTCGCAGCCTCTCAAAAAGTCTCCTTTTTTGCCGTTTAACAGATTCTAGGTGTCAGGCTCGACCTTCGGACAACTTCAGGCCCCTCGACCCATTCCTAAGTAGAAAACCAGCCTGACTGTGTCTCCACAATACTCAAGGAAAATGACTCCGTTTCATTTTGGAAGAGACGAATCTTCCTAACTTAACGTACACGAGCGATGACTCACCGGCCTGCTTTTCCTGCCAGCCGCTCCGCAAAGCCCTGGGGTCCCGCAAAATCTAGAAGGTAGACCCCGTCCCGAGAAGTGCACGGCAGATCGCCCACTCTGCAGGTAGGGAGCATGTAAGGGTCTTGTTCAAAATTCCCCACAGATGCACAGATCATGGCTGAGAAGAATGGATTTCAGGAAGCAATCTCAAAAGCACCGCACGTGGGGCGCGCACTTGATTAGATTGCCCCCATGTCCAGAAGGACTTGTTTCCTCCACAAAGAGTGGTTGCGACGGTCCAACCGTCTAGCTTGTCATCATACAGAAAGGCGTCAACTCCGTTCACTTCTGGGAGTTGGGGTTAAAAAGTGGTGCAACAACAGGCAGAACTGCAAAAGAGGCGCACAGTACCTTCTCGGACTGAACACGGTGTTTGGCACGAAGCGGACCTCCTTGTTGATGGCTCGGTGGTACAAGTAGGCAGCGAGCGCTGCAAAGACCCCATCTGGGCAAGGGTAGTGATAGAGCACCCATGTCGGGCCCGGCAAAGTTTCCTCATCTGTAAAGTACAAAGGGAAACTCAGCTTTTGGAGGCAAGTCTGGCGTCAAAACGACAAGCGACGTCTTTGACGCTTTTAAAAACGAGGACCCAGGCAATGAATTCCTGGGTCCCCGGAAAAAATCACTGCTTCAATGCAATTGTCTTCCAGCTGTTTTGCTTTTCGAAATGAAATGGGCACAGGAAGCAGACACCAACAAACTTGACTGCCAAGGTAAGAAGGAAGGAAGAGAAAGGGGGAGAATGAAGTAGTTCTACATGTCAGAAAAGGTGGCGCAATTGCTAGCAGTGGTAAAATATGAAAATGCACAAAAGGAACTTTGTTGGAGAAGGCTGTATTCCTCAACTCAGAGAACGGAAAGCATTTTCAAAAAGGAAGCCAGGACTTGTAGGACTTCTTTTCTGGAAGTGCACAGACTTAACGAACTCCTTATGAAGATCACTGCCGCTCGTAGATTGCTGTTGCTGTGATGTGCACACGCTTGCAGTACTCTAATCATCCAAAGTCTGTCGTGTTTGTCTTTAAAGTGAACACCAAAGCCACAGTTGCCAAATGCTGAGTTCATCTAACGACATGTACGGACCTTCCCCGCTTTGTGCAGCCATCTCAGACTGCGCGCTTGTGGCAATTCGACAACTCTTACTTCGTGCTCCTGGATTGCAGCTACGTAAAACCTTTGCAATCGGAAGCGGTGGTGTGCTGAATGCTGAGGAGTGCGCTGGCGCCCTTAGTGCAAGAGGACCAGTTGCAACTTTCAAAGTGCTGACAGCCCCAGGGCGGTCTAGATTGAAAAAGGTGATAGCAAGGCCGCTGGCGAGACTCTTGGAGTTTGCACCAGTGCTTGCAGGGCGGAGCAGGAACGATCCTGACAGAGAGAGCGGCCTCCGCACAATTGACAGCATTGTTGAGCTGGAGAAGACGAGCGCATTATTGCTACCACCATTGAAGCGAGCGGAAAGAACCTCAAATCCGCGTTTTAGAAAGCGAATTTTGCTTTACTGGTCAGACTGCAGCTGGCTTGCTGGGCAGGACTCTTCCGTCCAACATTTTTCAAAGGTCGAAAATTGATGAAGAATACCGTTTCTATAAGAGGTGTTTTGAATATCCACTTCTTGAACTCCTTCGCACATTATCCACTTCCAGAATTTTCCCTGGCACTGGCACTGGCAGGAAAGTTGCGGGAGGCGTTTAAGTGCGCTCCTGCATTGGGGTCGTGGAGGGTCCCAGGATACGGTGCATATCAACGTGGAAAGGAGGATTTGACAGTCAATGTAGCCGCACCACCCCTTGCATCATACCACCATTGCCAAAGCGCTGAGCAAGTTTTAAGACCTGTCGGTTGATCGAGCACAACGCCTTTCCTCCATGTTCAGAATGAGGGTCCACAACCCTGATGCACCTCAAGCTTCCTCATCAGGAAGAGGGTTTCGGCAGCGAACGTAGTACTGTTTCTTCGCAGGACAGTACTGGGAGTCTCACTTCCAAGCAGGTTGAGGAAACTGAGACTCTACAGGCTGCTGCGCATGAATCTTTGAACAGCGGGAAAGCATTGCTTGACGGTCAAGGGAACGTTGCTGAAAAGCAGAGTTTGCTGATACCATCGGACCCCACTCTTGGGGGTGCCAAAGGAGGAGCAAGATCTGAGCACTTTGATAGAGGGGCATCAGCAGTACCTGCTCAAGAATCCAGCGATGACAGCATTGACTTCAGCGCACTGAACGGCGATACCACACCACCGGCTGGTGACCTCAATGCAGGCAGCCTCGAGCCACCACTGCAGAACAGAAACAAGCCTTCCGGGCTGAGCTTATTTGCCAAGGGTTTCTTTGGGCCGGTGCCGCTTTCATCGCTTGGCAGCCCCTTCCAAGAGTTCGTTCTGCAGACGATCGCGAGCGAGGTTCTCAAAGAGGTCCGCTACGGGGCTGCTGGAAAAGCGGGGCAGCAGTCACGCAAGATGAGCGCAGCTAAGCAAGTGGCCGTCTCGTTCGATGACGTCCGGGAGAAGAATCTGAAGCAGCTGCGGAAGCTGAACCAGGTGCTGTTCCCGGTGCGCTATGAGGAGAAGTTCTACACGGACGTCCTATCGTCCGGGGAGTACACAAAGCTTGGTGAGTGGTGAAGCGCCCCTTGTTTTGGCATCTTATTTCTACCTTTTTGGGGGTCCAGTGTAAGTCCACCTCGCCAGATTGAGCCTCATTTCTGGATTGATGGATTGTGGACATAAGCAGGAAAGGGGCATAAGCACCATACATGCTACTTCTATGTTGGTTGACTGACCTCCGGTTAGTGAGGTCGGGCAACGGACGGCTGCACTTTTCTTGGCGGTCTCCTTGTAGTGACTCGTGGACAGAGCTCAGGCAAAGCCCTCCTGTATGTGGGTCCTCTTTCCTTGGCAGTTGCCTTCCATGTTTGTTTTGGTGCAACCCAGTTGACCTACAAGTTTCATCAACTGTCAGAAAGCCGTGCGTCGTCTGCCTCTATGTTCTGTTGCTTGATGTGCCATCCCTGCCAGCCAGATTTGTTGATTGGCCTTTAAATATTTGCATACGCACTTGCAAAGAGTGTGCACAGGGACAGAAGCAAACTCGAGGTTCGAGTCAGGAATCTTATACCCCTTGACTTTCAGACTCAGAGCACAGCTATAAGCAGACTGGTTTTTGCAAACAAGGTCACGGTTGCTCGCTTTGATGGGCCGGAAGGAAAAAGACTGATTTCTGAAATAAAAGGTACTTTTGACGGATCCAAAGCTTCTTCCACAGCTGAGATCTTAGGGTCTCGCTCTTTGATGACTTAAGGGGTCTAATCCGGACTATGAAACACATTTGAAGGGCACGTTGTGGACGTGTTCCCCCGAGACGTTGAACCCTCACGGACTCTTTGGGCTTCCTTGCAAAAGCGCAGGATTGCCATCTTTCATTCAAGCAGGACAGGATGCAGCCATGCCTTTAATAGTTTACATTTTGACGTCTTTCAAGATGGACGTTCTGCCAGTTAGACCGACTGATGTGGCGCTCGAAAGGAGCGCACGTGTCCCCTGAGCTTTGAAGAATCTACATCGAGCAGAGAGCTAGAAGGAGTTTATCTCAACGAGTCTGACATCTCGGCTTTGAGCAGATTGCTCTTTCCTGCTCGCGCAACTTCGTTTTTAGCACTCGCCTGCGGTTGCTGACAGTTGCGCATGTTCTCCCTCCCAGCGTACTACAGCGACATCTGCGTGGGGGCGATCGCAAGCAAGCTGGAAAAGCGGCCAGAAGGCGGCCTGCGGCTCTACATCATGACGCTTGGTGTGCTGGCGCCTTACCGAAGGCTAGGCATAGGTACGTTTCCTGCTCCTCTCCTGCGATTTCTGTGTGGGAACAATCTCCTCCCTGCAGTCTTGCCGAGACTTTCTAGACGCGTTGGTTTGTCGCGCGATTACTTATAATTCTGCAGGTTTTAATGCCTGGCATGGTCGCTTGGCGTTCCCTCTGATCAACATTTAGACTACGAATAGATGCAAAGAACACTTTAGCTGTCGGCCATGCATTACGGACGGAGCTTCTGCACTTGACTCGTAGATTGCAGTTTCATTAGCATTTTCATGATAGACTTGGATGGTCAAGGTGACGGTCGAAGTTGCTCCAGGGCTGCTTGGCTTTAAAGTGGGCGTAGGGCTCGCGAGCTCATCTGGAAAATAGACGGCGTTTCAGCAGAGTTGAATCTATCGGACGGCTCACAGCTAGCCTCTTCAAGCCGCCCTCAGTGCTCAGTCTCACTAGTGTGCTTATGAAATCCGACGCCCACTTTAAGCATCTGCAAAGGTTCCGCTCTTCGTTGAATGGGTTTAAGGCATTCAAACGATTCGTTTCGCTGGGAGCGATAAAACTGCGGCTCTCGCATGGTTGCACCTCATTGCCTCACTTGTGAGCATTTGCAGACCTTTCTTCTCTTCCTTTGGTAGTGCTGTAGTCAACCAGGGGCTAGCTTTTTGCTCGGAGCAACCGGAAAGACTGCGGCTGTGCATGCAGCGTCGACGATCTGGCAAGGTACTCAAATCGTACGGTGAAAGGAGCACGTGCATGACTCACTTTCACGCACAATCAATTGCATTTTCATAATATATTAGTAGTAAGGAGTTGTTTATCGTGGTATCAGACACTACTTCTTGAGCATTATATGCGCCGTGCTCCAAACCATAGTCCCACTATAGTCCCCCTACTAATCCGACCCGTCCTCGTCGCGTTACTTGTTACCATTTGACCCGATATGCCTGCAAACGTAGATTTTGGATGACTTTTTGCCTGCAGCGTCGAAGCTGCTACAGCACTGCCTGGACCTGTGTCATGGGAACGCGGAGGTGCACGAGGCGTATCTCCACGTACAGACCAGCCGCTACGAGGCAATCGCGTTCTACAAGAAGTTCGGGTTTGAGATCGTGGAGACGCTGGAAAACTACTACAAGAGGATAGACCCGCCGCATGCTTACGTGCTTATGAAAACGTTACAGCCATCGGCAGAGAGCTAGCAAGATGCGCGTGATTTTTTGTCGAACGTGGGGGATATCCGGGAAGGAGCTGTGGTCAGGGTGTGATTGCGGATAATAAATGAAGACTTCCAACGGCACGGGGACCATTCGTGCTGACACGATGTTCCAGGAATAGAGTCGAGTCGGCGGGGTTCGACAGCTTTGAAGGAACTCGTTTTTTGGCGTTCAATGGTCCGCATTAACGGACGCGATGAGACGAAGTTGGTCAAATGTTTTCATGTGCCTTTTGAGCCAGGTCAATGATGCTAGACGCCCTTTTTGAGAACTGATCACTACTCTAATCAAAGGGATTCAATTGTTGAGGCTAAGTTCGACAAGAGCGAGTTCTCTATCATGATGCCAACCGCTTCAACTAAGGAACTCGTCATGGCATACGATCCGAAGTTCGAACATGATGCTTGGCCATGTCGGAATCAACTCGCGATCAACTGGGTGAGGGATTACGTGGCCCAGCCTGCCTCTATTGCGCACTGGCAAGGGACGCCGGACATTGCTAACGCCTATGAAGTGCAGGCGTCCTGGAATCATCGAGTGACGTTACTGAATCAAAGCGGACGCTGTTGGTATAAAATAAAACGTTGTAGTGCACAGCTAAAAGCGGTGAGTGTCGACGACGATCATTGTGGTTGTGGGCTGCCGCGTTTGTTGTTATGGTTCAAAGAATTGAGCTTGCGCAATGATGGTCGAAGTGCTAGAATGTCGAGCAGGCTCACGAGCGGAAGCAATTGACCAGAAGCGGGTTGGAGTTATACTTGACGTACTGTCGGCAAGATCCTGGTCATCATTCGCCGTGAGAAGCGGCCATGCGCTTTCATGGTGCTATGGGGGACGCGGGCTTGTATGCGGCCTTTCCTTACGAGCGAGTACTTAAGGGGCAAGGTGGGGGCCGGGGCGCCTAAGAGAGCTGTTGCGCTAGGCGGACTCAGCTCAACTTTGTGTGTACATAACGGTCTTCCTAATTGCATCCAAACAATGGCCCACACCCGGCCCACAGCTCGGGCCCCATCAGGAGTGGGACCCAAAATCAGGTAAACTGTGGTTCCTCTCGCGTGTTTCAATCACTTCCATTCAGAGGATTGGACTTGGGTTTACAAGGATTTACAAGGGCGGCCAGAATACCGTCGCTTTTGCCGCTTTGCGGCATTGCCACTGGTTGAACTGCGCACTGGCGCCCGGGCCCCGGGTGGCCGCGGCATGCTTTGATTGGCCGCGCCGAGCGGCCGCCGCGCGGCGCGACCGTGACTGGGCCCGTGTACGGCATCATGAAGCTAACTCCTCGGACTCGATCCACGTTTATCACGTGGTCTTTTGAGTCGACGAATCAAGTGCTTCCGAATTCTAGACGGGCATTTAATGCACATTCGTTTGGTCAAACTTTGGTGCATAATGCTTGCCAGAGCTACAAGTTTGAGCCTCTGACACAGCTAGCTAGAGCTACCCAGAATTCAGGCTCAGCCAATCACAGCCCCCCTCGCGTGAGCCCCAACTTCCGCATTCAGGCTGGAGGATGCTCTCCTACAGCATCGGTATCTGCTCTCTGGCCAATCCCTCCAAAATGTTATGGAGCAGAAGCCTTGAAGATCTCGGAGTCTGTTATACTCGTATCAAGCCTGGCACTTGTCCGAGCATTAAGAAAACAAAATGCATTGCATTCCGACTACTAGTAGAGATTTGACACGAGAATGCGGGCCGGGGAAGGTCCCTCTGAAGCGTTTACAGCGGGGATATCTAGCATTCTGCCGTGGAAGTTGCGATGCCAGCTCCCAATAATTGCACCCATTCAATCTGAGATGTGCATTCAGGAGTAACTTAAGGTGAGGTAAAGGCCTGCTTGCATTGGGTGCGATCAATGCCATCGAATGTTTGTCCTCTTCACATGAGGCCTGCAATTGTGGGCTTTGCTGCTTGGCCCAAACTGCGCAGAATTGTCAGAAGCTTCTTGAGTGAGCCAGGAATTGAACCTTCTTGTGTGAGCCAACAAAAATTACACATTGTCAAGGATACAAAGAATTGAAGTGGCGGTAGATTGGGGGCACAGATCGGAGCTACGCGTTGATCGTGCATTGTTTGAATCCAAAAAAAGACCTTATTGGGCTGAGTGCCCCGACATTTTACTTTCTGCTCACGTGACCAGTGGTCAACCAAGAGAACAGACCCACTATAAGATGAGAGAGTGCAATAGAATTACTCTTGCGAGCAACATTGAGCTGCTCGATAAAGAGTCCGGGCCAATCAGCGTCTGGCAAACCTTCTACATCCTTGCAATAGACATTGCTATGTTGTCTATAGCGAAGTCCCTTAAAATCCTCCTTGTTACATCCCATTGCCCCAAACTCCTTCCTTTTTCTGACAATTCCAAGTGACAGATGCTGATACAGATTGACTTTCTTGCTTGTAATTCTTACTTCGTGGGATCAAGAGAGTGATCTCGTTGAGAATGTTCTTACAAACTCACATAGAATTTTGACTGATAAAACCAATTGCCCCTCGCTGCCTACATAGCCTTTTGTCCAGCCCAACGTATTCACCCATCAGGTTGTTCCACTTTTTGTTGGAGCTCTTCCAATGCTTACTCCAGAATGTGCAGACCCACAGACTTTCAGAAGCTCAGCTCCCTTTGAATCCCATCAACCCCCTCTTCCAATGCCCAATATAGATTTCACCTTGTTGCCAGCTTTACAAGGAAACAAGAAGTCGCTTCTGGTGAAGACACTTTCTGGAACTCGCCGAATTCAAGTGTACGGCATTTAAGTGTACGGCATTGCCGTAAGGGACTCCTTGTCTCAGCAGCCTGCTCCACACTGATGTCTAGATGAGAACAGGTGTTCTCTGCATTCATTGCCAATTTGTACACTCAATAAACAAGACATGTTCCTTCACTGCAGACGATCCCCCTCTACCTTACCATGGCAAAATCCATCAGCAGACCCCATCTGGCATCCCTGCAGACTTGCCCTGCCCAAACCCTCCCCTCAACCTACCATCAAAGGACCCGATTAGCAAGCTCCCATGCCATCACCTATACAGCCAGAATGCTGCGAGCCTCTGTTAAGGGCTTCAAACCCAGAGACATCGGACAGCCCAATAGACTCAGGGTGAGATCTAGATCGGAGAAGCGACAGCTTGGTCAACACATACCGCTCTTCAAGAAATTGTAAAGGCATATGGGCTCTCATAGCAGCAATGATCCTGCAAAGCTTGCGTGCGACTCAAAGTGTCTGCATATTGTTTTGACAATGTCTGGGCACATTATGAAACTCAAAGTAGGTAGGTTTGTGTAACTTCTCGGGGAGACTTATGAGGCCCTACTTGTCATGCACTTCTGCCAGATTCACGTAAGAAGTGACACACTTTGGAAGAACGGATCGCTGCATCCTGCGTTGGTTAACGGCCTTTCCAAGGCACTCCGCAAAGCGAAACTAATATGACGTGACCAGGGCTCAAATCAAGATTCTACGATTGGTAGATTCCGAAGAGCTGCTGCGCTTTCCTGATATTGAATCTCCTTGTGTAGGCAAGCAGCGGCGCAGTTCCGATCTACGAGCCTGGCTGGACGGCACTCCGGGGGAAGCACGACTGGAAAGGAATGGTCCCAAAGGATCCGGAATCGTTCATGGATAAAGCGCTCAAGAAGGAGGTCACTCTATACGGGGAGGCAGCCGAAGCGACGTATGACACCGTTGACCTGCGTGACTGGAGTCGAGACAGGGACCGCAACAGGTTGGTGTCAAGCAAGATTCTGTACATTCCTGATCTGCCATCGATTCTGTCCGGGCCTTCTGACTGCCTGAGCTCCAGGAAAACAGGGAAATCAGGTGTCTGAACTCCAAGAACTTCCGAGCGTTCAGACATGGCGAGACGACTGATAACCCAAGCCCACTTAGGCTCCGTTAACTTACCCTCCTGCCAATCAAAGCTGATCAAGAGCTAGTTAGTCACCCTTGAACAAGATCTGCCTGATGCAAAAACCTTTCCCGTCTTTTTCAAAACAGGTTGAGCAAGGAGCTTCTGCCAAGTGCCCTCCGACCAGTCGAACCTGACCAAGAGCTGGATAGGTCCCCTGGAACAAGATTTGCTTGAAAACGAAATCCTTTCTTGTCTTTTTCAAAACAGGTTGAGCAAGAGGCTTCTGTCAGCTGCCCTCCTGCCAATCGAACCCTGTCTATAGAGTTCTAGCTAGAGCTGACTGATACTCCAAAACTTGATCTGGTTGAGGGCAAATAAGAGGAGTGTTTGGCCCTTAACGGTTCTGGGCTGGTTAGAAACTGGTCATATGTCCAGTGACCAAACTCGGGCGTTGACCATCCGCTGAACACGGTTAAAGCCCGGTCATTGTCCAATAAACCGGAGCGTCAAGTCTGGTAATCAGCCTGGTTAGCAGCCAAACCTAATTCCCCGTGTTTTCCCACCAGGTTTCCAAAGGAGCGCCTGTTGGACGACGGCCATCTCATACACGAGTCCTTCTTCGCGGAGCTGCCCGGAAAGGGCTACTCCGCAGAAAAGGGCGCGTTTCTGATTGCGAGCGAGAAGGCGCAGATCACGAAAGACCTGATCAAAGAAAGGAAAGGCCAAGACGTCGAGGATAACGTGTGGATCGGCTACGTGGCCTACTCGGCGGCGCGCAAGGACGTACTGGTGGCATGGCGGGGGACGCAGAGGCCCGCGGAGTGGATATCCGACGCGACGTGAGAATTGTTATCAATTCCATGCATAACATAATGGCCATGTTGACCAACGAAAGTGCACGGAGGACCGGTATGGTTGTTCAGAAGGTTTAAAGTGGGTGAAAGGGTGCGCACTGCGCAGCGTGTTCTGCACGACGTGAGGTGGCTCTGCAACGCCCTCGTTTGCTTGTCACAGCGGTTGGGCCCAACAGGATTTTTGGCCCTTAACCATGGATGGTTATGAGCTGCTTATGGGCTGGTTAGGAAGTGATTATGTGTATTCAACAACCAGTTTGGGAGGTAACCAGCTTTGGAACAAGGTTAAAACCTGATCTGTTTGTCCAGTAACCCGAGACTTGGTTCTGGTAAGCAGCCTCGTTTCTTCTGGGGCCGGGGCGTACGCTGTCGGCCTCCTTGTTTTGTTGCGTGGAATACAACATTACCCGCCTTTTCGTTTTCCTCTCCGCTTCTCCATCGCGTAATGCATCTCGCTCTACATTCCAATCTAACAAATCCACGTAGTCGATGCCTGTCTGTCGCCGGTGGAGACCCAAATGCGGTGCGTCCCTTTGCTTTGCTTTCCCGTTGATCGTTCCCGTTTTTCCGTCTTTCTATCAACTTTCGAGGAAAATCAAACACCTAACTATCTTTGCCGCGCAGGCTGGACCAAATTCCCTACCTCGCATATCCAAAAGAACCCAACCCTTCCAACCCGCCTCCTCGCCCGAAAAAGCTCTCAGTCCTTCAGAAGCTTTCCCCCCTTTTCATCGCCGTCCTTTGGGCTTCGCCCCTCCTGCTTTTTCTCGCCGTCAAATCTGGCCCCGCCAACTTCCCCCGCGCTCTCGTTTCCTTCGCGACCGCGTTCGAGAGCCAGGTCGCCGCCCCCTCTTCCGGATATCCCGCCACAGCAGCGGTTGTCCTCTGGGCGGCGATCCCTCTAGCCTTCCGCAGACTGGGCTACTCCTTCCTCGCCGGGGGGGCGGCGACCCTGCTCGGCATAGTCACGCTGGTCCCCCCCGCCGCGATTATCTACGCCATCGGCCGATTGCTCCCGGCTTTCCAGGCCGGGGGGGTCGTTTCGCTGCTGGCCACAGCCCCCCTCGCGTTCCTGGCCGCGATCCCCGCCCTCGAGCTGTTCAACGTCCGTGACAGAAACGGCTACCGATTCTACGCGCTGATCGCAGCGTGCGCGAGCGTTGCGGTCTCGGTTTGGTACCCCGGGAGCTTCTACCGGGCGGTCGGGGTTATCATGGCGTTCGTTTTCGTGCCCCTGGCGGTGACGTCAGGGCAGGCGGCATGGGCTGGGGCGGCGGAGACGGGCCCGTGTGTGCACGAGGGCTTCTTCGAGCTGTACAGCAAACCTCCCGTGAAACCCGAAAACGACGCCGTCGAGAGAAGCGCACCCAGGGTGAGCAACCGGGTGAAGCATTACGTTAGGAATGTTTCGTTGCTAACCAACTCTGTTGAAGGGGTGTTCAAGCAGCTTCAAAGTAGCTTGTAGCAGAACGATGAAACCCCAGGGAAAGGATGACGACGCAGTCGATATAAGCTCGCCCAGAGTGAGCGACCGGATTGATCAGGAAGGTTTTGCTCCCAATCAAATCTGGTTAAGGAGTACTAACCAGTTTTTTACCAGCTTCGCTTAGAAGAAAGGTGAAACCCCAGACGGAGGAACAACGACACAGTTTGAGACAAGCGCCCCCCGGGTGAGCCGTCCCGTTGGTTAACCGTCACGTTGAGAATGCGTCGCTCCTAATCAAACCTGGTTAAGGGTTGTCCACATTGCTTCGTGTAGTTACAGTAGTATAAAAGATGGAACCCAAGCAGACAACTGACACAATCGAGGTAAGCCCCCCAGGATGAGCAACCGGGTTAGCCAGGAAGGTTTCGCTCCTGATTGATCTGATTATCGGTATGTTACCAGCTTTGAACCAGCTTCGTCTATGGAGTGCCCCGATCTGAGGTTCTCGTGTGCTGGGTCGGGAAGCTTCGACGAGGCGGCAATTGACAACGATCCGGATTTGTTTGTGGCATCAGCTTGGCACTTATTTACCTTGACTGCGTCTCGCTTAAAAGCTTAAACTCCCTTCTTGTAACCCAGATCCGTTCCAAACTTCGCTAAAGCGCCAAATGACAACGGGCTAATCTTCGTACTTTTAACCTGTATTTTTCCGTCTTTCTCGAGACACATGTCACCAGCTTGTCTCGGTTTTATCTCAAATATTTTTCCATGAGACCCTCTGCGTCTTTTCCTTGTAACCCGATTCCGTTACTGCAAACAAGAAGGTGCGTTTTCCGAACCTGTTCGTTCCTCGCAGGACACTCTCCACAAAGCGGTGAAAGCGCTCCTTGAAGACGCCTCGATCGAGGTCGAGACCATCAGCGTATCGGGCCATTCTCTCGGGGCGGCCCTGGCCGTTGTCAGCGCCTTCGACCTGGTCAAAAGCGGGACCAACGAAACGACGGTCGGGGGACGTCTCGTTCGCGTCCCGGTCACCTGCTTCAGCTTCGAGGGGCCGCGCGTGGGGAACGTGCTGTTTGCGGAAGATTTTGCCAGGTTGGTAGAGCGCTTTTTGGTATTATACGGATTTCGGATTTTTTTTTCGGAATCCTAGCGTTCGACGGGCCGCGCGTGGGGAATGTCCTGTTCGCGGAAGACTTTGCCAGGTTGGTGGAGCGGTTTCTCCGCTTCCTTTGGGTTCTAGGGTTTTCGGGTTTCGGTCTTCCTTTTGGGTTTAGATATTAACGAATTCGAGTTTCGAGGTTCTACAGCTTGTTGGGGCCGCGCGTGGGCAAAGTCCTATTCGCGAAGAGTTTCCGAGGTTGGTAGTGCGAGTTTTTGAATCAATAAGGATTCTCAGGGTAGGGCAAACTGTGCCCGGGGAATGCCGCCGGGCACTTCTTCGACGGAGGCGTTGTGCTTTGCTTGACGGACTGAAAGGCGGTCGGATGGAAAGCGGCTGATCTCGGCTGAATCAATGTAACGCGGCATGGTTGCCCTCCATCATCGTACATTTCTCTCAGCTCGTGCTTCACGAGACCGTGATTGCCATCGGTCCACTAAACGGTTGAACGGTGACCGTTCTAATGCCGTTTCACAAGTGCTTGACTTCGCAATCCTGATCAAGACCTACCTGGACTGTATTGCCCACCCGTGTGACTTGCATTGGGACCGTTTGTATTTATAGCTGATTGTACAGCTGTTTGCATCAAGCTTGCCACCGCTTTTCATTGCTTAAGACGATGTTTCTCGTCTTTGACCAACCGATCGAAGACAAGAAAGGCATGATCTGACGGCTAAGGTTTGCGGGCCACAACTCAAAGCTTGAAGATCAGAACGAAGTTCGAAACGTCTCCAGCGGTAGAGTTATTATGAGCACAAGGGCATTTGAGGCCCTGTTCCTCCCAATGCTAATCACAATCACAGTCTGGCTTTCCGCCCCTTTCTTCAGGAAACAGGCATTCCCCATTGTCAGTCCCTAGTCACCAAAGCGGACGAGTCTCCCGCACTGCAAACGGGCTCTGGTCACTCTCGTGTGTCTTGACCGTAGTGCACCTCAAAACAGACGTCCGGTATATGAGTGGGTTTGGCCGGTGTTCACTAGGGTGGGTTGAGATGCGGAAGCGTGTATCTGCGTTGAAAGGTTTCGGTAGATTCCTGGGGAATCACTTAAGTCGGTCATACAGCTGTTAGTGGCACACCGGAGTTACCTGTTTCAAAAAGCCCTGTTTCGCAGCTGGGTGCCTGAGGGCTTCCGTGTTCCTCGCCGCAGGCTCAAGGCACAGGGCCTCACGGCGATCCGCGTGGTCAACAAACCCGACGTCGTAACCCAGGTCCCAAAGGCGCTGTTCCTCCAGAACGTGTACTTCATGCTCGGGGCGGTTCTTAACATGAATCTGTTCTGTTCCCTTATTAACTGGTTCGAGAACGTCAGCTACGGGCTCCGGCTGCCGTCAGCATACAAGCACGTGGGCGTGGAGATCCCGATGGATTCGCGCCAGGTGGACTACATCCAGCAGATGAAAGGTGCGTGCAACTTTCGACTATTTTGACTCGTAATCTACTATGATGGCTTTAATTGTCTCCCTTTGCATTCCAAGCTTAAACGGAGCAGAAAAAGCGTTCAATGAGTTCAGAGAGAGGACATGCGAGAAATAGAGTGAGCACTGAACGAGGAAACGTGTCGCTTTGTCAATTGGCAATCGTTTGGCAGTCTATGAGCGTTTTTGAAGGCTTGAACTCTAGAATGGTTGATGGTGTTCTTCTGCGACGGAGTAGTGCCGCAGGAAGGTTTTGCTCCTTAATCAACTTAGTAAACGGTATTTCACCACCAGGAAATTGCTTGAGTAGAAAGGACATAAAACTAAAGTCGAACAAAGCTGCGGATCTTTTTCTTGCTCGTGCTCCTGGTAACGAAGAACAACCTTCCGAACCGGAAGCGAAGATGCCGTCCGTCTTCCACCTCACACAAACACCGTCCGTTGTTGCCGTCACAATCTAGGGCCCTACTTCGCTGTTGGCAGAGAGCATTAGATGCGAATCCGATCGGACGATTCAAAGGTCGGAAGCTGGGGGCTGCCCCCATCAATTGATGGTTTCGACTTTTTTCGTTGGGCCCATGAGCGTGCCCACTGACTGACGCCCGTCATCTCAGTCTCTGAGCTGCCTGAGTAGGGGGATACTCGGGACCACCTTGGGCCCCTTGAACATTTGTTTTCGACGGATGGTTCGCCAGTGCCCACAAAGGCGCCAAGAATCTGACATATTGGCGATTTCCGCAGATTTCGCACCTGATGTATTGCAGACTGGCCGTGCAACATCTTGGTGCGAGTTTAAGGTGCCCGAGCAGGTTTGATAGCCATCAGTAGAAATCGCTGCTCTAAAGCCAGGACTCCGCTTCACTTGACTGTTCCAACTCACCGTTGTCCAAAGCTCTCACTTTCCAGACGCCCTAAAACGCCCCGTAAATTTCCACTTCCTCACAGGGGCCAAGAACGTTAACCAATCCTGATTAGGCTGCGGATATCCGCCTTTCTACCAGACGAAGCTTGTAAATAATTAGCTTACCATAACCCCATAAGCACTTCTGGTTAGGAAACGGAACCTTCTAACCCCTCCAAGCCCCGCCCGGCAGGCCGGAACCTGCTCGGGAAATCCAAGCAAATCTCGTCGTACCCCTTGACCGATTCTGGTTAGGAACGAAATTACCTTCTGACCCCTCCAACCTCTGTGCGGCAGGCCGGAACCCGCTCGGGAACTCCAAGCAAATCTCCTCGTACCACAACCTGGAGTGCTGCCTGCACGTCCTCAGCGGCTTCAGCGAAGCCCCCAAACCCTTTGGCGCCGCCTTCAGCCGCGACTTCGCCCTGGTCAACAAGATCGGTAACGTGCTTAACCCGCGGTTTGGCATCTCGCCGAACTGGCTCGATACGCTGACCCCCAATGTCACGCGCGCGGACCCGGGTGGCGCGATCATTCAGCCGTACGCTGACCCCGTGAAAATCGAGTATGCTCCCGTGACGGACGAAGTGAAGCTCGAAAGGAGTGACAACAAGAGGAAGATTGGGCACGGTCCTGGGAAAGAGCCGTGGCCGCTGTGCAAGGACTTTATCGCGAGGTATATGAGTAAGAAGGAAGCTTGAATAGAGAAAACGGCCACCGGCCTTGTTTGAATATGTGTTTGGGTATGCCGTTGTTGAAAATGATAAGCTGTGTTGACCATTAAGGCTCTTCGTATGTATCTGAGTAACTTTCCTTATACAGTTATTTATTGATGATGCAGTGAGTTTGTCCGAGGATAGAACCTACTGACTATACGACAATGTTAAAGTTATATAGAACAAGGCGGGTCATCCCTGTCGATATATTGATTTGCAACTTCGCATGACAATTGTAGCCTGAGTCGATCCGATCCCTCGCAACATGTTTCGATTGTGATGCTCTGCTGCGGCGGCATACACGATGCAACTTTGGTGCAGTCTAAGCCTCAAAAGATTCAATGATTTTGGGTACAGCGAAGGGCCGCCGCCCAGGCGTTATAGTTCAGATTGAAACTAGGCTTAGTAGCCCAGAGGTTTTATTTTATGCATGACGGTCTGTACGCCATCGAATTATGCATGTTTCAATTGCGCATATGCACTGATAGGGACGTGCCGGATGTAATCACGGAATGTATCGGACGAGAATATATGCCGGCGTTTTTGCGCAAGTGCAGCTTGAGCTCGGCACGTAAACATGCGTCGTGCATGTGCGTGGCAAACTGAGCTATACAGCTCGCAAGTCAGTACACACTTTCGCCTATGCGGGCGTCCAACTTTATATTGGACGGTCCAATACTTAATAAAAAGCATTGGGTTCTTTTACAGACATTACATGCACTCGACGTGCTCGATCGTGCACGTGTGAGTCATGATGGGATGCCTGCATGATCCAAGGACGTACCGTAAGCTAGGGTCGAGGCGGCACTGCATTGATCGTGTTGGCGGTCGCTCGCAAGTTGCAGTGACCGTCTTAGCACAACCGCGGCGACACGTTAATTGCACATACATGGAGCAAGCTTAGGGCGGAGAAGGATTTCACTCCCGGTGTTAATTTGTTTCGATAAGAGCAGGCGCCACTAGCGAACTTTAAAACGGCACAACAACCATGTGCTTGAGACGTGTCATGCAGCAACTGGGAAACCCACGCTTCATGCAACCAAGCACAACCTCATGCAAGGACCTTGTGCCTGTATGTGCTGACAACAAGATGCACCGCAAAGAGAGCGCAGTTTTTATGCTTTATCGATGTTGCAGAATAGATTCGGCCTGTGCGGCACTCAGTCTCCGGATGCCGTGGCCTTTCAATTCTTCTACTGCGGAGGTTTCCTTGCTTTGCCCCGTAAGAGCCCCTTGCAACGACCGTGCAGCATGCCCCGGCAGGTTGAGTAGCGTCAGGGCGTCCGAAAGCAACCGGAAGTGCGCAAGCGGGCGACCCGTGAACGGACGGAAAACGGACGCCAGCGCTTCCAAATCCGCTTGGAGCTGCGCCGTGCCGGTCTTTGCAAAGTGGCTGCTGCCCAGTACAACCTGAACGGATTACACAATGCTGGGTGAGAGAAACGGACAATCCCTCAGGCACACCTTGTTGCGTTCTGGTTTCCATACTTGATAGCTGCGCACTTCCAGATGAGGGATCGACAGAACGTGTGAACAAGGTAGCTTAACCAAAAGGGGGAGTGCCTGCAACACCAAGTCAGTTAGCGAGGTCCGACAACGGGTCTTCTGTCAAAGAACTCCGGAAGACTCCTGTCTCGACATCCAATAAGCGGCTGTCGAGACAGGTGTCTTCCGGAGTTCTTTGACAGAAGAAGACAGGAGGGAAAGCTCACGGCGTTTCGACCTGCAAAATGATGGATCAATCTTTGGAAATCTGCAAAACGAGGAATCGTATTGACCCCGCAAGATCTACGCTACAACAGCCCACCTTATCTAGAAGCAGCTGGTCGATCGCTGCCGCCACTCTTCTCCACAGTTTCGTGAACAGCTCCTCATCGAGCGCCACGTGGAGGGCCAGGAGCTGCGATCGGAACGCCGACAGGGCGTCGACCAGAGTCGGCGACACGTCCACCACTAGGGGGATCCCCCCGGGCTGCGGGCTAGGCTCCGCCGACGAGTTACCGCTAACCCGGTTCTCAACCCCGCCTGCCCCTCTGTCGGGCAAGTTGTCGAGGTTGAACGTCACCCGTCTTTTCCGTTTTGCAGCGGCCTTGTCTTCTGGGGAGGGAGTGTGGGCTGTGTCGGATCGGGAGGGACGTCTAGAGGTTTCCCCGGACAAGCGGGGAGTGGCTGAGGTGCTTGGGATGTCTTGACTTCCGTCCCGGAGACTGCTTGGGTGGGAGTCTTCGGACCAGCGCTTCTTGTTTCGTTGATACTCTTCCGTTCTGCTCTCAAATTGGCGGACCTGGAAAAACGAAAGAGATTGTTTTCAATGCCCAAAGAGTCGACACTACCTTGACGAAGAGCCTGACGAGGCCTCTGACACTGTATCTGCTTACACCAAAAGCATTCATTTGATATAAAAGAGTGGATCTGCCCGTATGGCCTTCGAGAGCAGAAGTTCGGGTAGAAGTCAACGACCGACGGATCCAGCTTAGAGTCAGTGAAGTTCGGGGCTTTCAATTTGGAACGTAACTCTCTGCATTGACGCGACAGGACGAACGTCAGCAACTTGCTACAGTAACTTGAGCAGCTGCCAATCCAGCAACAGCCGCCCAAAACCTCGACGGATAGTCCGAGCAGATTCCATAGACTTTAGAGAATGCCAAACGCGTGCTGACGTCACCTCACCATGGCGCTGACGAGCTTCCCGAGCCACTCTTCCTGCAGCTCCTGGGCCCGCCGCACCTCCTCGTCGAACACACTCCCCGTCTCCCCCCCCTCCCCGGCCCCCCGTTCCGACCCCCCTGCCGCAGAAGTGCCCACGTCCAAGTCCCACCCATCACCGACTGGGGCACCGCTTGTCCTTGTTCTAGTTGTCGCCGCTGCTTGGAGCTCAATGAAGAACAGCTCATCGCTCCAATCGTGCATCTGCTGTTCGATGAAGTGAAGCCCGTTGAGGCCTGCGGCTATTCTCACCATGTCGGCGTCATGGGCCAGGCTGGTGAGGCCCTGGATCTCCTGGCACCTATGTGAATAGGCACGTGCAACCATATGAGCGGTGGGGCAACAGCAACTAAATGCGCCTAGTATGGGAATAACAATCAAAGGCATCAACCGCCGCAAAAGGGCTTGTGTATGTCTGCATGTCTTCTGCTTTCGAGACGACAAAAGAGAACGATAGATGGAGAAGGGTGAGTGCTTCGAGTGAAGAGCAAAAAGTCTCGGGCGAAGTGATTGATTGGACCTGGCGAAATCTCGAACCGAACCGTACCGCAACTACACGATTAATCTGGTTCCCGTGTATTCAAAACCCGAGCAAGAAGGTCAAGCGAAAGACGAAGATGCATCAATGGCGGTGACAATCACAATAACTGTCTTCACGAAGCCCCTCAGTTGGCCGCCACGTCAGCCAGTCCGTTTCATTGCCCCCTCACGAATCGAATTCAATCGTTTAGCAGGACTGAACGAACACAATTTCCAAGGGTTGCGGAAAGGCTCAGAATATGTGGCCAAAAGAACCGGGAATGAGGCGCATTATTCCAGGGTGCACAACTGAAAAGTGACTCTAACGGAACGGTTTTTGTTCACTAAGGAGTCTCCTTCTCGACCAAGAGACCGTCACTCACTTGTCTTTTACTTTTTCCTCATACCGTGCCAGCAGCGGCAGCGTGACCGCCTCGACGAACGCCAGCCGATGATCCGCCCGGGGCAGCGTTCTGCACCGTTCGATTGTTGCCTGGAGGAGTCCTACAACCCCCTCCGCATTCATTGGCGGGCGAAACTCCGATCCGCTTGGCCCGACATCATTTGCTTCTTCCGACCAATCGTCCCCGTTCTCCCCCTTGGTGTGGACGATTTCCCAACCACTGTCTTTCACCAGGATCGCTTTGGCCTTTCTCTGCGCGTCCTCCAGTTCCAGCCTTGACCAAGTTCTTAACCACGCGTCCCTTTCGGCGAACACCCCAACGGTGGCCGGGTAACCGGGTTCCGTTAGCCCTAACCGGATACCGCTGCTCCCTGCTACAAGCTTTTGCATTTGCTTGTCGAAGACCAGCGCCTGGTCGACCGTGAGCAACCACAGAACGGCATATGCCTCTCTGTCCTCTTCCAGTTTCTGCATCAGGAACGGCAGCCCGCGCTCCCTCAGGTGCGCGCTAGCTAGCGCGCCTGCCACGGCCTTAACCCACTCCTCCCGCGCGCTAACCCCGACCAAACCCGCCTTTTCCAGCAGGAGTTGCAGCCCCGCATCCGCTAACCCGACATGGTCCTGAGCGACCTTTAAACAGAGGGCGAAGGCGAACTCCGGTTGGTCGACCCATTTGCTCAGGTGCGGCTCCGCCTGCTTAGCTATTGGCTCGACCAGGGCCTGGAACGTCCATAACGGATCCGATTCTAAACCCGAACCCCCAGTGCTCTCGAGAACCGACCCCCCTCCTGACCGACTCCGCACTTCCCGTGCGCTCTGAACTACTTGCAGCAGCGAGAGGGTCCCGAAACTGCTGCGAAACTCGTTTCCTTCGGATCCATCAAAGTGGAGAAGTGTGCCGTCCTCGTCTGTGGCTTCGCTGCCGGGAAGAAGCGGCGGGGGCCAATTCACACTTGAGAGAGAGGCCCTGTAGATCTGGTCAAGGGCGGGGCGGATGCCAGCCAACCCCTGGTCTAATCGCAGGTCAACAGCCAGTAACAGCCGCCACCACTGGGGCTGCATACAGGGAGAGTCGCTTTCTGAGATCACTATGTAGGCTTTGGAGCACTGTGAATCACTCAATCGAACATTCGACAGCTCTCAGAGAAAACGGAAGCCTCGCTTTGAGCCCCACGTTCTCAGGACCAGTTGAGAGCCGCCAAGCTCTCAAGACCAGTTCATCTTCAAAAACATTTGTAGAATGGTAAAACGAACAATATGCTGGCCGAGAGAGCGATCGACCTCGGTCAAATAAACGATAGGCTGGGGGCGAGAGCGATTGACTTCGGCAGAGTTGACGTTGTTCCAACATGCATTGTTTCAAAGATCAATGTCTGTGTACATATCCTGTTTCTGGCTACCATATGAGGGAGAGTGATCGGTTGTAACAAGCAAACCGACTTCATTGCAGAGGGCGCCTTGCAAAGGGCCCGCAAATCGACACTCACAAACGGCCCAATCATAAAATCGCAGTGCGAGCGTCAACACTTACATGCGTCCTTGCAAAGTCAGCAGCCAGCGTGGTGGTATTCTTGAACGCTTCAACCGCTGGGACCAATCTGTCAAGCTTTCCGCTCCGAGCCCTGTTGGCCTCAGCAATGTGCTCCTCCATGTCAATGACAGAGCTCTCCAACTGAAGGAGTGCCTGGACGTAGATCCGGACCTGACAGACAAAACAGGGAACGTGAGCTCCATATCATAACAGCACCAGGCAGAAAAGGGATGATTCTACTTGACAATCTACGTCATCTTTTGTTTCTTTGTCACTTTCTCTTTTCTCACCCGCAGAGCGCCTAAAGTCACTCAAAGAAGTACGCACCCGTTGATAGGAATAAGTTCTGTTGCTCTAGAGACTGAATGCAAAACTTAAAGCGTAGATGCTATTTTTCAATGTGGATCCCTCATTCTGAAAGATCAGCTAAGCCTGGCAACCACTCAGACACATGCACGTCGTAATATTTGACATGCTGCTAGTCAGGACCTTTGAAGGCCATTGCAGACAAGACTTGGTGAGCGCCTCTTGCCAACTCAGCTTCTTGTCTTCTATCTAGATTGCATGCACTGCACATATCTTTCAGGACTCTGAACGGCAAATTGTTTGAAGGCACCACCAAAGAAGTTTCCAAGTATCCATGCCTTCTAGTACCTTTTCAACGCGTGCCACCTCGTGCGCTAGTTCGGCCAGCCTGCACACCAACGGCGTCGACTCCGCACTCGCCGCCTCCGCATCATCCTTGGTCCTTCCCACCCTTTCTGCCAGGCTTGAGAGTGCTGCTAGCGCCTTCTCGCTCTGTTCGCAGGCGCGGGCGGCCTCTCTGGCTAAGCGCGCCTCCAACCTTGTGTTTCTTCTCAGAAGGTTTGTGTGCTCTTCAGTCAAGGACTCCAGGATGAATGGTGCGGACGAAATGCTATCTGATGTTGTGAACCAAGTGTCCAGGAAGGACACAGCATCAGAAGGAAGTTTAGTGAGCCCACCGCTGATGGGTTTCGAAGCAACAGCCATTGTTTTAAGCACAAACACTTCTGCACAAGTGAAACGACGCCTGAAAGATCACGCTGCATTTGCCATCGTGCCCTTCAATTATGCTGCTATTTGCCACTCCCTAGCCAATGCAGAATTCAGGGAAGGTACTGCCACACTAAAGGAGCCCGGGTCAACAGGCGACAGGAAGAAGATCAATCTGTAAGGCGTGACGGCTCCAGACGAAGCCATAACCAATGAAGCCTGCGCCCTTCTATTGAAAGTTGCACGAGACTCGCAGTTCTAAATGTGACTTGTGAAGTCATATTTAGAAATCACATCAGAAGTCGTAAGAACATGTCCTTGCGAACAGCACTAACAATGCCCTGTACCCACACTCCGCCCCATGCCTTTGATTCGCACGGGCTATAAGAGAAGTATCCATCAGCAGCCCGAAGAACAGCAGCGAGGCGGGGACAGGTGGGGAAAGGAAGATCCAGCAGCAGAAGCCCCCACCAACCGAACGTGCTTTAGATTCTAGATCTATAGAAAATCTTTGCAAGCGTTGCCTTATTCTGGTTCCTGAAAGAGCCGGATTCTTAACCGAGACAAGAAGATCATCACAGTTTCAACAGTTCAGATCGGCATTCGTCTAGCTTTCCCTACCCCGTCCGTGATGAGCTGAGTCACTCCATGTCTCATAGAGTGTTGTTGAACTTGAAGCTACCTAGGGAGCTTTGCACATGGGCAACACCACTTGCCAGCACTGGTAGCTCACTTCTCACGTTCTGTGGTGACATCTCCGCTCCTATCTCAACTGGCTTCTCCTCGAGCTCAGCACCATGCAAAAAATCTAAGATTTGAGCTGCGGGTCCCCATCTTAGCGAGAACTTCGCAGCCAGAGACACAGAGTTGCAACGTGGGTGATAGACTCTGAGGATTCCAGCCGCTTTTGTCAGAACCACCGTCCGTGTGGCTTGACGCATCACTTCCTCAGCAAAGAGTGCTTCCTGCGGTTGTGGTCGCCAGCAAAGCCACCTCCAAAGCCTTGTGCAGTCAAGCGCCATGGCTGTTTCTCCTGTAAGACAAGCATGCTCGTTGGCCGTCATGCTCCGAATCTCCGGGCCTGTGAGTAACCACTCTGCCTTTCACGGTTCTTTGTAACGTTGATGATACAGTGGTATGTTTTCAACTTTCTCAATCATGCGCCCCATGTCTAGCCCTTTTCAGGCCCCTAGCAAGCTGTTTCAAGCCCTGTCGCTAGTGCCCAAGGAGCTAGGCATCTGTTGTTTCTTGAAAGAATTTCTGTTGTTTGAATTGGTGGTGTGTTACGAGAAGAGGACATAGCTTCAGTAGATCAGGTGTGGATGAAACCTTTGATTGTGGCCCCTTCGTCTGCGCGTGCTAGCATCCATAGCAAGGTGGCATCAGAAGTTTTAAATTTCGTTGTTTAGACGAAGACTGCAGTAGTGAGGCCTCAGCGATCACCGCACCTAAAGCAGCTCCAAAATGAACTCTGCATGCTCTTCATGCAGGACCCCAAGAGCCGCAAGATGCGCCAGCACGCCTTCTTCCAGAGCAAGAACGGCATCACTACCTTGTCCGCCTCTGGCCTCTGCCTCCCCTCCCCCCCCCCTCCAAACCAGCTGCGGAACACCCCCCTAAATGAGCTGCTGATCATCACGGATGCGTCGCTTGTTGAGCCCTTTCTCCGCCAACCAAGCACTCAGCCTGCTCACAGTTCGATGCCAGAGTTGCCAAGTCCTTTTGGGCCGAGCAGCAGAGGGGTCCTTGTAAGAGCCCCTGTCCAGAGAAGGGAATATGATGGAGGGGCAAAGGAGGAGCTCCTGCCAGGAACAAAAATTGTGGCGCTCTTTGACGAGGAGAGCGCGGTGCAAGGGTGGCAAGAAGGGGAGCTTGTTGCAGTGGTGAGCTGGTCTTTTCGTTGACAAGTCACCTGATGTAGATGTGTTCCTGTAGCGGTTAGATTAGCATATTGTTTTGAGCCCTCTTGCATGGGGCCTAAGTTACCTTCCTTCTCTTGATGCTCCTTGTTCAGTCAACTCTCGGTACGGTGTTTGAGATGACAGGAGTCTTAGCTTTGACAGAAGGATGGACCCTTCAGCTGGGGTTTGACGGGTCACTTTCAGGGGTCTGGACAGTACCTCGTTCTCGAATCTAGAACTACGAAAAGATGTTTCTCTCTTTCCATTTGGAAACATCTTGAGGTCTGTTACTGCTTTCTGGCAATTTTGAAAGAATCTCGATCAGTCTTTTGCCCAGCCTTTTGCATTTTTCAGCTACTCCCTTCCTGCAGCATTTGTTTCAGTACAAGCTTGCACCTGCGAGGCACTCCATTGAGTTGCGATCCGCTGCAAAGCTGTTAAAAGGACTTGTACGAATTGCCAGCTCCTATGTGACTTGCTCATTACCCGCCCTTCTCTTTCTCTCTTTTCTCAGGTCGATGTCCCCTCTGCAACCGAGGCGCTTCACTCCATTCTGAGCTCCCACTCTAGCATCGACAGCGGGGGCTGGCAACTCGGCTGGCATCTCGTGTCAGTTGACAAAGCCCCCACCCACCAAAGGCCCCCGCCCCCACCAGTCCGCTCCGCCCCCACTTCGTCCCATTTAGAAGCCGCAGATCCTTTGACCGAAAACCTTGGTCATGGCTTCTACTCAGAGGGTTCTATTCAGGGGTCTGGCTCTGGTTGGGACAGCGTGACGTCACGAAAGGAAGTACGGGATGCCGGGGTCGCGGTGCAGACTCGAGACTCGGCGCCGAAGCCTTGGAGCTTGCACCGGAGTACGGTGTCTGAGAAGGAGGGGAGCGGGCTAGTGGGGGCTCCGTCTCGAGTGCGGCTTGCGGTGCTTAGAGTAAACCTTGCGTCTGCTCGGAAGTGGGTTCCTGCCAAGCTGCAGTTGGATGATCCCTCAAAAGAGTCGACTTTGAGAAGAAGCTTGTTACCGGCAGCATTTCCTACTGAACGGATGATTTCAAGCTCGGCACTAAACCTTAACGACAGCCGGGGGTCGAGAGACGCAGACGCAGTTTCCCGGGGTCCAAAAACCGAGGCCCTGTTCTCGAACTCCCCTCTCACAAACAGGGCTCATCCCCAGCCGAAGCTCGTCTCAGCAGGGCCTCTCCGCCGAGGCGACTTCCTAGCCGCCGTAGGGTCTCCGTTCGGGGCCCTGTCGCCGGGCCACTTCGCCAACAGTGTCTCTGTGGGCGTGTTGTCGAACTGGTGGCACGCGGACGAAAACAGGGCCCCGATTCTGCTGGCGGACATGAGGTGCTTGCCAGGCATGGAGGGAGGCCCTGTCGTGGACGGGAGCGGCGGCTTGGTGGGCCTGCTGTGGCGGCCACTCAGGCAGCGTAACAGCGGGGCTGAAGTGCAGGTGGGTGTGACAATATTCCGATATCATCCTTCCCGTTTGTGATCACTGTCTAGCATGATACAAAGGGATCCTGAGATTCTAGTTACTGCTGGCTTACCTCTCTGTCAATCTTCGAATCAGAATACCATTGCTCTGCTGGCTTGACGCTTGGAAGACATTTTGTGCATGACTATCGTGTAGCTTTTTGAAACTTAAACCTCACTTTCTTGCCACCTACTCTGATTATACCCGAACATTTTTTTTTCTCCTGTACTTTCCGGTCAAAGTCTTGATTTGATGTAAATGTATTCTCGACTAGTTCTTGACAGTATGCATGATTCGGCGCAACTTTGTGTTCCAGCCTTCTGGTCTTGGTACAGGCGTCCATCAGTCCACGCCGACGAGTATGTCCGTTCTTGTGCCTTCCGAACGTGCTCTCAGAATCTGACAAAGCTCAGAACCTCACGTCCGCATCAATGTAACCATACGTTTAAATCACAGATCGTTCAAGCGTTCCCCGGTTGATCGTTCGTCCCTTGCGTACATACACCTCAACAGCTGAACCTAATACACTCTCCATTCATGATTGGCAACGACATAGAAAGTGAAATTATCCCCAGAAGTTTGCCGCACCACCAAGGCTGGCTTGTTTTTCTTCGATTGCGGAATTTGCTGTGAGCTGAAACTCTTTTCCTCCTACTTCGCAGTTGATCATCACGTCAGACGCCCTCGCTCCAGCTTTGCGTCCCTTCGGCATCGACTTCGTCCCCCGTTCCTCTCCCCTCGCCCCCGTAGCTCCACTTGCCGCCTCCCAAGCAGCCGCCAGCAGGCCATTTGAAGCCGTGTTCACACCATCACCCCAGCCTACGACCAGCAGTGGTGTGAATGGGCAACCCAATATGGGTTACATCGAAACGCTCGGGAGTACCGCGCGGGACGCAGGACACTTTGGTAGCGATCAAGTGGCGGATCCGGTCAACCATCAGGAAATACTCCAAATGCACCCCACTTCCGCAGCGCCTAGCAATCGGTTCTCCACTGCGCCCTCTGAGAAGAGTCCAGGCAAGCGGCCTCTCAGAGAGCAGTTTCACACCCAGAAAGGCATTCACACTCCCGATCCAATCACCGCCCACACTACCCCTTTTCCTGCCCAGTTGGACATGCTGGAGCGCATTCACACCCCGGATGGTGTTCAAACTCCCGGAGGTATTCACACCTCGGAAGGCGTCCCCGCGGCGGCTGAGTCAGCGGCTGAGTCCGTCGTGTTACTTTCGATGGACGACGGCGCGTGGGCTTCCGGCGTCGTGCTCAGCGCCGAGGGGCTTATTCTCACCAACGCGCACCTGATCGAGCCCTGGAGGTTCGCGACCAAGCCCAAAGTGCACGGCTCCAAGCTGCAGCCACGAGTGCGCTTCGGCGCTTCGGTAGGAGGAGTGAGGGGGACAGGGGAGGAGAGTAAAGAGATGGGAGAGCGGCTCACGGGAGGGGAAGAGGGGTTTCGGGAAATGGGCGAAACGGAAAAAGCGCGGAGGCGGCGGAATGAGGGGCCGGCAGAGAGTCCGGCGAACGAGCGGAGAGCGGGTCGGAACGGAACGGAACGGTCTGAGAAAGATGTTGGAAGCGGAGCAGCTTCGGCAGCTGGTTCCTCGGCGGCCGGAATCCGGGGAGGTATTGGCGGAGCGGAAGGTGCGGGATGGCCGTCCTTTTCCGGCGGAACCCGAGAAGCCTTAGGGGAAATGCGGAGGGCGTTGCCGGAACTAGGTAGTGACTCAGGCGGCGTTGAAAAGCGTCCCACCCAACGCGGTGCGTACTGGGATTGTATACGTGGCAGTGACACCAGGTCAAGTGCCACGTGTCAGGAGCAGAGCGAGCCAGCTAGCCAACCGCTGTCCCGTTGGTCAGGAACGGAAGTAGAACGCTCAGGGAGCGCAGCTGAGAGTCGCGATCAGTGTGAATTCCCTCCAGGAATAGAGTATCCAGAGAGGAGCCTGCGAGAAGGCGAAAGCGCGCACAGTGCACGGCAATCAGCACGCTCGCTTGACATTCAAACTGTTGCGCAAAGGGGATCCCCTCGGCTGCTATCGCCCGTCTATTCGCCATCCCCCCCTCCATTGTCATTGCGAAAAACGGCGTCCAACCCGCCCCGCTACTACCGCCCCGTCAGGGTCCATCTGAGCGACCGCGGAGGAGCTGCCACGGGGCAGAGCGCGCGCGTAGTATTCGTCTCCCAGGGCCCCTTCGACGCAGCCGTTCTGCAGCTGCTGAACGCGCCGACGGGACTCCGGCCGATCGTTCCGGCGGAACGGGCTTCCGCCCCCGGCGCGACGGCGCTGGTCGTGGGACACGGGCTGTTTGGGCCCATGACTGGTGCGTTTATTTCTGAGAAGGCTCTCCTTTTTATGTTTTTAGCGGTTTGTTAGTCAGCTGAAAGTGCGCTGTCTGGCTGTCTGCTTTCAATCGACGACGCTGGGGTCTCTTTGAGAAGAAGAGTTCGCGTCGACGTGACTGTTTGACTGTCAGCCCGCGACCGTGGGTCTTCTTTCGTATTCGTCATCGAGTTTCGTCTCCTGAAAGATGCTGGAACTTAGCTAATCGATATTTGACTCGGACCAATCCTTAGGCGGGCCTTCTGTTCGCGAGGTAGTCCTAGACGCCTGAGGCGCAAGTCTGCAAAGGAGACGGGCTCGTTGTATTAATGAGACAGCCACCTAATCTTTCCTCTCAATCTCAGTTGCACTCAAAAGAGGAGTCAGGGTTCTTTCGTGCCTTGGTATTGATTTAGAAGGCGGACAGTCACTCACAGAAAGTTCCACGCTGCTTTCAGCGGTCTTGTTATAGACAGGAAGCAGTTGCACTCTTTTCCAAGAGGCAGTCCTCCCGCTCCCGTTTTCCCGCTTGAACCCATATCTGTTGCTTTCCTTCATCGAGCTTTCGTGTCTTTTGCGTGCCGTGTCTGCAGAGCCGCAAGCGTCCGTTCGTTACTCTGGCGCCGTACCGCGGCCCGAGATGCGAAATATAGGACTAAGCGCTGATGGCAATGTTGTTATGTCATCCATCGAAACAGTCAACACTTTCAATCAGTCAAGAATATCAAACTCGCGGGTTTTTCAATGCCATTTCGTCCGGTGCAGAGCTGCGACCGTTCGTGTTCTCCGGCGTCGTGTCAAATCCGACGGCCAGGTGGCAACGCATCCACAGTCGATAAGTTACAGGCCAAATTGTTCAGATTCAGAAACGCGTCCCTGTAGATCTGCGACCGCCCGTGTTATATTCCGGCGTCGTCTCACAGCTCGTCAGATCGGACGGCCACGTGGCTATCAATCCACGGTCATTACTTACAGGCCCAAAACATTCTTCACGTCCGAAAGTTCGTTTTCTGCAGAGTTGCGACCGTCCGTGTACTCCGGCGTCGTTTCGCGGCTCGTCAAATCGGACGGCCACGTGGCGATGCTGCAGACGACGGCAGCCGTCCACCCGGGTGGCAGCGGGGGCGCCGTGGTTGACGTCAGCGGCCGGCTGATCGGTCTGGTGACGTCAGCGGCGCGGCACAGCGGGGGGAGCATGCTGCCGCACCTCAACTTCAGCATACCGGTGGAGGCGCTGAAGCCCGTGTTTGACTTCGCAAATTCAGGTGATTGTCGTGAAGCATTTCTAACTGATTATGTACGTGATGAAATCAGCCGAACATTCTGTACAAGGTTTGCATTTGTGGCAACGAGAGTCGGCCGGATATGGGCTTCTGTTCAGTGAAGGCTCTGAAGCCCGTATTCGATTTCGGAAAGTCAGGTACATTTTGCAAGGCCCTCCTGACACTCGTAGTTGCTTAGACGTGTCGCCGATCCACGTTTGCCGACTCTGGGATCATGGGATCCCAGTCTGATCAGATTTCAAACTTGCTCGGACGACAGTCGATCGGGTCTCTGGCTTCTCTTTTGGCGGGGGCTCTGGAGCCCGCTTTCGAAACATTGTGCCGTTGTGGTTTTGTGCTACGAGATTCTGCTTCTCGTAGGAGACTACACTCGACTAACTTCGTGGGCGACAGAAGCGAAGTGGGAGCCGAAAGCAGAAGCAAATGCTTGCAAACCCCATACTGACAGAAGCTCGGTTTGCTCCTTTCAGGGGGTCTGAACGTGGGCCTTCTGGAGCCCCTCAACACGGCCAATAGTAAACTGTCTGCCATCTGGGCGCTTGCACCCCCTCCGCCGCTGCCCCGACCGGCGTCGACGCTCCTCCCCGGGCACATTCTGGAAAACCTACCGGGGCAAGAAGATATCGTTTATGGTTCCGGAAAGGGCACGAAATTTGCGCAGTTTCTGACGGATCGTGGCCAGGATTACTTGAAGAAGTCGACGCTTCTTCGAAGCAAATTGTGATGATGGTTGGGGCAGTCGTCGTGTTTTGAGCTCATACTGGCACCGGAGGGTTGTTGTGAAAATCCACAAGCTATCGCAACCATGAAGAGACAGTGAAAGGTGAGCATTGGTGTAGTTTAATCGCATGTCCAGGACGCACTGTAGGGTCGTAGATAGCATGCCAGGTTGACTAATGAGTATTTTGACCACAACCATGTGCCAAAAGCAGGATGATCGGAGATCAGTTTGTGCCTTGCAGGAATCAATCAACTTTGCGACGCTCGTTGAGAGAGGCAGCCGCACGAATATGTATATATGAAGACAAACTTCGAAAGCAATGCATCCAGCTGACGATGATCCTCATACGTATGCAATGATGCCGCATGCATGCATGCACATGAAGACAGTATAATCGACGAGCTATAGCTAGATCCCTGGCACATGTGCAAATCTGAGATAATACATAGTACATACCGCGTCGATCTTCGGATCCAGCCGTCCTATAAGCGGGCCGCGCACCCATATCGGTGCGGCCGCACGGAAGATCGACCTAGGCTATAGCTGTCGAACAGCCGGCCGCCGCCACGCATAGGGAGTACACAACCAGCCAAGGACTATGCATGCATGATTAACTGAGATGACGGTAAGGAGCGAGCTGAGCAATTGTGATCATGCAAGTGTGCATGATCCCCGCATGATCATGGCCTCGTTAACACCACTGATTCCAACGCGGACTTGATGCCTCCTCGCCAGCCTGTCGTCTCGTACTTTGACGGACAGCGAGCTCTCAACTGGGTAAGGACTCCACAGCGTCTAGAATTGTTGCCGCGGCGCTAGCTGTAAACGTCGGAGGCCCGCCCGGGCGAAGTAACTTCCGTTTTACCGGGGCGGCTGGATGGACGCATCCGTTGGTGTGCCCTTGAAGCTTTTGAAACGCGACTGCACCACTTAGCTAGGGTTAAGCACGCGTTTGAATAAATGAGGGCCTACTTAACTCTTTAAAGCCTATAGTTGGTCTTCAGACGGCAATTGGTTGCCCATCATCGTCTAGCCGCTCAGAGCCCATGAAGCCCTTGTACTTTGGAAGCCCGTCCCGAACGGCGAAGATCTTCTCCCCATAGTTGACGTGAAAGTCGGGCCTGAAGGAGACAAAGAAGAGGTTGTCCCGAAAGTGATGCGGACCAGCCCTCAGATCTTTTGGTAAAGCTTTCGGTTGAAAGTTGTTTGCCCGAGATGAGAAGACGTGTATTCGACCAGCTCCCGGCGATCCGCCGCTGCTTTGCTCCCGGTCTTCAGCGTTCTCGCTGACTGATGGAGCACATCAAACCAGGTCATCATCAACAAGTTGAGACTTGTTTTTTGGGAGTCTTGCCGTGCAATGGGGATTACATGATTGACGGCGTCAGGGGCCGAAGAGAACATGGAATCACCAAGATTGCTCGGTTTGCTTGCCCCTGCAGATAACCGTCGGTAGGCTTTTCAAATGTAAAGCTCCATGCGAGACCCCCTTCTTCAAAATTTCCAGTGCTTGAAACAGCTGGACTTGACAGTTTACGGGTAGGTGTTTCATACTTCGTATTCAAAAGCCAACCTTCAGTTCTTTTGGAAGAGCAGGAGGGATGATCGTGCGTGGAGACGAGCTGCCGAGCGACATACAGCAGGCATGCTAGCGACATAAAAAGGACTGGAAAAAAAAGGAACAGACGGCTGAAATGTTGAATCATACACGGTCGTTCAGAAAGAGCAGTCTTTCGTCGTTCCTTTTGCAAGCCAGAAGTGAGTCAAAAGAAGACGCTATTTGAAAGCTAGTGTCGGCTCCCCTGAAGACCACCTGGCGACCGAAAAGAGCAGTGTTCCAGCAGTCCTTTTGCAAGCCAAAAGGGAGTCAAAGAAGAAGCTACTTCAAAGCTAGTAATGGCTCACTTGAAGACAACCTGGCCTCCAAAAAGAGCAGGTTTTCGGCAAACCTTTCACAAGGCAAAAGGGAGTCAAAAGGAGAATTCAGAGCTATCAAAAAGCTGGTTTCGGCTCACTTGAAGTCGACGGCTCCTCCGAAGACGGTTGGGAAGGTGGTCACCATGCCCATTCCCGGAATGGAGTTAAACACGTGCGCTCCGCACCTGCGCACAAAGTTGGTCACTAATCGTTCCTTTTTCCCCTTTCTTCCCACCCCCCTTTTCCCTTTTCCCTTTTCTCTTTCCCCGCAGGGAGGAAGGTGGGCAGTCCCCCCGAACCGGGGTTCCCCCATGGAACCACACCACCACAAATTGACCACCCTCTTGAGCTCAACTTGATCGACACTGCCCTGGGCCCCAACAAACGTGTGCATTGGGTGATGAGGAATAAGTGGAATCGAACTGAGACCGGTACAATAGGATCGGGCTCTCCTCCCCGTCTGAACGAGGTTCGAGTGTCAACGCATGCCAATCCGGTTCCGCTTCATGGGCCGGAACGTAAATTTAAGTCAGTGCTTTGATGATTTGATTTGCAAGCAGACATGGATTCATGTTCTAACCCAGCAGCTCGAGTTCTCTCAGTGTAAGGGGCTCTCTTGAGTTTCCCCTCAGCTCCCCTCTCCTTTCCGCTGTTCTTCTCCTTCGGCGTCCCCTCTTTCCCCCGCCCTCCCTCCCCCTTTCTGCCCCTTTGCCCCTTCTCCCCTTCCCCCACCCCCCACGACGTTTTGCCCTCAGCCTCGATGACCGTCCTTCTGCCCATGGAAGTCCGGGCTTGGTTTTATTTAACCAAATCTGGTAAACGCGATCGAGTTTAACGATCCTTCACCCGACAGGATCGTTCTAGATCCGACATGCCGGCACAGCAGCACAAAGCCACGACGCGGATGTCATGAGGATGCAGAAAAGCCCGTTGCGAACGCATTATCTCGCATCGCAAGCTGTCTTAGTGTTGGAAAGCCAAGCGTGCTGGGGTTCATAATCCAATCACAATTTGAGGCTTTTCCAAGTCCGCAAGTAGACTGATCACGACAGAAAATTCAGCTGGGACTACAAACGGGAATATTTGATGGGGCAAAACCAAATTCGCTACCAGGCCTGACTACAAACAACAAAGCGGTGAGATTCGGAAAGTCAAATTGAAACAATAACGGCAGCAACATCTGGTCGACCTCGTAATGCAAATCGGAATGAATACTTACTCCTTGCAGAGATATCTGCGGCTGTAACTGTTGGGCGTGTGATGGTATAGCTTGAGCTTGTCTTCGCCCTTCACAATCCTAAGCCTGCAAAATGTGTGGGAACAAGTGAATGTCTGACATCGCACAGGCTGCAGGGAGAAGCGGCCGTATTCATGGGATCTTGCAGACAGTCCTGTGCTTGAGAATGACAATCGAAAGATGGATCAACTGAGAAGAAGATGAGAAGAAGATCTCTGGAAGGCCACTTGGCTGAGCGCAGAAGCAAAAACGGGCGCTGTGTGTTAACCAAATCAGGAATACCAATCGTATATATCCCCTTGAAAAGCTACTCGTGCCTGAGAGAACTGATGTTGCGCAAAACCCTGATTGCAGTCTTGCAGCTGCCAATGCCAATTGCAGCAAGCTTTAAACACGCACTTTTCGCACAATCTTGTAAAACTTCCTCCCTTGAGAGTCCAACCTGAGAAATACCTTCACGCAATTGGAGAATCCATTGAAGCAGTGGTAAGTAAGGATTGTATGCCGCAGACATTGTATAAGGGTGGCCCACGATCTAGTGCAAATATGTACTTACTTGCCCTCGCTGTCGGCTGACTTTCCATCTTCAAGCTTGATAGGGAAGGTCATGCAAGCCAGCGACGCGGTTGAGTGGGACCGCCGGCAAGACTCACAGTGACACAGGGTCTGTTGGGAAAAGTGGGCTTCGTTTGGATGGATAAAAGCCTGATAGAATCCAAATTGTAATTTAAGGTTTTGTGGGCAAGTCTGCAAGGTCCTGTGACTATGATAAGCAAAGACTTTCCCACAAAAGCTTATCAAATTGTCGTGGTCAGAAACGAGTCAGCTGCTGACCAAAGTATAGGGTCAAAAGTCAAAACTTCCTGCACTTCAGATAACGGAAGTAAGCCTGAGCATTGTGTTACCAGCTCCCTAACCAACGAACTCCCTGGATAGATCTGTGTTGTTTTCTATCTTATGTTTCGTCAGTAACAGTGAACGTGTCACATGCATTGGTCTGCTCAGCAAGCAGCAGCTGAAACAGCCTTTGAACGAAGGTCGCAAGTCCCAAAATGTTTGACGCGCCAGGGGGCCCACATCTAAGAGTCTACCGTTATCTTCCAGGGCTCCAACCAACGGAACTGCTCAGAAGGCGACCTCTGCCAACACAAAGGCTTGCAATGCTGGACCCGCCAAGTGTAGTAGTATCGACAGAGAGGGTGCATCACCACAACCAGCAGCCACCAGTGCTTACATGTACAAGCCGCTTTTCTGGACAGCAATCAGCAATTCTGTTCCTTATCATTCTCTGATATGAGGTGCAGTTTGAGTTGGACTAAGAGTCGGTAGCTTTATTGAAAGCTGGTGGACGCTGTCTGGGTAATCAGTCTGATAATTGCAGGCAATTGTGGAGAAGATCAACCACCTTCAACGACGAGCTTTGGGTGGAAAAGAGGCTTCAACTGTGACGAAGAAAGAGACTTTGTGCACTGCATCAACTGCATCTCACCTGCGCCAGTGCTTTCATCTGCACGATCTCGAATTGAACACTGGAGCAGAAGCATTGCCCTCGCAGGTACATGGGCGCTTCCTGTTGTTCCTTAGGATCCATTGTTTTCCAACTGAGATAAGTGCACAGATCGGCACTGGAGAGGGGCGTGAGAAGTTGTATGCAAAAAGTTGACGCAAAGGGTTCTCTAGGACCGACTTAGTAGTCAGCGCCACACAATGGCGCCGTTTGATGGCTATCTTGGAAGTGAGAGAGCCAATTTGCCCTATAGGTACCTAGCTTTGTTGAGGGAGTGCATATGGAGCATGCTGACGTAAATGACACCATAGAAGCACCTATAGGTTTCGTATCCTGACGTCAGACTATTCAGCGAATGCAAGGCAGACACCTGGCACTACTTTGAACGTCTTCCAGCACAGCTTTAAGGCCGTCGATGATCATCGAAACCCCTGATATTGACGGTCAGATTGGACGGGACACTCCCGCCAGATTTTGAAGTCTGAGCCTTGGTCAAAGTCGAAGTTGAAATTGGAAAGTCTTCAAACTCAGCAAGAACACACCTGAACACTGAACAGACGTGCTAGGTACCCGGGCCCCGTACCGTAGATCGTTGGCAATGCGACGCTGAAGCGCTAATGCAGAAGCCTGAGAAGGTGCAGTGAGGCGCCACTACTGGCTGAACAACCGACAGCAGGCTTTGATCAAGGCCAGCGCACGCTGGGCATCACATTGATATGAGCGAGCCCTCAAGCTTTTCGGTGTCGATTTGGCCAGCTGGGCCGAGTGGCAATGGAGGTGAGTGGCAGCTCTTGCATTGCCTTCATGACAATTTTCTCAGCTGGCTGTTAACACTTCTTCCGCAAAGAAGGCAACGCCAGTAAGGTTGAGGCAACCGCAAGATGCAACTCGTCTAATGCAGGCTATGCTCGATGTACGTTCATTCTTATGGAGGCATGCCATATGTAAACTGCCTCTTACTCTATCATTTGATCCGCTTTATTCCTTGCAACTCTTCTGATCGGCCTCTGCCTTTGCTACAGTCTCTTAGCCCGACAAGCAGCGTTGCAGAAGTAGCTGCAGCCACAGGCGCCCTCCTGTCAAACAGCCCTGATGAGGCTGCACGGGCTGACAAAGTGAGCATCACGTCCTTGATCAGGGCAAAAAATGCAGCTGCTCAGTCACCAGTTGGAGAGATCTTGCAGAGGTTGTCAGTGTTCCAGACTGGCAAACTATTATTACCTACTGCAGCAGTTTTGCTAAAAGTCGATCGAGACAGAATGTGCATCTCTTCATGTGCCCATGTCCTTAGAACCGTTTGTTGACAATTTTTGTAGGATTTCCAAAAACTTCACTGAGCTGTCATGATCTTCCTTTTTCATTTGCAGATTATCAGGGAACAATGCTGCGACGGACAGGTGTTGTTTCTGGTCAAAGAGGAGCCCGAGGATTTCATTGCGCAGCTTCAGCTGAGTTCGTTCGGATCAAAGATCAAAGTCAAGGCTGCTCTGAAGATGCTCGGCAGTACTGTTGGACCCAGCCACTCGTCAGAAGCTCCCAATGCCAGCCCTAAGTCCACACGTCAGCCCTCTGCTGAGGCAGAGACCAACCAGGGTGACGGACCTCCAAAGCCAGCTTCTCAGGTAAGATTGATTGGACTTGGAGCTACTAGGTTTGCCTTCTGCAGTCATTCAAGATTCCACTTAGATATCAGCAATATGGAACCTTCTGATTGACCTCAAAGCACACTCAATCTCATCATGCCTCTGTGCTTAACACGTGCAGGTCCTCTCAAATGTCAGCTACAGCAGAAAGTTTGGTTGCAGATATCAGTCAATGTGTGGCCATCAGAGCCAGCCAGGAAACAATGTTGTATGGTCCGCACGCTGCATTCGCTAACCAGCGCCTTCCCAATCCCACAGAAGGAGGACTTCACCAAATGCACGGCTCAGGAGCAACAGTCTCCCGTTGTGCTTCCAACCCCATCCCCAGTGCTGGCGAGTGGCGAGGGAGAGGATCTGAGCAAGCTCTCCCCAGTGCCTCTAACAATGGCTTCTCCCAGGACTCCAGCAGCCGGTGCTGATGTTGAGCGAAACAGCAATGCAGTTCCCGCCCAGGACATTCAGACAGGCCTAGGAGCACATGCTTCAGCTTCTGTCACAGCTGGTGCTGCCACTGTGGAGCAGAAGCTTTCGGACGTAAAGCCAGAGCCTATGGAGATTGACGTCCCCATTGGGCCAGTTGTGCCTCCAGCGACGACGGACTCTGAGAGAGCTGGGAGCGCTGAACCCCCAGCTCAGACCGCTGTTGCTGGTGCGCAAGTGAAAGCAGAGCCTGGAGCAGACGCACCTGAGATCAAACCGGAGTCTGTAGAAGCGCCGAAATCAAAGGCCCAGGCCTCAACCCCCAGACAGATGTTCAAGCAGACCATAGATGGGGCAAAGCAAGCCCTTGAGACAATGAAAATGCTGCTCATGCAGAAAGGGAAGAGCCTGGCACCAACCAACCGCGTGAAGGCATGGTGAGTCTGTTTTGAGCGAGCTTGCGAGGTGCAAAGTTGCCTTGCTTCCTGTGTGGATTTTAGGCATTGTGCTGAATGATCTATTGACAATGTAATCACAGATTGTCTTCATCGAGTTTGGTGAACTGGCTATCAGCTGCATCTTAGCTGCATTGCAAGAAGCGCCATGATATGCTTTCTGGAGCTCTCTGATCGGATAAAGGCTGTTGTCCATACCAAATTGTCGAAAGAGCGGCTTGCTTAGGAAAATCTATTCAGAATATCGCTGTTGAGCTTTCGAAAATGGATCCCAATTATCCATGATTGTTGGAGCTTGATGTCGCTCAATTCAACTTCTGCCTTACAGGACGGATGCGGCTGGCGATCTGTTAAGACAGACAGCAGTCCCTTCGACAAGGATTGGAGTTATTGGAGACACGGGTGCGGGGAAGAGTTCCCTGATCAATGCTGCTCTTGGCGAAGAAAGTATCCTTCCAACCAACGGTGAGTATCCGAGAATGGCAACCCGCCAATGTGCTGTAAGTTGCTGGAGAGCCTTCTTTTGCTACCACTTTGCGATGAGTACATTCCGTTAAGCTTTTGCTCAGTGCCAATATAGAGAAAGCACAAAATGGTTCTTCAAAGCATGTGCTGGAGCTTCTCAGAAGTTGGCCAGATTCGGGGCAAATGTAGCTGATGCTGTCATGGATCCCTATATCAACAGGAGAAGGTGTGTATGTGCAGGTATGAGGGCCTGCACCGCCACAGTCATCAGGCTGGAGTACAACACTGCGAACCGTCTCTACGAGGGGGAGGTGCACTTTGTGGCAAGGTATGAGAAACTCGAACAGTTGGCTGTTAGTGGACTGATTGCCTCTCCCCTTCATTTTGGGCCGTGAAGGTCTTGCACTTTGAGATTCAAAGCGGAGTCCAAGGTAACACTTGCACAGAAGACGATTGAAAGCATATGTGCATATTCTGAATGACGGACTTCCACTAGATGGTTCTCATTATTAAAATAATGGAGGATCAACATACATTTACTTACCTTAGTGTGTTATTTGGGCCACTTCAGGGACGAACTCCGTGCCGAGGTGGAGCTCCTGCTGGCAGATGCCAAGGAAGATGGCACGTCAATCAAGGTTGGCTCCAGGTACGAAACCCAACTCTGAACATGAAGCAGATCTTGTCATTAGCCCAGTGCCTAGCATCACAGGATACAACTTGCACCAACGAGTCTGGCAAGGAATCTGTTGGTGTTCCTTTTTAGACTCGTTCTGCAATGACAACTCATTACTACCCCCCCCAGTATTGGCTCTGTGAAAACCCAAGAGGTGTCAAAAAGTACTCAAGCGAACCTGCCAGAGGAAAAGATCACGGCACCCTTGAACCGTACCTCTCACAAACGACTAGCTTGTGTCCACAATCGGTAGCAGACTGAGCAAGCAATCCGCTTTGACCATTGCAGATTGCGTAGCTACTAAAATAAAGACACAGAAACTCTTGTCTCATCTCGGCTCGCAGGCTGAAGAATGACAGCGCCAAGGAGCTGGCCATTGCCAAGCTGGTGTCCATCTGGGGCAAGGACGTCATCCAGCGGCCCAATCTGACAGCCGACTACCTTCTCGGCCTCCCCGGCGTCACCAGTGTCCTGGGCGCCGTCAAGCACATCCGCAATGCGAAAGCTAAGGTAAGAACCAGCAACGCCATCCTAATCTTTGGTGGAAGAAGGATAATCGAAAAGCTCATCATTTCTCAGCTCGCATCTTCTCTTCGGGGTCTCGAGCATGCTGGATACTTCGTCGCGTCAACTCACGTTTCTCGTCGCGTCGGAAGGTTGTCTTATCTATGACTAATCGCAACTCTTAAAGCCTAAAACAGGGCCGCCTTCGCTTTGCTGGCATACTGCGATTTCGCTCCTGAGGCAGTCAGAAACGCTCCATCCCCTGACGCATTTAAGGGAGCTGATTGCTAATCCCTTCTCGATCGTACTTCAGGACTTCTCGAAAGAGATGAACAAGTACGTGGACTCGACGCCCTCAAACGAGATGACCGGGGGAGCCTTCTGGCCGCTTGTCAAGGAGGCGTGCATCCGCCACGCCTGGCCACTGCTGGAGTCCGGTGCCATCATTGTGGATCTGTAAGCGTAGCAGACTCTGAAAGGATCTTAGACTCAAAGCTTCCAATCTCACCTTGCTGTCGGTGTGCTTTGACGAGCACGTCTTTCTACAGCATGGGCGCCTTAGAAGCCCTCCGTGTGTTCCTCGTAAGGACGGCATTCTCTTGATGACTGTGCCGTCATCGCTTGAGCTTACTTTCGTGTTCTGCATCGATGTAGGCCCGGTGTCAGGGACGCCAATGCTGCGAGAGCAAAGGTGAGCTGTTTCGGTAACAGAACGTCGCCCGTCTAGTTGTCATCGAAGGGACTTCGGCAGTCCGGATTTTGGCCCGCTTTGAGTTCGTCTCATATATATTCTCGAGCTGGCTGGTCAAGTGTTCCTCTCTCGAAATGCCCTTGCAAACCCGCTTCGATTGTCAGCGGATCAAAGCGACGAGAATGGATCCCAAACGGAGGTAGCGGGCAGCAAATTTTGAAGGATAAGAAAAGCATCTTCTACGAACTAGTCTGCTTTATAATCGAGTGCTTTGAATTACGACGTGTCTTCTTCATCATCGCACTTCGCTGCTCAGGTGGCGGAGGGCTACCTGAAGAAGTGCAACACCATCTGGGTCGCAGCCAACATCTGCCGTGCCGTCGATGACGGGACTGCCAAGAATCTGCTAGGAGACAACTTCAGGCGCCAGGTGAGAAATATTCCGGCACCTCGATGCTTCATTGACACGTGTCAAGTGTCCATCTTTCAGACCCTTGGAGAAAGTTGGATTCCTTCTTGCTTGCGTCGTTTGCGCAGACGTTCAAGTTTACGGCATGAGCAGGCTGAAATCACGAACGTTACTTCGCTGTAGGATCTCGTTTCAGCATAACATCTTTTAGTATCCTTCTTCGATTCGAAAGCACCAATGTGAATCGGATTTGATCATGATCTGAGAGTAGCTAGGTTCAACAAAGACGGCCGATCGCACCCTTCTCCCTACGAGTAAGCCCGATTTGCGCACCACATAACTGATGCATCCTTCCGTGTGTCGGCAGCTCCTGATGGACGGGCAGTACGGGAAGCTGGCGTTCATCTGCACCAAGGTTGATGACATCAACACCGGCGAGACTATCAACACCCTCGGCGTGAGGAGGATCTGCGAAGACGTGAGCCGTCAACTGCTCATAAACCATGCGAGCTAGCATGTGTACGACCGCCATGTCGATGTGACGCAAACGTACTTCTTGGCCGCAGAAAGTCTCTCTTTCCGTTACTACTCCTAAAAAAAGATAATTGGTGGATGTAGACGTAAGTGAACCAATTCCATGCTTTTCCTAGATCATTCTCGTCGATAAATACAATTTTACTGCGATGACAGGTTTGCTTACATTTTCAATATTCAACGAACGCGAAATGAGTCAAAGTCAAACCGAAGAAGTTCTGCATGTATCACTCGATTTTATGTGGATGTACAGTGATCCTTGTTCAGAGTCTCTTGTCCAAGGAGCCTTTTTTGTGTCAGAACAGGCGTCAACTCCTCGTGTAACGAATCCGCTCTTCAGATCCAGGACAAGGTCCATCCGACAACTTTAATATTCTTCCTGACCGCCTTCTCAATGTACCAGCGGCTGACTTTGCTCTTCCGAACGCCACTGCAGAACGGCGTTAGCGAGGAGGAGTTTGACAAGCTGACCAGAGACATCGACGAGCTGGAAGACAAGAAGGTAACGGTCCTTGTCTCCCCTCTTCACAGCAGATTTATCCATTTACACTCGAACCCTTATCGACACTTATGCTGTAACTCGAGCTCCGGTCAGAGCAAGCCTTTTCAAACCTGCAAAGTTTTCTGAAAGTCTTCTTGGGACCTGCTAGAGACAACACTGGCAAGCAACACACTCAAGAGTATGAAACTGCAGCCTTCTGATATTGCACAGTCATTGTATGTCATGAAGCAGGCTGGGTATGACGATATTCGAAAGGAACCTCGAAGTTTTGTGACAGTCTGAACGTTATGCCTCTTTTCACTGAATCAGTACACGGCGGAAAAGCTGAACAAGACGCACCAGGAGCGCCTCGACCGCTACAAGGAGCAGATCGAAAGGTGGACCGAAGTCCGGGACAACCTGTCGGAGGAACTAGAGCTGGACCACGGAGTGCCGGACGAGACCGAGAGGAGCCTCCCGCACGACCTGGTGGCTGCCCTTGAGGCCGCCGAGGCGGCAGAAGCTGCAGGTAATACGCTTTGCAAATGAACCTCGACCGATCGGGAAGAGGACGCTGTCGTACTTACTAAGCCGACTGTTTTGAAATCCGTCGAGTTGTATGCCCTTTAACTCCTACTTTCTTTTGTCTGTCCAATTTTGTCTTGAAGTGGGCAGCGTCGCCGCGCTACTTCAGACCTTCAGAAGACCTTCAGAAGAGGTTCTGGTTTTTGTTGCCTGTCAAATCCTGTCGTGGAGCAGGCAGCATCGCGATGGAATCGCGTTGTACAGGTTGTCTTTCTTGGTATGAGTGCTTGGCTTGGCTTCACGTATCCGATCACGTTGCGTAGCTGAATATGTTGCGTGATGATCTGACCAACGTAGCAAGCAGGACCTCGCAATCTTTGAAGACTAGGCCACTCCTTTTGACATTGATTCTTGCCCAACCTTAGGTGAAGCGAACACAGGCGAGGCCGACGAGGGCGACCAATCTGAAGTCGAAGAGGACGGCGCATCTGAAGACGAGGACGAGGACTGGATGCCAGCCACCAAGCGGGCAAGGGTCGATCCTGAACTGCCAACACATGGTGAGTTGCTGTCCCCAGAGTTGCTTTAGAGGAACATGAACTTACGAACACAGTTTGTAAAAGAGACTGCAAACGATTGGGCGAGGACGTGCGCAGGCTGTCGTGCAACGTAATGAATGTCAACATCCAAATTCGACAATTTGATCAGACAATACGTAGCACTCGTTCACATCAGACCTGGTTACGGTGATAGACTGGCACGTATTTGGCCGGTCCAGAGATGTGCATGCGATTCTTAAGACGAGGAAACTCACGATGAGGAAACTCACGATGGATGTCTGCGCTCTGCCCGGAAAGGCCAGCAAGCTGCAGCGAAGCCGGATCCGGTCAGATGAAGTCGGTCAAGCGGACCCGGTCATGCGGAAAGCTCAACATGCATTGCTCCAATCTGCAGACCAGGCCTTCTGGCCTGGGGAGGCCGGCAAGCTGCAGGGCAAACGGAATCCGTTGAAGTGACTCCGGTCAAGTGGATCAAGCGGATCCGGGCAAGCGGAACCGGGCAAAGCGCAAATCTAACAATGCATTTCTCCCATTCTGCAGACCAGGCAATTCTGCGCGGGGAGAACGGCATGCTCCCAGCGAAGGCGGAAATCGGTCAGGCGGATTCTGGTCAGGCGGAAGAGCTCAAAATCTAACGATGTACTTCTCGCACTCTGCAGACCAGGCCTTTCTGCCCGGTGAGGCCGGCATGCTGCAGACCAAGCGGAACTCGATCGAACGGAACACGGTCAAGCGGAAACCTCACTTTGCATGTCTCCCTCTCTGCAGACCAGGCGTTTTTGCCCGGGGAGGCCGGCAAGCTGCAGGCCAAGCGGCGCAAGCTGAACCTGAAGCTGCGCAAGCTGCACCTCAACTTCCAGCTGTCCACCAAGGTGGTCAGAGAGACCGACGCGGAGATCAACGTCGTCCTGGGCCCGCTGACCAGGCTGACCAAGCGCCTCAAGTACCTGTGCGTCATCGCGCGCAACAAGTACTCCACGCACGAGCTCAAGGAGGACTTCAAGGTCAGGCTCGAAGTCGGATTTTTCAGAGAGGGTCTTTGATCGATCCCTGAGCACCTGGACAGCCAGCATACGTATGCAAGCATCCCACGATCTAGATTGCTGTGGAGGAAGTCAGGGCATAGGCGTTGCTGCTAATGGAAGGTGAAGAGCGCGGGGTGTTCCTTAGCCTTGAGCATCTGTGCAAGTTCCTTGCGTCAATTCTGAGGTCTTTCCTCTTTCTCAAACGGAGACTTTAGACGAACATCTATCTTCGCGGAAAATACGCCTCTCAAAGTTTCGGCCTGAGTATTTGCTGCGCTATCATCGGCATTTCAACGCTTCTTCCACTCTTTGTGACCGTGGTCATATTCTCTAATCGCAGGCGGGCTTGGAGGAGATGCAAGAGCTAGCCGGCAACAGCGGTGCACTTCAGGCGCAGGACCTTGACCTGCCCGTCTTCTGCATCTCATGTGAGAATCTCTATTTCTGTGTTCCTCTGTATATTTCTCCGGCGCAGGCGGTTACTCTGCCTTTCAAACCTGCTCTTGCATCAAAGGAGCCAACTGCACCTTTCGAAGCGGCTCCCAGGATGTACCAGAATCCATTGCGCTTCTTGCGAGCAGAAAAGGGATGCCTTTTTGGACGAGAAAACCAGATGGTTGCGGATGCGTGCAAAGGCTGTTCAGTCTCAACGATCCAAAAAAAGCTGACGGCCGAAATAAGTTTAGTCTCCACCCGTCGGCTTCGCCACTCGTTGGCCGCAGAGCTTTCAATCGTCGCCCGTTCCGAGCGAGCTTCAGACAGCTCCCTTCATTATCGAAACCCTAAGCCTTTGCGTTCCCCTTATCCGCGCTCTGTTCTTCCCGACCACAGCTAAGGAGGCGCAGACCTTCTCCCGCACGGCTCGGCGCAGTGGCAGCGCGCAGGTCTTCAGCAATGTTGAAGACACGGGCCTGCCACGGCTCCGGTCGTACCTGCACGATATCACTGGCAAGCAGCAGGTGGCGGGGGCCAAGCGCATGGCCACTGCTCTCACGGGCTACTTCGCCGGCATCTGCACTTACCTCAGGTGAGGCCTCTTTGCTTCATTTGTTTTTAATAGCAGATTTGCTTCGTTTGCTTTTGATGGCAGATTGAGTGCCTTATCGAGGCAGCAGGTGTCCAAGCGAAGGGTCAAATTGCAGGAAGGAAGCGCAAATCTAGACCTTAGGGTTTTATCAAAAGGACAAAGGATACTCGCTTGAGTATGTGTCTCTATTGTAATTTCTGACCAAAATCTGGTTTTCGCTGTTGGCTACCTTCAGGGGGCCTCCTGACAAACACGCTTCGAAAGTCACGCTTAAACACACCGATCCCGCCAGCCCCGTCTAAACAAGCACAACACTCGACGCCCCTCCGAAGCAGCGGCCACGACAACTTTCCGCAGCTAGGCTGGATATCACTGCAGACTCTTTCCTTCACCCCTTTCTGAAAGTCGTCCGCGTTCAAAGTCCGTTTTCGTCGCCGGGCAGAAGCTGTGCTCTGCGCCTGACCTGGCGAAATGCGCGAGCAGATTCATGTACAACCAAAACATCGTCAGGATCCTTTAGTCGGACGCGTCTCCCCGCTCTACCTTCAGCGACCGCTACGAAAGCTCTGCCGAAGATTCTCAGACTTCTGCGGTTTTTCCCATCTTTTCCTGCAGTGACGATGGCACGCTGGACAGCAAGGTGCGCGAGCCGACCCATACAGAATTGAACTCGGCAGCAGATTGCGTCGTGTGGCTCCGTCAGGAGATCACCACTGACAATAACGCTTTCTCTTTTCAACTGCAGCGACGACGGCACCCTGGACAGCGAGGTGCGCGAGCAGATCCGCGAGCTGTGCGAGCGCCACACGGGGCGGCTGGACGCGGAGGTTAAGGAGAAGTTGGCAGTGTCGAGCGGCAAACTGCAGGTATTTCCCAATCTGGTGAACAGGTAGCCCACTTGAAGCTTGTTGAAATTAACGTAGACCCTAAAATCGAAGGTTAGGGCTCCGCACCCAAACCCATCCTGACCACCTGACAAACCCTACTTGTGCCAGTCGCTGTTTACTGGCGAAAGTGTTTGCTGAATCGATCCGTATAAGCTGCCGGCCATGTTTACGACGGACGATTCCACTCACTGTTTAATTGCGAAACTGTTTACTGACTTGAGCCGTGTAAGCTGCAGGCCATGTTCACGACGGACGAGATCCAGCCGCAGCTGCACGCCGGCGTCGAGGACGCAGTCAACCGGGCGGTCTCTACGGCGCGCAAGTGGGGCAACTCGGCGCGGGCGGACAACCCGGGGGACCGCGGGCTCCACTGGGCGACCTACAAGGTGGGCCGCGACGGGTTTTTGCCGGCTTTTCTCGGACGGGAATACTGTGGTGCTTGTCGAGAATGACTCTGCCCGTGGATCTTTCCATGCTTACATTTTTGTTGGGTGAAAGAAAGGCTTCTGTCAAAGTGCCGTCATCAGAGGGAGTCGCTTGACCATGTCTAGAAGAAGTCGCCATTCGGAGGGCGAGGGACACAGTTGCGGGAAAGCCGGGGGAGGCCTCCGGCTAAACATGCGTTTTGGTAGGGCCAGAACACGTGTGGCACACTTTATTCTGAAGCTACCTCGTATACCCCTGCGATGCAACTGCTGTCACCTTTGCGTCGAGTCCAACTTGTCGTTTCTCGTCCTTCAACTTACGAAATTGCAAGTTCAAAAGCCGCGACTGTGATGCAGGCTGCTGTCCGACCCGGCCGCTTTGGCATCTACACCTCCCGCACGGCTGGGCAGATTGACATGAACGAGGCGCTGGCGAAGCCCATCCACAACAAAGTCTCAGTCGCCTGGTAAGTACCTTTCACTCCGAAACGCGTTTTCTTAACATACCTAGCTGTCATGGATTGAGAGAATCAAAGGAAGACTTTCGTGAGCAGTACCCGATTGGCACGTATGCTAAGTTGCTGTCAACCTGGACAAACCAAAAGAAAATCGAAGGCTCACCTCCTGCGCCCTGCCCCATGAGACGGCGTCTGGCAATGCTGTCACCGACCTTTATTTGTTCAAACCGCATCCCTGCTTCTTATTCAGGACCCAACGAAAACCTCACGTTGTCGATTCAAACCCATCCTAAGACTCCTTTTGCCAACCTCTTCCTCAAATGCAACAACTTTTTGCGCAGGGACACGGTTATGAACAGCCGGGCCAAGGAGCATCTGCTGGAGTACCAGACGGAGGTATTGGGATCTCTCGGCGACTTTTGCAAGTAAGCCGTGTGACACTCCGAACACGCGCATAAGTCCACACTCTGGTTCCCCACGCAGGGCTCGAAAAGTACGAAGAACAAAAGAATAGGGTCTTCAACGATTCCGAATGAAGGGGTCTATTTGATCACCGGGTCGCTTGAGAAAGGAGAATCAGCCTCTGATTCGACTGGTCTCCTGAAAAGCATCACCTCATTCCCAGGTCCGTCTTGCTGAGCATTCTGGTGCTTTACAGACTTGTTACGAAGCTGGCTACTCTCACCTTCAGTCTCGAAAAGACGTTCGTCTTAGTGCTCATTCGTTTCATCTTTTTCTCTTCGCTGCAGGGAACTGCGAAAGGTGTTGCTGGGCCTCGGTGTGGAAGAGCCGCGAATCCTCCGGGTTGAGAGGACGGTGAGGCATTGCCCGTAATCGTTGCTCTTGATTGAAAGACTTATCTCAAGCTCTTACATTCTCTGCGAGGTCCTATCTTTCTGCACACAAGCAAGAGATTGTGTATAGGTCCTAGCTAGCGCCAAAAGCTTGCTAGTATGCTTATCCAGTATAAGCGCATCGGCGATCGAACGCCACTGGCAGACTTTGGCCTTTGAACTTTGCTTACTGGACCTACTGCGCACGGCTCGCACCGTAATCTCGTTCGCAACCCTTCGTGCGCTTTTGGTCTGTGTGACCCTGACAAAGCGACTGAACGCCTAAAATGACGCTGGCATTATCGTGCATGCCGGCAGGCCGAGGTGGACTACACCGAGAAGCCGAGACCAAGACCAGCACGTTTTCTTCTTTTGCCCCACTTCGTACGCTTGCTAACGAAGTATTTTCAGGATGTGCGCCCTCAGATAATCACCATAATTCATATGTACGCAATGGTGGGACTGACAAGGAAACTGCGTTAATAAAACAACGCTGACTTTATTGTATATGCCGGCAGGCGGAGGTGGACTACACCGAGAAGCTGGAGACCAAGATCGAGGAGGTGCTGAAGTTCATGGAGGAGCAGCAGCGGGACATCTCCCGGGCCCTCAACCCAGAGGTACGCCAAAGCTTACTCGTGATTGGTGCGGCCTTCTTCGGACGGTATTCGTTTTGGACGACCGATCCAGATGTCAATTTCGGACTGTGTGAGCCAGTCTCGGCTGCACGAGCGCGTGTAATACGTGTCGTGCGCGGCTCGTCTCCTGGTGGTACTTCGAACGCGTCGTTTAAAGAAAGGATGCGCTCGAGCAACCGCAGACTGAGTCAGAACTGTTTCTTTTGCGGTCGATCTGCTGGATCGGGTCTTGATGCAAGTTGCTCATTTTCCGGGGGCGCCCCGTCTCTCCTCTCCTTCCTCGCCGGACAGATCATCTTGCTAACGCTTTCTGGTGAACACTTTTGTTGACTATTCACTACAACATTCACACCTTTCAAGAGCTCTTCAAAGCAACAAGTGCCAGGAGGCCATCATTTGAACGGCTCGGACTTTCTTCTGCAACAGATCCAGGAGCGGATGAAGGACGCCTACATTGGCTGCACGGAAGAGCGGGGCTCAGGCTCGTTCAACCGCATGAAGGCAATCATGGAGAAACACGTCGAGTAAGCAAGCCGCTCCCTGGCACCTAGGTGACTGGAACTACTGCAGAATTAAGGCGCAATCTGCAGCGTCAAGTGGAAGCTGTCTGTCTGCTAACGATGTCCCCTCTGGGGGATGCTTGCAAGCGGTCCTCTGGCGTCAGCAGCCCAGCAATAGGCGGTACAGGGCGCCTTGAAATTGTGTGACGACATATGATTACCGAAACGGTCATTGAATACTTCTGCTTTCGCTTTCTCCAGCTCGGAGCGGCAGACCATGTTCGAGGACGCTTCCGAGAGGATGCTGGCTGCCCTGGAGGACCTGGCTGTGCAGATCCGGGACATGACCGGCAAGATCACCGAGGGCCTCACCAAGACCCTCCAGCAGCACTACGGTGAGCCTGCGCATTGTCTATCTCGGCTGCCGCTGTAAACCTTCGAACTTTAAAAACCCCCGCAAATATGAGAATCCAAACCGCAGATTCGCGTCCTGAGCTGCTTCGTGGAACAAATTTGTGCGCAACTGTCGTCTCGGCGGCCCCAAACTCGTAGGTATTCACTTATTGAACCACCTGGACATCACGCCCTGGCTGCTTCTATGACGACCCCGTGCTCGACCTGTCAACTAGGTTTGTTTGCTTCTCTGTACACGCTTGCATTTCGCGCACATAAGCTTTTTCTCGTCAGATTCCTCGGATGTTGGCTGAGATCGTCAAAGTCCTCAGAATGTCAGTTCGCACAGTTTATGTCTCGCGTGATCGCCTTCCAGGCTGCTTCTAGGCTGACCCCGTACTCGACATTTTCATGAGTTCCTCATTCAAAGTCCTTAAAAGGTCAAGTCTCACATATTTTGAACACTCCTAAACCCACGCCAAGGCTGCATCTAGGAGGACCCCGAGCTCAACCTGTCTTAGTCACCGCCGGCAACCTTCAAAGCCCCAATCCGCATAAACCCGCAACTCTGTTAGGTCCACCCTTGCACTCTGCTTCTGGATCTTCTTTGTGGCGGAACAGCCACGCTTCAAACGCAAAGTTTGACTTGGCTATTGACTACCGACCACAAACCCTACCCCGCAAATTCGCGAACCTCAATCTTGAATCCCAGGCTGCCTCTGTGACGACCGGGCTGTGCTCGACCTATCTCGGATGCCGCCTGAGATCCTCAAAGTCCCTCAAAAGTCCTTCCGAAGTCGGTTCACAGAACTTTTGTAACACTCATCTTTCCACTCCAGGCTGCTCCCATAACGACCCCGTGCTCGACTTGTCTCTCCCAGTCCTTTCTCCTCTCAAAGTCCCTCAGAGTCCATCCAAAGTCAGTCCACACAAACCTTCAAACACTGGCAACCCCACTCCAGGCTGCTTCTGGGACGACCCAGTGCTCGACCTGGCCGGCCGCAACGCCGCGGCCGCGGACCTGAGCATCATCTGCAAGCAGGCCGACGCGGTGTGCGCAGTCGCGGGCGTTGCGCCGCAGCCGTGGTCCATCGTGCCCCGTACAGCGCCCGAGCCAAAGCCCCGAGCGGTGCCAAAGCCGAAGGCCGAGCCCGGCAGCACTGCCACCAGCAAGGTGAGAGAAAATGCCCATCCTGGTTATTTAGCCCGCGCTCAGAACCTTTATACTCTCAAGCTCTTAGAACCCGTATAGTTTCAAACCTGAAGTTTGGTCCATCGCGCCCCGCAAAGCGCCCGAGCCCGAAGCCCCGAGCGGTGCCCAAACCGAAGGCCGAGCCCGGCACCACCGCCATTAGCAAGGTGAGAGAGTGGTTACTTACCTGGTTAAGCAACCCGCGCTTAAAACCCTTTTCACTTAGAACCCCAAGTATGGCCATATCGCGCCCCGGAAAGCGCCCCAGCCGAAGCCCAGAGCGGTGCCAAAGCCGAAGACCGAGCCCAAATCAGCACCGACACCAGCAAAGTCAGAAGGAAGCTAAGCTACCTGGTTAAGCAAGGAGCGGTACATGTACTCGACGCTTGATGTTTTGAGGTCTGATTAGCCGGACCCGAGCCACAAATCGTCGTCTTCTGACGCACATCTACTTTGGGGCGCTTACATGGACAAATTCCCTTTGGTTGTTGATTGTTACGGTTCGTCGTCTTGCGGACACTGTCCATTCAACAAGTGTAGATTCGCTCCAGTCGACCGGCGACCGGTAAAAAGCCAACAAGAATCTTGGTCCATTGTGCCCATCGTACTTGACTGCGAAATGCAGGAGAGTCGCAGTTTTATCGAGCTCTTTACATGATATTAGGCTGACCTGAAGCATGCTTGCGCTTTTGACAGAGATCAAAACGTTTTGCAATTGAAATGAGATCCCGTGCTGCTGAACCTGTCACCGTGCTGGCACGCAATGCTGCTATGTGATGCATTGTTCAAAACATTTGAGTCGTCTTTTCGCAGTATGCTGCCTGGAGCCTTACTCGACCCGAGGACTTCGACTCCGATGATGAAGAGAGCGACGATGACGAAGAGTCGGAGGAGAACGACCCAACGACGCGGGTAAAGAAAGCGTCCTTCCTTTTTCTCAATTGACTCTTTTTGTAATTGCAATTGAGGTTGTCGAAACTAGACTAGAACGTACTTTTCATGACCAGGAAAGGGAAGAGGCCAAGTTCTGGCCAAAGATTGCACCTGCTTATGCGGTCAGCGGAGCCGCCGGGGTCCCTATGAATAATTTTGTAACTGGACACAGTCCCACTGGACTTTCAGGACGGCACGGATGCCGGACACTCAAGAAAGTCATTTTAGGATGCTAGCTATTGTTGCTGGGCTTTTTGGAAGTTGTGTCAGCTAGACAGGAAGGTTCAAGTGCGGGTGCAATATGGTTTCCTCTGGAGCTTGCTCCTCCGGCATCAGTAAATGCTATTCAGTGAACATTCACAGGGTTATTCTGCTCTGTCTACTCTTACCTCCGACCTTGGACACGACCTTGTCGATTTGAGTCAGCCTACTGGTTGCTCGACGTTTTCATAATCTCGTCTCCCACCCCCACTTATTGATGGTGACCAATTGTGTGCACTATAAGAGGCCTCCGAGCCCGGAGCTCGACGACGACGACGAAGAGGACGACGACGAAGAGGAGGAAGAGAACAATCATTCGGTACGTGTACAATCTGTCGCTTTTACTCTGCTATTCTCCATTTTTCAAGCCCCCTCGAGAAGCTGGAGATCCTCAGAATTCAAAAAAGCCGACGGTTCGGGTGGAGCGAATGCCAGCCAAACGTGAGCACAATCCTGTTTGGAATTGCCTTGGTAATCTGCAATCCATGCCGTAGATTTGAGGTAGTCTTAAAGAAGATTGATTGTACAGCATGAGGCGCCAGAGCCGCCACCTGGTTGTTGAGACACCGATTGAACAAGATTGGTGCGCGAATGCAAGTACGGCTGCGGGCCTTTCGCTTACCGATTGGTTTTCCCTGCAGAGTAGACCAGGTCATGAGCAGAATGTGGTATATTTCTGCTGATTAGTGTTGTTCAAACCGACCCAGTGCTTTTTCCTAAGACCTCGCACAGTCCGTTCCTTGTAGATCATGAACAAACTTTTTCTCCTTGACCTAGGGAAGGCTTTGAGTTGCAGAGTTTCCAACCCTTACTTGCTTTATGCATGTAGCAGTACAGCGTTTTTTAAAAGTGGAAAATCCTGGCAGCCATGGGTTCTGATCTCTCGCTTCTTCCTACAGCCCACGTGTCACGTGGACTTTTGCGTGGAGTGCAACGAGTGCCACCATTGCGAAGGCTACGATTGTGACGGCAACGATTACGAAGATGACGAACTCAACGAGGACGAAGACGAGGAGGATGAAGACGAGGATCAATCGATTTACTGAACCTGTATCACAAGCACCGTTGGTCGAGTCCTTAGAGTTGTCAATATGTTTAAGATTGTACTTCATAGGTCTCTGGATTTGACATGGTACAATACATAAAGCAGGGCCCTATAAATAGCTAGGACAAGCAGACGTGGTGTGTGCGTTAGCTGCTTCGTGTCATGGGTTGTATGACACTTCTTGTGTATGGTAGGGAGCCGTTGAGCGTACCTTTGGAAAAAAAGCAGACCCGTTATATAACGTACACATGCTGACGAAATCTGCGAACAGACGCTCAAGTTTATTATTGCATTCGAAGGATCCACTGGATCCTTTTATCGCTTAATTCTTGGAGAAAGGCCTGATCCGGCTTTGTATGGAAAATAAACACCATGGAGGATTTGAAAATGCTCGGTTGTTCGCGACGAGCTTTCTGGACTGATCGCAAATCACAGCACTTTCGAATGCAGTTAAAGAGGAGCCTCAATAACATTCTCCCAATGCGTAGGTCCTCATGTTTGGTTTGGTAGTACCAGTTGTTTGATGCACATTTCAGATGCTTCGGCTTGGCAAGGATCGTTAGAATGCGGGATTCCAGAGTGATGTTCCGATTGTACGGATGTTTGGGGCCCTACCCTCCAGCAATGCAATCTAATCATTGAATAAGGCGTTGGTCATGCTCGTGGCTTGCCATGCATCTACTGTACTGTACCATGTATAAGCGCGGCTCCAATCTGCCTTGTTGCGCATGCGTGTCCAGAATATTAAGCCACGAGCTGAATAGGACAAGGCACAGTCGTCGGACCTTGACGCGTCTTGATGTACTAAGACAGCTAGCTTCAAGGCGGTGCGCACATATGTTAGGTTCAACGGGTCGACTGCCTCGGGCAATAATTGCAGCTAGCTAGAGCCGGACTAGCTCCGATGCTGACTTTTTGTCCATCTCAGTCTAACGTAAATGAGCCTGGCTTGAGCTCCGAGTCCTCAAGGAGTCTTCTTCTGCTTTTCAACCACATGGTGGCCTGTCTCCAGACCTAAGACTGGTGCGCCCTATTTCGGATGTTTTCGATTCCGGACGGGCAAAGTTCGATCCGATTTTCGGACGTGTAAAACCAGAGTTTCACTCGGTGAAATTGCAGTCGATTCGATACCCTTTTATTGCCAGATCGAAAAGTGGCCACGTCATCAACCCGCGTTTCGATTCGCGATTAAAAAGCTATCGAACAGACTGCATTTACCCGTCCGAAAATCGGATCGAACTTTGCCCGTCCGGGATCGAAAACATCCGAAATAGGGCGCACCAGTCTTACATCCCTGGCTTACATCTACAAATGGCGGCACCGTCCTACCGTCAACCAGCCTCCATCGTCAAGTCCATACTCGTGATCAGCAGATCCACATGCATGACCGTTCACATGCTCAGCAGTCCTGACTTATGCCATGCTGTTCGTCCAGATGCAACGGATTCCAGTGCTCGCCGGCCGGTTGGAGCCTGTTCAAAGCAAGGCCAAGACTTTCTTGCGACAAAAAGTGAGCGGCCGCGTCGGTCCGGACGAGCGGCCGCGCTCCGACAAAGACGGGGTTAATCTTTGACGTCTTCACAGCTGCCGCAACGTCTGGTGCCGCCGCTCGCATCTTGGCTCGTTTCCAAGCACGACCTAGATGCACATCATATCCAAACCTTTGTAATCCCAAGACCAAGCGCCCAAGTTGAAAGACTAACGTCTGTGCAGTCTCTCAGGAGGAGTCTAGCGCGCTTCACAGCATAAATGACAAGAGAATCATGAATGTAAGCTGCTAGTCCGCCCGCAGAGTTTTCGATCCATCTTCACACGACAGGTGAAATCATAAAGTTCAGCAGGCGACTGCACCGCTGAATGAAGATTGACTCAAGGCAACTGGAACTTCGGAGATTAGACTTGTCTACTGTCAAGGCACACCAGCGGAAGCAGAATGGGTTGTTAGTCCTCCTGGCTGCTAGGTATGTTTTTCATGAGAATCTTCCATCCCTTCAGCTCCTCCAGTCCAGCCTTTACGAACTCTTCTGGCTAAGTGTGATTGCCTGAAGAAATTTTTGGTCGACATCCAGCCACTGGTCCGGGCCAGATTCACCTGTCCAACTCTGATCGATTGTAGAATTGTTCGAACGAGCGGTGCAACCACTAGAAGGAGTCATGCAACTCCATTCTATTTCCAGCATGGATGACTCTCTACTTCACACATTCGTCTGACTTTTCACACCGCAATGTGAACATAAGATTTCCTATCACAGATATTAGGTGTACGGCATCTATTCTCTTTGATTCAGAATCATGAAAAGGTCCACTTCAACCTTTGCGAAATGGCTGATGAAGCTTTACTTGTTTGCAGGTCCTTCGTAGCTGCTGGTTATTCTCGTGCGAAGTGGGAAAAGGGATATGGATTTGAAGAGCTCTCAGTATACAAACATCTCGACAATGGCGGACGCAGAATTTCCCCTTATGTCGAATGAGAAGGATTCACACGTCTTTGTGGACACCGACAGATTTGGCATTCAGCGAGTCAGTGACCGGTTTTCGCTCAGTGACTCTGTTTTAGAGCTTCCTCCGGTTGACGAGAGATGCTTGGAGCATCTGAGAAAGGCTGGAATAATTGCTAGGCCCACCATAATGGTAAGACTCAGCAACCTGCTCAGCATTCTCTTTGCATGTACCGAAGAAGAGGGAGCTCGAGATGCTTTGTTGCAAAAGCTTTACATCGTGCAAGCTCCTTGCGTAGACAACCTATGCTTGAAGTCTTTCAATGGATGCTTGTACCAGGAAACTATACATCCTTCGTCCATCTCATTGCCATGAATACGTGTTTGCAGTATGACGAATCATCACCCGCCACGGCCCTCACAGCATTTGGTGGAACAGCTCTCAAGACGGTTCTGATGCGTCCAGAATTTTGGTGCGTTATGCTGCTGCATATCGTGCTCAGCTACCTCTACTACGATGTGTGGCACAACCCTGTCGTGGAAGCTGGCTCGACTGGGAGCAAGCAGTCGTGGCCTTTCCTGGCGGCTGCAACCCTCAGTGAGCATTTTCTTCCTTGTATATTGATATATCCTGAGCCTTAATAAGAATACAGGTAGATCTGGGGAACCGTATTGTTTGCTCAACTTTACATCTTCCAGACTGTCATCGTGCTTCACAAAGAAGCAAAGTACCCAGGAAGCAACACAATGTTCTTTTCAAGCACTTTGAAGCTGTATTCGCATGAGTTGATTGGTCTTGATCCACACAACTTCTCTGCCTCTGTTTCCATGTCTCTGTTGTTTTCTCTCCTCTCAGCCATTCCCGGCAGCATGCTCGTCTTCTTCCTGGTCTTCCATACAAGTCAAGCTTACACGAGGTTCTTCACGCAGTATCTCGCCTACAGAAGTGCCGAGGTAAGCTGAATGCCCTTAGCTCATATTCTACTTTATTCCTTCCTCACACATTCTTAATTTCCACAATTGAAACACATCATCAATCATAGAAGGTGTTACCACATTCCAAGCAGTCTCCAAAAACGATCCAGGAAGAAGCGAACGTTGAATTCGTAAACCCGCTTCCGCGCTTCGTCAGCTCCATCAAACTAGAAGTGATTGAGGAGCCTCTGTTGTTCCTAGAACTGTAGATTGAGAATTCCATCATCTCTGTACAGGCTCGGACCTGTCGTATCTGTTCTGAGCTCCGGACCTTCTTTCCGGACAAAGCTTTCCCCGAGGCCCGTTTGGAGCGCGTCACAATTGCCCGGTGGATGATTGGCATCATGTATATGGGTCTAGCAACCCTTCCTGAGTACCAGGACAACGGCGTCTTGGACTGGGCATGGCGTCAGGTGGTTGACTTTCAGGTCCTGACCGTCAGGGAGGCACAGATGCTCAAGGCCCTTCCCAGAGGTGTGCCAAGAGAACTCAGGATAAACGGCGTGACCTTGCCTAGAAAGGAATCATTGATTTCAAACTGCTTATCTTGGAATTCTACGAGTACATTGAGGGGAACTCAGGAAAACCACAATACCTTTATCTCATGAAACCTTGACAATGTCAAGATCTCCCCTTTCTTTGCCTTCTGGGAATGGCGTCTTACGTCGCACATCTGCGCAGACATCACTGAGTTCTTTGGTGCTTGACCTGCGTCTCGTTTCTTTCAGACCAACAGGTGGCAAGTGAGATCACATCCTGGGTCTCGCAAGAACTCTACGGCCAAGTCGAAGCAGGACACCTCCAGTTGGGGATCTACAGTTGGCTTATTGATCAGCTCTACGAAGTGAGTCACTTCTTCTGAAAATCTTTGTTGCCTGTGTCCTCTACATACCCATCAAGTTTTCCATGTCACAAGCAAGGATCAAAGACTTTTCGAAAGTCGAAATTGCATTCCAACTGCTGAGTCTGCATGGAACCCCCTGGATCTTCAGCAGACAGAGAAAAGTCTGTACCCTGCTGCTGCATGTCGGCCATCACCCCCCAACTTAAGAATCAGCCGGTTAACAGCAGATAAAGTTTTAGCACGCACTAACATGTGTCATAACAAACAACGGTTCGTCGATATGGTAAACGAAGCACCGATTCCATCTAAAAATCTCTTGATTCTACGTTCATCAACGGAAAGTCACAGCAAGTCGACAACCGGCGCATGGCATGTGGGCATAACAGACTGCTGTTTTACCTCTTCTTGAGATGCGGACCGATGCAGAAAGCATGTCTCATTACGAAATCGTTTTCTGCCTGCAGGTCGGCACTCAGCTGGCTGTGCTCCGGAGCCATGTCCTGATGCCGGTGCCGTTCGCGTTCTTCCACCTGCAGAACTTCATTCTGATCATCTACCTGTTGCTCCTGGCGTACACGTACACCATGTTCGCCCGCTACTGGTCCATCCTCGCCATGTTCCTCACCTGCCTCTCGCTCCTCGGCCTGCGCGAGCTCGCGTGCGCGCTCTCCGACCCCTTCGGCAACGACGACACGGTACGTGCCCTGACATCCTGCCCTCATGTGCTCCTTTGGCACCGCCGCCGTTGTAGCTTTATACGATCGTTAGTCTCCTGACTGCGCTTCGGCGTCGATCTCGAAACCTAGCCTTATTTTTGCAACTCTAACGTTTGCCCATTTTTGAGAAGAGTTGTCGAGGCTCGAGAACTATCAAGGCGGTAGCTCAGCTAACTAAGCTCCAAACAACTAAAACGACGTCATCTAACGTCAGCTTGAGGGCCCGCCGTCCTCACCTGCGCTCCTTCCGCCGCTGTTTGTCCTCCTCCCGCTTTTCGGCGTCCTTCCTCCTCTGCTCCAGAGCAAAGATGGTCGCCCTTTCGGGGTCCTGGCCCGACACGCGCAGTGCCCGCCGCGACTCCGCCAATGAGAAACCCATGCCGGTTAGCTTCACCAGGGACTCGTCCGATACTTGTAGCTGCGGAATAAGCGAGCTCCAAGTTACGTCTAGAAACTGACTTCTCCAGGGTAAATTCTGGAGTGTGGATGTATAGGGTCACCACGTTAACCAAGGGCCTCATTCGACTTTTTGCAGCTGCAGAAACCAGAGGTCGAGTGAGGGGGTCCTATCTCCGTAATATTGGCATTGGGGAAAGTTCAGACTAAGGACTCTCTGGTCAGATTAATTGTGCCAACTTGCTGCAAGCAGGGACTTGACACTGTGTAGAAGAAAACATTCGAACAGAGTTGCATCACTAAGAACAAGAATGTCATTTCTTGACACATGCTAAACGATAGCCAAGCAGAAGGATCACTTGCTTTCTTAGACAGCAAGACGAAGATAATTTCCGGACCTGCTTATACTTCCCCTCCGCTGACTGCAGTGCCTGCTTCGCTGCCACTGGCTGACCGCTGTGAAAAGCCACCACTCCCTCCAGCGTCTCTAGTCTCACATACCTGTGAGGAAAGCGTGCCGCGTCACATTCTTGGCCGAGTGATTTCCCACGGCGATATATGACGTGAGCACCGGGTAAAGCAGCACCGAACGATCGGCATTCAAGCCACTTTTCCCGATGGTAGTGTTTGTAACCCAACGGACTAGTCAAGTGGCCACAAGCGTACCACAGTTGAAATGCTTCGGAAAAGGATATGCAATTTATCGACAATCCACAGCGAGCTTGGTGGGCCATGTTCCTGCCGCATCCGCCAGCCCTAGGAACGCAGTTCCGTCGCCATTTTGGAAAAACTTGCTAGAACACTAGACTTCTAGACAACAAGACCACCCAAAATCAAGAAGCCTCGAATCATTACAAACCTTGGAAAGCGGGACCTGGGAAAAGGCTCAGCCTGAGGCTACTCACGGGGCAAGCCCGATGCAAAGCCCTCCCTGCACTATCCGCAACCGTCCCATTGCTTTTTGACGGAATCACCGCTTCGTCAAACGCTCAGAAACCCTCAACTTGAACCGTTCAAACCCTGAGTTTTTCCGAATAACATGCCTCACAACGTCTCTGCTTGATCAGACGCCCACGTTTTACCTTTGGATGAATCCACCGTTGGAGCCCTGAAATTCGGAGGAAAAATACAAATCTCGACCGACTCACAGCGCGAGCTCGGGGCAAAAGCCGCCCTGCAGCATCCGCAGCCGTTCCAGGTGCGCCCCATGCGCTTTGCGGAGCCCAGCGCGCGCGTTCGTGAGCCGCTCGCGCGCAACAGCCAGGCGCGCCACGTCTTTCAGCATGTACAGGCACCACACGGTGTCGATCTGGAGGAGCGACACGTTGTCCACCGCCTGGAAAGCAATCGGACGATTGTTTGGGTATTTTTAGGCATCTAAATTCAGAGTGTTCTCAAAGTGCGGAGCTCTCTTGTCAGGAGAGAATGCGGGCTGAATCGGTATGGATTGAGTGGATTTAGGGAGTACTTGGTTCTTCTGCTTTTTCATCTGGGAAAAGGAGCGAGATCTTGATCTGAATCTAAGCTTTGTCTTACGCTTCGAATTGTAGCACTATCTTCGGTTTGAGGGGATCCAGAATCTTCTTGGGGTCGCAAAGAGCGACTTCTCTCACTGGCCCCCTCGAGGCCTTTACTTGAATCCCAGGAGAGACGGGGCCCCAAGTGGACTCAGAGAAAGGCTGGCTGTAGTGCTCCTGAGCGGGAAAAGGGGCCCGCGGGTCTAGAAATCGACAGGCGTCAACATCGGCGAATTGCAGATGACCTTCCGTCAAACGCCCTTCGCGTTGAAGAGCTAGAGAAAGCAGGATCAGAACGACCACGGGACGAAGAAAGCAGGGATGGGATGAGGTAACGAAGGACAACCGGCTTACCTCGAGGTGCACCTTGTTGCAGAGAGCGAACGCTTCCTGCATCCATTGGCCGGCAGGTTCAAAGACGGGACCACAGCACGCAATTACTGCAGAAACGGCACAACGTGCGGCTCCAGGCGGCAATGATTGCTATTTCGTCAGGCAGTCGAAGGGTGACCGCTTATGGAGAAATGAGCGAGCCGCAGTTGCATTCGGAGGAGCGTTCTCGTCAAGCTGTCCGCGGAATGCCGGGCTGCTCAACCTGTTCCCAGCGGATCAACATGTTTTAACGGCTTCCCGCGTGCAAATTTATACCGTTTGTCTCCTATCCTGAGAAGCAGTCGGTTCGTACCTCTGCCAGTTCGAGCACTTCAAGCGCATCCTTGTACTCTTCCCGCTCCATCAACTTGCCCGCCTTTGCATGGAGCGCCAGCCCCATGACCAGAGCTCTAGAAGAGAAAGGGATGGGAAATAAGAACCAAAAGGTATGGAGAATGTCTTTGTTTCAAATCAAGGTTTCATATGGAAGACAGCGGACAGGGAGGACTGCCTTACGGAGTGACCCCAGAGGCGGGAGAGCGTTGGGAATACATCTCCATTTCAATATGTCGACTGTGAATTGGACGAGGAAGGGCAGGCGAGGGTCAAGGAGACCAACAAGGGACTCTCTTTCCTTCTTGAGAAAGCCTACGTGGAAACGAAGAGGACTGGCTTGCCCAGGCAAGAGATGTAAGGAATACATTTGAAACTTTTTGATTATTATGCCCCTCACACACGCTTTCAAGCAAGATATGACCGGACAGCACGCAATAAAGCGTTCTCCATGGGGAATGGCTAGGCTTTCCACAGGCGGGTTGGATAAGCTCCAGGCCTGTTTGAGAGTCGACCAGAAAAGGGTTGTCTTGCAGTGTAGAAATGAGCTAGACCTGAGTGTCCATTTCAACACCAGAATGCCAAAAAAAGTTACTGGCAAGGCCTTGCTGAAGCATATGACGGGCCATACCCATGCAGGTCCCCTATAAATAATTTGGCAAATTAATTGGCCCAGAACAATCAAAAATGTTCAGTGGCTTTGCTTCAAGGTTTCCAGGTTTTTAGTAGCTGCTCTGAAGGGATTAACACCAAACTGAACAAACACATTGAGCCTGGGTCCATATTTCATTTCCTCCAACTGACCTTCTGTCCTCATCAGAGAATTGAAGGCGCTGCCCCTCCTGGTTTTCCAACTGCAGCTCGTATCCATCACTGGGAAACAGGTCCCCTCCACTCCTGCGAGCCATAGCGTCTGCGGCGGATCTGCAGCAAGAACTTCTTCCATCAGATTTGTGTTTTCTGGATTCTGAGTTTGTCCTCATCCTGGCTGAGGTACTTGAAGCATCGTCTGGAGAGAAACAGAAGATGAATTAAGGTCGGATGAGAAGATTGCATCAGACATGGAGGAGCCATGCAGGACAGTGGAAGAGGTCAGGAAAACGGACGGCCAGTGTCCAAGGATTTGCGTGCAAGCAATGAGGGGGAGGAAAGTGAGGATATTGAACGAGGCCTCTTCCTCAAGTTTCAAGGGTCATGACCAATCTAGACTTCTGAAGCTTTGGATAACCTCTATTTGGAGCATTCCAGGAATATGAACACACTGCTGTCTTGTGAATTCAGTTCTGTCCAACTTATATTCCAACAAGGTCTGCAACAATGACACCAAGACACTTATTGTCCTGAACAAAATTGCAAATCCAGGGGGTTTGTAAGGGCCCAAGGAGTTGCTTGAACACCTGATGTTTGCTGGCTTAGCTGTTGTTTTGTCTGAATGTCTGAGTGTCAAATAGTGGGATCTTAGAGCCTCTGGAGTCAGACCAGATAGCACAGTTTATCATGCCCCTTCACATTCATCAACATTGACATCATTTTGCACATTTGTTTCAAAGTGAGCCAGCCGTCAGGCCTTATCTGGTGACACCACCACCATAGAACTCACTGACAGGCCCTCAGAGCTTCAGCATTCAAGCAGCAATGATTAGCAATTGTACAAGCCCTCAATAAAAAGTTCACTTGAACAACACCTACTTCAATCGCGCCAGCCGCTGGGTCCGCTCCTCCATCAACCTGGCATTCTCCGCTTCCGCTGCCATATCCTGAACCTGAGCAGCAGACACCTTGGTCACCAGCAGCTTCGACTTCTCCGTCACGCCTATTTGCGACAGTACTTTGTCCCCCCCATCATCTTTGAGCATCCTGCCCCCGCAGATGAGCTTCATTCCGTCCTCATCAAATCCGGACGCTTCCGCAACTTTCTTTCTCAATTCTGACAGTCGGCATGTGCTGAGCTGAACTGTGACTTCTCCAGACCAGGAACCAGCAACGCGGAGAGACACGGACGCCTCAGAAGCGGAGGAAGCCGCCATGGCTTTGACTTCTTGAAGCAAATGCGAAGGGCCAGGCTTGAGCCTGAGGAGGCACCGCCGGCGCTAGCCTATGTAGGAGGCTGCCAGAAAGCTGGGCGGCGACCACGATAGGAACAAACTTACTGCATTGTCGCCAGATGTCACTGAGGTTTTCTACATGGTCAAAGCGAACCGGTTCCTAAACCAAGGGGACTCTGATCGGACGGCTGCGAATCCCTCAAAACCTCCCGCTGACCGCATCGCGCTGGAAAGGAAAGCTGTGCGCGAGCATGCTGCGAAGTCACCCTCGATCTTGTCTCGAGTCTGGACAGTTGTGGAATATAAGCTTCAGTACTGGGTCAGCAGCTGTTCCAGAGAGGAGCTGCTGCAGAGCTTGCTGTATCAGCTGTATGGTCACGGTGCACACTACCTACCTCCCTACATGATCATGCTAACTCACTGCTGTAGGTATGTCACACAACCGCGAGACAGGGGTAAGTAGCTACCTGTTGTAGTGGTGCTAAATATTGGGTGTGACTCTCTACTTGAAGTTTGGTCATTTGGCTAGAACCTGGACATACCCACCTGGCGCCCCCAAGGCGCTGCCGCCGCCAGCATCTCCACAAAAGCAGCTGCGTCAGGACCAAGGTAGCTAGCGCTTCTGCCTGAAGAACATCTGAATCCATCGGAGCAGCTCAAGAAGCTGGCCGAAGAGCTTTCCTGTTCTTGGTAAACAAAGAATCAGCCTGCAAAAAGAGGGAATACATGGTCGCGGTAAAGTGAGAAGTGTCCAAAACAAAGGCACGACACAACAAGCGAGTTGCTGGCACAGTTTGGAGGGATTGATAGGAGCTGGACAGAGAACCGATGATCCGAGGTGCAATTACCAACGCCCTTACAATTAGTCTGCATGGCACAGAGTGCATGCTGAGGAACAACTCCTAGAGCAAACAAGTTTCAGGGAAAGATGGGAATCATAGGAAGCCTGCGCATTTTGCTGTTGTTAGCAGTGTGTGTAGGTGTGGTGCAGCTAGGGCGCCAGACAGGGGCCTTCTTGGCTGGCGAACAGGAGGGTGAGCAAGCATAAAAAGTACTACTGAAGAATAATACCAATCTCTTAATAATCCGTTGTGAAGCTGCTTCTGTGCTTAACAAGGTCTGTCGAAGATGTTTGTATGCTGTGCAATAGTGCATGTAGATTACCAGATTCTGATCGCAGGTTATGTCTGGTGCAATTCTTAGAAGGATGCAAGCTTATACTTTGATCAGGGAGTTCTGGAGCCAAGCACTCAGATGGGTAAATGCAGATCCGAGCAAGCAAAAGTACGAGTAGGAGGACAGAGAATCCAAGTAACCGGCTGTTGCCACAAGAAGCAAGGAACAAAAGAAGTTGTGCCTGTCATGCCGGTCACTTCCAATCAAAAGTCGAAGGATTCGTCTGAACTTTGGATTAAGTGATGCTGTCATGAATTTGTTTTTGCTTTTTCCACATCAAATCCAGAGCCTTCCCCCCTTTGCCATGCAGGGACAGTCGAAACCGTCATCCCCCAGCCGATAGATATAGCTGAGCACATGACGGCACCTCTGTCAACTTCCAGGAAAGATAGTTCCCTAACCCGAAGCCTAAGGGTGCCAGAAGATACTAGCAAATTGAGTTCTACTTTGGGTCAAGTGGCCCAAACAGTCGGTTCTACGTTTGGGTGGCGGACCTCCCCTCACAGCTCACCAGTCACTCCCCGGAAGCTCAATATCCCCGCCGGCAGCGTCAGGCACTTCGACCGAGTGGCGGCTCTGCACAGGGCCGCCAGCGCTCGGGATGACGTCACTCCGGGCGCTGCTGACGTCACCCTGGGCGACGTGGTGACCAAGCTGCTGAACCCGGGCGCACGTCTTGGAGACGATTCTGCTGGGGCGAGCACAACCAGCGAGAAACCCCGGCGCTCTCTGGCTCAGACTCCCCCGGTTCCGGACGGGCTCGGACTGTCCGTTCGGGTGGTATCCGTTTTGAACGTTCGATCGGGACAGCTAGGCAGCGTGACAGTGGAGTTGGTAGACGAAAATGGGATAGTGGTTCAGCAGGCAGAGGGATTGGAACTAGACTGGGGGGGCTCCTTTCTTCTGGGGCCAACGGGTGGGAAAGTCGTCCTAGGGCGGGGCCTGGAGATTAGGGCGCTGCAGAAAGGAGTCGCGGTGGTCACATCAGTCTTGCAGGAGGTAAGCTTATGACTTGGTTCCTTTATCAATGGAGGGGCATCAGAGTTGACGTAGTGGCTGGCACGCTGGGTGGCACGCTGGGAAAATGATCGGGCATTGCAGATGTTGCATCTGAGAACATAATGTAACTAAGAGCAACTTTGAAAGTTCGAGGAGACACGAAACATGATCAACGTTTGAACCACGTTACAAGCAGACCAGGCGCAGTCTGCTTGCTAGCCAGAAGCGCCCGCTCCCTCTGAAACGGGACATGAACAAGTAATGTGCTTCGACACAATTACCAGGCAAAGGTTTCGTAAAGAGGCACAGCAACATCTGGAAACATCAAAGAGAAACTCAATCCCGTGGAAGTGGGCTTCTCAGCACTCTGCGAAACACTTGCAACTCTGAGAACCCGGTTTTGAGCGTGGTTCGAACTTCTATCAGTTCCGACTCCTGACACGGTCTCTTGCTCGGGTGCAGGTGGGAGACTACACCCTGCAACTGGTGCTCAATAACCAGGCAGCGGCTTCTATCCCAGTTACAGTTTTCCCCAAACCGGTACAAAGCAACAGCATCAAAACCGCAGCTTCTGTCGCCGCTCAAAGCAGCCAAACAAGCACCCGAGACACGGTGACCGCGCCAAAACCCAAAACTTGGGCGACCATAAGCGAGAAGGGTAACGATTTTCCGGGGTGGCCTTGGCTTGTTGGAGGAGTCTCTTTCTTCCTCGTTGCTTCTGCCATCGGGGTTGCCATTTTCGCTGTACATCTGCAGAGGAAACACACACAACAAGCACGGGGAGAACGTACAGCGGATTTGCAGGCAGGCGGGGCGGAAGCAGGGGCGAACGAGAGCGAGGGGGTTTCTAAGGCTGTCCCGGACAGTTTGGAGAATTCGGGGGAGATAACCGGGCCCCAGGCGTTTCTGTGGGCGGTGCAGGAAACCGGGGGTCCGGGTTTGGACCAAATCGGCCAGAAAACGGGAGGGGTAAGGCGGAACCGGACAACGGGGAAGAACTCCCCGAGACTGCTGTCGATGGCCGTCCAGAAATTGCGGGAGAAGAACCTGGAAGCGGCGAAGAAGGGTAGCAAACAAAGCGGAGAGGATGGCAGAACGGAGGTGTTTGTCGAGGGCAAGAATCAAGCAGGGGACGCAACCAGGGAGATGAACAGAACAAGGGAAGACCCGGTTGAAGGTGAACCGAGAAAGGAAGGCCGGCCGGTGAAACACGAAGCCGAAGAGACGGAAGTTGTAAAAGGGGCTGTCACGGAAGGTGCAGATACGTCTACCGTTCGGAACGGCGCCACTCTGAGAACAGAGAAAGAAGACGACACCTCGGACGGGACCAAAACCGTCAGGGATTCGGAAAACAATGAGGGAGAAAATCAGGTGGCTGGACGGAGAAGAGAAAGCAACTTGCCGGTTCTTTCTGGTGACGAAGCCGCCAGCGTTCCTTCCCCGCAGGGGGGCCATGGCAGCGCTCTATGGTCCCCCCTGACGTTCAGCGTTCCGAGCGCCTTCGCGGAAAGGCCCCCATCTCGGAAGCGGCGCTCCCTGAAGGGGGATCCCCCAAAATCTCGAACTCCCAAGTCCCGGAAAGCAAGCATCTTCGCTCCCAAAAAAGCAAACGAGCCGAAACGGACCAAGCAGACGGATAGAGAGCTTTGGTCGCCTGTGCGCTTCGTGTCTCCACCAATCGCAAAACCGGGCAAGATCAGAAGAACCGAGGGCGCGGAAACGGGCGAAAAGGGGAAGTTTCCGCCGGAAACGGAAACGCGGAGAGCCCTTACGTTCCGACCAACGCCCCTGGATATCCCGGGGGCGACCGGGCCCCTCAAGCAGAGCGCGCTGTGGTCGCCGGTGAAGACGTTTGGCACCGCTCAACCGGTTGACGTGCTTAACGTTTCTGAGAACCGGGCAGTAGCCAGGGGTCCGGGGGTTGCTGTACTGGCAGGGGGAAAGGAGAATGCGCTCGGGGCGAGAAAGCTTCAGCCGACTCGATTTAAGAGCGCAGCAAAGGAGACCATCCCTTTGAGTAAGGAAATATCTGTCAAAGCAGAAGAGAAGGAAGAACATTTGACGGAGGGGGCGAGCGACTTGGCGACACCTTCGGGGAGTGGCCCCTCTCTCTGGTCGCCGACTTTCAACGAACTGATGGAAACGGAGGCGACTCCCGAGGCAATGGCGGCCAAGTCAGATTCCGGCGGCCCCGTGAAGGAGCTCGAGCAAGCGCCACGTGGCGTCAAAAGAATGGCCGGGCGGGCCACGCTGTCTTCGACTAGCGGGGCGGAGATCGCGGCGCTGCTGCAGGAACTAGAGCGGCGGACGGCCGGCCAGGCGGGGCCCTTGCATACGCTATCCCCGTACACGGCTTATGAGAAGCTGGTGGCGGAGGAGAGGAAGAAGAAGAGGAGCGATAACCGGGCGCGGTTTTTGTCCCTGGGGGGAGACGAGATGCTGGGCGCAGATGTCGTGAGTCCGTCGGAGTTGGACTCGCCGCAGGGGGTGACCATGAGCTATGACGTCGCGCAGGGGGACGACGACGTCACTCTCTCTGCGTTTGTCGAGGTCTGACCATCAGGAAGCTGCAGCCTTGTGCCGTATGAAAGTAGCTCAATATGTAGACGGTTTCTGCGCGGAGGCCTTTAATAACGGTAATACGCCCGCTTCGATCAGGACTGGATAGGTGTTCCGTAACGTGGTGCGGTAGGATCAATCTCAATGTTAAATCACGCTTCATCATCATACTGGAACTGGCTTGTCATACACAGGGGTACTAGAAAGGATTGAAACAACATTGGGTCGGTGCGCTGGCCTTGCAGGACGATCCAACGGTAGACAAATGGTGGTCGCAACCTTCCTAGAATCACTTACATGCTGAGAGGGGTGATACGTCTTATAAGCGCTACTTTGCGGGACTGAAGAGAAAAGCGGGCCGGACACGGCTACTGTAGGAGTGGTGATTTCCTGCACAAATGTTAAATATATGCGAGATCAACGACGCCGTTCTTGAAAAGGTTACCAGCTCTGTGTACATGCATCCAAGTTGTGGAGCCGCAAAACGAAACTCGGTTCGGTGCAACTTTTTAGCATTGGTCTCTCGGTTGGCGAAGCTTGCCCTGATCCAAAAGAGCTTTCGATGAGCATTTGCGATCTTGCAAGCATCTTTTAGAGGACGACATCGGCAGTCGATCTTGCGCATCTGGCTGCGCCCCCTGCTGCTGCATAAAGGACGCCCTTCGCTTTTGGGACATTGTCATCCAGATATCCGTCGCGGTTGGAAATTCAGGATTTGTGCAGCGTATCGATTGTAAGTGTGTGTGTTTGAATTCAGACTCGTCCAACTCTCTTCAGTGCTTTCGCTTTGGAAGGTCAAAGCACATCGTTGGCAGCCTTCGCTGGCCTTCAGTGTCATTCTTGGTTACGACCCGATTCCAGGGTAGCTGCTTCAATGCCCGCCGATCCCTCGAGCCCGGCTCGTTTTTACTTGGTCGAAATTAGTAAACCAGCGAGCCTACTAAGGTACACCTGCACACCTGTACCGGCGGCCCAGCTGTCACCCCGCGTGCGGCCCGCGCGAGGCGGCCGCGCCCGGCCGCGCCGGTGCCAGCCTTGCATCACGTGACTGGCATGTCATGGCGGCCCGGATCGAGCCTGTGTGCCATGGGGCCTCGCGCGTCGCCGCGCGGCTTCGACGCAGCCTACTCTGCAAACTTTAACAAGCTAGCCTGAGAAGAGCGAGCCCGCTTGGAATTTCAACTTCACTTTGATTCTGGAACAGGCTACCATTCAACAATCTGGCTATACAATTCTCATCATGTACAAGACACTGCCAAGAACGCGATCCAAGCCCCTTGATCGGAATGTTATGATGCTTGTCTAGATCTCCACTCGCTCCTTTGCTTTTTGGCTCGCTCGGCCAGAGTCAGGATGCCGGGGGGGATGCTATCCAACCGGCTGAGCCCCCTGCAGGTGCAGGTTGGCGACGGTGCCGATGGGGCCCCCGGCACCCCCACCTCCCTGGGGGGAGCCAAGCTGCGGCACCAGGCACACCACTTGTTTGCGGACAACCTCGAGCTGCCAAGGCCTGCGACGGCGTCTAGTCCACGGCGAGCGAAGCGCAGGCTCCGCAGTCACAGGTGGGGGATGATGCATTTTGATCTTTCCACCGGTTGATGGATCTTTCGCATCCTTTCCTGAAATGCAGTCTGGTGGTGACCGTCAGCGGAGACTGCTTCTTGTGACAACTCAGAATGTAGCAAGAACGTTATGAATGTCGAAGCTAGTAGAATGTCCAGACGAGTAGACGATTGCGTTTTGATGTCAGTAGATAGCCTGTAATAGTGCTCAAATTGCAGTGGTGGTTGTTTCCTTAAAAAGCAAGTGTTGCACTACAAAGGAGGGCGGATCAAATCCCAGATGGCTTTCTGTTTTGGCAGATTGATGACAAGCTTGTGCATTCCAACATTTTAAATGCCGTCCGATGATGAGATTCCAGTCTTGATTGTCCGTATTTCCGTCTTGGCCAGATTCTGGCTCATCCTGGAGGGGCTCGCCCGGCGCCCTGGCACCAAACGGCGGCTCGCTACTGCATTCTGCCTCGCCCTTCTCTTTGGTGCATTCTTCCTCGACCTCGAATATCCGCACACCGTGTTCTTCCAGAGCAGCCATGCAGCGGCTGTGAAGAAGCTGGATCATGACACCGCCCTGGCCGGGATGGGGCACCTCTGGGGCAGGGGCAACCGGCCAGTGTCAGAGCTCATCATCGCGCACGTGTCAGCGGCGTGTCAGCCCGAGTCCTTGCGCTTGTTCCTCCGGTCAGTCAAGCACAGCGGCGCACAGGATCGAGCGGACTTGGTTTTGCTGATGTCACCTGATGCGGAGCTCGAGCGAGTGGCGGCTGAAGAGGAGGAGTCGTTCCAGCGGGTTAAAGCTGGGTTGTCGGAAAATTGGCTCAAGGAGACGGAAATAATGAGGATTGAAGCGGGAAGAGCCAGGGCTTTATTGGAGCAGGAAACAGGGTTGGAAACCAGAAAGGAAGGTGCGACAGAGGGGGAAGCAACTAGGGCGGCTGAAGGCGAAGTTGCACAGAATGGGGGGCGGCTGGCAGGGGAGGAGAAGACCCCCGATCTGGATCCGGAGAGTAAAAGTGGGGCGAAGCTTAACGAGCTGGCGAATTCGGCAGACACAACGAGCACAACTACGGTGGACGAGGGGACGATACAGCGGGCTGCGCAGACGGGATCCTCGCTGAAAGATGGAGCGAGCATACGGTAAGTGTTTGTCTTCTCTTCGAGATGGTTCATGATGCATGGCTCCGACGAGTGTCAGATGGACCTGCTTCCGCTCGTTTTGCATCTAGAGCTTGCTTTTCTATGTATTGCTTGGTTAAGTTTTGCGCCAGACAGTCATCACAGGGCCTCTGTTGTGGCCTCTTTATCGTTGGCAGATCTCTGGATCTCCTCAGATTTGGAAGCGGCCGGTTCCACCGAAGGCTACCGGCCTCGTTGTGGCGCTCCTGACAGCCTGTCAATATCCCTTTCGGATGACAGATACTTTCTTCCCCCTTCCCACAGAGTCATTCAAGCCGTTCCCGTTCAAATACCCCCAGTTGCGGCCGCCCCTCTCGTCATCCCAAACCTCGACGAGGACCTTCGGAGCTACGTCTGGGGGGAGGACAACCGGACGGCTATGGCGGAACACTTGGAAGATTTCCTGAGCCCGGAGAGTCCCTCTTGGGGTGCGACGGCCTCCTTTTCGATGGACGAGTTGGATCTGCTGGGGGGCTTGGAAGGGTTTATGGAACCGGTGCCGGAGGGTTTGCGGCGGTGGGTGTGCTACCAGACGCTCCTGGGGAGGCTCCGACACAGGTGAGGGTTAAGGGAGGGTTAGGAGCGGGTTAAACACTTCATCCGTACTGCCTGACGTCACAGGGCGATAAAGAGGCTCGTCAGTCTGTTCTCTTAAGTCAGTATCAGACTCATTGCCCCGAGCTTGGATGCTGCCCGGGTGATGGCGTTACGTAGACCCTCTGTAAGCAGGGGGATAAGAGGTGTTGAGCAGAGTTTCGGGGCAGCTTAAGTGGGCCGATATAGGAAGAGAGGCGTATATCGATTTCAAAGTGTGGCACCGCCATAGCTCGCCTTTCTGCATAAAGGATTCGGCCGCAGGACTTCTTGACTGGAAGATGGAGCGGCTCGTTTTCGAAAATGACTGCAAGCCTCTGAAACATTGTATCATATGTCAAAATCATCTTAAAGCAGAGGCTCGTGTTCCTTGTGGGCTGCCTTCATCGACTCTGGTGACTCATGAAAGAAATTACGAGCACTTCTTCGCCGGCACGGATTCAGCGAGATTGCAACTTGTTCTCTCATCCCTGCAGATACAAGCACGTGTTCCTGACCGAAGTCGACAACACCGTCGTTCTCGGGGACGCCTTGGGGGCCGTGCGTGTGAAGAATGGTCTGTACATAACCTCCAGCGACTTGCCGTGGAAGACAACCGAGTGAGTCAAAATTGTTTCTCGCCATGGTGATGGCGTCACTCTGTTTCTAGACGGTGAAGGTTGCTTCGAGTTTGTTTGAGAATGGTTTGAAGCTTTTGCAAAGCTGTTGACATGTTCTTTATTTGAGCCCGGCTGCGAGAGACTGCCGATTCCTTCGGGAGCCGACTTTTCGGAAAGAGGCATCACGACGGAAGGTGTGCAAAGGGGTCACCGTACAGCTAATCTACGTGGAGCCTTCTGCAGTCTCGTGTAAGAATATAATCCGAACTCGACGTCCGGTATTTGTTGGCGAAAGGATCCTCGTCCACCAACGGATGACCGTTTCGTTCAGCAGTGGTAGTGATTTTCAGGTTGAGTGCTTCATGAACGAAGTATGCGGCTACTGGGGGCTCGCCCTGGCCGCCATCTCAACGTCCGTTAGCTAACGGAACTCCGCTTGGTTCCGTTCCGCAGTCCGAGCGACCCGGAGGGCAAGAGCATCATGAACGGAACGTACGGCAACCGGTGGTGGCAGGCCTTGGACTCCAACGAGCACATAACGCCCCTCATCGACGGTAAGAAACACATCTTTCCACGAGATTTGTGCTCGCGGGCGAGGAACTCCTGAGTTCGTTTCGACCGAGAAGTAGTGGGTCTTCACCCTCCATGTTGCTAGCGTGGTATCACTTGCACAGCTATCAATACCAGAACGAGTCCGTGTACTAGAGCGAAAACTCCCAAATCCAAGTTTCGATGGGGCGGGGGACTGCCTCGCTGGTGTCTCGGACCCCTCCGCTCCTTCGACCGTCCCCATCTCAAAGATCTCATCTGAAGGCACCTTTCTAGATCCTTGGGCACTTCGATCCATTCAAACAATCGTGCGTCAGCAGGTTGCAGCCAGCTCTGATGCTTTCGTGACCATTGTTTCTGCTGACGGGGCTTGTTGCTGGGCAGGGCGCACCGTTCTATGCTCGTACCTTCGAGAGAAACCTTTTGACGAATAGACGGGTTGAATCTGGCACCATATTGGTTCTCCTACTCCCTTTGTCGAAACAGGAAGATAGGCTTTGCACAAGCCTCGGGATGCGTCGAGTGCGACGTGGCGAGAGTCCCTCGAGATCATTACGAGAATAGGTCTTGAAGCTCACGTCCAGTGGGCTACTTCCTCTCGGGCATGAGACCGCTTCAATCTCGGCTAAAACTATCGTACTGACTACTTGTGTCAAGAGGTCGCCGTGCGAGGTCGATGTTACCACTCTGTTTGGCAACAAACCTGTTCGAAACCTTTCTCGTCCCCAGAGGGCGCGGTGCTGGGTTCGATAAAGGCGGTGCGGGCCCTGACGGACGTGTGACGTCGGTAACCACACTTTGGTTTGCTGTTAACCTGTCCTTAACCCCTTCTGTTCCAGACGGCGCGGTGCTGGGGTTGATCAAGGCGGTAAGGGCGCTGGCGGACGTGTGTGACGTCGGTAACCACAACCTGGTTTGCTGACAACCATGTTCTTAACCCTCTCGTTTAGATGGCGCGGTGCTGGGATCGATGAAGCAGTGCAGGCGCTGGCGGACACTGAGGGCGTGTGACGTCGGTAACCACAGTTTGGTTCGCCGATAACCATGTTCTTAACCCTCTCGTTCAGATGGCGCGGTGCTGGGATCGATGAAGGCGGTGAGGGCGCTGACGGACGCTGTGGTGAACGAGGCCGTGCGGGTGGCGCTGCAACGACGAGACCGGATGCCGCTGTCGGACCAGGTGCGACTTTCTTTGAACACCAGTTTCTTTCGGAAACTGGTACGACTTCCTTTACCAGTAACTTCGGAAGGAGATGCTACCCTCGGATAAGTTTCCGTCGAAGTTACGTCCCTTTGAAAAGTTGTTACATTCCTCCGAAAACTGCCTGGTGGGACTTCGAGACGGCTGTAAAACCACATCAACAGTTTTATAAGGGCTGCAGAATGCATTACGAACCACCAGTCGTCCGTCTTTGTCAAGCAAGGCAGAAACGCCGTTACCGAGTGATGCTACTGCAGTAAAATTGGACACCGCGGGTGCACCATGCCGGTCAGGGCTCAAGCAACGGTGGAATAGTCCCATAGAGACAATTGTTTCTGATGGCTGGGGAAACGTACTGCTCGTGTCGCGTTTCAACCGGATTTTGTTTCGCTTCGTTTCCCAAAGCCAGACGAACCGGGGTAGTACATCAAGCATGGCGAGTGGTGCAACCGCAGTCCGACAAGCAGTTGGAGTCGCCTTCCAACATAACTTGGACCCCTCGTACCGTGCACTGACTAACTTTACCTGCAGGCCATATTAGCAACCCGGTGTAAAAGTTGGATTTGCTTCCTGGCACAAACCCGATTTCGCGCAATGCTGCACTGCCCCACTTCTTCCGCAGGCTCTGTTGAGCAGCCTGGTGTACCTGAGCGCCATGATACTAATCAGTTGGGTCAATTGCCGGCCCAGACCCGACCTCGCACTAACCCACTTTCTATTGAGCCCTGGTTCCCCCGAGAGTCCGCATACCAAAGCAGTACATGTCTGGTGCTTAGCTTAAGAACGACCCGGATGTTTGAGCGCCCTGATGACGATTCGTTGAACTCGTTCTCCGGCACGAACCCGGCCTGCTAACCGTGCGCTAACCCGCTTCTCCTGCAGGCCCTGTTGAGCAACCTGGTGTACAAGAGTGCGCTGATGCAGGACCGGAAGTTCGAGCCGGTTCAGCTCGTGTCCAACCGGGACTCAGTAGTCCACAGCATGGCGGGCTCCTTGTTTTTGAGTCAAGCGTTCACGAACGGTGAGAATCCGTGAATCCGATCGGGCTCACTGTGGACGCAGTCCTTGATTGGATGTTGGCGTCTCTTTGCGCGGATGCTTCGTCTCTTGCTCAGTTCAAAACTCAATCTGGCTAGAGTGGAGAAGATGACAGGATTTGGCGACGTCTCCTGTTCTCATTCGCCGTTCTGCGTCTTCATCAATTCTTGAGATTGTATGTGTCACACCTCGTAAATGGCTCTGTTTTAGATGTCTCTTATGAAGGTCTACTTGAGGGCTGTACGAAACGTCCTTCAGAGAAGCAACTAAATCTGAGATGCTAAAGGCTGGCTTCTTGTCTGCAGTGGTTGGGGATGACTACGCAGTCCTTCATCGGTTTGATCCTCGAGTCCCGGTCATAGATCAGCAGAATATAACGAGTTTACTGCGGGCACGATTATGCAAGGACGATAGCAAAGTCTGGCGTCACCAAGACTGTTCTTAGGCCCCGAACGTAAGCAAAGATGACCGTCAATCGGAATTAGATACTGAGGAGAAAACGTACACTTGTTTTACAACATTTGCAAAGCTCGGAAGTTCCTTACGACATGTGCAAAGCTCGGAAGTTCCTTGGCCTTGAACGGCAACCGTCGATGATCTGCGGGATCTTACGCTGATGCATAGCCATTGCGCAGAACATGCTTGGTGGCCTCAGAAAGCCTGATTAGTGCATGAGAGAGGGCCGCCAGTTGGGACCGTTGGTCTACAATGAATGCAGAAAGCTATGAGCTCAGCACGCAAAGTATACTGCCCGGCGCCTGTTTTGAAGTTACGTATACTGCAACTCACTCGTCATTTGTGAACATCTGATACGTTTCTGAAGTACCGCCAACACTGTGTGACGCTGGGTACTTCAGTAAGCAGCACATGTGCACCTTGCACCTGGGCATGTGCACACTGAGAGGAATCGCATACCTCTATATGTACGCAAAGTATCTGATATTAAAGGCTTGACTGATGATCCTCAACCATGCCGTCTATAATTTGCGATTGCAGGATCATCGGCTGCATGGCGCTTCGAATCTATGTGGTACGTTCATGTAGCTCTTCCAAGTGGGGATCAGTCCAGAAAAGCAAGCATTAAAGCATCAGGGTGTATACTGCATGTTGCCGTACGCATGTCGTACTTTTCAAAGTTTAGGATGCAGGCTTGTGGTGGCAAGTTTTCAGCCAGAAGTATGAAGCACTACGTATCGGATTTGACATCAGATGCAAATTAAGCGATTCTATGGCAAAGTCAAAGGTCCATTTCGTCTCAGTAAGGTCTATGCTGACCCTCCTGCCCCCGGGGCATTCTTACTAGTGAACAAGCGTATGTACATCCTACCTTCTTTACTCAATTACCACTGCGACTTCTACTATGCACAATCGATGCTCACTAGAACAAACGGTCTACAAGAACTTGGGGCGCTAAACGAACAACTGTCAAGGGACACCTGGATCAAATATCATTAGCCCTGTTTCTATCCCCAGCCCCGCAATTTAATGTCACAAGCGAGTCTGATGGCAGCAATCTAGACTGCTCTAAGAATCTTCTCAATCCTTAATCTGCACCCCCTCTATCAACACTCAAACACGAAGGAATTCGTAAAAGCAATGAATCTGTTCCACCTTTGACGGCAAGAATGAGCAGACCGGGCTCTCGTGCCGCAAGCTTCAGCTAGGAACACCACCAAAGCTCCCATGGTTCATGCATCCCACCATAAACGCAACGTAGAGCAGATACAAGGGGGTCATGCTCAGAGCACTCATTACCATGGGGTTATTCACCCACGACCTGCAAAGGAGGCTGATATGTTGAGCTTGCGGGTCCACCAAAATCTTTTATCAAGCTCAGACCACAAGGAGAAAGTCTTGCGGGTTTGGACTACACTAAGAGTCGGGCTAGCGTATCCCCAAGAAATGGCCAAGGTAACAGGGCAGAGTCTCTCAGCAGTGAAATGGACCTTGTTTGTAACCTGATCAAGCTCTTTGTGTTCCCATTTTCAAGCATAGAAGCAGGTTTTGCAGATCAGCAGAGAGTACAGGCTCCCAACCGTTCCAAAGTGCAAAAGCAAGTCTCGCAAACCACTATGAATACAGAGACACTCGCTGCAAAGGTGGGGAACTCACATGTTTGAACCAGCCAGCTGTACTTGATTAGTGTCCTCCTGAGCATTTTGGAAAAATGAGGCCTCCAAGTCCTTTCCAAACCAGCTGACGGAAATCCGCAGCTGGCGCTCTTTCTCCCTGCAAGATAGCGGGTGAAGCTCTGGTTGAGAAACTGGACTCCCATCAAAGAGACTTGTTCGCGATCTGACGGAAGTGATCAACGCAGATTACATGGTAACCAATAATCATAAGCCTTCCTGATCTTTTTGGGGAAACCAAGATGGAATGCTTATCCTCTCAGGAACCAATCCAAAAAGTTACTCTCTGCTACTGTTCTTCCAGAATATTATGGAGAAAGATGCATACCAAGCAAGCAAAGGAACACTGGGTAGAGTTTCTCTCAGCTCAACCAAACGATTCTGAAACCCTAAACCAAGACAATCAACAACTGACTGCAATCTTCACTCTAGCAAAGAACGTGCTATCACCAGTCAATCTCAACACAACCTGAAGGGGTGCTTTCTGCTGGAGACAGAAATCTTCGCTTCTGGCGCTTCAAGAACTTCAAGCTGCCACCATCAAAGGATGCTTAAAGGTTGGCCGACTATGTGAATGAGTCCCAGACCAGTAGCAGAAGGCTTCAAGAAGTGAACCCTGACTCTTGCGAAAACGTTCCAATTTTGCAAGCTAAGAGATGAAGATGGAAGCCACGACAGGCAAAGAATGCTTATAACATTCGAACTTGCACAGAAAGTCTCTAAAAGCAAGGCAGGCAATGCAACCCTTGAAGTGAGTTTCAAAGAGACTTTCTAGAAATGCCACTTCTGTGAAAGCACTTTGAAAGAGCTTGACAAGGCAACTGGAGAAGATACTCAAGAAGCAGGACCAATGCCTAACAAATGCCAAAAGGACAGATTCACAACCAGACAATCTGTCGCATAAGAATGCTCTGAGTATCACATTTACAGTCTTACTATCAGTGTTCTATACCCTCAATGTAGGACAGGACAGCAACTCTAGTAGTCATTGTGACAGTTCAGGAAAGAAAACTAAAAGAAAATACATTCATGAAGCATTCAACAGAATGCCTGCCAAAAGGCAAGCACAGTGGCCAGAAATGGGGGCAACATCTTGAATAAGACCGTGGTCTGAGGGCTGTCCTTTCCTGAAGCCGTGAATGACTTCAGAACACAATGTGTCACTGACTCCAGACTGAAAATTTGACACTGAATACTGAAAATCAACCTTGGAAACTTGCCTCATGGTCCGAATCCTCTCTCGAAGAATAGCCAGGTCGTTGTCAGTGATGTGGCCCCACTGCTCTGAGTTCCCACCATGACTGTAGCTTGCAGAGATGGCCCTTCTGCAGTTTCGGCTGCTTCCACGGACTAGACCGGATATCTGCGTCGGCGCTCTGCTTGAGACTCTCAGTGGATGGCAAAAGGAGCTGCACAAACCAGCTGCGGGGCCACTTGATGTCCTAGTGCTTGAGCGTGCAATTTGAGAGACGAAGTCTTGCACAGAAAGGGAAGGCCTGCAAAAACGGATGGCTTCCATTGTTGCAGTCTCTGGAGCTCAGATTCCAAAAATTGAAAGCACCTTCAAGGACCTCCTACCAGTTTTCCCAGCTAAAATGGGTCCGGCAGACCTCCAGCTAGAATGTATCCCGGCTGGTGTAGCGGAGACTCTTCCTCAACAAAGGCCAAATGCAAAGGGACGAAAGGCGGCAGCTAACAGAGGAAACAGAGGAAAGAAGGCGGCAAGGGAAAACGAACAAGAGAAAAAACATCAACTGCTAGAGATTCTTGAGAATTCAAGGACACACGCAGGCTAGGATTTCAAGGGCAATGGGAAGTTTGACCAGCTGAGCTGCCGCCAAGCTCAGTGCACAGTGCAGCCTGCCCGAGGCCAAAATTGACCACCGTCAACCGAGTCGCCCTAGGGGATTGCAATCGGACGCCGGAGCCATCAGGACCGTCCGATGCCGCCAACAGCATCCGAATATCTGAATGCTTACGTCATGATCGTTATACAGCCGTCACATTTTGGCTGTTGACCAATCAACAAGCAGTCTAAATGAAGACCATGTGAACAAGCACGTCTTTTGATTGGTTGAAGTCGTGGAGGGCGACAATGATTGAAGCTGTTCGTACCTGACAGTAACCTACGGTACCAAGATCTTGGACCGCAAACTCAAGCGGTACGTACTGTATCCAGCCTGAGCCGGCCGCCGGCCGGCCGGGCCCCCACGGCACGTCGGACACATAAGGCATCTGAGCTTGGTGAGCTCGGGGCCTAGTTCCGACGCCGTCAAAGTTCCACGTCGGATCATCTGAGCCGTGGCTTTCGCCGCGTGGAGAAGTCTACGGCCGTCGTCGATTTTCGGAGTTCCGAGTTTAAAATTCGATCGAATTTGACTCGGCCGAGTCACTGCCACTGACCACTGACACTAGGCTACTAGCGTAGGCTCGAGCTAGTAGCCAGTGACTCCGACTCCGGCGCGCCGAACTCCGAAGTTAGTTAAATATACTTGCGAAGTCTGCAAATCTGAAGGCTCAAATCCGCCGACGGCCGGCCACGCAGCACATTCCACGGTTCCGATAATCCGACGTGGAACTTTGACGGCGTCGGAACTAGGCCCACTTTGGAAAATTAGATGCACTTATGCAATTATGGGTGCGGCGCGGCGCGCGGCGGCTTGCCAGCTTAAGTCGAATCCTCGGCTCCAGCATATGTGCAGCCCGGCCATGCAGGCGCTAGCGCTCTCAAGCTGTCCGATCCGACACAGGCGCCTCTTATCACTGGTTCAAAGCTTCTTTCAAGTGGCCATTATCGTGGTCGCCTGAGGCGTTGTCTTCTCTACATAAGCAAACCGGCTACCGTCCACAAGCGCAGCCAGATTTAAGTAGTATGTGCGCAGATCATTAGAAGTACGTGCGACCCTCCCTACTGCATCGTGATTCGTAGCATCGATTTTTTGCACGAGTTTCAATTTCCTGATTATGGCATTCCATTGTGCATTATATGCTGATAAATGAACGCCCTCGATTGGATCATTATGCACCCGATGACACATAGAATCTCCCTAATGATGTGACTCCACCAGTTTGCTATCTTCTCACCTTATCCATAATGTGCACGTCAGCTTGTGTCTACTAACACTTTGCACCTTCCTCGAACCGTTGAGCCTGACCTCGGAAATGCAATGATGCAAGACAAATATAGAAGCGTGCCTTGACCTGGCCATAGATTTTACCGCTCGTTCGTTCATAGGATCGTAGTTACATATCTCGAAATCTGCTCAATGACCATCGGCAATGGATCCTGCAACGAATGAATCGCTTTCGTACCGCACCACTGTGGCCCATCCGTTGTACCCAAAAGGTCCTATATAGATAATGTCAGGTGTCAAATCTCCTCTCACAACCTCAGAACAGCTTATTTAGTTGCTGTCAGCGTGACGAACGCACGGATGGACTACTTACAACCATCCTCTAAGAGGTAAAGCCGACGTCTTCGCCCCATGCAATAACGAAGGACGTGGCTTCCGCTCCTTATCCGAGTTCCCGAACGTGCATCCGTAACCGCAGAGAACACAGAGCTCCTACCAGCGAGACAGCGTATCTCTCCGTTGCCCCGCTGCCACTCTACAAATCAAAATCGGATCAAGATTACAAGGTCAGACCGCTGCAAAGCAGGATGACCATAACGTTTCATCCATGTCTGCCCCTCGACTATTCCCTCTCGTTTCTGTTAGCAAAACTGCACCCCTCACCGTTGCAGACCCGTTCGCCAATCACGACTTGCGGAACTTGGACTCGTCGATGTGAATGCCCTCCCTCTGGGCCCTCTGCTCGGGGTCATCCCCCGAGCTGGCCAGGCCGCCCTTCTTTCCCATCTCGTGGTACCCCTCGTGCCCCGGCTCCTGCGCGCGGTGGAGACCTCCCTTGTGGCGCCCTGAGGACATGACACGTAGCGCCCGTCAGTAATAATGAAAATACGATATGGCGGAGCGGTTGATCTCTACAGTCAAGCTCCTTTCTGTGCGCCATCTGCACTTCATCGTGCGAGTCGAAATTGTCACATGTCGCACGACTTTGGAAGACAGAGGAGGATTGGAACTCCGATCGGCCTTTTTTCAGGATCCGTGCATCTTCACGCTGTTTTACAGCGGCCATTAACCCTGTGACAAAGCAGGTTTGAGCCCATTCGCAAGAAGAGAAAGCTTGATGGGCGGTCGTCATCTTGCGTGAAGTCAATCTGCAAGTAATCAACTCGTCGTTTTGCTATGAAAGACCTTTAATACTCTTCAGCTTTCACAACTTCCCAAATGAGGGCTGCAAGAATTTCGGAAGCAATTGAAAACCGGTTCCTTTCCATCTTGAAATGATCAGAATCGAGCGCAATAGCTGAATTACCCTCAATGAATCCAGTCGGTTTGGGCACGAGACCAAACCCGATTGATTGACTTGAAAAGACCATCATCTGAGAAACGAACACGAGCTTTATTTCGGTCGGGGACCCACAACTTGATAGAATCTCGGTTTATTTTGGTCGGGGACCCACAACTTGATAGAATCTCAGCCCTGCGGATCCAGATTCTCCTTGCATTTTGCACGTCAGGATCAAACAGGAGGCAATCTTGGCACAATACCAAGAAATGTATGTGAGCCCGTTCATATGGAAGTAAAGTTTGCACACCATGTTCAGGCCTTTGAATTGTCTTTGTAACTTAAGATGCGTTGCATTTGCAGAAGAAAAGGATCCTTAGCGCCTGGGCTTCTCGTGCATGCAATTCCCCATGCACACCTTACGCCTGGCTTACCAACCCTTCTTCTGCTTTCTCGGTATCTTAAGTTCTTCAGCAAACTTTCCCGCCCTTCGAAAGGAAGATAGCAGCCATATTCTGAATTTTTGAAATTCCCTGTCGTAGAAACGTTTCCTGAATGCGGATTTTAAAAAGGCTTCCCGCCTTCGCAATCTATCTGCGCCTGCCAAAGGCAACCTTCATGCACAAAGCCAGAACGGTAGAATTTCACTTCTGAAATCAGAAGATTCCAAACAATTTGGACCGACCTTCTGCGAGGTGGAGCTGGGCCTCGAGCGACTTCCCGCCCGTTCCCCCGGGAACCACTGTCTCCCCGTTGCGCGCGCGCTCATCCAGCTTCCGCTTCTCCTCTTCCGGCAGGTTCTTGATCCGCTCGATCTCCGCCTCAATGTCGCGCTCATGACGATGCTCGTGCGTCATGTTGCTGGCTTAATGTGCGCGCGCGCTCTTGATGTGTGAAAGGGCAAGAGCGTCAGACAATGCTGGAGAAGGAGCAGCTTCGGTGAACTTGAAGAGAAGAAGCGTCTTTAAGCAGTGCAAGCTTGACATTCCAGGAAGTCTGGGTCCAAGAAAGGGCAGTATGGGTTTCAGGGAAAGGCAGACTCCCTCTCGTGTTCAGACGTCAGTTATCCTGACTGCACTAGTAGGCTTGAATTCAACCAGCTTTTGACCTTCCCAGACTCGAGCTTTTACACGACAAAGCACCTGGATCTCCGCCTGGACTTTGTCGCGTCTGCATCACCTCGGAGACAATCTGTACGGACCGTCCGATACTTCGCACTGAACTGTAAATGATAGCTCCTTGCATCAACATACCGCCACGCTAATCTAGTCCACAGGGGAGATATCAAGTTTTCTGGTTCCTGAAACCTACTGTCCCCTTGACCACTAGACCCTTGGCTGACTAACTGACTGACTGACTAAGTGGCCGCTGTCTTGACCGTCTTCACCGTGACCAGCCTGACTGACTGACCGGCTGACTGGACCTTCAGTCACCCGGCGGACTAACCGACCTGACTGACTGACCGGCTGACTGTTTCCCTGTACCCGGCGGACTAACCGACCTGACTGACTGACCGGCTGACTGTTTCCCTGTAGGCTTAACTAGCCTGGCTGACTGACCGGCTGACTGCTCGCGGATACTCCAAGCCTAACCAGCCTGACTGACTAACCGACTGACCGACTCCCGACTAAAACTCTAACTAGTCTGAATGACCTTGTTGGTATAAAATAATGATATTCACCTTTAGCTCGTCCTCAGCTCGTCTATGGGGTGTGTCCCAAGCATGACCACCCCGGCCTTCGGCCCCCACCCGCCTACCCCCCCTCTCCACCGTTAGTACCTTTCTGACGTACCGCTATTTAACCGGTGCCAGGAGTGCCGCCACCGGTTAGGCGGTCAGTCAGTCAGGCCGGGGGTCAGTCAGGCCGGGGGTCATTCAGGAGTAGGCTCAATGTAGCTTTCGGTTAGGAGGTCAGTCAGTCAGTCAGGATGGTTAGGATGTCTCGGCAACCCAACCAACCAGTCAGGCAGTCAGTCAGTCAGTCCGGTCAGCCTTAGTACTCCAGTCCGGCTAGCAATCTTGTGGCCGCGCTGACCGTAGGGTTTTGACCGTTGACCGGAAACCGGAAACCGCGTTTCTAACCCAGAACTTGAAATCTCCCTTGTGGACCGGATTAGCGGGCCCCTACATCAACACGTCTCCTGCTACGATATTTCTAGCGCTTATCCAGCATTAAGCATGGTCGATTTGTTTTTCATGCTTGACAGAACACAGCGCAATGTCAAAAAGGTTTCGCTTCGATTGTCGGCTAGCATCCGTTCTTATCCAAGGTCTTTCAACATATTCCTTGCATCCAAAATGCACATGTGCTCTTCGATCTGGGCTACATGGGTTAATCTGCCCAGTATCATTGTCACGAGCACGTCAAGAGGTCCTTGATAAAGATCCTCCAACATTCACGATGCTCGATAAGCATACGCGACGTATGAACAGAGAACGCCTCTTCAATTGGATGATATCATGATGCTAAGCATTTCCCATCAATGCTGACTGGTGCTTCTAAGGGCACACTCGGTTGCTTCGAAGGCAGAATTAAGTTGCATTCTGTTTGCATTGATTAAGAACTTTATCTGGCAGTCACGAATCCGCTTCATGTGGGCTGAAGTCGAACGAGACCACTGTGCTGTTCAATGAAACCAAAACCAAAGGTTAATGCATAACATCTACATCCCATCCGCTCCACATCGAGACTTTACGACGAATCCGTCCGACTCTGACGATCTATCACCGCTGCAGACTTTACAGAGCACTTGAGCAGCCGGACGCGAGGGCTCTCTGCCCAAACAAACCTTTTCCCTCTTCTAGCGCCCAGAAATCCAGGCCTCACAAAAGCAGACTAAGACCCGCATTTCCTGTAAACTTGCAGGATCTGGCCCTTCCTCGACTAATTAACACCTATCATTGATCCTTCACGGCTGCAGACCCGTTAGCAAATCACGAATTGCGCTCTGCTTGACTGGTGCCTTCGTTTCTAGTGCCTCAATCTACAGCTCACACCGACGCAGACCATCCTAGGATCACGACTTCCGGAACTTGGACTCGTCGATGTGAATGCCCTCCTCCTGGGCCCTCTGCTCGGGGTCCTCCCCCGACCGCGCCAGGCCGCCCTTCTTCCCCATCTCGTGGTACCCCTCGTGCCCCAGCTCCTCACGGCGGTGGATGCCGCCCTTGTGGCGGCCTGCAAACAGGACACGTGGCGATTCCCATTAGAAGCGGAGCACGGAACGGCATTTCAAAATCGCTGGCTGCTGAAGTTGTCATTAGAAGCGGAGCAATGATCTGGTGATTGTGAATTAGACGCTGCTGGAGTTCGTGCTATGCCATGAGAACACGACAAGCTGTCTTGTTTTGAAGTTCGACGGACTTGCCAGAAGGGCAATCAAGATTCTTGTCGAAGGTTTGAGAACCGTTCTCAGGGACCAGGGGGCCGGTCATATGCCGCCAGAAAGGGGTCAAGAGTTCCGAAAATAGCAGTCCGTGCCCGTCGTGAGAAAGGAAACTCAATTGGGCGGAGTTTGTTTTTGGCCTGAATGACATCCTGGAAAGCTCTCAATTCTCACTTCAATCGTCAAATAAGTATATCTGGTTCCTCGCTCATGTTTACCTGCTAATACAGATGGAAAAACGTGCCTAAATAAACAGGTTCAAAATTGGATTGTTTAGACTTGTAAAGCTTGCTACCTCCATCTCGACTTTTCAAGAGAGCCCAAATATGAAAGACAAGATGTCATCCGGAGAGACGTGCACAAGTGGATAAGTTGCAGTTTCCAACACCAGCAGGTATTGATGATTGTCAAGAGAAAGAAACTTCCGAAATCAATATCGAGATGGAAAACAAACCCGCATCTTCCTTTTCTGAGCGCAGTTCTGAGAATGAAGAACAGTTGAATACAATGATGACAGAATCCTGAGTACTCAACATGAAAGCTTCGTGGAATAGCACTGCATTCAATTCTCTATCCTTGAGAGCAGTCAGAGGGTTTTACCATCCTGACAACGTTTGACAAACTGTCTGCTTGACCTGCATGCATCCCTCAGAACACTTTACCACTCAATTTGACCGGGTTACCCTTCTCTCCTGCTGCCTTTTCAATTTTTGATTTTCCCCATGAGCACTGATTCCGCGACCGAGTGGAGAAGATACCAGATATGCAGGTGGGAAAAATCAAAGACCTCTCAAATAATTTTCTCCTCTTCTCGCTCGACCACAATCATAGACCTTCTTAGCTTGCCGGGATGCTCTTTTATCCCTGCAATTTAAAGAACCCCACAGTTCCTCATGGACGAAACATGCATAAGAACCTCACACCTGGGGAACCAGGGCCAACGTGAACTAGACCGGGTGACCAACCTTCGGCGAGGTGGAGCTGGGCCTCGAGCGACTTCCCGCCGGTTCCCCCGGGCACCACGACCTCCCCGTTGCGCGCGCGCTCGTCCAGCTTCCGCTTCTCCTCTTCCGGCAGGTTCTTGATCCGCTCTATCTCCGCCTCGATGTCGCGGTCGCGGTGGCGGTGTTCCTGCGCCATGCTGACTGTCTCCGCGCGCGCGCTTTTACCTTCTTTTAAGAGGCAGCTTTCCGAAAGTAGCGGGAGCGATTTCGAGTGTGGGCCGCCAAGGAAAGAGGAGCTTCGAGGCTTCAAAGAGCAGCAGCTTATGCAAAGAAGGGTGTCTCTCGAGAATCTTGGCACGGCAAGTCCTGGAGAGAATGCATGCGTAGAAAAGACAGGTGGGTCGATGGGAGACAGGCATGCTTTGGAATGCCAGACTCCGGCGCGGTCTTGAAGCCGGACGAACATCATGAAGACGTGACTGCCGCTCGACGCCTGTGCATGGTCACGTGATCATGACGTGTCGTCACGTGCTATTTGCGGGCGTAAAGATTCGGGCCCCTGGCTCGAGCGCCGAGCCCTTGGCCTGAGAGCTACAACTCAGCAACGCAAGCTACTTGTGCATGCTAGCCGTCGCTCGGTAATTGGTCGAACCGCCTGCAGGAACACCTCAAAGACGCATTCTTGCTGTAGTCAAAAGGCGCCGACCTTGAATGTTTGAGAGTAATTTGACGATTCTGAGAAGGTGGCCGGTGACGACGTACTCATACGTACTGAGATATGAACCGTCCCGGCCCGGTCGACTTCCAACATGGACCTGCTAGTGAAAGCAGTACGTTTAAGCCGTTTCAGCTGATGCTAGCCTGCATGTTGCAACCGTTAATGCAGCCGGTTTTGTTGTCATGCGCAATCATCAGCGCCCTGCACTATCGCGATCAGCTGCCTGTGCACGCTGCACAGGACTTTGGAGATTTGCAAAGGAAGATCGTTATCTTGCAGCTTGAAATCAGGTACGTTGCAATTGGTTAGTATGCTGCTATACTCTCCGAAGTGTCTCGTCGAAGCTGCTTACTAGTGCACCTGGCAAATTCAGTCTAGGCATATGTAACGGCGCGCATTTGGCTTGGTCACGCGCGCGATGGATTGATCGTCCATCTGCCCTCAGATCAATGCGCACTCGCATAAAGTCAATCAACCATGCGCGCACGAAATTTGCATCCTGCAGCGCCGCGGCGCAAAAGCAACTTGCTCACACGCAGTCTTACTCAAGGTTTGCTAAGAGCATGTGACTAATTGAAAAAAATTGTGTTCCTTGATTGCCCTAGAATGCAAGGCTGGCCCCTCGATGATGCATACTATGATGCCTTTCCTTCTGATGCACTCGCAATTTTATTGCGCAATGTTTCCAGTGGCCGACCCCGTCGGTCATCAATCACCTAAGCAGTAAGTTCGGACAGCGAGCCTCAGCATACGTTCAAGTGCATGCTGGGACCAATCGTTTTTACCCGTCAACACGTTCACCACCCTAAGCCCTGACGGCCACTTTGCCTAGCTGCAACCGCTGCTCGCGATACTCACTCGCGGTTTTCGCGCCCTTTCCGGCGGGCGGGTCAATGGCCTCGCCCGCCTTCTCAACCGCGGCCTCAATGATTTTCTTCATGGTCTTCCCTTCGGGCGGCGTTTGCCGGCGGGGATCGGGCAGGGGCCGGAGCAATGGGTCCGCCGCGTTTCTTTGGGCCATCTCCTTGCACATGTTGATGATGTAGTCAACTGCAGAGGCAAAAACATGTTATAGGTTATGGTTACGGCGGACTGTTTTAGTGGAGCGGAACAAGAATTCTGTCGTGCAGAATGCGCTTCGGCTATCCACCGCGTTGTGCGAGTGTAGCGCGAGCATCGTTCGAACTTTCGAGCTGGAATTCAGGAACCGATACGCTGGGCGCACTCCAAGTCGGCGAACGGGCCAAAAAGGCCTTTCTGCATGAATTCTGAAAACATTTCTACATACAGAGCTTATGTGTGCTGCCGGGTCCAGAAAGAAGAATCGACAGGTGACGTCAGACAACAAAAGGACGGCGCAGCGGAGTAGAAACCTGCCGCATTCTGAGCATAAAAGCAGGCAGACCGGCCGAAGCGAGCTCAATAAATCAACTCTCTGGGCTTCAAACGACCAACAACACGGGACGATTGCCGGGCCGCCAAGAAGAGACATAAGTTTCAACCCGCAACGGCTTCGGATGCACGGTTGCGTCTTCTCACTCGTACTCTTGTGAGTGGTCGAGATATCTTAGTCGTGGATAAGATATAACATCTCAGAAAAACATGGAGTCACATGGATCAGCCACAGAAGCAATAAGCTGCCCACCGAAGTGCTGCCCAAGTAATTATGAGAGCAGGGGACATACTACCAGAAAGGTCGTCAATATGACACATGGATCGCCAACCCGAGACAGCACACGAATCGACACCCCACATCAACTATCGCCTGTCGAGAGACGATACTGGTTTCCACTTGACAACAGTAGAGCGCACAGAAGCTATCTCGATCAGGAAAACTTGCTTCGTTCTTTTCGCACATACGTCCAACTGTGCCATTTGAGACCAACACATGGGAACTAGTGACAACAACGAGGATCAGAATCAATCAACGTTCAGCAAAGCGAGTCACTCCACTCGAATCTGGGACCAACCACTTCAACAAGCACTTAAACACAAGCTCAGGTATCGAGACGAGCTCCCCACCTGTCGCTGGCTGCTGCTGGTTCAGCCCATCCCGCAGGTCGGTATGTACCCGGAACCACCCCCCGAGCAGCTTGAACATGTGCCCCTTCACCATACGCATCGGCACCGGGTACTTCTTCACCATCTCCAGATACTCGATCGTCACATCGATGACGTCAGGCGGCGTCATCAGCGGGAGCGCGTGCCACGTGCCGGGCTGGGGGACGTCTAGAGCTTCCGACACCCTGCCAGAAATCTCGGCGGGGGGGTCGATCTCGCGGCCGAACATGGCGGGGTCTTCGAGGAGGGTGTCGGCGGACAGGACGCCGTCCGCGCCCGTGAAGGCCATGCAGGCGCGCACGTCCGAAAGGTTGCGGATGTTGCCGTTGGCCAGGACGGGGATGCTGACCTGAATAATGGAGAACCGCGAGCGGAATGAACAAGGTTGAACGCTTGTTTAGATTTCTGAACTGGAAAATGAAAATACAGCCGGTCGACTAAGGATTTGCGAATGTTGCCGTTGGCCAAAATGGGTATGGTGAACTGGCAACGGGAATCCATGATGACAAGACGACTTCGGTTGATCTGCATATGGTTGAGAACTTGGCTTGGTTGAATAGCTGTGAAGCGCGCAGTTGAATCGGACCTATATTCTCGGTCAACATCTGCGGGGCTTATGAAAGAGGAGGTCAACGTTTAAGAAGCACGGTCGGTCGATCGAAGTTCGAAGCTGGCTGCACCTGAATCTCCAAGTCGCGCTCTTCTTTCCTTCCACAGAGGCTTTCCAGAGGAAAGGATGTCGAGTGTACGGATACAGAACGTCTGCCAAATCTTGTACTCTGAAAAATCCTCACTCACTGCTGCCTGACGGCCTTTCTCACGAGCGAACCCGCCAGAAACCCGCACGGAGAAGATCCACAAGAATTCGTCGACAGTTCTATAACCTCAAAGCCCACCAAACCGCTGCCCAAAGTCACAAACCAAGATAAGACAATCCCAACACGTGTATCCTAAGCAGCCAGTCGCTTACCACCTCCCTTAAGGCCTTTGCTCGCACGCCAGTCCACCGCGAGCTCCTACCAGTACCTGATGACCATTCTAAAATCTTGTAATCCACAGCTTTGGCACCAGATTGCTGCCCAAATGGGCCCTCGCAATAACGCTCCACTCACCGCCTCCCTGACGGCCTTGATCACGTGCCAGTCCGCCGTGAGCCGCGCGCTCTTCTGGTCCCGCGTGCGCCCATGGACTGCCAGTAACTGACAACCCGCTTCTTCCAGCATACGCGCATACGCTATTGTGTCGTCGATGCTCGGAAACATCCGAATCTTGCAGGCAACCGGAACGGAAGAAGCGGCGGAGAGGGCGGAGACGATAGAGCGCACGAGGGGGAGGTCGTCCATCAGGAAGGAGCCGTAGTTGCCGCGCTTGGCAATGGCCTGGGGGCATCTGAAAGGGAGGACGGGAACATTTCAGGACCGCTTGTAGCAGGAGTTGATGAGAATCTGAAAGCAGAAGAAAGTACATGCGCTACTTCGGTCCTCGGACCAGTGAAGGGTCTACATTGCTCGATACTCTTTTGAAAACATTACATCTTCATGAAAGATGGAAAGCAGGCAACTGGGGTAATCCAGATGAAAGCAGCCGCAATTCTAGTTCACAACAGAGAATCAAAAGAAGGCTCTAGCTCAAAGATCTGCGCAAACCACAAACAGCAGAATGTTGTGGCATCTGCAATGCATTTGCAGCTGAGAGTCAAGCATGAGGTGAGAGACAAGGAAGAAGTGGGGGCAAGAATCTTACCCCAAGTTCAAATCAATGTAATCACAGTAAGGCTCCACGTAGCGCGCTGCTTCCACCAGGGTATCGGGGTTGTTTGCGCAGAACTGGACAAAGAGGGGCCTATCCTCCTGCAAACCGTATGGATCTGACATCAACAAACTTATCGAAAGGGCAGCCTCCTAGAGTGAAGAAGAGGTCAGGAGATCTGAGCGCTTTGAAACAGCCAGAGGCCACGGTGAGCATTGACCTTTAGACAAGCTCGCCGCCCGCAGGTGAATCAGCTTCAACCTCCTCGAAGTGCACCGTGCGCCAAAGGTGATACTTGCTGGACCTACATAAGAAGCATTACATTGCCGGCACACATACTTCTTGCGAAGCCAGAAAAGTAAGTGAATGGAGTAGGTGAATGCAGCTTCATCCTACGTGAGTGACAGAGAAACCCACCCACATCACGCAGGCCACAGCAAGACCATGCGCCACAAGCTCCTGGATGCTCGGCAATCTCTACTTCTACAAACACTACAAGCACTACAGGCGCTGCAAACACTACAAACATCCCAGCTATAGACCCAGGGAGGCGATCAGCTCACTGGGCATGTCGTGAAGTGCTCCTTCCTGTACCGCTCGCTGTCCACAAACAGCCGGCTGTGCAGCATCGGCGTGTAGGCCGCATCTGCCCCGTGCTTCCTGCACAGCATTCTGAAGGGCAGCTCCGACTGGTCCACCATCGGTGCCACAATCCTCCATGGAGACCCCAGCTTTCTGTAGTGCTCCCAGGCCCGCTGCGCCCTGGGAGAAAGCCCCGGGGGAATGCCTGATCTGAGTATCATGAGGGGTCTGGGGGTGTTCTCTGGAGGTGAGGGGTTAGGGCTGCTTTGAGCAGGACCGTCAGGCAATGCTGATGTCATGCCTGCAATCAAGGGTTCGGGCTCTGTAGGGCTCACGTCAGCGATGGGACCGTCCGTGCTTGGGTTAGTTGCTGGGATGTCTACGCGCGGGGCTTCAGGGCGTGTGAGTGAAGCGTCGGCGGCGTTCAGATCAAAGGGCGGTAGCTTTTGCTTCTTCAAGGGGCTGGCTGCATCCATTTCAGCCACTACTTTGGTGCCGCCCGCACTGCAGCAACTTAGTGTTGTACTACAAATTAGGTCTGTTTCAGTCCGCTTGTCAACGGAAGTACAGATTTGTACTACAAATCTGTGATTGCTGTCCCTCCCTGCGACAATGACACTCTCGCTGCGCCGCCGAGCAACCAGGGAGTTGGGTATAAATCTCAAGGAGCATACCTTCCTTCTTAGACTGAAGGCTGAAGCTTGAAGGCCTGTCAAACAGCCAAGGTTGCTGTGCGAGAAACGAAGAACCGCAGCCGCCATAAAAGTGGCGCCTCTTCTTTTGTCATGCTGCTTGGCCTTCTCTTGAACTTGTTGATCATCACCATTCGACCACCATTACCGTGTGCAAATTTAGGGTTTAGGCGCCCCTTTTGAAACGCTGGAAGGCGGTGGTCTGTAACGCCGGCTGGGTTAGCACCTCAGGTTCTTAACGAGGAAGCTTTAACGGTCCTCATTCGAAGATTGAAGTGGCGACTTACATGGTCAGGAGTTTAACCCAAAACAACCTACCACGTTTAGCAGTAGTTTCTGCTCTGTACCTGCAGTCCGCAATGACCTTGCGCAAAATCACACCTCTGACAGTGATACTGAAGCAGTGAAGATGTGCTCAACAATGGCCGCCGAACGAGCGAATCCAGTGGCAGAGGAGCAGGTGTTGTCCTCGTGGGAGGACTTTGATCTACTTTCAGAGGATTCTTTCAATGCAGCAACTCATGACGTTGAAAGCGTCAAGAATGACGCTTCTACTGGTGGGGGTTGTGATACTTTCGAGGAAGGAGACGTTGAGCAACTGGGAAGGCTGGCCAGCTCTGATTTGCCAGTGGAAGCTGGTTTAGTGCCAGCGACAAGTACTGCTCCGCATCATGTTCGCTTAGAAGCTGAGGTCCTCTCGGAAGAAACGCGTTTGGCTCAAGAAACCCCCCCGACTGGATCTGGTTTGCAGCATTCTGTTGGGACAAGCTGTAACCCTCTAGGTCCAGATAGAATTCAGTCTCCTTCGAACGAGAAACCTTTTGAAACATCCAGACACAGGCAATTGCAAAAAACATCTGCCACCTCTGCAGAAGAAGAAGGTTCAGGTACAACTGTTCACGAGCATGGCAGTCTACTTGACCTGGACTTTGATTCGGTGTGTCGCTGCCTGGAGCTACTTACGCTCAGAGACGTTTGCATGGTGGCGCAATGCTGTAGCAGGATGAGAGAGGCCGCTTACAACGACTCCGTATGGCAAGCCCTCTTTCGGTGAGAAACCAGTTCTCTCGTTGACAGGCGCATGATGGTAGAGGTTGTGGTTGTGGGGATCACGAGGGTGTGTCACCTGTTGTTTGGCCCCTCTGTTGATCCCGTGAGAAATTCCCGTTTCTGGCGACTAAACTTCTCATGGGCCTCCAAGCTGAGCAGCGTATGAAGGGGAGCAAACCGTAGACCATAAACACGTTCCTCTCAAGTATCATGTGAGCTTTTAGTTTGAGAAAGCCTTGTTTCTTTAAGACTCATTGCCACGTCCTTATCCTTGTCGCGTCGATTTCAATGAAGTTTTCCTTCCGAATCCACAAAGATGGCATTTTGGCCTCTTGATCACAGAATTCGTTGTATCAGACTTTAGCACCCCAACCTCGCCAAGCTTCCATGTCAAGTCCAAGAGAAGCTTCTCTCAAGGGGGGGTAGTCTGTTGATCATAGAAGACCACCAAACAGAAACCTCGTCCACTCCCTACAGGCGCGAGTGGCCAAGCATCCCCTTCCCCCCGGCCCAGCCAACACCCCCAGCATGGCGACATCTCTTCTTCGACCGATGGAAAGCTTGCCGCCAATTCCGCTTCCAAGATCCTTCCGTGTCAAAGTGGGCCTGCGAGGGGTTCTCTCCAGTCTGGCAGATTGCTATTAATTTTGACCAGAGCATAACTTGTCTAACCTGTGCGGAGCTGAGCACTTGGACATTTTCGGACAAAGAGGCCCCCGTCCGAAATGTGTCCAAGCACAAGCGAGCCTGCAAGACCGGGGAAAAGGCTCTGATGGTCCCAATAGAACTTCCCATGTTAGATCTCCGGGGGTGCCCTGCTGTCTCCGTAGACAGTGGCTTCCACCCTGTAATGCTGACCTCAGTAAGCCTTTCTGCCGGAGCGGAAGAAGCAGGACGCCTAAACTCGCCAATTACCCCAACTCCATTCGAGGTTGGTAGAACAAAAAAAGGCGAACGAACACCAAGCTCTGAGGCGCTAGCACCAAAAGAGCACTTTTTCCTGGTGGCGGAAGATAAGGTCCGTCTGTACAGCAGCCTTAGGGGGTGCTGCCGCACGCTCTCGACCACCCCCCCAGAACGGGTTCTGGCTCTGACCGACAGGGTTTTGGACTTGCCCGCTGGAGCACCTGAGGCAGTGATTGCAACTGGGGGGGAGGATAAGGTGGTGCGACTGTGGACGCTTGGGAGCCGCAGGAAAGGGGAGCAGCGACTGGTTTGCACTTTGCGGGGGCACGAGGATGCGATTGTCTTTCTTAGTGTGGCAAGGTGAGAAGTTGCCCTGTTCCAAGGGGGACGATCTCTTGGGTGGTGAGATCTGTTTTGATGTCTGACTGGTGGTAGTGCCGTACTTGCTTCGGTAAGTGATGGCAAGTCGCTTGTGCAACATCTGCGTTCCATCACATTTGGGTGTTCCTTTCCCTCTTTCTCTTGTTTTCTTCTCTTCTGAGCTTTTGTTAGTGCCTTTGGATTTCCTAGCAGCACCCTCGACAGCTTTTTCTCTACTCCGTTTGCTGTCCACTGCGTTTCAGTCCGCCAATCTGACATAATCGGTCGGCATCTACCTTAGTATGCTTTCTTTTCTTTTCTTTTTTGCCAATTTTCGGCTTTTATACTTACTGAATTTCTGCACAGGCACGACCCGTCCCTGCTCGTCAGTGTGGGCAGTGCGGGCACCGTCAAGCTGTGGGACGCTGCGTCCGCCCTCGAGCTGCGGGGAGCGACTGCAGGCGCTTCCAAGAGCTGTCTTGCCACGTGGAAGGTTCTCGGGCCGACAGCTGGCCTGGCGATGTGCGGCCACGTGTGCTACGTCGCTGGGAAGACGGCTGTGACGGCCATCGATCTAAGAAGGTACGCCTATCTGCGCATTCTGCATTTCTCTCAAACACAGGTACGGGATAGAGTGGCAAAAACTTTGTTGAAAGGCCCGGTTGAGGCACTGGGTATAATCAAAGGCCTCCGTTTGGCAGCCAAAACTTTTCTGAAGGCGAGGTGATTCTTGAAGTAAAGCCGACAGCACAAGTGTCCTCTACTTGTTGGGCGGCTGTCGTTTTTTTTCGAGTACCCAGGTGTTGTCTCACGGTTGGATTTGCTTCTCTGTACCGTTCTGCTCTTACCGTTACAGCTCACTGGGCAAGAAAAAACCAGAATGTGCTTCGATTGCAATAAGGTCATCGTCAATGTTTGGATGTCGCGTCAAATACCGTTGCGCTCTCCTCACTGATTCCGTCAAACAGCACGGATTTATTTTTACAGAGTGGCAATGTTATGCTTGAATTGATGCAAAGGCAAACAGCAGTTGATATCACACTAGACGCAAACATTAGTGCCTTCTCATAGCACGTGGCCCCCAACAAGTGTCCACAATCCGCCTCATGTCTACTTTCGTACCACACTTCCCAGCTTTGTTAGGCAAAACACCGTTGATTCAACTTAAAGGCCGTACCACACTTCGTAGCGTTGATTAGGGAAAACACCTTTGATTCAACCCAAAGGCCGAACCAACCAGACATTGACACGTTAGCCTCTTTCGTCGCAGCCTGCGCGTTTTGGGTCCGGTCGCTTCCCATGCCGACCGCATCTCGGCTATGGCGCTGAACGCCGCAGGGGACAGGCTATCTACGGGGACGACTAGCGGGTGAGCCTATTCACACCTTACATTCTGGCCTGCTTTGAAAATTTGTCTCCTCAAAATGCTGGATACCCTTTTGTATAATAGATTCAAAAAGAAGAAGAATAGACGACAAACATACGCACAGCTTCAAAGCTTGAGCCAGAGACAAAACGTCCTCCTGCTCTTGAGCTTTTTCATTTGTTCCTAGAAACCTGGTTAATCTTTTCTTCGAGGACTTCCTGACCCTTTTTGGAGTGCCTCATCGCGGTGCCAAGAGACAACGTCTAGACAACGTCTAGTGGAAAGATGAAATGGTCTGCCTTTGTAGAAGATGAGCGCCCCGCCTTGGAATCATGGAGCCTCATCTTACTGGTCATGTTCACGGGTTGGAAACCGGGCCTTGCCAGCGCTCGCAGTTTTCCTTGATGACTGACCCAGATGCCCTCGTTACGTTGCGTCACCTTTTGGCTGTTTTCAGTCTGGTGCTTACGGCGGGTATACTTCCGCCCTAACCTGACGCATCGTCCAACACTCCAACAAGCTCAAGCTCTGGCGTCGCAAGGACGTAATCAGCACAGGTCCTTTTCTTGCAAACAATCAGTTTCTCAACTACGAAGCGCGCGTTCATTTCTCTATACCTTGTACAAACTTTGCCGACTTTGGCGCTTCCTTTCGCAGGTCCGTCTTCCTTTGGGATCCCACGCTATCCGATTTCCTGGCGCCCAAGCCCCTCGCGGAACTGACGTCACATTCGGGGCCCGTTGCGCAGATCCTCATCGATCGCTTCAAGGTGTGTCGCCGCGTCTGAGCTTCTGTCGTACTGCTCTAAAACTCGGGCGACATCTTGCTGCTCATTTCGCTGGCTGCGTCCGGTCCGTGAAGCTTCAAATCTGCCCAATCTGTCAGCATCTGTTCGCACCTGCGCGCGTCTCTTCACGTATGTCTGCCTTCAATCTCCATCTGCTTGTGACCCTCATCCCCTCGCCTTCGGACCAGTCCGCTTCACGGACCGAGAGCATTTCTTACGTCCATACGAATGCTGGGTATTGTAACGGACGGTTGTTCAGCTGGCCACTATTTGCCGCTCCCAGACGGATTCCGGAATGAGTCAGCTATTTGGGAGCCTTTGTACCGATTCTGATCCCCCTAAAGAAAGCATCTGTGCGTCCCGTTTGCAGGTGGTCACGCGGACGGACTTTGAAAGCAGAGTCCACGTGTCAGCCGCCGACACGGGTGAGTCTGTATTCGACATCTTCGATTCTAGCCCGTCTCAGGGCAAGTCCTAGGATCCCTCGATCGAAACCTATGCATTCGTCGCTCCAAGCTTGGTTCAGCTAGTTGCGGCGTTCCTTCAAGTTCACTCTTGCGTTATTCCGACCGGCAATCCAACTTGTGCCCACCGCCTGACCTGACATCGTGCTGTCGTCACCCTCCGAGGATTTAACAAGCGGTTGCTGTGGTCGACAGACAACCGTGAACCTCGTGTTCGATGCTTTTTACTTCTTAAAACAGATTCTCGCCACTTTGCAGGGGTTCCAATCTGCTCCTTCCCTCCGGAAGGCGACAACTCTCTGCAACTAGAGTGGCGGGCCGACAAGCTGCTGATGACGATGCGGGGGCCGCTTTTGGTGCTGGGCAAGCTTCATATCGTATCTGCTGATTTCAGCAGGTCTAGGATAGCTTATGAATGTGACGAGAAAAAGGAGGAAGAGCAGGGCAGCGGTGACGACCTGGGCCGATTCTGGGAGCGACACAGTGACGACGTAGAAGATGATTCCGACGCGGATTGACTAGTCAAAGATTGCTTTACAAATGCAGCGGCATGAAGCAAGCGAAGGGGATAATCGGAGACAGGTGCAGCAAAGTAGACTACATGTTTCCTGTACGTTAGTAGATGCGGATCATCAGAGATATACTACATACCAGGATAGCATGGAATCCGTCGCAACCATCCTGGATCATATGGTATTGGACTCATTGCCGGCACGCGGACTCATTTGCCGGCGTCACGATGAAAGGAAAGCGCATGGACCGCAAGTGTCAAGGCTGGCTGATTGGGTTCGTTGCTCATGCAACGGGTCATATATTTACGAGTCTATAGCTGTACCTTTGGCCCAAAAAGTCGGTCAGCCTTTGCGCGTGTTATACTTCTCCGGCATGCCCACATGTGCAAATTCATAAGGTAGTACATCTCTACCTTATATATATGAATTTAGGCAACAGAATTGGTGACGCGTGCATTTGAGCTGCGCTAGCTCTCGCGCCATGAACACGTTGATTGGTAAATTTGTGCTGGTACGTACATGTGCAGCACGTGACATGATTGATTCGCGGACTCAGCCAAGAGCAATCGCTCGACCACATGGCAAATCACAGCCACTGCTGTCCCGTGTCCACCGTAATACAAGGCTTGTGAATGGCTGCTGTCGGAAGCGAGAGGTGGGTATTAACTCAGCTCAGACGAAACACCGACTTCTTTCGTCAAGGAGGTGCGCACAAAAAGTTAGCTCACTTCGTCGGCTACAGCTCCTCATTCATTAGATCGTCGAGACTGAACTCCTCTTCCTCTTCTAGCTTCCCGTCTTTCCCATCCCACGGCTGCACCGTCTTTACTGAGGGAACCGCCGAGATTGTCGTGACCCCAGTTGACGGATTCTGCAAAGAGACAAAAGCGCCGAAGTGTTTCATGTCGAGAAACGAAGAGGGTATCAAAGTAGTCGAAGAGATAGATTGCCAAGATCACTCTCAAGCAATCTGGCTTTCTCGAGCGAGACGAGGCTGCCAATCTGAGCGGCAATCCCAAGCCTCACATCTGCGACACTGGATGCCCACTGAAACCTGACAACAACATCGTCGAAGCGGAAACTACGACAGGAGAAACGGATTCGGCGCAGAATACCAACATCACGCAGACGCCTGACATCCTCTGCAGGATCTAGATCTCCAGCACTTGATGCCACAGACGCGCTGATCGACTGGTCCTTCTCATAGCGACACCAAGACCGCATAGACACAAAGAGCACGAAACGACTAGCGTCTTCCGACAAATCACTCAATCTGCACAACTCACCGCCACAAACGCGCTGATTGACTGGTCCCGCTCATAATCGAACCGAAATCGCATAAAGGCTGACAGAATGCAAACGCCTAACATTCTCCAAAGGTTCCCAACGAGAGTCGCACACTTCACCGCCATGAACGCGCTTGATCGACCGGTCCACTCATTGGCGAACCAAGACCGCGCAGACGTTGACAGAACGCAAACGCCTTACCTCCTCCAAACATTCGCAACGATTTTCGCAAAACTCACTGCCACGAGCGCGCTGATCGACTGGTTCACTCGTCCTCGAAGCGAGACCGCATAGGCGCTGAGAGCACGCAACAGCCAAATATCCTTCCCAACAAGAACCGCAACTCACCGCCTTGAACGCGCTGGTCGACTGGTCCGCTCATAGTCCAACTGAGATCGCATAAACGCTGACAGTGCGCAAACGCTTAAAATTCTCCACAGCTTTTCAACAAAATCTGCATCACTCACCGCCACGAACGTGCTGATCGACTGGTCCGCTCATAGAAACCAAGACCGCATAGACGCTGACAGCACGCAAAGGCCTAACATCCTCCACAAATTTCCAACAAGTTCGCAAAGCTCACCGCCACAAACGTGCTGATCGACTGGTCCGCGAACGCGCCCCGCAGCGACGAGTACACCCCCTTCTTCGCGTTGAGCCCAACCATTGCCGGGTATCCGTACCCCCCCACCCCGACCGCTTCTTCCAACTCGGGCTGCGCCCCGGCCTCAGCCCACACGTACCCATACGGCCGCCGCTTATGCTTCTCCGCCGTCGCTTTGAGCGTGGTGATGTAGGCGTTGCGCCCGGCGGCGCCCGAGTCCAGGATGTGCGGGAGGAAGGAGAGGAAGCAGATCTGGGCGTTGCCGCATGCCTTGTCATAGGCCGCCTGGAAACGATGAAGATAGGCTCGTTTTGTGTATTATGTTGGTGTACAATTCAGGGAGGGTATTGGTAATTGCGCATGGCAGCGCCCCAGTCAAGGATGAGCGGAAGGAAGGAGAGGAAGCAGATTTGCGCAGTGCCGCACGCCTTGTCATAGGCCGCCTGCAAACGTGGAGGATAGGTTGTTTACCAGAGATATTGGTGTTCGCTGAAGGAGGAAAGTGGTGATTGCGCTAGGATGAGCGGAAAAGAGGAGACGAAGCAGACTTGTGCGTAGCCGCACGCCTTGTCGTAGGCCGCCTGCAAACGTAATAGATAAGTTCTTTTCGGAGAAATAGTTTGGTGTCAGCTTAGGGAGGGTAGTGGTGATTGCGAGCAGTAGCACCCCAGTCCAGGATATGCTGCAGAAAGGGGAGGTAGCAGATTGCGCGTTGCCGCACCCCATAGATTCTTTTTTGTGAGACGTGTTGGTATCAGTTCAGAGAAGCAAGTGGTGGTTGCGCACGACAGCGTCCGAGTCCAGGATGTGCGGAAAGAAGGAGAGGAAGCAGATCTGGGCAGCACCGCATGCCTTCTCGTAGGCAGCCTGAGAATGGGCTGCATTGGGCTAAGAACTTCGTGCCATGAACCTTTCTTCAGTGCGTATGGAGGCAGCAGTATAACAGAGCTACGAGGGCGCTGCTTGAGTGTGCCGAAAGCATAGCGGACTTTGCAGCAGCGGACTCGAGCCTGCGTCGTCCCTTGTATGACCACCTTCTTTGTACCAGAAGCAACAACGGTCCGAAGAAAGCAGTGTAGGCGCCGACTAAAGGGCTATTCAGATCCGGTTTGAGGTACCCATTGTAAACCAACTGAACCAACGCGTGTAAGAGGAAGGAAGAAGAAACGCATATGCAATTTCGTGAGTGGAGCTTGGCAAAACGTACTGAAAGGCTGGAAGAGCTTTGCGGAGATGGACGAATCGAGCTGTGTCAGCCCTCCTGCACGATCGAGACTTTGTGCGGGCCTGATCGTCTTGGATTCAGAAATGGTGCTCCGCGGAAAGATTAAGATCGAAACAGTCGTATTGATCGTCCCTCAATCATGCTTCGAGCCGCACATCATGCATTCAAATTATGCGAAGTCGCATCGCTCCTACCGGACATATCCAACGACGAAAGCAACACACACGGTTGTTTCCTCAACCAGCACCCTTTTTACTCAATTTCTCAACCTCGCTTTGTCAAGAAAGTGGTTCCGCACTGACCTGGCTCGTCATCTCCACCACTTCCGGGGCCACTGCCGACGTCTCCAGCAACCGCAGCGCATAGTCCTCAATTGCAGACGCCGTCCGGCCCTGCTCGTACGGTTGCGGGCTCTGCTTGTCCGCACCGAAAACTAGGATGGTGGGGAAACCCTTGACATCGTACTTGGATGCCAAGCTCGTCTCCACAGTGCAATCCACGGCCCCAAGCTTCACCTTGCCCTTCAGATTGCCGGCCGCCTTCTTCCACTCAGGGGCCAGAGCTTTGCAGTGGCCGCACCTGCAAGAAGCGAATTGGACTGAAATTTATGGAAGTTCAACTTAAATAGCTTCCCCAAGTGTCACGTTGAAAATGGAGATACGCCCGTCAGGTTGAAACTGATGAGCGTTGCTACAGGAGCCGCCCTTTTGTTCCGCCCTTTTGTTATCAATCTCAGGGAAGGCAGCGTACAGCCTGGAGATGTTTTCGACCAACCTTCGCCTTTTATGGAGAGGTCGACTTGCTGAGATTACCTCAACACATTCTCCACCCTGCTTCAGATTGATCGCGCAAAGTCAATCGCCCCCTTTCAGGCTCTGAAGTCATTGGACCCCTTTGTTCTCAGGGCCATTCCACCAACATGACGACTTGCTTCTCATCACAGCCCCCCTAAGACTTAGCAGGAAGTTCCTGCTACGCATTGGGGCAAAGAGGGCAAACTGCAGACTCTGAAAACGATGAAGTTCAAGGATTAATAGATCCTCGAACAGCAGGGAATAAGGACAGGAGTTGGGGATTGCACAACCTTGCTTAGTGAGTCGGCGTTTGAGGACTCACCAGGGGGCAAAGAACTCGACCATCCAGAGATCCCCGCTCTGCAGCACCTCCTTCTCAAAGTTGCTGTCCGTCAGAGTGACCACTGCCGACTCCTTGCTCTCCTTTCCGCCGCCGCTGCTACTGCCGCCGCTGCTGCTCTTCTTGCCACTCAGGCGCGATGACACCAGACTCTTTGCCTGGCAAAGCGGTACGAGGAGTAGATTACGCTGTGTGACCGTGCAGAGCGAGAGTATGGGGCCAACAAGTGAGGAGGATACATTCACGACACTCAAAAGGGAGCACAGATGAACATCTAGAAGAACCATGGGGCTGTCAACTGCTTCAGCATTCCAGAGTATGCTAGGAGCCTCCTTATGTTGGGTGGTCGACCCTGGCTGCCCATCGAAAGGTACAAGGATGATGAAGCACCTAAGGGACATGAAGCACCATCATGTTTTCCAAAGTCAGAGCCTGGAAACAAGCATCCCTCAATCAGCCCATGCTGAGGATGTATTTTTCTAGGGTTTCAGTCCAGAAAGGAGGTGCATAAAATCTCACCTGCTGTAGCACCCAGTCAACCATGGGCTTTGCCTCCCTTGCGCCTTGATAGTCAACTGGTTTCTTTTGGCCAGGGATAAAGGCCTTGATTGTGGGGAAGCCCTGAACCCCATACTCGGCCCCCAAAGACTTGTGAGCATCAGCGTCAACAGCCGCAACCACTGCGACGCCCTTCAGTGCGGTGGCGGCCTTGTCGTACTGAGGCTGCAGGCTCTTGCAGTGGCCGCACCTGTGAAGGATGGCGTATGATCATCAAACAAGAGAAGATATGCAGACATCAATGCTAACCTGGAAACAGAGACTTTCCACAACAACAGTTTATATACGATGCTGAAGATGGAAGCTCGAAAGAAAAGCTACCACCGAGTGCTACAGAGATTGAAGTTTACCATGCTGCTAATAAAGCTTGACAACCCTAGCATTTCTCGCCTTTGTTGAAATATAAGGTGGATTAGAGAAGCTCTGCACGTTGCATAGTAGTGCAATTGTCCCGCCAAATGCATACGTTGCCCTTTGATTTTCCGAAATGTAGACAATCAAGGGCTGACCAGCAAGGACATACATCAGAAACATCTCTAGATGCAACCTGATTACTGCAGCTACAGCAGAAGTTTTGGCACAGAGAGAGGATGTCCTCTATCCAATTCAAAGTCATCTGTTCACATCCTAAGAAACTCCTTCACTTCTGGGATATTGTGGGTGCACTTACCATGGAGCAAAGAACTCCACAAGCACGACTGAGTCAGACTTGAGCACCTTGCTCTTGAAGTTTTCTGGTGTCAGGGTCAAAACATCAGACGATGGCGCGTACAAACCAAGGACGGGATGCAGTGAACAAAGCAATGCAAGCGCAACCACTCCCACAGCGGAGCGCGCCATGGCGTTGTCAACAATAAGATGCAGTGACACCGTGCACCACCAAAATGGAAGGGAATTGAGTCACGAACTACCCAATTATGACAATCGTGCCCTCACACCCGTTCTAGGTAGGGATTAACAGCTTGCATTGGCATTGGGCAAAATGGGTCTTCCTCCTCAAAAATGGAAGGGCTCCCCAGGCGGGACACGCATCGGAACAATCTGCACCGTCCGATAAGGGTGGGGCTGAAAGATGTACGGTCGAACTGGCCTTACTTTCAGCTTAACTGGTCGCTGATTGGCCTGCTCGACGTGGCAGTGATGTCCGCAGATACGTGCCCATTGCTGCATTATGCAGCAACTCAAAACCGTGGAAGGGTTTTGAGTTGCCAATGCTATGAAGTTTCAAACCCTAAAAGTTGCTGCATTCGCAAACCTGCCTTGGAAGTTTGAGGTCGCATGCAGAGCTCTAGCTAAATAGCTACCTAGAGCGCGCTTTAGGGCGTCTTCCCCTTCCCTTCTGGTTTGCGAGAGCAGAGAGAGCAGACAAGCCACGAAAGGGAGCTGAAAAAGCCATTTGAAGGATGTCCAATGTGGTCGCTTGAAAAACAGAACTGTTGAAGCAGAAGTGCAATGCTGTCATTCTCGTCTTTGCAAGCCGGCTACCGAGCGCTCCTAGCTGCAGGGCTAACGCTGTCACTTGCTGGGGGAATCTGGCTGGGGTCAACTTTCGTACATAACGGGAGACAGCAGACCTCCAGCACAAATCCTGAAAGTCCAGCTGCGAAAAAATGAAGGCTTGATCTGCATATCTCTCATCGCCGCTTTGCGCAAGGCTGGCAGTTGTTGGATTTGCATACCACTCACAGAAGCATCAACATTTCTGCAGCATCAGCGGCACAGGGGGATGATCCTCAGTTGCTAAACAAGAGACTGAAAAAAGTGAAGTTGATTAGTTGACTTACTTGGTGGATTTATATAATATGGTGGGGCCTGCCCCACTTGATGAGGTCATTGCAAATGCAAACAAGCTGGCGCAACCTGGTAAAGGAATCTTGGCAAGCGATGAAAGCACAAGGACAGTGGGAAAGAGGCTGCAGAGTGTCGGCTTGGACAACACGGAGGCAAACCGGCAGGCGTTCCGGGAGGTGGGGCTCGTGAACTTTATGCTCAGCTGTTCTAGAGTCATGCCCTGCTCATGTTATCTGTTCAGATTATTCTATCAAGTAATTGAACCAGTCATTCAATGGTGGCTTTACAAGGAACACTTGCATTCGATGGCTGGTGGTGCAAAGAACAAGAGCACAGTCTGAAAATGCAAGTGCGTCATCAGAATGTACATCCAACAACCAGACCGTCAGGTGCTGTCCTTGACCAACTGCGCATCTACGAAAAGCACCTTCATCGATGCAGAGGCAACTTGGCCCCATGAAATGAACCATCACGGTTCGGCTGCCAAACCAACCAGTCGCGGTGCTTTTAGTACCAGAAAGCATCCTTTCAGATCTGAAGTCTGCTCTTGTGTGCCAATGATATCTGTGGAGAAAGTGGTTCTGCACCTGTCTTTGCCTTGACCAGTCAAAATTGTTGCTTTGAACGTCTAGAGTTAAGATGGAGCTCCTCCTCTTCAGATGCTCTACACCACCCCCGGCATCGGGCAGTACCTCAGCGGCGCAATCCTCTTTCATGAGACTCTTTTCCAGTCAACAGCTAACGGCACACCTTTCGTGAAGGTGAGGCCCAACACTGGGTCGCTGGATAGGCTATTGGCATGTTAAGTATGATCTGTTATCTTTGCGAACCGCTTGGACAGGATCCTTTCAGGGGTGCGATACAGTTCCTGCTTACTTTGACATAGAAGGCAGCTCAGGTTAGGTCTGGCACCCGACTTCTGGCCCTTCTTGGACTGGGAGGGCAGAGCTGAACTATAACTTAGTATGGGACGGTCCTCATCATATTTCCGATTCTTTGGGCATTCGTCTTAGAAAGACCTGAGGATGACGAATTGGCTGTGCATGTTCCAATTTGCAGGTTCTAGGAGAAGCAGGGATCCTCCCAGGAATCAAGGTCGATGTGGTGAGTGTTCGACTGACCAGAAGAAGAAGAAAAGATACACCGGAAATCGTGTTGCTAGAGCGAGGCACGTCAGGCTCTGACGACATACAGTTGAAGGGACGGATCCCTCGGGTTCTGAGTATGGGACTTGTTGACATATGGAGCACCAGGAAAGCAGCGAGCGTAATCTCAATAAGTCACTTTGTTCAACACCCGAGTTGCAAGGCCAGCCTTAAATTTTGCTTTCATCCTCAAAGCTAATAGACCCCTGATGCCGATCACTTGATGTTGAGTGCACAATGAGACAGCTGCCTAAGACTCGTTCTGTACGTAGGGGTTGGTGCCCATTCCCGGGACGGACGGCGAAACGAGCACGCTCGGCTTAGACGATCTGACCAACAGAAGCAGAGCCTACTACGAACAGGTTGGTTTTGCCATCGCCACCAATAATGCTAATCGCCACTGACGCTCCTCTCGTACATTATGTTGATCGCGTAGGCACAGATATTTGTTGGAATACTGAAGCAAGCTGGATTACAAGAGTTTATTGAGCGAGATCGTCAGCCACAATATACAATGAACGTCCGAAGATGGAATTCAACATTCAAGGAGGCCAGGTAAGGTTTGCAGCGAGTCAGCGGTGCCTCGAACATGCCTTATGTAGAACGATGAACTCGATCGTCACCCCAACCAATCGAGACCCGTCATTTATCCAAACCCATCTAGAGGTCTTTATGGAAACGTTTGGGTGCGCATCTCCCGACATACTCGTCAGATCCGTCTTTGCAATAAGGGTCATGTATAAGTATCTTTTTTACACTGAAGCCTCTACCCAACAGATTCACCCGTTCTGCACCTGCGACCATCCTAAACCCCACAGTCGCGGGCAGTGGGCCCTCATAAACTAAGTTACACCTAAAAAAGATGGGGCATCTTCGCTGGTCTCGAAAGGCTTTGTTGCTTGATCCGTAATCGAGCACGAATAGCCTTTATGACTTTAAAGGTAGTTCGTTCGGGCGATTCCATATTCTTGACAAGCGCCGCCAAGTGGTCTCGATTTTGACACTCTTTCTTCGGACTTTTCCCAGGGTGCCCGCTTCGCGAAGTGGCGAGCGGTCCTGAAAATCGGGGCGAACCTGCCATCCTCCCTCGCAATTGCGATGAACGCCCGGGACCTGGCTCGCTACGCCAGCATATGTCAGCAGAGCGGCCTCGTTCCGATTGTCGAGGTGAGGGGTAGAGCTCCACTATTATCCACGTTCATCTACCCGTCGAAGTGGGAGGCTTGATCTTTCTGAAAACTCAACCCGTCTTTTCCACCGGGCACAGCCAATGTAGAATGGGCTCGAATGTATCTACTCACAGCAGCAGTGGCCCTCTAGCCAATACTGCTATGTTGTCCATTTTGCGTACTTCGAAAGACGTTGATGCTTGCGGATTGTGTATCGACAGAAAGCCTGACTCTCCGACCCTTTCGTGTTGCTTCGATCAACAGCTCCAGTCAGCCCCACCCTTCTTCCCTTTTGAAGTTGTAAAGTTTCCGGCTTTCCCTTGACCTTTGAACTTAGGTGCCATAATGTTGACGTCAGCACAAGTAAGCAGACTGAGCCGCTGCCGGCCTACGGCCGCTGGTAGCAGTGGTTGACGCGGTCTCGTCATGAAACTCAAGAAAGATGCAAATAAGCCAAGATGAGTAAAAGTTCTGACTAAACAGAAAAAGTCCGAACTCAGAAAGATACCTGTTCCGCACCCATGCCCACCCTAACCACCAAAATAACCCTACCCGTCCGAGTGCGGGTTTTTATCAGTATTATCTCGGCTTACTATCGTAGTTCTTGAGTTTGATGGTCTCGTCTCAGCTGAAGGTAAGGTTATGTTTTTGTATAAGCGCATCGTCAAGGCGGCTAAAGTGACGCTATTTCACAGGGATGGCGGATCTCTGACACGTGTCGCTTTCTCCGCAGCCGGAGATCCTCATCGACGGCGACCACACCCTTGAGCGCAGCGCGGAGGTGGCAGAGCGCGTTTTTGCGGCAGTCGTCGCAGCGCTGCACGAACACCGGGTCTGCCTCGAGGGAATCCTCCTGAAGGTAGGGAATCCCCCTTTTTCTTTTGTAACTCTGTATCGTTTTTCCCCTCTCGATTCTGCTTTTGTCTAGTCTGTTTCTGCTCTGTGGTTGCAGCCAGCAGAAGCTACCCCGAGCCGTCAAGTCCGTCCGTTAACTTCCGGAGCCCGCTACATGGGCACTCCACATCACCGTTTCTGGCGTCTAGAAATTCCCGTGTGTGCAGTCTGGGTTCGCTGTTTGGAGTCTCATTCTGCTCCCGATCTGGGAGGTCGTTTCAGAGCGCCCGTTGTTTATCAAGCGTCTTCGGTAGCGTTTTTCGTTTCTCCTGTCCGAGGCGCCTCTTTTTGGATTTTTGAATGGGTTGAAAAATACACAATTCCAGGGTTTGCAAGGTGTAGAACAATCTGCTGCGGCGTCTGTCTCTGGCATCAAGGTCGCTTGTGTTTGCTGCAACATAGGTTTGCCTCATCTTCACGTACATTAACATCCCTTCCGCATTCTCCCCTGCCAAAGTGCCCCGTCTGTTACCTACGGCCTCACCTATGTTTCTTGGTTGAATTTGTACCCTGGTGTCGTGCGTCCGCGAGTGCCTGAAGAGCGTGCAGGAGGTTGCTTGAACAATGCACCAAACCAGTAGACGACTTTCTTCCAGGCCATGCTTTGTACGAACAGATAATCTTCTGAAGCCGTTCAGATGCCATGGGAACTTTGTGTTTCTGTTGTAAGATGCTTTCGACGGAGAAGAACACACCTGCTTGAGAGAGGAGTGCTCTGACATCTGATAACAGGGTTCGTGGCTGTGCTACGCTCCACTGCACTTTAAGGTTGAGGAGCTAATAGATTGATTTGCTGTTGGCTTTCAAACCGGCTCAGCAAAGCCGAAGAACGGGAGTTGTCGTCTGAAGCCACTTCCTCAGGCGTTTGGAAGAGCGAGTGGGTCGAGAGCAGGTCATGCAGTTTGAAACTTCGTCTTTGTCTTTGTCTTCCAAACTTGCCAGCTTTCTGAGCCTCGCGTTAGTAAGTCCAATCCGATCGCTCAAGGGTTCGTTTGTCTTGTTCGCAGCCCCAAATGATCCTTCCTGGAGCAGAATCGCCGCAGAAGGCGTCTCCCGAAGAGATCGCCGCAGCCACGCTTCGGACGCTGAGACGGACGATACCGCCCGCGGTCCCGGGCGTCATGTTCCTGTCCGGTGGCCAGAGCGAGCAGGCAAGAATTACCGACACAGATCTGCGCTGTCATCACTGTTTGGCTTGACGGCAGGCAAACGAACTTCGGTGTCGCCCGTTGCCTCATTGTGGAAACTAAGGAACTTGGATATATCCAGTCTTCACGAAGGATATGGTCATTGAAACCGCATGGTGAGCATCTTGAGGCCGTGGAAAGTGTTTCCAGCAAAGTCTGTCAGGTGAAGGATGCTTGAGTAGCGGAAACACAACTTTAGCTGGATGTTCCGAACTCTTCTTGAAGCGAGCGGCGACACGACAGGATCAAATTGCTTATGAGGTAGTACTCGCTTGGGGAGATGCTGACGTTGTTGTCACATTGTCTGCAGGAGGCAACCGTGAACCTCAACACTCTCAACAGCCTGGCTTTGCAAACGGGAGGGGCGCCTTGGACCCTATCCTTCTCATTCGGGCGAGCGCTCCAGGTGAGAACGTCTCCATCTTGGAGCTTGCCGTTCTGAACGTATATTGCGTTTGATCGAAGTTTCAGTAACCTCATTTGCAAAGCCTGGCTGTTGAGAGGGGTCGTTTGAAGGATACGTATGTATGGCCTTTGCACACCGGGAGCGAAGCTCTGTGGGAACGAACCAAGTGCAAAGAAGCTAGATAACGAAGAAGCCGATTGGCCGCGTTTGCTTTTCCAGACATCAAAGCCTCACATGCGGGTATAACGACACGCTGCTGGAAAGATGCAAAGATCTTTCCCAGAGCAGCGGCCTGGTGTCCGTGCAATCCCTCAATCTCTAATATGAAATGTGGTACAAAGGTTACGAATTTTGTTTTTCTTGCAGGCGAGCCCCCTCCGGATATGGTCCGGCGACGCCTCGAAGGTTGAGGAGGCGCAGGAGATGGCGGTGGGTCTGGCGAGAGTGAATGCGGAAGCTGTGCTTGGGAAGTATTCGGGCCCGCATCCATCGAAACTGACGGCATCGCTAAGGGAAAACTTCAGGGGTTGGCGACAAGGGGAGCCGCGTTGACTTCTTGGTTGGGCGTGAAACCGCTGCCACAAGCAGCTTGAAAGGCACGCTCCTCGAAACGCACGCTTCTGTAGAAAGGATACAACAACCACATCTCAGGATTGCAAGACGTTGGCATTGCGAAAGCCTGCAGTATACTGCGTTTGCGTTGTCCGGTAAGCTCGCCGCATATCGCAGCTAGATCGATGAACATTGTGTCACTCGATGCTACTGATGCATTGGACCATGCCGTCTCCCACGGTCCGGCAAGGGCGACCAGGTGCCAGAAGTATAATGCTCCATGCGCGGAGATGGCCGAAAACAATGATTCAGAATGCATGATATATCTTCATGTTCATTCGCTTTGCTGTTGTCTTACGTGGATAATTCCATCTCGGATAGACGCTTCCATTCGCAGACGTGCACCCATGTAGGTATATGCCGCCCGCGGCGTGTTAGCCATGCACTATGATTGAGCCTCAAATCGTTGGTATATGATCTGACGCATCGACCACGGTTGTCAAATAGTCCAACAATAGCTCTGGTCATCAAGGTCCAAGGGGTCTTATTCTTGACGTCAATGTTGCACCAGCGGCTGGTCTGCAATGATGCCTTTTCTATCTTACATCAGTAGGCTGTTTCGTTCGTCCGAAGTATTGCGGGCAATATCTTACAGCACTTTTCTCATAACCAAGAAAGTTCAGCCAAGAGGCCTATCTTTTCCGCCACATCGCCGAAGATCCCATAGGTTTGTAGACCCGCACTCAGAGCGACCTGCCGCTTGAACATGTCGCTTGCGCGCTTTGTAGACTCCTTATCCAGTGGCACTAGCATCTTCCGCGCCAGCCGGGCGCAAAGCGGACCCGCATTCAAACCAGGCCGGAGGACATACCTATAGCAACCCCTGTCCAAAAGGAACCTAAGCATGTGTATCCGATCCTCCTTCGCAACCTCGGCGCAGTACTCGCGGCTCAATTGAACCACCGGCTCTGCCTCTAGGATGCTTAGCAGCTCCTGGTCAGAGACCCCTTCCAGAGCCGCAGATCGGAGACACCTCTCTAAGTCCCAGGGGCAAGGGGGATCGAGCGACCGCGCCCACCGAAGCGCCTGCACTTCCCCTCGAGCTGCCGCGATGTCGCAAACGAAGGGGCGCACCATCGGCTCTTGCTTGAGCACCCAGTCCGCAACCTCGTTATGGCCCCGTGCGCACGCCCCATAAATGCACCGAAGAGGATTCCAGGGGCTCGGAGGCACTTGGCTTCTCGCCCAGGTGAGAATCTTCAGGCTTCCCGCCCTCGCCGCGTACAAGCAGACGTCCTTCTCCCACGAAGAGGGGGGTACCCGTTTGCTGGCCCAAACTAGTGGCGGCAGCTTTCCCATCATGGCCGCCAAGATACACATGTCCGCCAGCGCGTCCTCCTCCTGCTCAACAATCCACTCTGCCTCCTCAAGTCTGCCGTGGTTGATTGCCTCGAAGGCGCACCGCCCGGCCTCCCAAGGGCACCCGTGTGCTCGCAGCCATTTCAGAGTGTCAAGCTGGCCGTACATTGCTGCCGTGACGCACGCGTCGTTGCCCCACTCTAGTTTCCTCTTCCTCGCCCACTCGAGCACGTGCATCGACCCCAGGCAGGCTGCGTACGCGCACACGCTGGGAGCTGCTGACCGGGCCTTTTTCAAGACCCACTGCGCCATCTCAAACTGCTTTTCCTCTGCAGCGAAAAACGCGCACAGACTCGGGTGCCAGGGGCAAGGCGGCGACCGCTTCCTGAGCCATCTCAGGGCCGCAAACTGCCCCCGCATTGCCGCGCCCGTACAGACGCCCTCGTCCCACGGGAGCCCGTGCTTCCTCGCCCAGGCGAGCGCGTCCAAAAACCCCGCTTTTGCAGCTACGTTGCACAGCGTTTTCCCTGCGGAGGGGTCTTGCCCCAGCACCCATTCGGCTATGGCAAAGCTTTTCATTTGCGCAGCCAAAGCGATGCACAGAGTGGCATCCCAGGGGCATGGAGGCGTCTGCTCCCGTAGCCATTGCAACACCTCTAGACTTCCCCCGAGCACCGCGTGCTGACAGCTGTCTTCTCCCCACTGGTACATTCCCTGCACCTTTGCCCATTTCAAACCATTCAGAGACTCAAGGAGCGCGGCAAGAGGGAATACCAGCTCGCGCACAAGAACGTCCTTCTTGCTCAGATAGTCAACAACATCAAAATGCTCGTTGTCGATTGCTGCGCCTGCGATCGACAACCGGGAGTGGAGTGAGAGGGGCGGATACGGTCCTTCCAACCACTGGATGATGCGACACTGCAAGTCCTGGCCATCTAAGTGGATCCAATAACGGGGGAAGCCGATGTTGGAATACGTGGGCCTGTACTCTTGCAGCGTGCTGATCCCCTTTTCAGTGTACTTATGCCCATCAGGTTGCAATGCGGTGAGCCAACTATCTATGTTCCGCAACCTGCGAAGGGTGTCTTCCTCCACGCTCATCGTTTCAAGCCCCTCTGCCCGCTCCCTGCTCTCAAAAAACAGAGCTCTGAGAAGCGAAGGGGGATGCGCCTGGCGAAGCTCATGAATGCTGCAATGCACCCTGCCAAGTGTGTATACTCTTGAAAGTAGGTATAAATTATACTAGAAGTTCAAATCTTTCCTGTTGGAATTTGCCGCGCTTGCGCTTCTTCTTTCTGGTGGCCGGTTTGCATGACCAGCAAACTGACGTTCCAACGCCGGGAACCGCCGTTCAACGTCACGTTAAACGTTTGCCGACTTTGTTAAACCGCAGCTGGAAGATTGACAACCTGGGCTACATGCTGTTCTCCTTCGCTGGACAATTACTACTAGTGCTGTCGACCCTTCAACGTGATGGCATTGTGCAGAACAGCAGCTAGACTCCCCCTAGACTCGTAGCAAATCCATGCACCGGATCAGACACCTTCGGCTTCAAACACTCGTGATCTCAAGTGCAAGGTACTCAAGCACATCCAAAGGCGCCTTTCTCTCGCCACTGGCTTTCAGAGCGCCAGCGCAGATCAGCAGTATGGACAAGTTTGTGGTGACCTTCTGCCACAACTGCGATGGTGGCATGCAGGAATTTAACACGGCCAAGGAGTCCATCCTGTCAGTCTTTCCGGATGCCGAGGTCGAAGCCGACAGACGGGATGAGTATCCCATCTGGGTGAGCGATTTGCAACATTACTCTGCCTGCATGCGGTGCCTCCTTCGCCCGACAAATCAAAAACCATGTCTAACTGGGGCTTAACCATAATCCTCCTCCAGTCCTTCCTTTGACGACCTCAGTCGTGATATTGCCCGGCTCCGATCTGTCGACCATCGTATCGGTGTCCCGGTACTCTTTGAACCAGTCGAGCAGCCAACGTCATCCACTGTTCATTCCTTAGTCCGGGTGTTGAAATCACTTGATTGTCCTCATACAACGGTCGCTGTCTACTTGACAGCTGCAGAAGACAGCGTTTGGGTGTGTAGCTTTTTTTGTAGCTTAGGCTTCTGTAATTGACAGCATTGCGTGACTCTACGATCAAGCTGATGGGCATACTAGCTGAGTGCATCTGAAGAGTTCAGAGAAAGTGAACCTGTTGACTTGTTGGAGACTTCAGGAAAGAGTTTTCTGAATGGTGAACCAGGGTGCATCTTAGCATTCAAGTGTGGATTTGGAGGAATCAAAGGGAGGAAACAGGAACCTTCGATAGACTTCTGAAAGACTGGATTCCACTCTGAACTCTGATTTTCAAGACGTTGACATCTCAGAATAGTCTTTGTCCTTCTTGATTGCTGCAGGTGAGCATCAAAAAAGGTGTGTCTGGGCAGTTAGTGTGGGAGGGGGACCAGCGGAAACTCTTCAGAAAGTATGCGTCAGACAGGTCCACGTCTGTCCAGCAGATTGTTTCTCGATTGGAACAGCTCAAGCAGGTGAAGCTGTAAGCGGGCAGAGCACCTAAGGTTTTATGATGTAAGGATGTATTCTCGCAGTCAACCGAGGGCAGATCTTGGTTACATAGTAAACCCTTCCCTGAGGGGGACTAGGCTCACGTCTTATTTGGAACCAGGAGATGCCAGGGGTCAATTTTTTGGTATTGTACATAGATATAAAGTGAAGGTGGCAACTATTGCTGAGGTGGTAAGTAGTCACGCAGTGCACGCTTCGTATGTGGCAGTGCTCGAGAAACTTGGCAGCGGTCAACTCTAGTGCACGACTTGATCATCAGTTTTACAGGACTTGTGTTATGAGTGCTTCCGCACGGCCTGATTCGTAGGCCGTTGTAAGTTTCATTCACACATGCAGATTCCCCCAAGGATGGACACTATCTGAGCAAGCTTGCATCAAGTTTTTATGCACCGTTGAGAAGTCAAATCATAGCGCGAGGGTCTACATATGTGGGCGGCCAGCAGCGACATGCATGGCCTGCTTTAAGGATTTATTTGTATTTGACATGAAAGTTGACAGCCCAACTATTGCATGTGCTTCTGGTGGTGAGCTGGTCTCTTGGACCGGTAATTTGAGAAGAAGTCATGCCGTATAGGCTCCAGCACAATTCAGCTGTAACGAACCGTGGTTTTTCTACATCACGATAAGTCTATCGTAGAATCAGATTGGCGCCAAGTCCCGAGCTCAATTTGGCCGGCAGCTTAAAAAGTAGCGTGTACAGGCAAAGTAAGTCATCACTTACTTGTACCCTTCCAAATCAAGTAGAAGCTGCCATGCAGCTGCTGCATCTTGCGAATCTAACAGCGTGTGCCCCCTGGTTGTTTCATATTATTTGCACGCTTAGTAGCTCCCTCACAGTGTAGTGCGTGACTTGCATGCGAAGTTTAGTGCATGACTCAATATCATTCATGAGCTACAGTACGTATGTGCCCCAATAAGAAGCGCTACAGCTGCCGGGCCGGGCCCATGCAGCACTGACAACTATGATTGTGATCGTGGATCATGCATGGCTGATTGCTTTTGTGAATGCGTGCCCCGGGCTGGATTGTAAATCGTTGTACTGCATCATGAAAATTGACGACAAAGTCAAAACTATTCCACCATGACCTTCAGGCTGCAGTGGCAATTGCTGCTTATAGGTCATAAAAACTGTGAAGACTGAATGCATTACCTTGCCAAAAGGAGCCGCACAGCGCCTAAGTACGTCCTTATAACGCTCTCCTGAACTATTCGGCGAGCTTTTGACAACCCTGTCGAGTCCTACTTCGACTCTTAAGCGACGTCCAGCATCACTTTCTGCCTTTCGATACTGTGCATGCTTTCTAAAGTAACATTTACTCACGACCATCCAACGTGTTTCTTGCACAACCTTTCTGTTGTACTACTGAGACTTAGGATCAAAGTACCGTTTCATTTTATGGCCGGTTTCGAACTTTCTACTCTTCTTTCAGAAGATCCAAAGCAGTTTCTGACTTCTGCCCCGACTCGAGCTCACCAGCACGCTTCTTTAGCTGCATAGACACCAGAAGAAGCTCAATGAACTCTCTCGGCCGCGCGATTGTCTGCAAACGTGCATCCATCCAGATTGAGTGAAGGAAATACATAGCCGTAAAGCATGACAAGCGGCCTTCACCAGCAGGGCTTTTACTGAGCAGCTTTGGGGCTACATCCATTCTCGAGTGGACTCAGCTTCACTCTGCTGAATGACCTCGTTTTCAATCTTCCATCTGCTTCTGCTTTATTTTATGCAGGCGTTTTATTTTGTCGGCAGGAAATAGTTGCGAAGTTGACTAAAACCTGCGGAGCAACAGTGCTGTCAGAAGGCCCCTCGAGCTGCTGATTGGCTGCGGCGGTGTGGGCTTCCTTCATGCCTTGCTGGACCTGCGGCCAGACGAGAGCCTTTAGCGACCGGACAAGAGTCTCTAAATCTACAGGATCTGTAAGCAGATGCAGAAACGCAGCGCTCGACTGTCTCACCTTACTGAGCGGAGCACCGGTACTTTGTCTCTGTTTCTAAGCAAGGTAGCTGCAGCGACGAGCGACGAAAGACCTTTGGTATTGACTCTGCGGCTCTCCAGAAGCGGAAAGCTGTAGCCAGCGGTTTGCACAAGACCGGTGAGCTTTTGACGTACCTTCATGGCCAAGTCGTGGGTGAAGCTAAGTCCTTTGACAATCGAAAGCAGGAAGGCGTGCAAGCAGGTCCAAAACTCCTAGAATAGCAGCCCAAAAGTTAGCAATCTCTCCCTCTCATTCGAGAAAGGCACCGCGACAGGATTGCGTTTGGACCGATTGGTATGGTAGTCAGAGCATGACAAGGAGAGACCACAAGGCCTTCCGGTCTCGAGTCGGTAGAGTGCTATTACGGGGGGGTGACAAAAGGCTATTAAAGACGGGGGGGGCTGCAAAGAGCAGTGATATGACGACTTAGTGTATGCAGCAAAATGCGTTTGCAACTAAGATGAGAGTGGGTGACTGACATTTGTCCTTCAACTAGGGTACCTTCGACTTACTTCTTCGGGATGCTTGTGCTGCAGTATTGCGAAGAACTGTGCTACCTGGACAGAAGTAAGGGTACGAGGTCGATTCCCAGTGATGCGACGCACAGCAGAAAGCTGGTTGACGTACGCTGTCACTTCGCAAATATCGAACCAGCTAAAGTGCAACTGAAACGAAGGAATCCTCTTCAGAATTCATCTGCGCGAAAGGCCGTTGTCCTTTCAGACACGACTTCTAACGGCACGAAAGCGAAGTTCGTCTGCTGAGAAACCGACTCACGTCTTCTACCCCGCTTCCGAGAGCTTCGAGGCACCGGCAGACCTGACCGATGACGAGGTCTATCTCGGTGCTGTCGCCTAACGTCAAATCAGGTAGCAGGCGTGCGAGCTCATCAATCCCTGTTTCCTCCTCTTGCAGAACCTCTTGAGTGAACTGTGAAGCAGAAGATAGTCTGAGGGCCCATTAGGGTAACTCAGGATCTAGACTGTTCGCACAGAACGGTTAACATGCCGTTTCTTCCACAGGTAGCAAACATTGTGACTAAAGTATAGGAGAACCCGCCAAAGTCAGCTCCAGTTGAAATGGATTCAACTGCCTCACTGATGGCGTGTTTAGAGACTCCAAAATAGATAAAGACTCTGAGATTAGGGCCCCAAATTGAATGATCAAACCGCTCACTTCTGTGGACGACGGAAGAGCGGCTTGACCAACGGCAACGTTCCCAGTAGTCTCTTCGCCTCTCAAGATGCACTCGCTCCTCTGAGCTAGAAGAATCTCCTTTTTCTCTTGGGCTTGCGCAAGCTGGGCCTTGAGAAGAACGTTCGAGTTTCTTAGCTCCTGGTTCTCTTCTTGCAAAGCACTGATCCGCGTTTCGTACTGCAAGGTACAGCGATTTGAGAACGTTTCGTCATGTCCAACGAGGGGAAAAGGAACCAATCCTCCTCGGGACGATAGCTGCGCAGCTCTTAGACGGAGCTTATTGCGTGTCAGAAGCCTCAGGAGCTTCCGGATTGAGCCGGTCTTATTTGAACGTGGTTGGACTAGCGGGTTCGTTCTTGTGGAAGTTAGTCATTCGCTTTCGATTTGAGGACGCCTTTCTTTGCAAAGGGCATTCCTCTTTTGAATGCTCAATCCTTTTGTCTGAGTCGTAGAGAATTTGCAGGCTGGTGCCACGTCATTGCTCACCGCAAGTGCCAGGGCGTGCATCTGTCTCTCGACAACGCTGTCAACCTTTTGCTGGGCCCCAACTAGCGAATTGTCACGTGTTGAAATGCTTAGGCTGTGGCTGGGATGATCCTGGCCGCCGTTTTGGAGATGGGTAGGCTGATCCTCCGGTTCTAGGAGTAGTTTCTGAAACGAGCAACCTGAGAGGGAGAAACGCTCACAAATTAGAGAAAAGACGCCCCACTTTACATTGTCGGTCCAAATTTGCTGCTTCTAAAACCGAGCAGAATCGAAGTCTGCTTTGCTACCTTTGAGGAATGTTCAGACTGCCCTCGACAAGAGTTCCATCTATCTTTCAATTCTCAAGTCCTATTCTCAACCGCGCGCCGCCTGATTCAATATGAGCTTGAGAAAGGTAGAGACTTACTGTCGAGGTCCCAGTGCTTCCAACCTTTGTCGCTCAACTTCCAGCTCCTCAGCATATCTGCAATCTCGTTGCCCCAGAGAGGCCTCACGTCGGGTGGATCTAGGAAGTCTTCCTCCATGTCTGAACATGACTCGTTGCCAGCTTCAGTTTTTTCTTTGGCCGGGGACGTGGTTTGCTTAAAGACGGATGTGCTCTGTAGATGATTAAAAGAATGTCTTCGATGATCTTCGCGTGGGCAGAACATTCAGCGAGTTTCTTCTGCCCGGTATCCGAAAATCGTTTCGTTGTACCGACGACTGACAAATTAGAATTGAAGAGGTTTCTGAGGAATACAAACAGTAATTTGGTTGAGCACCAGAACCCAATTCACCGTTACGGATTTGCCTACGCATGGAATACAAGTCATGACCAATTAATATCTCACAAGAATCCCAGAGATTTTACTGGAAGAGCAAATCCTTCTTACCTCCAGCGCTGTCACCGTTGCCAGCTTCATAAGCCGGTCTTCTGACAAATCTTCTTGTCCGTTGAGCTCTCCATCAGAGTCTCCATCTTCATATCTGTCCAAGTCGAAACCTCGCCGGGTAACCCCGGGAAGCAGAGACTTCACTAGCATGACGGAGCTGTCAGGATCCGGTACTATAATTCGATCTGCAGTTACCAAGTGCCAGAAAGAGTGTCTGTATTTGCCGCTTCCTGCTCTCAAGTGACTTGGAAGCAACAGGACCAGACAAAAAGGTCTTCGAATCTGGAAACCTCTTGTTGGGGCTGCTCGAAACAGGTCCCTGACTCGCAAGCAGCTTTTAGAACTTGCCGAACCAATCCTGTTTTGTTAAGCTTACCTTCTATAGCTTTCACTCGATCCTTTCTGAGTTTCCGCATCGCAAAGTTCTTCTTCCACATGCCGACCAGCTTCTTGACAGAGGGGATGATGAGCTCCTTCACCTGAAGCTTCCGAAAAGCAAGTAGGTCATAAAAATGTCGAACGGACCGCATGACCGGATCTTAAGTGAGGCAAACTCAAAATTGAGTCTTTGCGGGGCCAATCCAATCATCAGTCTTCCGGGCTCTGCCATGCTCTGCTTGGCTGAACTTACATTATCTCCAGCTGAGGACCGCCGTTTTTCTTGAGCCTTTTACCTAGAATTAAGCACGATTGCCTGTGTAGAAAGTCCTGATTTTATATGTGTTCCTGCCATCGGCGTCTGCAAAGCTTGAAGCCTCCTTTTTCGTGTGCAACTGATCTCACCTTCATCTCCCGCAGGAGGTTCTCGATCACCTTAAGAAGCCTTCGACAGTTCCCATCCCTTCGATAATCTGCAGGGTTTACAAGTTGGAGATGCCGATTGAACTCCAAGGGAAAAATGTAAGGAGCTGGCGACAAAAGCAGAGTTGCAACATTATTGTAATTTACTAAGTACTTCAGAAAAAGCCGACAACTTCAGCAAAGAAATTGACACATATCTTTTTTTTTTTAAAAGATGCAGTCAACATGTTCAAAAACAATGACCCTTCAGTGAGAACCCTGAACGCTCACCTGACTTCGTGGCGATAAACGGCAGTTCTGCGTAGTTCTGACCAAATACTCTGAAGAAGGTCGAGATCGGATCGTAAGGGAAAGAAAAGATTGGGGCGGAACGGAATTGGGCTGGGCGAATCAAGGAGCCAACTAAGTATGGATCTGACAGTCAAACGCTCAATCTGTTCCAACTAAGTATGCCTTCGACAATCAATCGCTCAATCTGTTCCAGGCCTACAAGACCAAAGACCTGCAACGAGTCGGTCAGGCGCCTTACCTGAGCGTTGCAGCAGTGACTGCAATTCCCGCCTTTCTAAGCAGTATGGTTCGAAAATTTCCTGTGCGAAAGGGAAGAGACCAAAGGCCACGTCAGATTGGCCTAGGGACAGGTCATCATGCATACGTCCTGAAATATTTTATAAGACCTTGCAAGTGACTCAATACGAGATCTTTTGTTAGTTGTTGGTCTTGTAAAGAAATGTACTTTGAAATGTACATCACTCACCAAAGTCGTAAGCGTCGTCCCTGCAATTCAGAGGCCAGCACACAATTAGAGTGGAAATTAAGCTTTCCGATGTCAGGTAGGGGCTAAAAGATTTTAAGATATACTTATCAGGATGTGGGCTGCGATAACCACAATAAAAGATAAAGGGCCAGCAGCAATACTGAACTTCAATCGGAACGCCAGTCCGCGAGGCTAATGATACTTACGTCTTGTGAGCTCGATCATGGCACCTCCAGAATCAAGTGTTAATGCAATCGTTGATAACTGCCGATAGGGCTGTAGGACATCAAACATGAAGTGAAGGACAGCTTACCCATCCGTGCGAGCAGATTTCAGCACATTCTCCAACATGTCTGTACCGTCGTCCTGCAACGGAATCAGATACCGTCAGTAATACTTGGTTCGGGAAGGGAGCAGTATCAGCAGCATGGCTTTATGCAATTTTACGAAAGACCTTCTTGGAGAGTGCAGATTTAGTCATGCTCCGACCTGGGTGTAGTCTTACTCACCATGATCAGAGGGTCGAAAGTTGACTTGAATATCTGCAGATATAAGAACAATGCGTCTGTCTGCAATTACGAGAATAATGTCTCGGGACTAGTGAGTCACCGAGCCACGAGATTGTGACTGAGCTTCCGCTCAACAGCTGCAGGGCGTGCGTCCCTCTTACGCGCTCTGTTTCATTTGGAAACCCCTTGATTACCGAAACGTTTCAGATTTCCATCCTATGCATGGACCCGTGCATGCATTCTCAATCTTCCAGCTTCATCCATACATGCCTGAATCTAAGCGTAGTGAGTCTCACCTTCAAAGCTGCTGCAATTGCTGCTTGGGCGCCCCTGCTTTTCTCGTCGTGCTTAACGACTTCAAAGGTGTACAATGAATCTTCTTCGAAGCGTCTCTTCCCGGTATTGGTCAGGCGCGTAAGTGATGACATCACCTGAGCAGTAACTTACTCGAATTTATATTGTGGTCAAGAGGTCAGCGCTAGTGCAGAAGCCGAGAAAAGTAATCCGATCAGAGTTCCTTCTCAATAGAACCAATATTTCGCAGGTTCCCTTGGCCACTTATCTCAACTCGGTGCACATTTCTCCTCACTTACGATGTTTCAGAATAATGCTTAGCAAAGGTGTCGTAATGGAGGCCTCCGATTCCTCTGCTTTCAAGCTGGGATATTAGAAGGAGACCATGATCACCGGGCTTACCTCTGAACAATCTGCGGAGCAGTACCAGTCTTCGTCACTATCGAGAATGCTTTCATCGATTGGAAGGCCGTAGATCTCTTCGAGGCAGCTGCAGCAGAAAAGCTTCAGCAGATAGATGAGAAACGGCAGTAGTATCGTGACAAGTATTTGAGCGAAACTGTCTCATTTTCTTAGGCGGGCTTATGTGGGGTGCGTCAGCTCCCACGCGCGCATCGCGATTCTCCGGCAGAGATCTTCTTTTCTGAGGAAAGTGGCGCCTTCCCTAGAGAAACGCAGTTGCAAATTCAAAATATATGCTTATGGAGGCCGGGTGGCTATTGGCATTCGTCAGCAACATGCTGTGCTTTTGCAATAAAAGATTGAAAAGGAACCCTTGACGTTGGTTTCTCACCTGACATGATAGTCATCCTGGCAGCAGGCGCAAACCAGGCAAAGTCTTGGTCCAAACTCAACGGTAAAGTCCGTCAACCCACAGTGTGGACAAGCTGGTATACAATCTTCGGCCATCGATTCCTGCACAAGCGAATGATAAGTATGTCAAATCCTGAAAACGATTTGAACAAGGTGAATCGTTCTGTAATGCTTCGTACCTAAGCTGCGAAGGCGCTGATCAATCTCAAGAAGCCCCCAATAGGCGCAACTGGTTGCAACGTGTAATTTCTGAGAAGTTTGTATCTGATCGAATAATGTCCCTTTGACACTTGCCAGAGAGCACCCTCGTGACCCTTGCACTGGCAAAGATTGTCGCAGTCTCCTTTGATGCCTCCCTCTGTACGATTCGAAGGACAAGAAACAGATTCCTTACCCGGATCGTTTGAGGTCCAATCTGATTGCTGGCGCCGAAGTAGCATCAATTGCTAATTTGACCTGTTCTTTTGTGGCGCCGACTCTAACAAAACAACAGAACTCAAAGCTTGCGCTGCTGAACTTTGCCCTTCAAGAATGCTAGTGCTCTGCTGCCCCGCAGAGATTTGAGCATGAAAATCGCAATTCCTGAAATCGGCCGAGCTCAGGTGCCTGATCAGGCCGGCCTTGATCATCATGCAGAGAAAAGGTTCAAATCGTGCGCCCAGGTTGAATGCCATTGCCGGACCTCTGTACGGTTTATCTTCTGAACATATCTAAGATATAATCAGTTCTTAATATTTAGATCTTGCGTCATGTTATGAATGTACCAGTTTCTTTCTTTTTTTCCGACGATGCACCGACGTACATGCACCGATAGCTGCCGCGCGCGGCCGTGCCGGCGGCCGCCGCCGGCCAGTACCGTACGGGTTTGGAATGAAAGGTTTATACAGCGAACCACTTATAGAAGTAAGACGGTACCAACCGGGTACATGCCCGCGTGCGGTTTATAGGTAGATCTGGGCCGTACAAAGCTTCCGGGTATTTCAATCGTGGCCGTGAACCTGGTTTCAAGCGTCGGCGAGCGTTCGGAGAAAAGATGAACAGTCTCCACACCTACGGTACCCATAAATCGGAAGCATTCACTTGCAGGCAGACAGGCTTAAGGAAGTACAGTATCTTACCTATCATCAGCTGATGTCAGGTCATTGCCGCAGCAAAACAGGTAATTCCATGAGTTTTCTAGTTGTTGGTGCCAGCAGCAGCACACTTTTCATAGCCATGGAAAGTGAGAAGAGTTGACACTTGGGAATATCGTCCGGCCGGGTTGTAGCTGTATTATCGTATCCTACTTGATCAACATATACACCTGGTAAAGTCTGGGGGAGGATTATATGCAGTAGGAGGGCGGCGGCCGGCTATGCTGCTGAAAGTTCTAGCTCATCCGACGGGTGGCATGCGGCAGAAGCCTGGGAAATGGAAAACTTACAAAGCATATACCTTGATGAGCTTGTTCGCCGCTGAGAGGAATGAGAGTGCTGTAGTCGGAGACATAATGCTAAACCATCCCCTGAACGTCAACAAAGGTCAGTGCTCAGTGTGTCAAGCACCCTTAGGGCATTACACAGATCTCCTCACAGGCCAATATGAATAGGGCCTCGTTGCCTGGTGTTATGCTGCAAGCAGCTGATGGTCAGCAATGAACGAAGCAGAACTAAGTGGAAGCTTGCAGTAGCGGCCATGCAGTGGCCGCTGCGGCAAGATGATTGAGGAGAACCTATCTGATGACCCCTAGATTAGTGCAGTCGTCTGCGGAGTTTGTGCTAGTGTGTCACTATGGCAGACCGCACTGGCGCGTTTGGCAGAGGGCCACGGAGAAGCAATGTGCCAGATTCGTATGCCCTAGGATTCCGTCCATCTAAAGGGGGCTTATCCTCCCAGCATGGCAAATTTGCTCCCGACCTGTCAGATCCACAATCATCTGATACGGCCATGCGGAGGATACTGGCAGGCAACAAGGATCTGCATTATCCTGGGAGACAAGAACACAGTACTGCCAGTGTCATTGGTGAGTTCAAAACCATCAGCCCGACTCGGTGTCACCTTTGTGCAGATGTGCTTGAGTTGACCGCTCAGACAAGCTGGCCTCATCAAAATCTCTGCTAATATTTAAGGTTGAGTAGCCAATCTGGAGTTCAAGGTCTTTCTTACGAAGAAGCAGCACAGGCTATGAAGATGGTTCAAGATAGACACTGGTTTGATGGTGTCTCAACACGAGCTCAATTAAAGCTTGCTGCTTCAATCTGGCTTAACTGTGCTCAAAAGGGAACGGTCACGTCAATATAAACGACCCTATGTGTTAATGGGTTCTGTGATTGGCTTGCTTGCAGGAAAAGAGGCGTCTGACGCAGAACTGAGCAAGTCAAGCGATTCTGAACTTGATGGAGAGGCAGAGGCGGGGTTGAGGTCTGATTACAGCAGTAGTAGTGAAGGCGTTGTACAGCGTAACTCTGCCGGGTCTGAAACAAGAAGGCTGGTTCCAAGCGACTCGGTAGTCAGTGACATCAGCACATTCGACATGGATAGTAATGACAACTTTAAGGTGGTCATCAGGGTCAGACCTCCGGTCGAGAGGGAGCTGGAGGGGGAAAAGCAGTTCCAAAACATTGTTGCTGTAAATACAGAAGCAAACATCCTTACAGTGTCGGAGAACATAGCAGCAATGTCGGCAGCAGAGCGGGCAGGAAATCCAGGTGAGGCATACTGAGAGTTGGCCTCTTCAGTTGGAAGTCTAAATGAAACCTCACAGTTTCTGAAGTCTCTGCTAGCAAGAAGACAGGAGAATAGCTGGCCTATCTTCACGTTGGCAGACGTTGCATATGATAAGCACTCAAGAGCAAGGACAAAGTGATTTTACGGGCAGGAATACATTTCTTATCCATTCCCACTTGCAGGTGACGCTGTGATTCATCCAACGCATTCTTTTGCATTCGATCACGTCTACGACCAGAACACTCCACAAAAGCACATATACGACAACTCAGCAAAAGCTGCAGTGCTGTCAACATTGAAAGGCTACAACGCAACTATCATAGCTTACGGACAAACGGGGACAGGAAAGACGTACACTATGGAAGGCAACTCCACACCAGAGGGGCGAGGAATCATTCCACGGTCGATCGAGGATATCTTCTATTTCATCGAGAACGACACCACTGCTAGGTCGAAGTATCTTGTCCGAGCGTCATACCTCCAGATCTACAACGAGGTTAGCATCGTTTCCGCTTCCTTCCTTGCACTTCCCCTTACACTTCAATGTCTGCTTTGCGAAATAGTGGAGGAGACAATAGCCATACCGTCCAAAGATTCCAATAGTCTACAGATCTGCGGTTCAAAGGATGAGCCCAAACTCGAATTTGTGGCAAGTTGAGCACTGTCTCGAAGAAACATGCTGCCAAGGGAAGTGAACCAAGGATAGCCGTTGCTGATTTGCAGGTCATCAGCGACTTGCTGAAGCCGGAGCGCACAAACTTGACCATCCGTGAGGACAAGAAGAAGGGGGTGTTCGTCGAAGGGCTCTCCGAGTGGGTCGTTCGGTCGCCCGCTGAGATCTACGGGCTGATGGAACGTGGAGCTGCGCAGGTGCGGGTTCAAGCGTCCACTCAGCGCTCATCTCATCTTAAGCTGCACAAGTCTGTCGAGATCACAGCGCTTGCTTTTCGACACATCAGTCAAATCCATTGGAAGATAGGTACTCGAGCGCTGCCGGGAGGAGACTAGGCCGTTAACACCTCTTCCTTTCTGATTGGTCTCCTTCGATTATTTGCAGCGTGCTGTCGGCTCCACGAACATGAACGAGTTGAGCAGTCGCAGTCACGCCGTCTTCATCATCATCGCTGAGAACTCCGTCATCAAAGACGTGGATCAAGGGGCCGAGAAGGTTGCGGACCAAGAGATGGCAAAAACCAGACAGAGTTTCAAGGTGAGACTTTCGACCAACGATCTGAGAGATTGGTCGAGCGCGGATCTGCGTGCTGCTGTCATGCCAAAGATCAGTACAGAAGTCGCTGATCTTCAGCGCTTGTGCAAAGGACTTCAAGCAGGCGCTTCGAACTATCCCTTCTGAGTACCTCAAGAAGCATTCGGTTCTGCAATCTACAGAGTTCCGCATTTAAATGGTCTTTAGACGAAGAAATATTCCTCCCCTTCTACCCTCCTTGGTTCGGGCACTAGTCATAGAAACGATTACCGGTGAATGATACAGGTCGGAAAGCTGAACCTGGTCGATCTGGCCGGCTCCGAGCGCGTCCGCGTGACGGGCGCCACCGGCAAGCGGCTGGAGGAGAGCAAGAAGATCAACCAGTCGCTCTCGTGCCTGGGCAACGTCATCTCCGCGCTGACGGAATCCAAGGGGCAACGTCAGCACATCCCGTACCGGGACTCGAAGCTGACGCGCATCCTGGAGGACAGCCTGGGCGGCAACTGCAAGACGACCATGATGGCCATGATCTCGCCCGCGCTCGAGTCGCTGAGGTAGGTCGTGTCCACAGTCTGCGTCTCCAGAGGTGCTTTTCGATCTCACGAGAGTGGAATCCCTCATGAGGTCGAGATTGAGATGAGATCTCAGTACCGACTGACGCTAGATTGCAGGAACCTGCACGTAAAAGGGTGTGCCTGTGTGTGGTGGGTTGGCAGACAAATGCCTTCCAAAGGTCTCAAGAACTGTTTTGTGATGTCTCCTGCTTATTACTTGGAGGCACCCGCCGTGCGTCAGAGTTGAGCACGGAGCAATGAGATGGAAAAATCCTTGAAGTTGATGTCGACAGTCGCGCACGTCACAGTAGACGTTCCGCCCTTCTCAAACGATTTTCCAGCAGCGACGGCACTCAACTCACAACACTCTACACCGAAGACCCTAAGTCAATCCCGATCTCTCTCTTTGCAGCGAGACGCTGTCGACGCTCAAGTTCGCGAACCGCGCCAAGAACATCAAGAACGAGGCCAAGATCAACGAGGACCTGGACCAGAAGACGTTGCTGCGCAAGTACGAGCGCGAGCTGAAGAAGCTGCGCGACGAGCTGCAGCAGCGCAGCCGCAACCTGGTGGACAAGCGGCGTCTGCTGGAGCTGGAGGAGCAGAAGCGGCGCGCGGAGGAGGACAAGCTGCAGGCCATCACGGAGCTGGAGGTAAGGCGGTTCACATTGCACTCGAAGTTGTGACTCTCACTTATAGTACGGTCTCTCAAATCTACTATTTAAAACAGCTTGCAAGGGGACACGCCGCCGCCGACAAAAGAGCTGGAGGTGAGGGCGTGATCATTCAGCCTTCGGCTTATGAGAGTACTACCACCAAGGAAGAAGCTGCAAGAGGACATGTAAATAAGCTGCTTTCACGAGGCTAAAGACTTTTGGAACTGTTGTTTTAAGTGCGCGCTTGGAGTCCTGACGACTGACGTCTCAATCGCATGTTCGGCCCACCCCGAAGCTTCGGAGATACAAGGGTGCGATTTTGCAGAAAAGTCATTCGAATGAGATTACCTTTGGGATGGAACTAAAGCCTTTCTCCCTTATCACAAAGCTTCTCTCAACAAGCCTACTAAACGAGATCTTGCAATCGTCAGGCACGGAGCAAGGAGTTCATGAACGAGAAGCTGGAGAAGCAGAAGTTGGAGGAGCGGATCCAGAGCATGCAGAGCCAGCTGCTGATCGGAGGGCACAAGATCGAGGACACGCCGGCGTTCCGCTCGCTTCTCCAGCAAGAGCACAAGCGTATCCGGACGGAATACGAGCAGCGGCTGGCGGAACTGGAGAAGGAGCGACACACTGTGGAGGAGGACAAGGCGCAGGTGCTTTTCTTGCTAAATTTCTTGTGTAAATCTGCATTTCTCGTTTGTCGAACACAGCATTAGATGCAAGAAGGATCACCTAAGCCTCACCAATCTTCTCGTCCTTCCGGAGATTTGGGAAACGTCTGTTCCGCTCCGAGACTCCCTTTATCAGAGACCTGGAGGGTATCGAATTAAGATCCTGCAAAGTGGCTCCTTCAATCCGCGGATGCGCACGGCACTCTACTTACAGAGGTTGAGTCTTAGACACAGCCGCAGTTCCCCCAACTCAACCCCGAAAGGCGTTTTCCCCTCGACTGTCTTATAATCGTCAGCCTAAGAGAAGCGTTTTTGATTCCACTGTCTTGTAGTCTGCAGCCTAAGAGAAGCAATTCTATTGGACTGTCTTATGATCTGCGGCCTAAGATATCCGCTCTCACGTGTTTGCTGGCTGCTCAGTCCACCGAACAATCCGACTAACAATATCCTTTCTTTGTGCAGGTGGACCGGTACAAGCAGCTGCTGTTGAAGCAGCGTGACATCATGATCGCGCTCACGGCGCGGCTCAACGAGCGGGACGACCAAATCATCAGCCTGCAGGAGGAGCTGGAGGCGTACGACAGGTGACTGCCGGCACGAACGTTCTATTTCTTTCGGCTTCCGATTTTCTCGGGCTCCCAGTCTTGGTTTGAACAGAGGGCTTTCAAATTTCACGGTCACGTTCCGATAGGAACCGTTCCGAGCGGATCGGAGCGCGAGCTTGGAGGGAAAAGGAAGTGCTGAGGCCAGTCTTGAAGGCGGAAATCGGCACGGAAGCTTCTCGTGTGATATATCCGGGCGATGCTGAGGGATGAAGACGACGCTCGATTGTTTGCAGAGCCCTTTGACAGTGTCCTGCTCGATCTCTTCAAGTCCCGCAAAGACTTTGCTTTCCGCTCTGACGAATATCGGTCCGTTCCGGTGGCAGGCATCAGCGGAAGCTGGAGGACGCCCTGGACCAGAAGACGGCGGAGCTGATCCACCTGCGCAAGGCCGCAATGGACTTCTACGCGAGCACGCCGCGGAATGCCGGCGAGAAGGTGATCAACACCCAGTTGATGAGCGCGCTGGGCGTGTGGGGCGACAACCACGAGGAGAAACTAGCGGTGCAGGAAAACTGGCTGGCGGACCTGGACGCCACGGGCGCGGGCGCGGCCGCGATGGCCGCGCGCGTGGAGGGCTTCGCGCGCGCGCTGGGGCTGCCGGGCGGCGAGACGGCGGAGCGGGTGACGACGTTCGTGAGGAAAGAAGTGGAGGAGCTGAGGAAGAAGTACAGCGAGGTGCTGGGTATGATGAAAATTGAGTTGCGGCTGAGCAGCGAACGGATCGTGGACGACAAGGAGCAGATCCAGGGGTTGAAGGCGGAGATCGAGAAGCTGCAGAAGCGGCTGACGTCAGCGGAGCCGCGGGCGACGTCAGCGCAGGCGGGCGGCGAGGTGGAGGCCTTGCGGGAGGCGCTGCGGGAGGCGCGGAGAGAGGTGGCGGAGCTGCGGAAGGAGCGGAACGCGGCGGAACAGGGCCCGGCCGGGGAGATGGAGTCGAAGCTAGAGTCGGTGCGGCTGCAGTACGGCCAGTTTCGGCAGGACGTCACGGCGCGGCTCGAGGAGAAGAACCGGCAGATCAAGCGGCTGGAGGAGGAGAACCAGACGCTGACAGGTGGCGGGCCCTCGGAGCAGCACGTGGCTGCGCTGAGGGAGCAGTGCCGGACGCACACCAAGGAGCGGACGGCCCTGATGACGATCTTGGACAGCAAGGTTCGGACGCTAGTGGAGAGCATCGCGCGGACGCTGGGCGAGCTACCGGGGGAGGTCGCGGACGCGCACCCGGCGCGCTTCGCGCGCGAGGTGCACGCGCTGGAGAAGCTCGTGGGGGCAACGATCCAGGCGATGAAAGGGGCGGAGGAGGCGGAACGGGCGGCGCGATGAGCGGCCGGGGAAACGATGCCAACTCGCGGTGACTGGCGCGCAGTCAAAATGCTTTACGCAGGCTTAGACGCTGGCTGCTAGATCCGTCATAGATCCCATTTATAGACAACGTTTAGTTCTTAAGATATGAACGTGTTGCGGATACCGTAGTCAAAAGCAGTGCATATGCACAGCGCCTTGGCAGCTTCAGCCACCCGGAAGTTCGCTCTGTGGCTATAAAGTAATCAGTAATCAGCATTACGCGCAGCAGGGACGCGCTCGCGGGCACAAGGACGCTCTATAGCGAGTGCATTTATCACGCAGTAGCCGCTTTCCTTTGTTCCAGTACGTGTGGGCGGGCTGCCGACACAAACTCTTATTTGTTCGAAGCTCACAGTAGACCAAGAAACTTCCACGATGATGCGGAACAGAAAGATTTAACCTCTTTTGTGTACGTTGAAGATTTTCGAAATGGAAGGCCTCTTAAATTAGCTAGACTTCGACATGTTGCCAACATGCTGACAGTGGCTCACTTCTTGCGGCACGATATTGCGTTCATTGTGCTGCCTGCTTTGACCTTGATAGAGAGGCTTGAGATCGACCTTCGCAGCTTTGCAATTTTGTCCTTCACAAGCCGTTTATTCGATCGATTGGCAAAAACAAATCGGGCAATGACTGCATCATGTGACACGCAGTGACTGTATGATGTAACCCGCGCCCGGGCTGAAATTTGCCCTCATGTTCGAATCAGTCGCACGCGCTTGAAAGTGCTCGACTATGGCAGCCTCTCTTGTACACCTTCGATGTACAAGCGGCCGCCATAAACGCTCTGAATCTCAACAGTCGTCATGTTGATCGGTTCAAAGCTCGGCTTTGTTAAAGACCCCACGCTTCCTGTCACTTTTCGCCCACTGTAACGTGTCGGCCTGCTCACGCAACGCCTATGCCGGAATCTCGAGCGGGATTGACGGCATATCCAGGATTAACAAATGAGTCAGGCTGAATGCGTGGCGGCCGGGCAGCGCTGGCGCCGTCATGGTGCAAGGCAGCCTGCGCCGGTCTGGACGGTTATAGGTTGCCACAGGCTGGGCCACTTTGGAGTCACCATTTTGGCAATATATCATGGATCAGCGGGTCATGCCTCGAGAAGGAATAGACGTCGAGCGGTTCCACCATGCAATGTGCTTCCTTCCTCAAATAGACCCGTTTATATGCTATCAGGAGGCCAGGCTTCTATGGATTTTGTGCAGCTACGGCGTCACGTTGTTAGGACGAGAGCATCATCATTTTTTGAGATCTTTTGAACACAAATGCTGTTCATCTTCCGTTCATCTTCTGGATAAGAGATCCGTGCGGTGATCAGCCGGCCGGCTGCTGCAAGCCTTGAATAATCGCTTTGTTTTTGGATGTACAATTCACGACCCCAAATCAAGTCAATGTGACCAAGTGTTTGCGAATGTAAGTGATTTCTGACTAAACAAGCTCCGACTGCTGTACACTAACTAGATTCCATCTACATCTTCTGAAACGAGCGGCCAAAGACTAGAATTTATTCCATCGTAAAGGTATGTGACAACTCCGGAAAATCCTGATATTACGTCGTCAAAGGTGGTTCAGTCGCTACCTGAAAGGATGCCCCAACTTGTATCTCCAACTGAAAGTCTCAACTCTACTTCTTTCTCAACCAGGTCTAGAGCTCCTAAACCACCAAGCTTTCTAGAGCTGCCAAAGACGCTCCCAGCGTCATGGTTATCGAGAAAGGGTTCGTTTGGATGGCGATGGCTATGTAATTAACGAAACCCCATGTCAAAAGAACTGATCCTACGAGAGCGACAGGTACAATCCCCAATGGGCTGTCGCCCGCACAACACAACACAAACAGTGAAATCATGAGTAGGTTGTAGCCTAGGGTTGGCAGCATCTCGACGCTGATTGGAGAGCACCAGCTGAGCTGACGTAAGTCGATGCAGTTCCCTTGAGCAACTCTGGGTATGACCACCCACGACAGCGCCCCGGGAGCTCCGTGTCCCACGACAAACAGGATGACGGATACAATGAACTTCCCAAAACCGATGACAAACTTCTCGAAGCCTTTCTCGACGTATTCTCTTAGCCACTCTTTCAGGCTCTTCTTGCCTTGTTTCTCGCCATCTTCCTGGCCACCTTTCTGCCCACTTTCGACATCTTCTTGAGCCCCATCGAGTAGGCCACTTACAACGCATATTTTTGCAACCGTGACGAGTGCTATGATTAAGGAACAGCACAAGGGTTACCAGCGTGCCAGCCCTGGTATAGGGGAGCAGCGTGTAGGACTTCCCATAGACCTTGGATGAGTCACAGTACCTGCAAAAAAGGAATATGTAAGTGAGCATTGAAGCAATCTAGCATGTACAAGGTGCATTACCATTTTGTCAGTTGAACTCAAGCCTTGGCGCAATATCGTCACCTCGTTTTTGAAGAACATCTATCATCTGCTCTGGGAGTCAAATTCAAGGCCTTTCTTTTTCCCTGAAGTCATAGATCTTGGTAGGAGGAATGGATGGCACGTGGAAAGCTGATCTTCAACCCCAGTCTGAAGAATCTGTTGGCAGCGGTGCAAGCGCACAGTTGACTCGTTGCTCCCTCCAGAGCTTGTCAATAAACCGAGAATCTCCTCAGTGTTGTCTCCAGTAAGACAACTGGCTTAATGGGTACAGTCCTCAAATCAAGCATGATTGCGATCAGAGTTGGACGGCCCTACTAGGCAAATGGCATGAGGTTTCATGGTATCCACTGGTCCCTCTCATGTCAACACAATGTGCAGATCGGTGGCCACCATGTCACCATGAGTGAAGCCTAAAGATAAGACCTCTTTGAGGTCAACCCGAGACCTCCCACAGCAAGTCTGTTCAACAAGAACCGACGATGGATCCAGAAAAAGCCTAGCAATTGAACAGCTTCAGGTGAAAGAGAAGCATCCTCCAATCAACTCTCCAATCAACTTTCAGCTGAAGCTGTTGTATGAGCAGCACCTGAGTGACACCTGTCCTCAAACAAATATAGACTTTGGTTTGAAGCTCACCTCAGACGGCCCATCTCAGGCCACATGCGCGCAAGTGCCGCAGTCACAAAACCCCACTCCACGAGCATGTCCAGCGTATGGACAAATACGAAAAAGCAGGCAAAGACCGCCTTCACTTGTTCCTTCTTCGTCATTTTCTTTGCTCAATGCGAACGAGGATGTAGAAGTGACAGCTGGATAGCCTCAGATTCTGCCCGTATGTTTGAGAATTTCTAATCGACTACAACAACTTGGCTGAATGTAAGCTAGAATGTTGGGGTTACTAGTGACGCTTGAATTGATGCTATTGCTGGTCGTCTAAGTATTATGTTTACCGTGAGGTAGTGAGGGGTTTTGAGTTCCTGCAACGGATGCAATGTAATGCTGCTCCAAGGCTGATGGGCTGCGTTGTGCTCCCTGCGTCCTGCTGTCCCCCTAAGTGCTGCCAATAAGCCCGAAAATTCTGTCCTTCGAATTTTGATATCCAGCTTTTGAGGTTCAACAGGATTTCGCACTGTGCCCTGAAAGCCCCAGAGGTTCAGCAGTATTTGACGGCTGGGTAGGTAATATCTTAAAAGGCATGTCTGGCGTTCCTTATCCAGCTTATCAGTGCTGCTTTCTTGCGTGAACCCTGAGCTTGAGTCCAGGCCCCAGAGCTAGGGATCCCTGAATCTGAGCGCTTGATGTCGACATCCCCACGCGCTCAATCCGACATCGACGAAGTGCAAACTTCTCATGGGAGACTGCCAGCTGGCAGATTCCGTGTCAACATGGGACTATGATTGGAGATTCGAAACAGATTCAACATAACCGGTTAGGCTCAGCCTCTCACAGTAGGTAGTGCATGGATGATGGGGTCCGGTTACCGGCAGCCTGTGGTTAAAGTGGGCGTTCTGTTCCGCGGAACGCCGGACGCTAAATAAATACCGGCAGCCGTCGGTGAAAACCCGTCAGTAATCGTACCGCCGATGGCAGCTCGTACCAAATATCGACGGTCCATTTGCAAGAGAGAGTGACTGAAACTTGATGCTCGGGTCTGGAAACTGATGACGTATGACCGATTCCAAATCTGCCGACTTCCCGCAGCGCGATTCACGGTGACTAACATCCGTGAACATTTGGACTCGGAAGTGCCTTCTTTTTGGACTCCAAGTTTTGCTGAGATTCGAACCCGCGACCTGAAGAATTTGGCACGCCGCACTACCACTACGCTATGCTGATTTTCCCCGAGCAAAATTTGTCCGTAATATTACGGCGGGAGGGGGTTTTATAGGGGCACGCCCACTTTAAAGGTACCTATCTACAGGTACAGTAGATCGCCGGCGTTCGGTTGCCTGGCTTCGATAGCTTTCGATCAGGGCTATTATCGGCTAACGGTAGACACTCCGGCCTCCCTGAGAAAGGTTTCAGCCAATCTGAAATTCAATTCACGCGTGCTCTGCTCCTTCTGGCCCGGCCTCAACTATGGGCATGCGGACGCTGCGTCCCTCTTCAATATATATAATAAGGTCTAATTTCTAAAGTAACTGTGGTTCACCCAGAAATCTACAGAGAATTCTGCCTGTGCGGGTGCTCCCCGGCCGGCTAGTGAGGGCCCGTCGTGCGACAGAGCCTTGTAGCCAAGGTAGCTGGATAGAATCAGAATTCCGATCATTTTAGATTCGTACGCTGCGCCTATCCAACATATTATTTCCCATCGCATCTAGTGCCATCTAGTACTTTATCTACAATCAGCGAGTTTTAATTTGCATCTTCTCTATGATCACGCGAGGCTTGCTGAACGTGGTGCCTCCCGGAACTCTATGTTATGGCAGCTGTGGAGACACCCATAAACGTGACAATCAGTGTAGGATGCCTTTTAAGGCGCTTCATCTTTTCCATGGTGTATTAGCTAACACACAAAGGAGTTGCAAGAGCAACTCGAGCGATCCAGACCTAAGAGCCTGTCCTGCAAACTATGGAATCTAAGCACAGTCTAGATCTAGCTCTACAGCTCTATAATCTAGATATTATTGGCATCAACGGTTGTCGCTGGCCCCCAGCTGGCCGTAGTGTAATATCAACGGTGCAGTCATACTGCTGACATGGCCTACATCTAGCAGAACCAGCCAATCACAAGTCATGTCATGTCCTGTCCATCGTGTTTGCAACTAGATCATGAGAACTTAACTCGAGCTTGTACAATAATGACGCACTATGGCATGACAACCCCCAGGAGTTCCCTCAATCTCTGTCCAGCTTGGAACCCTCGCACGCCCAAACCAATCTTTGCAGCCATGCACGTGTGGGCAGCCATGGTAATGGGTTGCCCTAACTGGCATGTCGGGGCTCTGAATTGTGGCGTGTGCTAGTCCCGGTGCTCCAGCTGATAAGCCCGGCGTGCAACACGGTACACAACAACCTGTGGTAGGTAATTCTAGATTACGTAGTAAGCTACTACCATTGTTACTTAGGTACGGGGCAGAAACAAACAAAAACCTAAACCCCTGGTTAACATGCTCCACGCCCGTACATACCGTCCCTAAACTCCCAGGCCAACCCCACCCGTCCCCCGGGCATGAGTTGGATCATGAATTGGTCCGTACCGGGAGGGAAGCAAGTTCGACGAGTAAAGACCTATTAGAGCTAGGCTGAAATTGACTTGGTTAATCTGTACACGTCGACCTAACATAGGTCCTATCTAAGGGTAGTCGAAAAGTCTGAATGGATACCTAGAGCGTGCAGCATGCCTGGAGTGTGCTGTAATAGGGCCGTAATCAGCTAGAGCAAACCGGGAGAATCATTAAAAGATAAGCCGTTTATACGTAAGCACCACTGGTCAAGAAAACAACATGCGCGACAGCTTCACAGCTTCAGAGCACCTTTGTAGAGCCTAAACGGCTTCGTTAAAGTCTATATTTCTCCAGATTTTACATAACTACAGTTTGCTGTATAGCTCGTGTATAGACTGAGATATCTCTTTCACTCGGTTTATTGTCCGGTCCTTGTCTTTCTCGTCAAGTCGAAGTCCCCACTTCTGTGTAAACTTGTCTGCGATAGAGAGAGCGAGAAATCGGCTTAAAGACGGTTTCGAAGACTTCTTCAAACTCATAACAGCGAATCGATGGATTGCTGTCTCGAGCAGGTGCCCTCCTCAACAGATCACATTCAGAAGGTATGCGAATCAAGACAAGTCATGGGCTTCACTATCGAAGAGTGCTCGATCGACCACACCAGTCTCCAGCCCTTGAACTTTCCACGATATACGTACGGTCGCAACTTCCTAAAATGTGACTCGAGTACCTTCCGTTCAGATTTCCTTATTTGATGCCGGTGTGTTTAGAAGAAAGAAATCGCATGTTCTTGTTCCTTGTCAGCTCGTTGTTACTCCAGGTTTCAATCGCAAACGAGAATTGCTCGTCACCTTGAAATGATGCAGACATACGCGTTTCAAGCGTCCTGACCTACTGAGTGGCGGATTGTGCTTCAAAGAGTAACCTGACCGAAAATGCCTCGGAAGGGGGAGACTGACGGACATATGCTCCCAACCACCATCTGCAACTGCCTGCTTCCAGTAGCGACTTCACACCAAGAAAATCCAATCAGCGGAAAATCTGAATGGAAGTGATTCACTCAATCCCACTCAGCCCTTAAAAAATTGTCATGGCACGACTCCAGTCGTCGGACTTGTCCGTCTAAACGTCCAACCATTGTAGTCAAGTGGAAAGCGGACAACCCCGCCTCACCTGGATGCCACCTCAGCACCTCCTCCCTCAGCTTCTTCTTGTGCTTCTCCGGGGCAACCCCGTGCAACAACACCCGCTCTAGTTGCCCCTCCTGCCCCGGATCCACTGGAAACGGCACGTCCAGATAACTAACCACCATGTTGCTTGAGGAAGCGAATCTAGTCCACGCTTCCTCGTAGCGCATCTTCTTGTTGAGGAACTTGCCGGCGAGGACCTCCTCGCGCCAAGCTGAGTCCTTGGCTTGCTCCTCCTCGAGGATCTTACGAGACCGCGCCGCGGCTTCCTCGTCAAGCCTTCGTCGCTTGCGTTCTCTGCAGAAGAGGGGGGGTAAAGCGATTGGCAGGTGCTCGGCGCGTGCAAAGGGCGAAAGTACGTGAAGCGGGCCGGCGGGGCAACAAACTGGGGGAAGTGGGCCACTTTCTTCACTCAGGTAGGCGGGTTTGAACAGAGTACAAGAAGTGCAAGCCGTGATGTCAGAAGCAACTCTGTGCCCAACCTGACGAATCAGCTCCGCTTTAGGTCCGATCCAAAGCCAGACCCCCCAGATCAGAATATCTTTGACCTGCGATAGATTTGTGCTGGTTACTCTGAAACGCGTTCAAGAGTTACTTTTCGAAGTTAGTTTTGCACCTGAATGAGAGGCACGAGGTTCTCTGTTGTGGACAACACCTGACTGTCGATCAGGAGATCGACTAACTATATCGCTTAGCCTGCCTCCAGATTCCGCACAGCCCCGCGATTTTGAGCACCAACTGGAGATGAAGTGGAACAGCCCTGGGTGATGATTGGGTTCGATAGACAGAGTTGTCTTTGATAGATAGACAGAAGGCATGGGACTACTTAGGATCCCCTCCAGAGAAAGGGCGACTTCACCTTGCATCTTCTTCCTTTGCTTGTTCGGCGCTCAGCTTTGCCCTCAACTCGTCCTGCTGCCACCCCGCTTCGTGCCTCTTCCTCGCCATGCTCTCCGCAATCCTCGCTCGCCAAGCGTCCTCATCAACAACGTCCTCCACCTCCCCCTCTCGATGAGAAGCGCTGGCGCCCCACGTCCCCCCCCCCTCCCCGTCACTCGCTTCCTCCTGCAACCGCTCCCCCCAGTCCTCCGGCTCTTCGTACCGGGACCCCCGTGCCCGGGCCTCCTCCCGTCTTGCAAGCTTGATGAGCCTTTCCTCCACCAGCATTGCTGGCGTCTCCCCTCTCTTGTTGCGGACACTCATTTTTCCGCCCGCCTCTCGCAGCTCAGCGATCACTTTGGCTGCGCCGCTCCGGGCGGCGAGATGAAGGGGAGTATCGCCCCTGCCATCCACGGCGCTGACATCACCCCCCTGAGAGAGAAGATGCCCGACGACGTCAGTGGCGCCCGCGTGGCTTGCCAGGTGGAGTGGCGTCCAACCATCGCTGTCCACGCAGTTTACGTTTGGACGGTCACCTGCATCCCAGGATTTTCGTCGCCGCTTCCTCTTAGATCGCTTTCTGCTGCTGTCAGAGTCGCTGCTGCTGCTTTCATTGGGGAGCAGTTTTATCACCTTTCTCAGATTGCCAACGCCGGCTGCATGAAGCAGCTTCAGCTCCTTCTTCCTTCGTGTCTTCATTTTAAATGTGCAGCGCGGCCACCTTAACCAGAAATTTGCTGCGCATAGCACGATGTCAGAACCGCTGTCTGGAGATGGTCAGGGAAGGCGCTGCCTCAGAGAACTCCTGAGCAGCCCCCATGGTTTACAGCCAGTCAATTTTGATGCATTTTTGGGCAAAAGAGAGCGCCCCACTCCCTTCTATCTTTCAATGTTTCCTGCATGTAACTGGTACCTCAAAGGCTCAGCCTCAGCCCTCAGGCTTTGGTGCGCCCTGGCCCCTCCTCAGGCTCGAGCTTTGTTTCGAGGATTCAACCTGAGACGCTCTTATGTGAAGGGCCCATTTCTAGATTTTGCTCCAGAATTTCAAAAGACCCGGATGTTGTTTAGAACAAGGCAGCGGGTCAAGCCGGAACCAAGCCCGGGGGAGGGCGCCGGTGATGCATAGCCAGGTGGCAACAACTAATTTGATATATGGCGTCGTCGTTCTTGCTTCCAAATGTTCGGTTTCAGCCCTAAGGCTATGGTCATACATGTAACATGTGTCTTGATTTGCTGATCAGATCGACTTTGGTGTTATTGGCAAGACGGGCAGCACGGGGGCCTGCAAGCCTCAGCTGAAATAAGACGGAAATACATTCCAATCTTAGAGTGCTTATTGTGGATGTAGGATACGCTAAATTGGCAATCCTTCCCCGAGCAGGATTCATGGCCGCCACATAAGGTTTTTGAAAATAAACCTTGCTACCTATTCAGGGCAGCTCGCCCATGCAATGCTGCATGGCCGTTTTGTGTAAGAATTTACCTGAGTCAGTCTTCCTGGATTGTCCGCGAAGCGGCGTTGGTTTCTGAGCAGATCTGAGGCTCATTTTGAGGAGTGCCGCAATCATGGCGGCAGGTCGTGAGCTGGCCCGGGTTCATTGAGGGACTCGTGCGAAAATAGACACGGTCTCCGGGTAAGCAACATTGTCCTCTTCAGTGTCACAGACCATCCTCCTTCTTGCATGGTCACGACATACTACATTGATGTTGCCTTTTGCAAATCCGGAGTAGAGCAGATTGTGGCCACGCTGCGTTATGCAGATTGCACTCCAGGACGGCTATATCAAAGGACTTGAAACTCGAAAGGGTGCTGCGGGACTCGTTGATGCATCCGTATCTTAAGTGTGGTAATATTGGGTTAAGTCGAAATTTTCTTTGCGAGTCATTGGAGCAGGGCCACATTGCTTGAAAAAAGGGTTTGTGATCAAAAGGAGCTGATCAGAACATCGAACTGAAGCTGGCTAGCACAAGAGCATCTGTGTTGGTTGAGTTGAAGCAGGCAGTGCCAGCTTGAATCTGGCGCCATGTGACGACTTCAGTAAAACAGCACCCTAATAAACCCTTCGCTCTCTGCAGAAGTGACTCTTTACAGACCCAAAGCCTGAAAAGCGCTTTCAAAAGAGAGACAATATGGGCCGGCTGTCAACTCATAAGCCGGTGGAAGCTCCTGATGTAATCAGCCCTCGCTTGGTGGACTTAGCTGTCGATAAGCAGAGAGAATGGGAGGCAGCAGAGGGGGGGAGCGAAGGCGGAGCAGAGGAGGCGGGAAGTCCCGTGGAAGAGTATGAGGAAGAAGACGATGAGCAACAAGAGGGGGACGGAGAAGAATATCTGGTCGATGGCGGAGAGGAATATGAGGAAGGATATGAAGAGGAAGAGAATGAGCAGATGAGCGGAGACGGAGCTGGAGAGTTTGAAGAAGGTGGAGAGGGTGAGGGGGGGTACGAGGAGCAGAATGCGGACGGCGAGTTTGCGGCAGCGGAGAGAGAGGCGGCTGGGGGGGTGGAGGAGAGGGAAGCTGGGGGAGCTGGCAGGTATCAGCGGGGGGGGGGGAGTGAAGGAGAAAGCGAGGGGGAGGAGTATGTTGAGGGAGTGGAGGGTAAGTATGAAGAAGGTGGGGAGTATCAAGAGGAAGAGGCGGAAGAATTCCAAGCGGAAGATCTTCAAGAGGACGGAGCGGAAGGGTATCAAGAAGGGGAACCAGAGGAGTATCAAGAAGAAGGCACGGAGTATCAGGAAGAAGGGGGCGAGTTGCAGGAGGAAAGTGAAGAGAAGCAAGGAGAAGGCGGAGCAAATCAAGAAGAAGGAGGCGAGTATCAAGAAGAAGAGGGCGACTTCCAAGAAGAAGGAGGCAAGTATCAAGAAGAAGCAGGCGAGGATTATCAAGGGGAAGGCGGAGAGGGCTACGCTCAGGAAGGGGGGGAGGAGTCGCAGGAAGAAGAGGGCGGAGAGTACGAGGAAGAAGCAGAAGGAGAGTACGAAGATCAAGCAGGCGAAGGGTACCAAGAGCGAGAAGCTGTGGAGAACCAAGAAGAGAAAGGTGCTGAGGGAAAGTATGAAGAAGGAGGGGAAGAATATATAGAGGGGGGGGGGCAATACGAAGGGGAAGGGGAGGGTTTTGAGGGGGAGCCGCAGCAGCTCGAGGGGGAGCAAGAGGAATATTACGAGGAAGGGGGGGAGGCTGGTGAGACCGAAGAAGCCCAAGCTGGAGGGGACGAATACAACGAGGACGGGGAGAATGTCGAGGAGGGTGAAAATGCGGATGATGAGGGGGAAGAGGTTGACGAACTGGCCGAAGGTCAAGAGGAGGGGGCCTATGCGGACGAAGAAGCTTATGCGGAAGGGGAGGAAAATATGGTGGGTGAAGAGGGCGGTGAAAAAGTGGAGTATGCTGAGGGAGAGGAAGCCTATGCTGAAGGGGGGGAGGAATTGCTGACCGAAGAGGGGGGCGAAGCAGCAGAGTATGCTGAGGGGGAGGAAGGATCTGCTGAAGAAGTTGAGGGAGAAGAGGGGATGGAAGAGTACGCGGAGGGAGAAGAAAGGGACCGGTTTGAAGAGCTATTAGAGGGAGACGTTGGACCGGAAGAGTGTGCGGAAGGGGAAGAGGAAGTTGAAGCGCAAGTGTACCCAGAGCAAGGGGCTGAAGGGGTTCAGGTGACAGCCGAAGAAGATGAGGAGGTTGATGTAGAAGAGGAGCAAGGAGAGGAGGCTCAAGCAGGGGCTGAGGAGTTTGAAAACGAAGCTGTCGGAGAGTTTGAGGCAGAGTATGCCGTCGAGGAAGGTGAAGAAGCACAGAATGAAGAAGCTGGTGGCGAACTCGAAGAGGAGGGGGAAGGAGGGCCTGAATTCGAAGTTGCAGAAGGAGAAGGCGAACTAGATGGGGGTGCTGAATATGAAGTTGCAGACGGAGTAGGGCAGGAGCTAGAGGGGGGGGCTGATTATGCTGTGGACGAGGGGGGGGGAGAGGAAGATGAGGAGCAGAAGTTCAGCTTCCAAGTAGGAGGTGAAGAAACCGCTGGAGGCGACATAGCTGTGGTTGAAGTAACTAAAGGCCAGCAGTATGAGGAAGAAGAGTACTACGCAGAGGACGAAGGTACGCAGGAAATCGGCTCGGGGACTGTCAGGATTGAAGAATATGACGGAACAGACGAGGGGTCTTCTGAGCAGCGGGCAGGTGTGATTGTTTACGAGGTTACGGAGGCCGACGGTCAAGAGGAAATTGAATTCTTGGCAGAGACTTCTGAGGAACAGGGAGGGTTAGGGGAGATTGAGGCAAGGGTTGAGGAAGTCGAGGGGGACGCTTATGAGGGCGAGCAGCAGGCCGCTTATGACAAGCAGACGGCAGCAAGTGAACTCAGGGATCGGTTCTTGTCAAAGGACTCCACACAGCAATCCAGCAGTTCTGTAAGGGAGAAGACAGGAGCGCACTCAGGGAACAACTTCTCATCGGTTTCCTCTGACCGCCTAAAAGCCGTGTCGATCGAGGAGGCCGCAGGCCGCACGGTGCTTTCTCGCAGTCTAGTTGATACAGACGACGAGAGTGAGCTGGTGCGCGAGCGCCAGTCCGTAACTCAGAGCATGGAGGTGCGGATGAGCCCCCGGGAGAGTATTAACACCCCGGTGGGCCTCAGCCCCAAGAACAGTGTTGCGGGCCCCGGTGTGAAGGGCCTCCCGATGCCCGAGGACGAAGTGTCGGCGCGGCTGCTTGCGAAGAGCGCCCGGGTTAGCTCAACCCGGTTAAGCGCAACCGGGGTAAGCTCAACTGGGCGCAAACGGAGCGTCACGGACGGGTCAAAAGCGGCCGGGTCAAGCCGCCGGTCAAGTAGCGCAGGCGGCGAGAAGACCCCTGCGGGTGATATCACCCCCATGGTTAACGCGAACCTGGTTCAGAAGCAAGTTCCTCGCGCTTGGGAAGAGCCTGGCAGAGCAGCGGAGTCCGCCGGGAGCGAGTGGAAAACTGGTGAAGCTGAGCGGGACCAGCGTATGGAGGAACTAGAGCGCCGGCTTCGGGAGGTGACGGAGCGGGAGCAAAGTGCGGCGCAGGACAGGGTGGCGACCGTGGCACTGCTGCAGCAGACTGAAGGTGGTCGCCCGCGAAACATCTTCCTGCTTAAGACGCGTTCATGACCTTTTGGACTTTTCGGCTGCTTCTTCAGTTTCTTTGGTGCCAGGGAAGGTGAATTTTCTTGAAAACAATGCGAACCATTCTCGTGTCGAGTGCAAAAAGGCTCAAAGGGAGTCCCGTTCATTCCAAGCGTCGTCTTCGATCTTCAACAGAGGTTTCTGAGACTGGCGGCGTCGAGCGCTGCTTTCAGAAGTCAGCGAAAGTAGCGAGCCACCTGCTTGCAACTGTGACGTCATTTGACCCGAATCCGATCCTTCTCGACCTCATGCAGGATCCTGACACAGTACTCCTGAGTCGATTTGTACGGCGGAGCTGGGCTCGACAGCGGGCCACCTGGCAGAAAGGGCCTTCCAACATATTCTCCATAACCTATTTCTTCTGTCGAATTCCAAGCCCTCAGACCCTTCAAGAAGATCTTGCAGACGAGCTTGCCTCCACGACTTTCCTAGAGAAACCTCAACGCGCGCGTTTTCCTTTGACCACTTTCTCCATTTCCCAACCTTCATCATTCACATTGTTTGACCGGGTTCTTTTCGAACGACGAGCGCTCTTAACCCAAAAGCCTTGACCCGTTTCCGCAGCAGAGCTCGAAAACACGACGGCCCACTTGACGGGGCTGGCGCGCGAGCGCGCGCGCTTCCAGTGTTTCCCACAACATCTGAACACGTTTTACATTTACGTAAAGTCAGGAAGCGCTCCTGACCCCAGATTATCAACCTTATTTTCTGGCAGACGAGCTCGCGTCCACGGCGGCCCACTTGGCGATATCGCAACGCGCGTGTTCGTTTTGAGCCGTTCGCCAACTTTCGCACTCGTTACCACAGCACCAGAAGCGCTCTAACCCAAAACTCTTCACGATTTTCGCAGACGAGCTCGCGTCCACGGCGGCCCACTTGAGCGGACCTGGCGCGTGAGCGCGCCCGCCTCCAGCCTTTCCCGTACAATTATGAGAAACCAGAAGCGCTCCTAACCAGATTTCTTGACCCGTTTTCCGCAGACGAGCTCCCTTCCACGACGGCCCACTTGGCGGACGTGGCGCGCGAGCGCGCGCGCTTCCTCTTTTTTCTACAATATCTGACCACGTTTCAAATCTTATGTAAAACTAGAAGCGCTCCCAAACCCAGATTCTCAACCTTACCTACTGCAGACGAGCTCGCGTCCACGGCAGCCCACCTGGCGGAGCTGGCGCGCGAGCGCGCGCGCTCCCGACCAGTTTCACAAATTGTGACCAAGTTCGTTCAAAGGGAGACGCATTTGAACCGGTAAATTCGACCCGTTCTTGCAGATGAGCTTGCGTCCACTGCGGCGCACTTGGCGGAGCTGGCACGCGAGCGCGCGCGCTTCCAGCAGGAGCAGTACGGCGAGATGTGGCCCATCGTGTACAGCAAGGTCAAGCACCTCGCCGAGACCGCGCGCGCGTGGCTGCACGAAACGGGGCCGCGCAAGGTGAGAAAACCCCAGGAACTGCTCGGAGTATAGGGTTCGAAAGAGGGACTTTAGATCCGCGTCTAGACCGTCAATTTGTAAAGTTAGGATTCGTTGCAGATGTGTACAGCAGAGTGAATGACCTGGCGAAGGCCGCAAGCTGGGGGCGGCATGAAAGGAGGACGCGCAAGGTGGGCATGAATACGTGATTCCTACGTCATTCACAAACGGGAATCCGAGGAAGACGAGGCTTGGGGCAGCTACATCAGAGTCGGTATGCGGATCCTGGATTTGGGCTGGACGGTCGGATCTGGTAAGGAAATGGGAGATCAGATCGTTCGTATTCACGGTGTCGAAGGTCGTGAGAGCGTCGAAGCCGCGTAGATTGAGCGTCAGCAGAAAACTAGAGTCTGCAACGAGGGGGGATCCAGATTTTGAGAACCAGTCAAAGAGGTTTCGATTACCGAAGTTCCAACCCTTGGTTAATTATTCGAAGCAATTACAAGAGAGGATGGGTTTGGAAAATGGCATAGTCTTGCCGACGCAAATCCGTATACTGAAAGCGATGTCGACCGGACAAATCAAAGGGCACGTCTTTCAGCCATCTCAATTGTTCGTCCCCTTTGCAGACGGCGCAGCATCTGGAGACCGTCGAGGCGGAGCTCTTCTCGTTGCTGGCCGTGATGCACGTGAGTAATTTCCACCGCTTGCGAATCGTGTTGTTGGAACTCCTCTCCTGAAGATTGCAGAGCACAGATTGCGGATATTGAACGGCTTTATGAACTTTTTACGGGTTTGCGGAAGGCGAGAAGGTTGAACACGCTTTGTAGAGGCTCGTTACTCGCTCTTCTGTCCATATCTATCCAGGTCAATTGCAAGGAATGTTATGCTTTGTGTAGATAAGGAGATGCGCGCACGTAGCCATGTGATTCGAATCTCTAGAGCTTGGCTTTCTTCTGTCTCGTGCACGATTCTTTGAGCTGCTTCGCTTTTTCAAGCCTCATCCTCCAAAACAGAATTCAATTTGTCCAGACCCCGATTCAAAGCACACGCTTCTTCTCACGACAGAGCGGCCAGCCCGAATCTTGGCGAGTTTCCACCTCTCTCTATTTTCCAGCTCTTTCCAGCAGACGTCTGAACATATCACAGGGATCCTCAGACTTCGTACCTCTCTTGTCGCCACAGAGCGGCCAGCCCGACTCGTCCACGCTCAAGGAGATCGTCCAGTCGGAGCGGCTGGGCGCGGCGCTCGACACGGAAAAGACGCGCGCGGAAAAGCTCGCGCAGCGCGCGGCGGCCGCGGAGAAGCAGCTCAAGATGGCCGTGCGGAAGAACCGGGTCCTCGCAATAGAGAACCACCTCGCCATCCAGAAGCTTCACAGCTTAGGGGTGAGGCCCGGTTCTAGAGAAAGGAAAGAGGATACGCATTCTCGGTTGCACCGTCGTGCTTCCACTTCTTTGAGGTAGAAACTTCTTTGAAGGGGTGATTCATAGTCTGTGGAAACCACACAACGGTGAAGAGCGTGGAGGGACGTCTTTTGACCCGATGCAGAGAATTCTAGAGGGGCGTTTGCTCTACGTGGGGCTGTCACATTTCTTTATGGTGACAATACGCTCGAAAGGAACGACCTTGATTCCTCTTCAAAGTTGTGAGCAACGGTGCGTACTTTTGTCTCTCCTTAATGCGAAACAAGTCTGTGATGCAATGGAGATGAGTCCTCTGCTTTGGATTCATGCACAGTCGTCAAGGGTATCGCGGCTTTCCCATAGCCGCACTCTGATGCAGTTCCTTAGCACAGCATGTCTGTTCAAGTGGCTCAAAATCCCCCACTTTCAGACGCTTACGCGCCAAACGACTTCTCATGCGTCCGTTCGTTCCATTCCGTTGCGTTCAGGTTGTCTCCATTCCGCTCCAGCCGCTAGCGGCGGACATGAGCAACATCGACAGCTACGAGCCTCAGATTCCGGGTTATGATTTTACCCCTGCCTCTACCCCCGGGGAGTCGCCCCGCTTCGGCAAAGACTCCCCCGAGAGAATGGGCTTGCGCCAGAAGATCGGTCGGAACTCGCCCAGGTAAAGCACAATTTTTCTTTCCAGCAATTCTTGACGCTCTCGGCAACGCTAATATCATGGTTAGTGGATGTTACCCGCATGCCCAAAAGTGTTCGTAAATCCTGTTTGAAACACCTCGCGAGTGCAAGTTTCTCATGGACCCTGACGTAGGCAAGTCTGTATTTGTTTAACTTTGCAGTACATGGTTCAGTACTCAAACGGAATCTGTGACTGGCTTCTGGTGAGAGTGTGTGCGATGCATGTTCTATCAGGGATCCCTAACCGGTAGATTATGACCATTGCGAGCGACAAACTTTCGAACCGTAGAAACGTTTTCGCTGTTGCAATTTGCTGAAACGAGTGAACGTGTACAGGAATTCGGAGGGGGGGGGGGTTAATAAGTCCAATAAAGAGTGAAATTCAAAACCAAAGCTCACAGGGCCCCCCTTGCTTCCCGCCAGGTCCACTTTCAGCCCCCTGTCGTCCCAGAGGGCGCCCCAATCACCAATGGGCCTCCGCAAAGTGCGCGCGCACACGTCGCTGACGTCATCCACCGCAAAAGCTGACGTCAGCAGCCCGCGGAAGCGGCACTCGAACCCCAGCGACAAGAGCACCCATCTTGTGGCTGAGTCGGTCGCCCTCTCGAACGGTTCCATATTCAAACAGGGGGAGAATGTTGCCCCTAGCCTCCCCCCCCGGGCGCGTAACAGCGCGTCGACGGAGCAGGGACACGTGTCGAGATCCGACTGGCTGGCGATCGCCAAGCAGGCGGCGCTGCTGAAAGGAGTCGTCCCGGAGAACCGGACACACACGGGGCTCCTGAGGGGGACACTTGCTAAAGACGCGGTGAGAGACCGGCTAAAGGCTTCTTTCCTTTCCCAATTAGTGAAATGACAGACAACCGGTCCTCAATGTGAGGTCAATATTCTAGTAGAGATGCACCTAACCAAGCCCTAATTAGCTTGTTCAATGAAAAGGCTTTCTTGTGATGTGAAAGGTGTTCAATTGAGATCGAGAAAAGGCTAACCAGCAAAATCACGTTCTGGAGATCGGGCTATCGCTGACAATTGGCGGAACAGCACTACAATCTGGGTTCGCTTGCACTGAGGAACCTGTAATCCATTGCGAGTCCATTTTTGCTGCCTTTTCGCATATCTGCATACCAGCTTTGGCTTTCCGAACGCAATCCGCTCTCTTTCTACTTGACGTCCTCCGCGGTCGGCCACTTGCATAACGGTACACAGTCCAAGTTCACACTCAAATCGCAGAGCAAACACTGTCTGGCTTCTTCGTGCTTGTTCCTCCACAGAGACAACTGTGAACAAGTGATGATCCGCGGCTCTTTTCCTCATTGCCCCGTGTTTTCCTCCTCCAATCAGACCCCCGCTGAGATTGACAGCGCCGTGAAAGCGCTCAAGGCGCAGTTCGATTCGGCGGGCGTCCCGTGGCCCCTCACCAAAGTGGGCGACCGCGCCTATCGACTGGGCGCCAAAAAGCTCGCGCTCAAACTGACGGCGGGCAGACTCATGGGTGAGCCGTCGCTCTTCTTTTCTATTTGCGCGGGGCCTGTAACATGAGAGGGAACTGATTGTATGGAAACTGAGCAAAATTGGTTGGGGTGTACAAGAAAAAAATGGTTTCAGCGTTAAGAGTCTTAGGGTTTTAGGTTGACGAAGAGACACGTCCGTCAGCATTGGGGCCTTACGAACGATCAAAGGAAACGACTCTACGGATCCGACACGCATCCGCGTACTCATTGTCTATTTGGGAAGAGGACGAGCAAGAGTTGATTCAGTACATAGAAGACGCAGACTCTTCGTCTCCTGAACATCGTTTCCGGAGACTTGCGACCTGCACTTATATCTGGAGGTGCGCTTCGTCAAAGCCGCAGATGTGCAGTTTCAAAACCGGCCACTAATCGGCTTTGTCACAATCTTCCTATGGGGTGTTCAGTCTTCCTCTGCATTTTCATAACAGCTGTTCTTCGGATTGTTGGCAGATAGGATCCCAAATGCTTCTATTCTTCCCCGTACTCTGTCGACTAAAGTAACTTTGCCGCCTGATTTCTTCCTCTAGCAGGCCGAGTCTAACAACCATCCGTCGTCAATCGTGCAGTACGGATTGGAGGCGGAGCCGAGAACATCCTCGACACGATTGAAAAGACGGCACTCAGTGCGGCCGCCTGAGGCATCCATTATTGACAGCCACGTCCGCAAGCAATCTACACTGATTTAAGAAGTACTAGGCAAGAAGACAACCCCCCTCGATTGGAGGCGGCCAGGCATTCTGGCTCAGCCCGAGAGATTTGCAATTGAGGAGGGCCATACACAAACAGTAGGGAGAGCACACCATTTTTGCATGTAAGCTCGAGGACCCATCTAACAGCCTCGCCCTTTCGCGCAACGCGCGCGGCACGAAAGTGGTCGGGTAGAATACACAGTTCAATCTGAGACCCGCAGATCTTCGCATGAGCCTAGCTCGAATACAATGGCCATGGCTGTACAGGATTGCACCTGGCCCAGTATCATTTCGCGACAGAAGTACGGTTAGTATTCTCGTGGGCATGAGGCATTTGCGGTTCGTGCAAGAATTGCAGCAGGCGGGCCCGTTGCTTGAGTAGACTGACTTACGTGGCCAATACATGCAATCATTTGATCATGACTCTTCTAAGAGTTTGATCATGATATGAGAAGTCACTAGGTGCACTACGGCTTTAAGTATAGCATTATGCCGGAAGGTCCGGTCATTGTCGCGTGTGTATAAAGACGCGTGGAGGCTTGTGTGGTAATCATCAATGGCCACTACGTCAGTTGGTTTTCCTAAGCAGCCACCTGAACAAATGCTTTGATCCTGGCGTATATGGCCCACTGCGTGATGTGTGGCGCGGCAATGACAAGACTTGCAAATGAACATAGTTACCATATGCTCGTCCCTGATAAGGCGTGCCAGACGATATTCACTTGATTTAGCGAGTCTGCGTCTGAAGTATCCGCATTTTCAACTGCTTGCGTAAATCAATCATCGTTCGTGGAGGAGATCAGGCGGGAGATAGATCGGGATGACGGGATGACCGATCCCGTTGCAGGGCCTGGGAACCCAATGTGACAAGAAGGGCCGGATCAATGAAGATCTTGGCAGGCTACTGTCAACCTAAGCTAAGGGCAGTCTCCAACGAATCCAGGGCCATCGACCTGATCCGTTCGGCCACCGCCTTGACCATGGGAAGCTGCAGCTTCTTGCGAAGCTCCAGGGCCGCGTGCCTCTGCTCTAGTTCCCAGATCCTCTCTGCCCGACCTAGTTTCTCGGCAGAACTCGGTCCCGAGTGAAACCCCATTCCGCCTAACTCTAACGTGCTCTTATTTGGATCAACCGCTTTCCTTAACGCGTCTAACGACTTCGAACATTCTGACGACTGGGCTTTTAGGTCGTCGAAATCGCGCAGCACCGCCTCCATCCACGTCACCTCTTGGGCGATCACCCGGGCGTTTGACGTCAGCCCACCGACTGGGACGATCGCCCCCGGCAGAACTGGTCGGGTGTCCTCCGGCTTCACAGCCCTCGAGAAAAGATCCTCAGGGCCACGCTCCTGAGCGTTTATCCCGCGAGCATTTACCTCCCCCAAAATGTTCACATTTCTCCGGAAAGGTCTCCCGGACAACACCTCCGTAGCAGATGTCCCCCCATCGACTCTTCCAGTTACTTTCGACTCCACTTCTCCAGATGCGCCCAGCACCAATTGCCGGCTTACTGCAACCCTGCGATAAGTCTCGTGCGCCGAAGGTCCCTCGGGGAGCGGGCCAGGGTCCGTTCCTCCAGGCCGGACAAACTCAGGCGTCCGCATCTCCTCCCGCCCGTCCGAAGCGCCACCACCGCCCGGAGGAAAGCTCTCGGCTCGCGTAGCCTGAGAGCTCGCCGGTGTGTGGTCGGTCGGGGAGAACGATACCCGAGGAACCGAACTCTTGGAACCTGCTCCACTTTCTGATTTCCCACCAAAACCCGGTCGGTTGCGCCCGATCTCAGAGTCGAGTAAGACCGTTTCTTCAGCACCAGTCCGCTGACGACGGTCCAAAGCTGGTCTCTCCGCTTCCGACCCGATCCTCACGGTGTCAGCAGCGGTTGCGCTGTACACGCCAGCTGGCGCCCGCAACTTGCCAGCTGTCAGCAAGTGATTGGGCCTCCGTGGAGGGGGACGGCTGTGGGCCCTGGCCCAGGGGGGCAGCGCGTCGAGAACGCTGGCGCCAGAGGCGATCGAAGCGGTGATCCGTTCGACGACGGACGAAACAGGGCCCGTCCCTCGGGCGCTGACAGAAGCTGAGGCCGGTTCGGCCGTTCTTTCTGCGGGCGGCACGTTGAGAGGCGGCGATGCCACTGTCACGGGGGGATCGCTTTTGACAGCGAAGACTGCCTTCGCTGGAGTCTGAGCGACCTCACGCAAGTGTGCTAAAGTGGCGCTGGCTGCGAGAGCTTCTTTTTGTACCGCTGGAGCTGTCGTCATGCTGACGTCACCCCGCCTCAGCCCCATGCCCCCACCGAAAGGCCCCGTTTTGGGCAGGCTCCTCCACCCGGCGCTGACGTTCCGGGCCGCCCAGCCGTCCAACAGGGCCCGGTGGCGGGACCCCTCCCGCTCGGCCCTCCGCATGCGCGCCAAGTGGCGCCACCTCCTCGCATACGGCGCCACACGTGCGAGCTGCGCGATTGACGTCAGCGCCTGCTTCTCCAGCGCAATCTGCAGCCGCAGCTGCTGACGTCGGCGGGTTTTCGCGAGCCAGTGGGAGGCCACCACGTGAACCAGGCGCGATTGGTACAGACGGTCTGCTGACGTCGTGGCAGCAGACTTGGCCCTCCGCTCCACTAAGTAGGAAGTCCAAGCCTGCATGGACGTAGCGAACGAACGGTTCAGGGACGCGGATCACATGCGGTTGACGAGTGTCTCCCGGCATCGTCCTATCATCTGACGTCTCGCATTGTCCTGTCGTCTTTGGACATGCCAGATGAGCAAAGCTCCATAATACTCCCTCCAGCTGACAACGCTCGGTTTGCAGCGTGCTCTCATTGACCAATGCGAATGGTGAACGCGTAAGTTGGTAACGCCGGTCACCAATTCGGATCAAATACCCTGATTCCGCACATCTGAGAAATAGATCCACATAATTGTTTGCAGGAAGTGAAGGTAGAGCGTTCTATTTTTCCTGTCGACTTGGACCCTCGTCATGGGATATCCGCCGTGACATTTGATTGAGAACGACCAAGACAAGTGTATCGCCCACCTGAAAGGCCAGCCTCTGCATCCTCCTGCTCCACACCCGCAACGCCCACGCCTGCCTCTCCTTCTTCCTTCTCTGCACCCCCACGAACTCTCTCCACGCCGCAACCGCCCGCCTCTCCAACAGCTTTCCGCTCAGCTGTTCCGCCCGCTGCCACGCGTTCCGTTTCCGTTTCTGCTCGACCAGCCACGCCCTCCAGACCGCCAGACCCCGCCGCTCGTACACCTCCCGGTAGTGCCCCCGCGCGCGTGCTGACGTCAGTTTTCGCACCAGCCTCCGATCGTGCTGCTCAATCCACGCTGCAAATACCCGTGCCGCGACCAAACCTCCGAGTTCCCGCCTTGAAGCCCGGACCCGTTTCTCTTCCGCTGTCCGTTTTCCGCGCCAGAAAGCCAGCCGCTCTTTCCACGCCCGGAGCGCCCGACCGAGCAGAACCCCCTCGTGATGCACCGCCGCTCTCCGGACGGCTTCGCTTTTCAGCGCCCACTTCGCAGTCCGCACTCGCCACACCTCTAGAGAGACCCGTTCCAGGCGCGTATTCCTGAATGCCTCCGCGCAACTATAAGCTTCCCGCTTCGCGGCCGCTTGCGACAGGGCCTCTCGCCAGTGTACGCAGAGCATTCTGCGCAGGAGCTGTTTCCGGTAGGCCTCGTCTGCGCTGCGCTTCAACTGTTCTTTCCGTCGCCGTTTTGCAACGTGAGCGGCGAGAGCGGCAAAGGCCTTGCGAAATAGTTTGGAGCGGAGGAAGTGGGCGGCTTTTCGGTTCTGGTGTCGGGAGTGCCGCTGAGAGGCGACGTAGAGGCGCCAGCCGTAGAGCGCGCGCGAGAGGGAGAAGTCGCGCTGCCATGCGCGGACGATGACCTGCGGTAGAAGCCAAGCTGAGATCAGGACTGCAAGCTTCTTACACGCATAAGTGGCACCATTAGAAGGTCTCTATTTCTGGATCAGGCTCTGCTTCCTTTTTCTGCAACAAGAATGGATGAAGATGGTGTGAAACCTCTGCTTTAACCGTGGCCTCCAGCTGTCGGATTGTGAGCTTCCAAAACCAGTCGCTCGGTATATCCACTGGTGCTTCCTCAACCGTCAACCATTGTAGTCCGTTCCGAACGAAAAACGTCCAGACTTCTGGGAGTGTGAAAGACGGATTCCGGGCAGCGAAAGCGGCACCCGAGAACCAAGAGCAGGTGCGGGCCAGCCGCGTTACAGATCAACCCCTAATTCCAGCATAACCTTCTTCGCATACCCTGCATCGCTGAGACTCTTGTGGTGACAGGCACTCACCATCTTCTTTTCCTCCAGCATCTCCTCCGTTGCTTCTCGCTCCAGAACCGCCGCCCCAGCAGCTGACCGCCACTTTGTGAAGGCTGCCCTCTGCAATGAGCTTTGCAGGCTTAGTACTTCGGCTGTAACGAAGCTCAGAACGGTACTGCTTTTTCACTGTGAAGTTTGGAGAGTCGCCAAGGGTCGAAGGATGCCGCCCATTCTTGGGGCGTCAGCAAGAAGGACGAGCATGTGTTGAGCGCCTCCTGCTAAAGCCCTCACGATAGTCATGGCATCACAGAACACAGAAAGTGTCCCAGCAGAGCAAATGGGTGCTGCACTTGCAAGGAAACCTAGTTTATGTAGACCCGAGTGCGCAATCAAAGAGCATGAGTAGGAATCGGATATGCGTGTACAAAGTAACCTTGAATTGGCCCTCCTGGCTGCCGACTCAACGCTGAACTGTTGCCAGTCAAAACGTGGAGTGCAGAGTGAACTTTTCACGTGACAAGATAGCCGGTTGGAGGCACGCTGCCTGACAAGCCGCTCTACATGTCAACTTTCTAAGGGTTGCAAAACCCCGGAAAATGAGCATGGGTCCCGAGGGTATCGTACCTTCATGTGCCGGACCCAGTGCCTCCCCGCGATGATGCTGTGCTGCTCCTGGCTGCGCTTGTGCTGTACATCTGGCACGGAAGAATGATGACGTGAGTCGATTCATTCATGTTTTTCTTACTTTTGTTTATGTATAATCGGATAGACATCTGGCACGGGAAGCGATGACACGAGGTGAGGTTCGCTGGAGGTTACACGGTCACGCACTAGATATTCTAAAATGCGCGTCTGAACCGAAGAGAAAACTAACAAGGATACTTCAATAGTATTGCAACAAGCATGCAATGTATGTCGAGGCTCTAGAAATGTCCGCACATCGTCGAAACCCCCGCGCGCCTTGTCGACATTCTCAAGGAAGCGGATTCGCCGAGTCCTCGGTGGAAAGTCTATTGAATACGACTTGTTCGATGGCTCGGATGAAACTTGGCTGTTTTACGTGCGCTCTAACGTCTCAAGCACTCTAGATCTGGGCTTTGATGTCTCAGCAGTACAGTGGAATCAGCAACTGGAGCGTGTTATCAAATCCTGAAGACAAGGAGCCGCAATAGAGTTGAAATTAGAAAAGACTAGTGTGGTGCGTCTCCTCACGGAGTTTCAGCGCGAGGACCGCCTTGTATTGGAGCTGGAAGTCGGCGAACTCCCGTGCGCAAGCGGTGTTGTCCTTGAGGACTTGCTTCCGTTGGTGGTACTTCAACCAGGACCGTACAACGAGCGTCTGCCAAAAGGAAACCGTAACCGTTGAAAGGGAGGCTTTGACGGACACAAACGCCGTCGGAAGAACGAGTGTCGTCCATATAGGAACGAAACCGTTGACAACACGCTTCAGATAAAAAGATGGTTTGAACACGGCTAAGATGCCACCCTGTTGTTGTTCTCAAGTGCGTCTTTGGAGTTGGAATGAACGATAAGTAGGTGCTTGCTTCAAATTCAGGTTCTGTGGGGTCAGTTCTTGAACGTCAGAGAGGCGCCTGCACAATGGAACTCGCAGACCCCCTTTATCAGCGTACGTCCTTCGTCCAAAAGTTGCTCGTCCGTATCTTCGAATTCCAGACCCAAAACTCGCTGATGAGTGCCTAAAAATCGACACTTTACAGTGTAATCAAGAATTTTTACCAAGCTCAGATTGCCAAGGAAAGTCTAGAACTCAAAACCAGCTTAAAGGAAGCTTTTCACACCACCCAGCCCCCCGTACCTTGATCCGGAGCAGGTTCGCCGCCTCCGCCATGTCAAGCGCCACGACCTTCCTCCTTCGCCCCTCCACATAATACCGCCAAGCAGCGTATCCCCGGCGCGCCAGCTGTCGCTCCGCATGCTCGGCAGCACTCCCCATTGCACACTCTTTCTCCACCCTCCGTTCTTTCCGCTGCGCCACAAACAAGGCCCACCACCGGATGACCGTCCGCACTATATACATGTACTGGAACGCATAGGCCCTGTCCAGCTTGGCGTCGTCCGCCCGCTTCTGCACCAGCGCCGCCCGCCACTGCATCAGAACCTCCGCTTTCTGCCCCTTAACCCGCTTTTCGGCTAACCGCTGGCTGATTCCCCGGTACTTTTTCTGGGTTTTGATAACCTGACGCCAAGCGTTTAAGACACTTCGTTTTCTCCAGGCCGCCCATCGCTGGAGTGCCTCAACTCGCTGCGCGAGTTTCTGTTGCCCAGCTTCAGAGGCGGTGCGCCAGCTGGCGAGAAAGCGAGAGAGCGTCGCGCGGCGCCAGTGGGACAGAGCGATCGCGGTGGCTTGGCGCTTGACGAGGGAGGCGGTGCGGTGGGCCTTGAGAGCGGTAAACGCGGTGCTGTACAGCCGGCGCGCATCTGCGGAGAAAACAGCGGTATATGTTGAATTCTTCAGTACCATCGAGAAGGTCAAAGAAAGGTCAATCATACTCAAATAGCCTAAGGATGGGAATCTTGACATATTATGGACGAAGGCTTTCGAAACAGTCTGCAGAGCATGGAAGAGGCCTCTAGCCCACTTGTGATCATGCCCATTCGCAGCTCAGGGCCACTCTCGGGTTGATGTGGTCATAACAAAAGCCAGGAGAACTGCAATGCAGATCAGGCCTGGCAGTCACGAAAATCTTCAATCTGTTGAGACTCTGGATGCTTGCGCCGAGTTCCTCCCGATCCACTCGCACATGCGACTCAGGTACAACAGCAACTTTGGGAATCACGACCAAATGTCCACTTCAGTCGATTGCAACCAAACGTGTCCTCTCTAAATACTTGGCACGCCACAGCTTCCCATTGCTCGAAGCACCTTCCGCAATTTTTGCAGCTTGTCCTCCAAAACCGTCAACATCGCTGCACTGCAACGCCACTGCAAGCCACTCACCCATCCAGAGCAGCCGGGCCGCCGCCTTCTGGTACTGCTTCTGCGTCTGCACATGCGCAACCCACCGAGCCCACACCTGACGTTCCAGTGTCAAGCGGCGCCGCGCCACAGCTCTGGCTTGCAGGGTCCATTTCAGGCGCCGCGTTGACACCGCCTCCCGCCAGGCGACCCAGCACTGATGCTTTCGGCGGTCCAGAACACGGCGTCGGAACTCCAGGGCCAGAAGGGCCTGCAATAAACCGAAATCCCAGTTTCACTTGACCTGTCCTACTTACATTCTCCAAAACCCACTCCGTGCTCTCTTTTGCTCCATTCTTTGCTTTGATAAGTCACAAGCTCTCCGGCGATGAAGAGTTGAGCTTTCAAGTCGACACTACTAGGATGCAAAGTAACGAACCAGATGTTGATGTTGGAGCTTGTATGTTCAATGAAACTTCTTCAATCCCTGGTTGCAAAATGAAAAGTTTGCCTGCCTGCTTAGAAATTGGAAGCTTTAGAACGTATGGGGATTGTCAAAAGCAATTTACATCAAGGAATTTGTCGGTGCCAATCAAACAGTCTGCAGTTACATCAAGGACCGGTAGACTTTGGATGCGGACTCAAGCTAGAGGACTCAAGCTGAATAGGGCTAGACACAGACCTCCTCATGAACAGTACTAGGAGTGGGCCACTTGTGCCTCACCTTTTGTGCGAAGTACCGCCACTGATCTACGACGATCTTTGCTAGCCGCTTTCTATGGCGCCGCACCGCCCTGAAAGAGGCACGTTACATCAGCGAAGATCAGCAAATGTGTCCTTTCCTGAGAAATCAGTTTGTAAGAAAGGAAACGATGCGTATAGCTGTCACCTCTCACAATATCTTTGGCGACCATCGTTCATGACCTGGTAGTGGCAGGCCATCGGTTTACGGAGTGCCTCCCAAATGCAACCGCTGCAATTGGTCGAGCGTCCTTGGAACAAGAGGTGTTGAGCTTGGGGCCTATGACTTGATGCCGCATTGCACGACGTCAGATTGTCGAGGCACTCAGGAGTAGGAGAAAATCAGGCTGCCAGTTCATTGAGCACCCCACCTTTTCTCCTCCTCAATCAGCCGTAAGGCCGTTGGACCCAATGCCACTGGTTGGGACTTTGGCCCTGTCTTGACCGGCACTGCAAGAATGCCCTGAGGCTCCTTTGGCAGCTGTAGATTGCCCTTGAGTGGACCGCTCTTGACACGAGTGGGTGCTTTTGTGACAACCACTTGTGCCCTCTGCTTGGAGCCATGTGTTGAGCTGGCAATCTGCCAGTCGCACCAACTTGCCAGCGTCAGATATCACTTCCTGATTTTCAAAAAGCTTAGCAAGTTCAAGAAGTATCAATCCCTGCAATTACAAGGTCTTACAGAATCATTCAGCATTTTACCCAGACAATTGATTGGGTGAAGATTGTCTGCAGAAGCTCAGCACTAGGCTGAAAGGAGGAATCAGCCGATTTGCAAAACAAACAAACGCAACATGCTGCAACTGATATTGTGCAACGAGACATACCGGCGCGACGTCGCCTCCGTGAATCGTCATCTGCGATTCTTCATTGTGCAATTGCCTCCGCCGATCATCCCCACTTCCGTGCCACCGCAACTTAACACAGCACTCTCAAGCTAGGTTTTTTCACCAGTGCGCCTAATCCTATGTAGTATGCACTTTCAGCGGCTCATGCCAGTGGGCTGTCCAGCGAAGCCCCGCATGGACGCCACCATTTTGACGGTCGAAGTCTTCCAGTAAACCACATAGTGTCGTATGAACAGAAAACTCTTCCCAATCCCATGCATGCACCCTTCTACTACTAGCTGCTCAGTGCTGAGAGCGTCGTTTGAAAGCTCGAGGTAACCGTCGCCACCGGACGCCCAGGATGCAATCCGATCCTACCGTACGGTTCAAAACTCATCGTTCCAGTCGCGAGACCTGGTTACCCGGATAGTTAACGAGCTCTTAACCAGATAGGTTAATGCGAGCGTGCAAGAGTAGAATTCTGAAGGGGTCTCTATATACTTAGAGTATACTATCTCTTTATACTTGGAGTCTTACGAAGAGCTTTGGTTGAGCCTGAGGCGCAAGCTTGCTTTAATGTGGCTTTAATAGGCTCGTAGAGGAGTTCGTTGTGATGATGTGCGTCTTCATGTAGGCATGGGGTTTGGTCCTTGAACTCAGCGACCGCTGCTCAAGAAACTGTGGGCCAGCGATGCGGCGCCCCATTCTGTTGAGAAAGATGGGGCTCCACTTGGATCGCTGGAGGAACGCCTATCCCTTTGTGGTTGTGCTCTGCGTTTTCCTTTTGACTTTGAGTTTCCTGATAGCTGTGAAGGGCCAGGAAGCAAGTCCGGATGTGGATGATGGGTTGCCAAGAGAAGAGGCTTTGGCGTTGGCTGTGACAAGGTAATCCTGACTTGTCTGCAGCATGGCCCGCTCAAGATAATTGTGCTTATCTTGAGTTCCACATTGTGAATATGTGAGTTCAAGAGCCTGCAAGACAAGTTTCTGGTCAACTCTCTAATGAAGTACGATGCGTGAGTCCGTCTTCGTTAGTCGAGAAGCTTGGCGGACATGCTGAAATGATGAATTTCCACCAATGATGAGTTTGCACCACTTCACAGTGTTCAGGAGTGCAGGTGGTCGGGCAGTGATCAAAACCCTAGATTTTTTTGTATTAAAGCACTCATGCAAGCTGAACAGTTTGCTGCATTGATAATATGCGAGGTCCACTTACTGCAGCCCACATTTGATGAAAAGTTACTAAACATGGAGCCCTTTTATCCTGCCACCACCGACATGCTGTTCAGGGATGGTTGATTGAACATGGTGGTACTTGTTCGTCAATGTGAGTTGTGGCGCTTGACTGAGCATTTGACTGCAGTCCAATTTTCTTAAGAGAGTTTCAAACAAGCTTCCCTGACTCAGACTTGCTGTTCTTGATAGGATCAACCCAAAGGTTTTCATCTCGACGTTTGAACAATGTGACAACACCTACCAGCAGCCTGGACCTTCTCAGCAGATTGACCGCTATAAGCACTTTCCTATCCTTGTGCAGACCGGAGAGCACCCTCCTAGTTGCCGTCCTCGATGGTTCACTCCACGCCCTTGACGCCGACACGGGCGAGCTTAAGTGGTCCTTCTCTAGTGGACCGCCCCTGGTGTCAGCTTCACGGAGGCACAATGCAGTGCAGCGTGCGGATGAGGACAGGCTGGGAGAGCCGGCGGAGAGCGAGAAGGTGGAGGAAGAAGAGGAGGGGATGGTGTTTCCAGGGGCGGACGGCGCTCTGTATGCGTACAGGCGGGGCCACGGAGTGCAGGTGCGGAACCATGCATGGAATTTTGAGTGGAGCGCCATTAGGTCGCTCTGACAGCACAATTCAGTCGGCTGACGTTCATGTGTGTTGATTCCTCCAAGTGCGGTCCTGGTCCTTTCGGGCGCCTGGTTCCAAGTTCGTCAATAGAAGCGCTGATGTTGCAGACTGTATTTGAGATTGATTCATGTTATGGAGCATCATCGCAACCACAGGCTGAGATCTGCTGATCTTTGGCCAAGTGGGGAGTGAAGCATGGCAGTTGGTGAATCGATTTTGGGTTTGCCCAAGCAGTAGAGGTATTTCTGGTTGTTCTGTGTAAAGCGTGGCTGAAGAAAGCTTGTAGGGTCCTTGGCTTGCTTCGGTGAAGGACGGACAGACTCTGGCCGAGCTTTGGTTGAATATCACAATGAAAGTTTGGAGTTTGTCATATCAAAGTTTATGGTTATCCTTAATTGATCCTTGACTGATTCTTGATCTTGCTTATTGACTAATCCTTGGCTGATGCTGAATCTTGGCTAGCCCCTCGCTACTCTATGATTCTTCTTCGGTTGACCCTCGATTGATTCTTGGCTGGTTTATGACTGACCCACGGTTACAATAGTCCTTGACTTATGCTTGCCTTACCCTTGATTGATCATTAATGATACTTGGCTGAAGTATGACCACGTATTTCTTCCCCCTTCATAATGGATAGTGAAGTAATTCATGACTGATTCGTTGCCGGTCGTGTCTGGTGCTTTATTAGTGCTAGCTGATCGTCCTGTAAATAGTGGCTGATCTGGATTGATCCTCAAATCTTTTTTTGTCTGCTCCGAAGCCAGTTCTTTAAAATTCGCCCCAGTCCTCGATTCTCCCTTGCTCATCCTTGGCAAGTCCTTGACTGATACTCCGGCCAAGTTTTGACGACCTCTGGCTGGCCGTTGGTTGACTGCTGATTGGTCCTTCACCATACTACGATAACACCTTTTCAGATCTAGCTGCCTTTTGGCTGACCATGTGCTGGTCTCGACCGATTTCGGTTGACTCTTGGCCTATTGTTCTATGTTTTCTGACTGACATAAAGCTTTTTCTTGTCTATCTTGGCATCATTAGTCCTCATCGTTCATTAGCCAAAGCTGAGCCTGTCGTTGACGACTCCTTGCCGGTCCTGCCATTTATCTCGATCGCTCATGTTTCCGGGCTGGTCTCTCGTGCTTAATAATCATAGCGTAGACGTTGACCGAGTTGATGTATCCGGGGGCCTTTGTTAGCTAAGGAACGGCTTGTCCGGGGCCTGATCGTGGTTTTGTCCAAAGACTGTTCATGGCGCATTTTTGGCGGGTTCATGATTGTCTTTGGCCGATTCGTTGCTCCTATCCGCTGATATTTGGGTCGTTTCCAGCCTAGTAGTCTTTGTGTTGGAGGCGCATCCTTGGCTATTCGACGGCTCAGCCTCTGCAGTTTCGTGGCTCATCCTTGGCAACTCGATAGCACATTTTCAGCCAAACGTAGCTGATCTCTGTCTCATTGGTGACTTAACCTCGGGTTATTGGCGGCCACTTCGTGGCTTATCCTCGACTGGTTTACGGCTCATCGTCGACTCATTTTGTGGCTCATCCTCGGCTGACTTTTGGCTCAGTCCTCGGCTCGTTTTTGGCTCATTCGTGGCTCATTAGTGGCTCAACATTGCCGATCTCGTGGCTCACCCTTGGCTAAGCTTTGGCTCA